GGCGACCCAGAAAAATATGATGTCGTGTCCGGTAATCAGCGTTGATGTGGGCAGAAACTGCTGCAGTTCTTCAGTTTCTTCAGGCCAGCCAAGGGTGGCAAATGGCCACAACGCAGAGGAAAACCATGTTTCCAGTACATCCTGGTCGCGATTCAGCTTTGTGCTTTGCGGCAGGTTGTATTTCTCACGCGCGGCAGCTTCAGAGCGGGCGACATAAATGTTGTCTTGCTCGTCGTAGTAGGCCGGAATCTGATGGCCCCACCATTGTTGACGGCTGATACACCAGTCCTGGATGTCTCTCATCCATGAGAAATAGACATTCTCATACTGTTTTGGAACAAATTTGATGTCCCCATTTTCAACCGCCTCAATGGCTGGCTTGGCGAGGGGTTCAATTTTTACGAACCACTGATCCGTGAGCAGTGGTTCGATAATAGCGCCAGAACGATCGCCGCGGGGTACCATCAGTTTGTGTTCTTTGACTTCTCCAAGCAAACCCAGATCATCCAGGTCGGCAACTACAGCTTTGCGTGCAACGGTTCTATCCATGCCGCGATATTTTTCCGGCGCAGCGTCGTTGATGGTTGCTTCGCTGGTAAAAATATTAATCATTTCAAGATTGTGGCGTGCACCCACTTCGTTGTCGTTAAAGTCATGTGCTGGGGTGATCTTTACGCAACCGGTGCCAAATTCCATCTCCACATAACTGTCTGCGATGATTGGAATTCTACGATCTACCAGAGGCAGATTAACAAAGCCGCCAACCAGGTGAGCATAACGTTCATCGTCAGGGTGCACGGCAACAGCGGTATCTCCGAGCATAGTCTCCGGGCGCGTTGTTGCAACGGTCAGGTGCTTGCCACCGTCCTTGGTTGTAAGGCCATCCAGCAGCGGATAATGAAAGTGCCAGAGGTGACCGTTTTCTTCGCTGTTCTCCACCTCCAGGTCTGATATGGCAGTGCCCAGCTGCGGGTCCCAGTTCACCAGGCGCGAACCCCGATAGATCAGACCTTCATCAAACAGACGCTCGAATACTGTCAGCACCGCTTCAGCGTAGGCTTCATCCATGGTGAAGCGATCCCGGGACCAGTCCAGACTTGAACCCATGCGACGGATCTGGCTGGCAATGGTCCCGCCTGAGGTTTCCTTCCACTCCCAGACCTTCTCTGTGAACGCCTCGCGGCCAAGCTCATGGCGTTTTATGCCCTGCTCATTCAGCTGGCGCTCAACCAGCATCTGGGTTGCTATACCAGCATGGTCTGTGCCCATCTGCCACAGCGTCCGATTACCCTGCATGCGCTTATAGCGGATCAGCGTGTCCATCAATGTCTGGTTGAACGCGTGCCCCATGTGCAGCGTACCCGTGACGTTGGGCGGTGGTATCAGGACACAATAACCGGGGCCGTTGCCGTGTGGCGCGAAGTAGTCGGATTGCTCCCAATGGGCGTATAACTTCTGCTCAATGGCATGCGGATCAAAACTACTTTCCATATTGTTCTTCTTATTTCTCTGTGTCGGCTGCTTTGTTGAGTTTCTGCCGCAGGTGGGCCAGTAATTCGTCTGATAATTCACTGACAAGATGGGTGCGCAAGGCGCCGATATTCTGCTCCAGCGTTTGAGCCAGCCAGTTTTTCACACTGGCATCGATGCGTATTTTAAGGGCCTGGGCCAGTTCGTCAGTGTCCTCAGGCTGCCATAGTTCACTGTTCTGCGTGATGCGGTTTCTTGCATCCGTCAGCAGGTCGTCAACGGAGTCCTGCCAGGCATCGTCGAGGAGAGCTTTGAACGTATCGTCTGGTAAACCCTCGTCAATAGTTAACCCATCTACCAGGGGGTCGTCCAGCAGCGGCACATCCGCCTCTTCGGGATTGATTTCCGTCTGCTCTTCATCAAACAAACCTTTGATCGATTCCAGGTCTTCAATCAGCTCATCCGGTTCCTGGCGATCATCCTTTTCGGGTGGCAGGGTGCTCATGATTGCTGCTCCCAATCGGTCATCTGGTGATGATGCAGGGGGTATCCTCTGGAACGGTAGTGTGCATAGCGAGCACGTCCCTGTTCACGTGTTTCACCCACCACAATTTCAGCAACTCTGTCGAAGCGACCAAAAAATTTAGGTACGTCAGGGGCCAGATTGATCAGTAGACCCTCTTCGTGGTGGGGTGGTTCACAGGAGATCTGTATCGGTGATAAAGGCGTGCGCTCTGCCGCAACAATTTCGTGCGGCAGAAAGCGGTGCTTGGGATAGTCCCACATCAATTCATCCAGAGCCTGCGCATCCTCGGGATTGTCCATGTGGACATGCACAGGGGTATTTTTCAGGTACGCTTTCAAACCGAGTCGACAGGCAAACCGAAGGGTCGCATCCAGGGTCTGGTCATCCAGTATGTAGAAGTCGACCCGGGTCATGACTTAGCCGTTTGCCTGTTGGCAGAGGTAGTTAAACAACAAGGGGACGGGGCGGCCGGTTGCGCCTTTTGCTGCGCCACCCATAAACGCGCTACCTGCGACATCCATATGCGCCCAGCTCACACCTTCAACGAACCTCGATAGAAAACAGGCTGCTGTTACGCTGCCGGCTTCGCGTCCGCCGATGTTTGCCATGTCGGCAAAGTTGGAATTAAGACTCGATTGATATTCTTCCCATAACGGCATCTGCCAGGCTTTGTCGCCGCTGTTCTGGCCGGCGGCAAGCAAATCGTTGGCAAGCTTGTCATCGTTGGCATAAACAGCGCTGGCTTTGGAACCTAACGCAACGATCACCGCGCCGGTTAAGGTTGCAACATCGATGATGGTCTTTGGTTTGAAAGTCTGCGCATGGGTGAGGGCATCACACAACACCAGGCGACCTTCCGCATCTGTGTTCAGAATTTCGATGGTTTTACCTGAAGACGAAGTGACAATGTCACCGGGTCGGGTGGCACCGCCACTGGGCATGTTTTCAGCAGCTGCAACGATGGTCACCAGATTGATCTTCAAGCCCGCTTCAATGACCGCCTTGGTGGTGCCAAGCACGGAAGCTGCGCCACACATGTCGAACTTCATTTCGTCCATGCCTGCGCCGGGTTTCAGCGATATACCGCCGGTATCAAAGGTAATGCCTTTGCCGACCAGGGCAATGGGGGCGTCAGCTTTGCGACCGCCGTTATAACGTATAACAATCATCTGGCCAGGCTTGTCACTACCTTTTGATACGGATAAGAAGGCGCCCATGTTCAGGGCGGCCATTTTTTTCTCGTCCAGATTGGATACGGTTACGTTAGGATGTTTGCCTAATTTGCGTGCTTCTTTGAGCAGATAGTTGGGGTCGCAGATATTAGGTGGCTCATTGCCCAGGTCACGTGAGAATGCCAGACCTGCATCGAGGGCATTGCCCAGACGTGCGCTGCTGCTGCTGGTGTCTTTTTTGTCGTTAACATGCACACGCACGGTGGTCAGGGTGGGCGGTGTGGCAGGCTTCGACTTGTGTTTCCCGTATCTGTAAGCGTTGTAGCTGATGGCGTGCATGAGTGTAGCGGCTTTCCAGGGTGTGCGTTCGCCAGTGACCTTGACGCTATCCAGGGCAATAATTGCAGTTTTAACAGGTAGTTTAAGCAGGCTGACGGCTGCAGAGTTCGCCAGTTTGCGGAAGTTGTCGGCGTCCATAGACTCATCGGCGCCGCCGATGACCAGCAAACGTGAGACACCTGCGCCGAGATTGACACATAAGCTCTGCTCAAGACTGTCCTTGAAATCTTCGCTCGCCCGGGAAAAAATGGCGGTGCTGCCCAGGGCTCGGGCAACGCGTTTCGCGGTTCTTAATGAGACCACCAGGCAAGGGGTGCGCAGATCATTTAAATCGCCGTCGGTAATGCTGTATTTCATGTGTCGGATAGCCGTGTTTTTAAACAGGGGCGTATTCTAATTTAAAACGGGACCTGGTCATATGTCTGTTGCGGTGCGTTATATCAATCGAGAGCTGCTGGCGATATTTGTAGTGACTTTGGTCATGCTGCTGCTGGTAGCACTGGGTGGCCGCTTTATCGGCTATCTGCAGGAAGCTGCGATGGGCAAATTCACTGGGGCGACAGTGTTGACCATCATGGGGTTGCGGATGCCTGAGTTTCTGCAGCAGGTCGCTCCGTTCTCGATGTACGTTGCTATTGTTCTGACCCTCGGGCGGTTACACGCCGAACAGGAAATGGTGGTGCTGCAGGGGGCTGGCGCGTCGACCTTCAAATTACTGCAATGGGTGAGTGTCACACTGTTCACGGTGGTTGCCCTGGTCGGCGTTTTTGCCCTGGTACTGACACCGATGTCTGAGCGCGCGCTCAGCAGTTTTGTCGCACAGCAACAGGCACAGACTGAATTTGAAACCCTCAATGCAGGGACATTCCATGTTTATGATCATGGCCGCCGTATCACTTACAGTCAGGACATGTCAGACGATCGTAAGATCCTATATGACGTATTCCTGTCTCAGCGCCTGGAGAGTGGGGTGCAGGTAAACATCTGGGCTCGACAGGCATCTCAATACCTTGATCCAGACAGTGGTTCACAATTTCTGCTTCTGAAAGATGGACACCGTTACGAAGGCCGGCCCGGGTCACCTGATCTGCGGGTAATGGCCTTTTCTGAATTGCGCCAGCGCTTGTCGTCAGTTGACGAGCGACCCAGTCGATATGCTGTTGAGGCGTTGCCGACCAGCCAACTGGGTAATGATCCCGAGAGTCGTGCTCAATGGCACTGGCGTTGGGGTTTACCATTGTTTGCGTTGATAGGCGGGTTTATTGCGGTAGGTATCTCAAGGGTCAAGCCGCGGCAGGGGCGCTTCGGACGGATTGTGCCCGGTACTCTGTTGATGTTGATCTACTTTCTCGCGCTACTGGTTAATCAGAACGCAATATCTGAAGGTCATGTACCAGATTATATTGGTATGTGGCTGGTTCATCTGGTGTTTGCGGCCATTGCCGTGTGGCTTTTGGCGCGGGTTGCGAAGCCGGTGGCCACCTGAGGTTGAGTCAGGGTTTGGGTATGTGCACAACCAGAGTCTGGCTGGCCCGGTCGTGCCAGGTCTGCTGCTGATCTCCAACATAGAACCACAGGTAGCCGAGGCCAACGCAAAATAAGGAGATCGGCGCGACAGCAGCACGTTTCAGCAGCTGCAGAAAATCCGGTGCTGTACCGTCCGGCTTCACCAGCTTGATGCGCCATGCAGTCATACCCAGGGTTTGCCCCTGGCGAGACCAGAAGTACAGATAAAAACCCAGCCACTGACTGAACAGAACCAGTTGAATCAGCCAGCCGGTGACAGCTTCGCCACCTGATGCAATCACCCAGACGAGGAGGGTGGCCATCCAGATAGCGATGATCAGCAAGCCATCGTATAACATGGCACCCAGCCGGCGGCCAATGCCAGCTGGATATCCCGTCTCAACCTTATCGTTAGAGTCGGTCTCGCTGCGGCCTTTAGAATTGGGCAAGGTTGCCGCTGATATTGATCGAGCGTCCGCAGAACTCTTCCTGGGTCATTGCCTGCATGACGTCGGCATCGTCGGTGGTTGCCCAGACACGACGGTCATCATCAAGGCGTGCGGCGATAAACGCCTGCTCTGGTGCAGCCTGGCCGTACATGACGGTGTAGCCTTCGATGGTTGCCTGGCCACTGTGCTCAAACGCCACATCACGTTTATAAAGAGCATCTACTTCGGCCTGCAGATCATTATGTTGAAACCCTTGTGCTGGTGGCTCGGTGGAGTAGACGCCGAACGCATGTTTGGTCAGATAGCCACCGTTGGCGGTGATCAAACCTTTGTCGCCTGGCGCGTCCCGCAACAATTCCGCCATGGTCGCTATTGAATGCATCACGTAATTGTTCAGTGGACCACCGGCCCAGGTGAGCCCGCCAGTTACCGTGAGAGGTTTGGCGGTATCCAGGCCCAGTTCTCGAGCCGCAACCTGCACCGCGACGGGAAAGCAGCTGTAAACATCTACGCGATCGATATCAGCAACCGTCATGCCAGCCAACGCCAGCGCTCGATTGCCGGCGAGACGAATGGCTGGTGAGCCACATAGGCTGTCGCGATTAGACACAAAATAGTGATCATGAGCGTCAGTGCCCGCCCAGGGGTAAACCCATTTTTCTTTAGGTATGCCCAGGCTTTCTGCTTTGGCTTGAGAACACAGGATGAGCGCTGCGCCCTGATCAACGTTGTTGTTGGAATTCATGAACTTGGGGTATGGGAACGACACGGGTCGGTTGATGGCTGAAGGGGTGCGAATCTCCTCAGCACTTTTAGCGTCCCGTATCCAGGCGTGTGGATTATGCGAGGCCACTTCACTGAAGCCAGCCCAGAGCTTGGAAATATGCGCGAGGTGTTCCTGTACACTCAAACCCATTTCATGCCGTAGTGCGGTCTCAAAAATCGGATAAAGTTGAATGGGTTTGCCCAGCCGAACTCTTTTTTCCGCTTCGTGGCGCATTTCCACTTCTTCGCCCATGGAGACATCCGGCGTGCCGGGCAGAGTCTGCCATTCGAGATTCACACCTGCTCGGGCAGCTTTTGCCTGGGTGTTGCCACATTCGGCGCCGGTTATGATGATGACCTCGTGCTCTCCACTCTGAATGTCCAGGGCGGACTGATTCAGTGTCGTTTGCACAAAGTTCCCACCGTAAGGGGTGATGCCGGTTTGTGCGCCTGGATTACCAATGGCCTCGGCGACGGCTTTGGCCGGGTTCTGATACGGCCATATACCGCGAATGACACGCACAGAGGTGGCTTTCAGAAGTTCGGAACTTCCGGCATCCTCAGCGGCTTGCTTCACTGCGTCGATCATCAATTCCACCGGCTCTTTGGCCTCAGCGGGGTTGTCGATCCGTTGTTCCAGTTGTGCGATACCAACCAGTACAGGTGTATTGTCACTCATCATATTCCCCTATATATCAATAAGTTAGGCGCTCTTTTAAGCGTCTATATACGTTCAATAATGGTGCCGGTACCCAGTCCGCCGCCACAGCACATGGCAATCAGGCCGTAGCGACCGCCGGTGCGTTCCAGTTCATGCAGTGCGCTGGTGATCAAGCGTGCTCCGGTACTGCCGGTAGGATGTCCCAGAGCAATTGCACCGCCATTTGGATTCACTTTTTCAGGGTCGGGCTGCAGGTCTTTTTCCCAGGCCAGTACTACCGAGGCAAATGCTTCATTCACTTCAAAAGTGTCGATGTCGTTGACGGACAGGCCCGCTTGTTCAAGCACTTTACGACTTGCGGGAATTGGTCCTTTCAACATGGTCACCGGATCAACACCCACCAGGGTAGAGGCGATGATTTTAGCCCTGGGCTTCAGGCCCAGTGCGTCGACAGCCTTTTGATTAGCAAGAATTACAACAGCGGCGCCGTCTGAAACCTGTGAGCTTGAGCCTGCGGTATGAATCTCCTGACCGGGTACCGGGTTAAGTCCTGCCAGCGCTTCAAGAGACGTTTCCCGAATGCCTTCGTCGGCAGTGATGGTTTGCATCTCTCCGGTAGGTTCAAATTTGTCATTCAGAACCGGTGCTTCGATAGGGGTGATTTCCCGTTCGAAACGGTTCTCCTGACGTGCTCGTAGCGCACGTTCCTGGCTGCGCAGACCAAAAGCGTCGGTATCGCCACGGGTGATCTGGTATTCCTCGGCGATCATCGCCGCACCCTGAAACTGGCTGGTGGGCTGATAGTGAGACATATAGCTTTCGCCCATCGGCACGCCATCTTTCATGTTTGAACCTAACGGCACGCGGCTCATCATCTCTACGCCACAGGCCATCACGATGTCTTCCATGCCGGAGGACACCATGGCGGCACCTAAAGAGGTGGCTTGCTGGGACGACCCACATTGGGAGTCGACAGTGGTGGCAGCAATTTCCTCAGGTAACCCCTGCGAAAGCCACGCAATGCGTGCGATATTGAAAGACTGTTCACCCACCTGAGACACACAGCCGCCGATGATCTGGCCAACTTTCTCTGGTGCGATGCCGCTGCGTTTAAGGGCAGCACTTTGCACCTGACCTAGAAGATCAGCAGGCATCAGGCCCGCGAGGCCTTTGCCTCTTTTACCAATGGGGCTGCGTACGGCTTCGACGATATAGACGTTTTCCATGATGAGTTCCGCTCAAAAAAAGAGCGACATTGTACATGGACAATGAAGATGACTGAAATGGCGTTGTCTGTTTCACAATCGAAGATCGTGGTACCTGGAGACGGACTCGAACCGTCACTCCCGTGAAGGAACCGGATTTTGAATCCGGCGCGTCTACCAATTTCGCCACCCAGGCATGGGGTTGCGCATTTTGCCCAATGGTGCGGGTAGATACAACTGTTGTGACTTACATGGTTGCACTTGTCTGGTACCGGATTGAACAATCAACACGTGGGTTGCGCTTTGATTTTCGGTCCCTACAATGCGCGGCTTCTTTGTTGGTCGGTAAAGCCAATAACATGACCTATCAGCTCAGTGATTTTGATTACGTACTGCCGTCTGAACTGATTGCGCAGTACCCCAGAACCAATCGTACCGACGCGCGGCTGCTGCAACTGCTGCCGGATGGCATCAAACACGGCCAGTTTCCGGATATTCAGAAGCACCTGCAGCCCGGCGATCTGCTGGTCATCAACAATACCAAGGTGATAAAGGCGCGACTGTTTGCGCAAAAAGACAGCGGTGGGCATGCGGAAGTCCTGCTTGAACGATTGCTTGATACACACCGTGCGCTCTGTCAGGTGCGGGTCAGTAAGCCGTTGAAAACTGGCAGGCACTTGAAAGTGGCCGCGCATCAACTCACCTGCGAATCACGTCGGGGCCAGTTTTACGTGTTGGCCAGCGAGTTGCCCTGGTTGGACCTGATGGATCAACAGGGTCATGTACCTTTGCCACCGTATATAGAACGCGATCAGGCCGGGCAGCAGCCCTGTGCTCTCGACGAAGAGCGATATCAGACTGTGTATGGTGAAATTCCAGGTGCAGTTGCTGCGCCCACAGCAGGGCTGCATTTCAGTGAGTCATTGTTAGATGCCCTGAAGTTGCAGGGCGTGGGTATAGCGCAGGTGACCCTGCATGTAGGCTCGGGTACTTTTCAGCCTGTACGCGGAGACCTGGCTAACCATGTGATGCACAGCGAGTTCTATCAGGTCTCTAACGAGACTGCGCAGCAGATACAAGCCACTCGTCAACACGGCGGCCGTGTGATAGCGGTAGGCACAACAGTGGTGCGCACTCTGGAAAGTTCAGCATTGGCCAACGGCGGCGAGGTGTCAGCCGGTGAGGGTGATACACAATTATTTGTCACGCCGGGCTTTGAATTTAAAGTGGTTGATGCGCTGATCACCAATTTCCATCTTCCGGCATCAACCTTGATGATGCTGGTAACGGCATTTGCCGGGTACGACAAGGTCATGCACGCTTATCGCGAGGCGGTGCAGCAGCGGTACCAGTTTTTCAGTTACGGAGATGCCATGTTTTTGCTCAGGCAGGAAAATAGCGATGTTTGAAATTTACGCCACAGAAGGGGCGGCCCGCAGAGGGCAGTTGACGCTGCCTCATGGCACCGTGCAGACGCCGGTATTCATGCCCTGTGGTACCTACGGTACCGTCAAGGCGATGACGCCGGCGAGCCTGCAAGAGGTGGGGACACAGATTCTTCTTGGCAATACCTTCCACCTGATGTTGCGCCCTGGATCTGAGCGCATTGCCAGTTTTGGCGGCCTGCACAAATTCATGCAGTGGTCAGGACCGATTCTGACTGACTCCGGCGGGTTTCAGGTGTTCAGCCTTGGTGATTTGCGCAAAATGAATGAAGAAGGTGTGATTTTTCGTTCACCGATCAACGGCGACAAAGTGAAACTGACGCCAGAGTCCGCCACCCAGGTGCAGCGTCATCTCGCCTCTGATGTTGTCATGGTGTTGGATGAATGTACCGCACACCCGGCTACCCACAAGCAGGCCGAAGTCTCCATGCAGTTGTCCATGCGCTGGGCTGTTCGCAGCCGCGACGCTTTTCAGCAGAGTCGAGAAGGTGCGCTGAATCCGGGTGCAGCTCAATTTGGCATAGTCCAGGGTGGGATGTTCGACGATCTGCGTCGCGAAAGCCTGGCCGCACTGTGTGATGTGGGTTTTGAAGGCTACGCCATTGGCGGCCTGTCTGTGGGTGAAGAGAAGAGTGATATGTACAGCGTGATGGAGGGGCTGCTGCCCCACATGCCTGCAGATAAGCCGCGCTATCTGATGGGGGTCGGCACCCCTGAGGACCTGGTGCGGGGTGTTGCCCTCGGTGTCGACATGTTTGACTGCGTCATGCCAACCCGCAACGGCCGTAACGGGTATCTGTTTACCTCCACCGGTATGGTCAAAATTCGTAACGCTCAACACCGCGATGCAGACATACCTCTGGATGTTGCCTGTGACTGTTATACCTGCAGCAATTTTTCCCGCGCCTATCTGCACCATCTGGACCGCTGCGGCGAAATGCTTGGCGCCATGCTGATGACACAGCATAATCTGCATTTCTACCATAATCTGATGGCTGGATTGCGCGCCTCAATCGAAACGGGTACATTTCGCACCCTCGTCAAAACCCTCCTAAACGACTGGAAATCTACATGAGCTTGTTTGAAACGACCGCATACGCGGCACCTGCCGGCGGCGCTGGCGGTGACGCAGGATTGATCAACCTTTTATTCCTCGGCGGATTTGTGCTGATTTTCTACTTTCTGCTGATTCGTCCGCAGAACAAACGCCGTAAAGAACATCAGAATCTGGTAACCAACCTGTCCAAAGGCGACGAGATCGTCACTGCAGGCGGCATTGTTGGGCAGATTAATAAAGTGGAAGACGACTTTATCAAGGTGCAGGTCAGCGAGAACGTTGAAATGCGCATACAGAAGACGGCCATTGGTGCAACGCTGCCCAAAGGGACCATCAAGAACCTTGATAAAGACTGATAACCTCTAACGGCAAGAGCAAACATTATGGCTGAATCTGGCCTCGGCGGTCCTACTCTTCTGGGCGTGCCGCGTCGCAGGAATGTGGCGCCTAACTCGTTTCGTCCCTGGCAGTACGCGCTGATTTTGTTTGTGCTGGCCATCGGCGCGCTCTATGCAGCGCCTAATCTGTTCCAGCCGGATCCTGCTTTGCAGATTCTGCCGCGGGATGCGGATGCTACACAGAACGATATACAGATCGCACTGTCGCGTGCAGAAGCGGCGCTGTCTGAAGTGCAGATTGCCACGGTTGGTTCGCAGCTCTCAGAAGAGGGCGGTCTCATACGCGTGACCAGCGACGCAGATCAGTTGAAAGCAAAAACGCTGATCAGCGATCTGTTGAATGCCACCGGTGAGAATTATGTGGTTGCGCTGAACCGTGCCAGTACCACACCACAATGGCTGCAGGACCTCGGCGGTAAAGCCATGTCGTTGGGTCTTGACCTTTCAGGTGGTGTGCACTTTCTCCTGCAGGTGAATATGGATGAATATCTGCAATCGGTGGTCGATAGTGCCGCGCTGGGCATGCAGGACAAGCTGCGTGATGCTGATGTGGTCTACATACCGAATCGCGAGTGGGTTGATGGCCTCGATATCAGCATAGCGTTTGCATCTGAAGCGGAACGGGACAAAGCCCTGGTAGCCTTAGAGGAGTTTGCGGATTACCAGATTCGTGAAGAACAGGTAGATGGCCGCGCCGGTTTAACGTTCAAACTCACTCAGGACAGAATTCAGGCGCTCGAAGACCGGGCGATCAGTCAGAACCTGACCAGCCTGCGTAATCGCGTTAACGAACTGGGTGTTTCAGAGCCCCAGGTGCAGCGCCTTGGGCGACAACGCATTGTCGTTGATCTGCCGGGCATTCAAGACAGTGCCCGTGCCAAAGAGATTTTAAACAAGTTTGCCAACCTCGAATTTCGTCTTGCCGCCCAGGCCAATACGCCGCGTTTCCAGCAGGAAACCTACGAGTATGAGGGTCGGGTACAGGATGTGCTGCGCCGTAATATCGTGACGGGCAACAACGTCCAGGATGCACAACAGAGTTTTGACCCGGAAACGTCGCAGCCCCAGGTCAGCATTGAACTCGACAGTGAAGGTGGCAATCGCATGTTTGATGCCACCAAAGACAATGTCGGTCGGGACATGGCCATTCTGTTTATCGAGCAGAAGCCCATTGTCCGTGAAGTACAGCGTGACGGCGAAACCGTAAAAATCTTCACCAGTGAAGAAGAACGCAAACTCATCAGTGTTGCCAATATCAAGTCTGCATTGGGTTTCCAATTCCGCATCACCGGCTTAAGCCTGCGGGAAGCTCAGGATCTGGCCTTGCTGCTGCGCGCCGGTGCACTGGCTGCACCGATGTACATTGTTGAAGAACGCACGGTTGGCGCGCAACTGGGTGATGAGAACATCACCCGGGGTTGGCAGTCCGTAGGCATCGGTTTTGCGCTGGTGCTGATATTCATGTTGTTTTATTACCGCTGGTTTGGATTGGCGGCAAACGTTGCGCTCACAGCAAACCTGATGTTGCTGGTTGCGATCATGAGTGTCTTAGGCGCAACGCTGACGCTCCCGGGTATAGCCGGTATCGTTTTAACCGTCGGCATGGCTGTGGATGCAAACGTGTTGATCTTCTCGCGGATTAGAGAAGAACTCCGCGAGCGGGCTCCTCAGGCAGCTATCCAGGCAGGCTTTGATCGCGCCCTGGTAACCATTACGGATGCCAACATCACCACATTTTTTGTAGCAATAATTCTGTTGTCGATAGGTAGCGGTCCGGTGCGCGGATTTGCGGTGACCCTTGCGGTAGGCATTGTGACCTCTATGTTTACCGCCATTATGGTTACCCGGGCGATAGTCAATCTGATGTACGGTGGCCGTAAGCTGGAGACACTGAAGATATGAGACAGACTAATTTTGATTTCATGGGCAAACGTAAGATCGCGACAGCTATCTCGGCGTTTATCCTTATTTTTTCGCTGTTCGAAATTTTCTACAATGGTTTGACGTTAGGACTCGACTTTACCGGCGGCACCTTGATTGAGCTGGGTTTTGAGCAGGAAGTTGACGCTGATCAACTGCGTAACGATCTGGCGGCTAATGGTTTTGAGAACGGTACCGTGCAGTATTTTGGCTCAAACCAGGAGATTCTTATTCGCATGCCGCCCCAGGGCGGAATTGAGCAGGCGACGCTGGGCGATCGGATTTTTGCCTCTGTTCAGGCTCAGCATGACGGCGTCAGCTTACGTCAAAGCAACTTTGTTGGACCTGCAGTGGGTGAGGAGCTTGCTGAAGACGGTGGCCTGGCGCTACTGGCGGCGTTAATCGTGGTGATGCTCTACATTCTGTTTCGTTTCACCAAACAGTTTGCGTTTGGTGCGGTAGCTGCATTGGCCCACGACGTTTTTGCAGTATTGGGTATCTTTGCCATTTTCCACCTGACCTTTGACCTGACCGTATTGGCGGCGTTGCTTGCTGTGATTGGTTATTCTCTTAATGACACCATCGTTGTGAGTGACCGGATACGTGAGAATTTCCGCAAGATACGCAAGCGCACGCCGATAGAAGTAATTAACGAGTCGTTGAACCAGACCCTTGGGCGCACGTTAGTAACCTCGTTGACAACTTTGTTTGTGTTGCTGGCGTTGTTGTTTGCTGGTGGTGAAGCGATTCGCGGCTTTGCGCTGGCGCTGAGTATTGGTGTTCTGGTGGGAACCTATTCTTCGATTTACGTGTCTGCGAATATCCTGCTGGCGTTGAATATCACCCGCGAGGATCTGCTTGTGCCAGAGCCTGAGAAGGATGATAACCCGGAAGGTACTTATCCGTGACGCTGGCTGGTAACGCCCACGCAGGGTGTTACCCCGTCGTCGGAACTTAAGCTTTGTGCGTGCGCAGGCTGGAGACCATCGCGCGCATGACTTTGGGATTCGCGGCGACGATATCGCCGCTGCTCCAGTAGTCTTCGCCGCCATCCAGATCGCCGATAAAGCCGCCGGCTTCACGGATCAGCACAATACCTGCGGCAATGTCCCACTGACTTAAGCCCATTTCCCAGAATCCGTCAGTACGACCTGCTGCAACGTAGGCCAGGTCCAGTGCGGCGCTACCTGCACGTCGAATACCACGGCATTGGCCGGTGAATTCTTTTAACGTATCCATGTAGTGATCCAGACGATCCATGCTGCCCGGTGGAATGCCGGTGCCTAACACGCAGTCTTCCAGTTTGGCGCGGTTACTAACGCGGATGCGTTTGCCATTGAGTTGAGCGCCTTTGCCACGGCTGGCAACAAACTCTTCGTTGCGGATCGGGTCGACAATCACACCATGTTCCAGGTGTTTGCCTTTTTTTACAGCGATAGATACGCAGAAATGTGGAATCGACTGCAGGAAGTTTAGCGTGCCGTCCAATGGATCGATGATCCAGGTATATTCGCTGTCTTTGGTCGGTGCGCCGGATTCCTCGGCTAAAATAGCGTGGTCAGGATAAGTTTGATTAATGGCCTCAATGATCATCCGTTCCGCGTTGATGTCTACATCTGAGACAAAATCATTCCGCGCCTTGGTGCGTATTTCGCGTCGATCCGGACGATCAAAAGACTGTGCAATAAAATCTGCAGCATTACGCGCAGCGCGTAACGCAATGTTGGCCATTGGTTCCATGGTGAAGTTTATAAACCTGGATCTGAGAGGTGCGCTATCCTATCACGTCCCCTTTAGGCTGTAGAAAAAGGATCTGCTGTTGGCGCGCTTTGAAAACATAAAAATTGTACTTGTTGAACCCAGCCACCCCGGAAATATTGGTGGCGCCGCCCGCGCGATGAAAAATATGGGTCTGAGCCAGCTTGTGGTGGTGAACCCGAAACGTTATCCCGATCCTCAGGCTGACTGGCGCGCAGCAGGCGCGCTGGATATTCTGGATGGAGCTACCGTCGTCGATACGGTAGAAACAGCCATCGCAGACTGCCACTGGGTTGTGGGTACGAGTACGCGACTACGCAAAATTCCCTGGCCGGTGACCGATGCTAAAGGCATAGCCAGGCAGGTGGTTGAGCAGGCCAATGAAGCGCAGATCGCGATTCTGTTTGGTCGTGAGGACAGCGGTTTGACGAATGAAGAGCTGCGCCGTTGTCACTATCATCTGCAGATACCCGCAGCGCCTGAATATTCCTCGCTGAACCTGGCTATGGCTGTACAAGTGGTCTGTTATGAGTTGTTTCAGGCCAGTCAGAGCGAGCCTGTCGTGACAGCCTGGGATCGGCGCATGGCCACCTCCGCGGAATTGGACGCCATGCTGGTGCACCTTGAAGAGACCCTGCTGGATGGCGGTTTTCTGCTGGCGGAAAACCCAGGTCAGACCATGACCCGGGTGCGTCGCATGTTTTCCCGCATGCAGTTGGATGAAACCGAGGTGCAGATTATGCGCGGCATCATTAAGCACTTCTCAAGGGTCGATAATTCAGGCTCCGAGCCACCACAGCAATAGTGGAGTATTTTAGTCGGGTATTGCATACTCGCGCCGTTGATTGCTACTGCTGTGACACACAATATGCGTCAGATTCTCCAATGCGTTTAACCACTAAAGGCCGCTACGCTGTAACCGCTATGCTGGACATAGCGCTGCATTGCGAGCAAGGGCCTGTCAGCGTGCAGGATATTGCCGGCCGGCAGGATATTTCTTCTTCGTACCTTGAGCAGATTGTCGGCCGCTTGAAACGCCTGGGTCTGTTAACCAGCCACCGTGGGCCCGGGGGCGGTTATCAGCTGGGTGCTGCCCCTGAAGAGATAAGTATCTCCTCGGTTGTTTCAGCGGTAGGAGAAGGTGTGGATGCCACCCGCTGCGGCGGTCGCGCTGATTGTCACGAAGGGCACATGTGTTTAACCCATAATTTATGGGTGGATCTATCAGCTGAAATCGATTCTTTTCTGCAGAGCATCAGCCTTGCAAGCCTCGTGGAACGACAGATGCAGGCCCAGAATCGGTCGGGTTTGAAGCCCTCCGAAACCAAGACGCCTGCAGATGAATCGATGCGCATCGCTGCTACTTTGCTGGGTTAAGGCAAGCGCACCGCAAGATCTGACACTACAGCACCATTACCAATATCCGCTCGCCACGTTTATAGAACCTTTATGCAAGACCCCATATATCTCGATTACGCCGCCACAACACCTATCGATCCCCGGGTTGCGGAAAAGATGGGACAGGCGATGCTGGTGCAGGGAAATTTTGGTAATCCAGCCTCCCGTTCCCACGTTTATGGCTGGCGCGCTGAAGAAGCGGTAGAAGCGGCGAGGGCGGAGATTGCTCTCGCGCTCAACGCTGATCCGAGGGAGATTGTCTGGACCTCAGGCGCGACGGAGTCGGACAACCTGGCACTCAAAGGAGTGGCGTTCAATGCCAGTCGAAAACATATTGTCACCAGTGCAGTAGAGCACAAAGCGGTGCTGGATACCTGTGCAGACCTGCATGCTCAGGGTTTTGAAGTGACGTATCTGCAACCGGATGCTCATGGCCGGGTTGAAGTGGCACAGGTCGCTGAGGCGCTGCGTGAAGACACGCTGATAGTGTCTATCATGCATGTGAACAACGAGCTGGGCACTATTTGTGATATCCAGGGCATGGGTGCATTGTGCCGCTCCCGTGGCGTTCTGTTTCACGTTGACGCTGCGCAGAGTTTTGGCAAGCTGGCCATCGATGTGCAGGCGATGTGTATCGATATGTTGTCGATTTCCGCGCATAAATTGTATGGTCCCAAAGGTATCGGCGTGTTGTATGTGCGACGTGAACCGCCGATTAAGTTACATCCGCTCATTCATGGCGGCGGTCACGAGATGGGCATGCGCTCAGGTACGTTGCCAACCCATCAGATTATCGGGTTGGCCGAGGCCAGCCGTTTGATGCAGGCAGACATGGTGAAAGAGCAGGCGCGATTATCGAGCCTGCGCGAACGCCTGCTCACTCATCTGAGACAGATTCCGGACACTTTTATCCACAGCCATCCAGAGTTCAACCTCCCGTCCATTGTGAACGTTGGATTTGCTGGCATAGATGGCGAAACGCTGCTGCTGGCCCTGGACGATCTGGCATTGTCCACAGGTTCAGCGTGTAACTCTACGTCGGTGGAACCTTCTTTTGTGCTGTCCGCCATTGGTGTGCCAAGAGACATCGCGCAAGCCTCTTTACGCATCAGCTTTGGACGTTTCAGCCAGGCTGAGGATCTAGATCACGCCGGCAGCCGCATCAGCTCGGTAGTTGGACGATTGCGCGGGCCTTAAGCATGCGTATAATACGCGCCCGCTAGTACCCTGGCTCAGCGGGTATTTCCTTATAAATTAGATACATACAAGCATCTGTAAAAACAGATGTACAACAAATGTTCGGAGAATAATATGGCAGTAGAGCGCACCCTTTCCATCGTCAAACCTGACGCCGTTGCGCGGAATTTGATTGGTGAAATTTATTCGCGGTTCGAAAAAGGTGGTTTGCGCATTATCGCCTGCAAAATGCTCACCCTCAGCGATGCTCAGGCTCAGGGGTTTTATGGCGAACACGAAGGCAAACCTTTCTTTGCTGACTTGTGCAGTTACATGCGTTCGGGTCCGGTAGTGGTTCAGGTGCTGGAAGGAGAAGATGCCATTGCGACTAACCGTCGTCTGATGGGAGCAACCAATCCGTCTGAGGCTGCGCCCGGCACGATTCGCGCAGACTTTGCAGAATCTATAGATGCCAACTCGGTACACGGCTCAGACGCGCCGGAATCTGCAGCCCGGGAAATCGCTTTTTTCTTTTCTGACGATGAGATTCACCCGCGCAGTTAATCTGCTATAAGGGTCTTAAAACTGATTCAGGAAACCTGATGATCAATCTCTATGGTTTAGACCGCAGTGCCTTGGAAGCCTTGTTCGTCGAACAGGGCCAACAGGCTTTCCGCGGCCGCCAATTGATGAAATGGGTTTATCATCAGGGCCGCACGGATTTTGCGGCAATGACCGATCTGTCGCTGTCGATGCGTCAATGGTTGGCAGAGAACACCTGCTTTGAGCTGCCACGCGTAGAAAGTTTCCAGGTGTCCAAAGATGGCACCTGTAAATGGTTGTTGGATGTAGGTAACGGTAACCTGGTTGAGACCGTGCTCATACCGGAAAAGAACCGCAATACCCTGTGTGTCTCTTCTCAGGTCGGATGCATGTTGGATTGCAGTTTCTGCTCAACCGGAAAGCAGGGCTTCAGCGGCAATTTGCCCGCGGCGTTTGTGGTTGGACAAATGGTGCTCGCCAACCAGGTTCTGGCCGAAAAAAATCAGCGCGTCAGCAACATTGTGCTGATGGGGATGGGTGAGCCTCTGTTGAATTTTGATGCAGCAGTCAGTGCAACAAATATCTTCATGGATGATCTCGCCTTTGGATTATCCAAGCGACGGGTGACCCTCAGTACGGCTGGGGTAGTGCCAGCCATTTATGAGCTGGCTAAGGTCAGTGATGTCTCTTTAGCGGTATCCTTGCACGCACCTATAGACGAGTTGCGCGACCAGCTTGTGCCGATTAACCGGAAATATCCGATCAAAGAGTTGCTTGATGCCTGTCGGCACTACGTTGATCAGTTGGGTGAAAAGCGCAAGCTTGTGATTGAGTACACTCTGATGCGCGGTGTCAACGATCAGCATGAACATGCGGTTGCGCTGGCCGAACTGCTCAAAGATGTGCGCTGTAAAATTAACCTGATTCCGTTCAATCCCTTTCCAGCCTCGGGTTATCAGAAGCCTTATCAGCGCGATATTTATAATTTTCAGACCTACTTGATGAAACAAGGCTATGCGACCATGCTGCGCACCACTCGGGGTGATGATATTGATGCGGCCTGTGGGCAACTGGTTGGACAGGTCAAGGATCGGACCAAACGTCAGTCTCGATATCTGGCGAGAGTGAAAGCTGATGGCAACAACTTCGTTGCGCAAACAACATAGAATCATGCAGATGGGGTCGAAATGACATGTGTCCAGTAACAATCAGAACGGCGGCCTGCACGGTACTGATAAGCATAGTCTTCACTTTATCCGGCTGTGTCACGGAAACCACCGGTGGCTTACCCGCGCCGGGGACTGAATCCGAGCGCACCAAAGCACAATTAGACCTGGCCCGTGGTTACATCGAGCAACGGGATTTTAATCGCGCGCGTACCGCGCTTGATTCTGCGCTGGAGATAGATCCACGTAACGTTGAAGCGCATGTGCTCAATGCAGTGCTGCTGCATGCGCAAGGTGAGTATGAACTGGCAGAATTTCACTACAAAAGAGCGTTACGGTTAGACCCCGACAATGCCCAGGCACTGAATAACTATGGCACGTTCTTATATTCCAGAGGTCGCTTTGATGACGCGGTAGTGCCGCTGGCTCAACTGGTACAGGATACTGGCTATAGAGCCCGCTCTCAGGCCTTTGAAAACCTGGGTTTAGCCTACTTGCGCGCTGGCCGTGATGAAGACGCCAAGGCCGCCTTAACGCGCGCGCTGGACCTTAACTTTCGCCAGGCTACTGCGATTTTGGAGTTAGCGGAACTGGCATTCAACGATTCAGATTTTGCACAGGCAGCGTCGTTACTGTCAGATTTCAAAGCTGTCGCTCGACAGAATGCGCGCAGTCTGTGTCTGGGCATCAAAGTCGCTAAAGCAACCGGTGACGTTGACCTGATGGCAAGTAATCAAATGGCGTTAAGCAATCTTTTCCCCGACCAGGCAGATCAGTGTCAGACGGACCTGTAACCGGTAACGCCGCCCCGGATGGCCCCGGTGTAGCGCTTGCGCAGGCACGTGAAGCCGCAGAGATTACCCAGCGGGAAGTCTCTGATGCATTAAACCTGCCCGTTGCAACGATAGATGCCATCGAGCAGGATGATCGCGATCATCTGCCCGCTGATGTCTTCACCCGCGGCTACATACGTGCTTACGCCAGACTGTTGCAACTGGACCCAGGGCCATTGGTTGCAGCCTTTGGTGGCAGTGTAGATGACCCCGAGCTGGCGGCGTCAGTCGCTGACGCCGCTGCCAGCCAGCGCAACACTAATCGTGGTTCCAATTGGGTTATTCCAGTGCGTCTGCCGCCTGGCGTAACACCTGCCAGGTTGATGGCTGTTGGCAGTGTGTTGCTGCTGCTGATTATCCTGATGATCTGGTTTTTCTCAGGGGACACACCTGCTGAGATAGACAACAATCAATCTCCGCCGACGGCTCCCACTCCAGAGCAGGCGGGTGAACCAAATGCGACGTCGCAGATGACAAACAGGACAACCCGCACGATAACGCCCGAACCTATGCAGAGTGCTTTAACCCAGGAACAACCAGCCGTGGCTGAGGCGCAGACGTTGCCAGATGCGGTTGTAGACATTGCACAAACGGCTGATCTGGAACTTCAGCCAGACGTATCCCAACCGGCCCAAGAACCCGCAGTGGTTGTTCAGGAACAGGTGCAGAGTATGACGCCTCCAGGTGTGCGTCGCCTGACGCCCACTGGCGCCGATCGGCTCAGCATCGAGTTTACCGAAGAGTGTTGGGTGGAAATCAAAGACCCGGAGGGCAATTTGCTCTACGGTAATCTTGGTCGCCCAGGCACGCAGCTAGCGTTTGTTGGTGCAGCACCCTTCAGGGTGTTGTTGGGATACGCGCCCGGTGCGATGCTTAAGTACAACGCCGAGCCTGTGGCTCTGGGTCCGCACACGCGCAACAACGTTGCGTCTCTTGTTTTAGGCCAGTAGTCCGGGAGAGCTCTTCGATATGGTTCAAGCAGTTCGAGGCATGCGTGATGTGCTGCCCGCGGAGGCTAAACGGTGGCAGCTGATTGAAAGCACCGTACACAATATTCTGCGCCAGTTTACGTACGAAGAAATTCATCTGCCGCTACTCGAATTTACCGAGTTGTTTGCACGTGGGGTAGGCGAGGCCACGGACATTGTCGAAAAAGAAATGTATACCCTCGCTGATAGAGATGGTGATTCTTTAAGTTTGCGGCCGGAAGGCACAGCCAGCTGCGTTCGTGCACTGCAGGAGAATGGCCTGCTTTACAATCAAACTCAGAAGGTTTTCTACAGCGGCCCCATGTTTCGTTACGAGAAGCCGCAGAAAGGGCGTTACCGTCAGTTTTATCAGATTGGTGCAGAGGCGTTTGGTTTTGCCGGACCCGATATAGATGCGGAACTCATCAGTCTGGGTGCCAGCTTCTGGCGTCAGCTGGGGTTGGATAAACACGTGCGGCTTGAAATTAACACGCTGGGTTCCGGCGCGGCGAGGCAGGCGTATAAAAAAGCGCTGGTTGATTACTTAACCCCCAAAGCGGCGCAATTGGATGAAGACAGTCAGCGTCGTCTGCTGACTAACCCGATGCGCATCCTGGACAGTAAGAATGAGCAGACCCAGGCGATATTGGCGCAGGCACCTGATCTGTCTATGTTTGTGGATAGCGCCAGTCAGGCCCACTTCGATGAGCTGCTGGAACTTTTGACGGCGCTGGATATCAACTATGTACGTAAACCCAATCTGGTTCGAGGCCTGGACTACTACACCGATACAGTTTTTGAATGGGTAACCGATGATCTGGGTGCGCAGGGAACAATCTGCGCGGGTGGACGTTACAATACGCTGGTCGAACAACTCGGCGGTCGACCGACGCCGGCAGCCGGGTTTGCCATGGGTTTGGATCGCGTGCTGTTGTTGCACGAGGTGATCAACCAGAGTGCGATGAATCCTGCAGTAGACGTCTATGTTTGTTACTCTGCGCCGCAATTTGCAGCCCATGCCCAGAAGCTGGGCCAATGGCTGCGTGAGCAAGTGCCGGGCAGTGATCATCAGGGGTTGAAAGTCCGGGTCAATATGGGCGGCGGAAACTTCAAAAAACAGCTCAAGCGTGCTGATGCGGCGAACGCAACCTGGGCGATATTGATGGGACCTGATGAAGTAGCCGCAGATCAATTGACGCTGAAAAATTTAACAGACGGGCAACAGATCACGTTACCGAAAGATGCTGTAGTGAGTCACCTGGTCGGGACCAGCTCGAGCCAGGACATTAATGAAGATTAGAAGAACAAGGGGTTATTGGTGTCGGAATACCTAGAAGAAGAAGAACAAATTGCCAAGCTGCGCTCCTGGTGGAGTGAGTATGGTGTCACCGTCATAGTTGCAGTGGTTTTGTCTGTGCTAGCCATCGTCGGCTGGCGCTGGTACGACAGTCACAAGCAGACCCAGGCTTATGAAGGCGCCAAGGCCTATGCCACTTATCAGGCTGCACAAGGAAGCGATAAAGAAGCTGCCGGCAACGCTATCCTGGAAAACTTTGCGGGCAGCGCGTATCACGTATTTGTTCTGTTGGACCGTGCGCAAAGCGCTGTTGCAGAGGGTGATCTGATGGCGGCCGAGGCGCTTCTGACAACGGCAGTGGACGAAGCTGACTCAGTGCTGCTGCGAGATCTCGCAAAAATCAGATTGGCCAAAGCGCAGCGTGGTCTTGATAGAACAGACGAAGCCCTGGCCACCTTGGATGCCATTGGAAACTCGGGTTACAGTTCGTGGGCGTTGGAAGCAAAAGGCGACATTTTTGTCTCTCGCGGTGAACTTGAAAAAGCTTATCTGGCCTACAGCGCGGCGTTAGATGCGCTGGCACCCGGTGAGCAGCGCCCGATTCTTGCTATGAAGCATAAAAATGTTACGCCGTTTGAGGGTGAATATGTTGAATTCACCGATACGCTCGAAGCTGCGCTGCAGGATGCTCAAACCACACTGGCCGCTCCAGCTGCAGAAGTGGAGGAACAGGCAGAAACTGCTGAATCAGCAGCGTCGTCAGCGGCGGATGAGAATGACTAAAATGTTTTATCGCTGGACTTTGTTATTCGCAGCAACCTTGTTGTTGAGCGGTTGTTCCTGGTTCAGCTGGTTGCCCTGGGTAGACGACAAAGAAGTAGATCCGGCTGAACCTGCAAAGCTGGTCAAGTTTGATGCAGAAATTAAACTGGATCGACTCTGGAAAAAATCGGTAGGCGATGGCCTGGGTAAAAAGTATCTCAAGTTACCTCCCGCGATAGTGGCGGATCGAATTATTGCTGCGGATGGCTACGGCCACGTGCAGGCTAATGATCGCTTCACCGGTAAACGCCTATGGGAAACGGAAGTGGGTGACGTAGGTGGCGGTATGTTTTCCGCTTTGAATTTCATTGACCGGCGCGATCCCAGCTTCGTCTCTGGTGGGGTGGGGTCTGGTGACGGAAAAGTCTTCCTGGGTACAACGGCAGGTTTTGTCATTGCTCTGGATGTAGCAGACGGCAGTGAGCTATGGCGTGCTGATCTGGCCAGCGAGGTGATTGCGCCGGCCGTAGCAGATGACGGCCTGGTGTTCGCTCAAACCATTGATGGGCGTCTGGTTGCCATGGACGGCGATACCGGTGAAATCCAATGGACCTTTGATAATCAACTGCCCATTCTGACCTTACGTGGCACCAGTACGCCGGTGATTGCTGAAGATATTGTTTATGCGGGTTTTGCTAATGGGAAAATTATTGCTCTGCGGGTAGAAAACGGCGAACCCATCTGGGAGCATCGTGTCATGCTACCCGAGGGCCGTTCCGAACTTGAACGTATGGTTGATGTGGATACCACACCCCTGATCAATGGACCTGCGGTTTATGTTGGTGCGTTTCAGGGTCGCGTGAAAGCTCTGTCGCGTCGTGATGGACGAGCCCTGTGGGAACTGGAAGTCTCAACATTCCATAACCTCAGCGAAGGTTATGGACAGATCTATGTTGTGGACGATGAGGATATTGTATCTGCCTATGATCAGCAGACGGGTGAACAGGTCTGGATTAACGAAGATTTCAAGCTGCGTGGCTTGAGTGCGCCACTGGCATTTTCGAACTATGTTGTGTTTGGAGACAGTGACGGTTATCTGCATGTCATTGCGCAACGCGACGGGCGCCATCTCGGGCGGCGTAAACTAGATGGTGACGGCATCCGCAGCGAATTAGTACTGGGCGAAAGCACACTCTACGTGCTGGGTAATTCCGGCAGCCTGCATGCCCTAGACATCGAGTTGAAGTAAGCCATGATTCCCACCATCGCACTGGTGGGCCGCCCGAATGTTGGCAAGTCCACATTATTCAACAAGCTCACCAAAAGCCGGGATGCACTGGTTGCTGATGTTCCGGGCTTAACTCGAGACCGACGTTACGGCCGTTGTGAGATTGACGGTCAGACGATTACTCTGATCGATACCGGTGGTCTGTTCGGTGATGATGTTCTCTCTGAATCTCTTACCCAACAGACTCAACTTGCCGTTGCTGAAGCGGATCTTGTTGTGCTTCTCCTGGATGGACGTGATGGAATCACGTCGGCGGATCAGGACGTCGTTGCTTATCTGCGCCGTGAATCTGTCAATTTCATTCCCGTGGTTAATAAAATTGATGGTATCGGCGAAGACCAGGCGCTCGTGGAAGTGGCACAATTCGGCTTTGGTGACCCGCTGCTGATTTCAGCCAGTCACAGCCGTGGTTTACGGACACTGACGGAAACCCTGCTTGCTACGCTCACAGACATCGGCGCATTTGATCGTGAAGCAGAATCGGTTACTAACAAGGGGATACACGTAGCTGTTGTCGGACGTCCCAACGTTGGCAAATCCACGCTGATCAATCGCATGTTAGGGGAGGAGCGTCAGGTTGTATTTGATATGCCTGGTACAACTAAAGATGCTATTGATATCCCTTTCAAACGCAACGACACAGATTATGTGTTGATCGATACGGCTGGTGTGCGTCGTAAAGGCAGGGTTGACGAAATCACCGAGAAGTTTTCCGTGGTCAAAGCCCTGCAGGCCATGGAGCGTGCGCAGGTTGTTATCCTGGTTGTTGATGCAACAGAAGGTGTTGTCGAGCAGGATCTGCATGTTCTGCAATATGCACTGGAAGCTGGTGCTGCCCTGCTGGTTGCGGTGAATAAGTGGGACGGTCTGGATGAAGATCAGCGCGATCGCGTTAAGTATTCTGTAGACCGTCGTCTGGCATTTGTGCCCTGGGTGCCGCTGCAGCGCATTTCTGCTCTGCATGGTACCGGTGTGGGTCTGCTGTTTAAGATGATTGATACAGTTTATGCCGCTGGTGAGTTCGATGTGTCGACGTCTTTGTTGACCCGTCTGGTACGTAACATGGTGGCAGCGCATCCGGCACCTTCGGTCCGTGGCCGCCAGATAAAGATTAAAGTAGCGACTCGTGGGCGCAATCATCCGCCGACGGTTGTGATTCATGGCAATCAGTTGGATTCCTTACCCACAAGTTATAAACGCTTCCTGGAAAATGGCTTCCGTGAAGCGCTAAATCTTGTTGGCAATCCGATTCGTCTGCAGTTGCGCGAATCAGATAATCCTTATGCCGGTAAAAAGAATGTTCTCACCCCGCGGCAGAAAGAGCGCCGCGAGCGCATCATCAAGCATCGCAAAAAACGCTAAGGCAGTTCCCGCAAGCGATTGATGGTGGCGAGAAAAGTCTCAGGGTCTACGCGATATCCATTCAGACTCACAGACCAGTGCAGGTGCGGCCCGGTGACGCGTCCGGTTGCCCCAACCAGACCAATCACCTCACCCTGGGTAACCTGATCACCTTCTTCGACCAGAAGTTCTGATAAGTGGCAGTACATGGTGATTAACCCCTGTCCGTGGTCCAGGAATAAGGTTTTGCCGTTGAAGTAAAGGTCATCAGCCAGCGTGACCGTGGCGCTGGCTGCAGCGCTGACCGGTGTGCCGGTATCAGCTGCGATATCCAGGCCGCTATGCGGACTGCGTGGTTGGTCGTTAAAAAATCGACGATGTCCAAACAAACTCGTGGTAATGCCTTCCAGCGGTAGTTGAAAACCATCACTTAAATCCGCGCTTTGCGCAAACGTATTGTATAAAGCTTTCTGTCGAACGGACTCCGCGCGTATACGCGACAGGGTTTCCGGTGGTGGTGTGACCATGGCCTTGTTTTCAATCGTCAGCCTTTGTTCGGTGTAGGTTTTGTCTTCGATGACAAACGAATGCCGCTGGGGTTGCCCATCTGCCACGTAGCGAAGCGTTGCTGTCCCTGGCTTCGCGCTTATAGGCAAGCCAACCAGTACCTGTTGTCCGTAACGCATCACCGTGCTGCCCTGGAAAGTGATGTCTGTAGCGTTTGCCGGTGGCGTCCAGACATAAACCCCACCGGGCACGCTGGTGGTTGCAGGGCTGGGTTGCGCAATTGTGTCATCGGCGTGAGCCGCAATGATATAGAGGCCAGATAATAAAATTGCTCCAACCAGTTTGATCACTTGTTTCTCCTGTCAGTAAGGGTTACGCCGGGCTGACGGCTTTCAACTCTGGCCACGAAGGCCCCATCCTGTAGATAGGTTGTAGTGATGTCACCCTCATCAAGCTGTTCGATCGAGGCAACAACGTTACCCGAATTGTTTTCGACCAGCGCAAAGCCGCGGTTGATGGTAGGCAACGGGCTGACACCGTGCAACATACGACTGATGCCAGCTATGCGGTTTGTCCGGGTAGCGAGTTGTTGGCGCATCGTGTAAGCCAGGCGGGTCTGGAGCGAGGCGAGATTACGCTTTGCACTGAGTAACTGTTCGGTGGGCCCCAGGGCCTGCAGCTGTTTTTGCTGACTGGTGACCTGCAGGCGTAAAAAATTAAGCTTGCGTTCAAAAGCGGCCTCCAGCCGCAGACTGGCGTCGTCGATGCGCTGGCCGAATCGGGTGATGATCTGCTCAGGATTCGGCAGGCGTCGCTGTAGATGTTTTATCTGCTGCTGATGGCTGTGCAGATCGCGTTGCCATACCCTGGTCAGGTTGCGCAGTTGCTGCTGCAGTGTCAGCTGCATGGCGGCTGCGTCAGGGGCAATTAATTCGGCAGCTGCTGACGGGGTAGGTGCCCGTACGTCTGCAACAAAATCACAGATACTCACGTCGATTTCATGCCCGACAGCTGAGACGGTCGGGAACGGACAGGCTGCACAGGCCCGGGCAACAGACTCCAGGTTAAATGACCATAAATCTTCCAGGCTGCCGCCACCGCGGGTAAGCAACACTATATCGGGTGCCAGCATCGGCAGCTTTTCAAACGCCGCCAGTAGTTCAGCTTCTGCTGCGGGTCCCTGCACCGAGCTGGGAATGAGCGTCACACGCAGACCTGGAAAACGTCTCTGCCACACCGCAATAACATCCCGTATGGCGGCGCCTGTAGGTGAAGTGATGACAGCGACATGTTGCGGAATGGCAGGTAACGGTTGCTTGAGCTGGGCATCGAACAGCCCCTCTGCCGCCAGCTTTAATTTCAGCTGATCAAATGCCTGTCGCAGGGCGCCTTCACCGGCGGCTTCCAGGGAATCAACAATCACCTGAAAGTCGCCCCGGCCTTCATACAGGCTGACCCGGCCCCGGGCGATGACCAATTGTCCATCGCCAGGCTGCAGGGCCACCGATCTGTTGCGATTGGCAAACATCGCACACCGGACCTGAGCATTCTCATCCTTCAGAGAAAAATACCAGTGGCCGGAGCGGGGTCGCGCAAAGTTAGACATTTCGCCCATCACCCAGACCTGATCAAAACGCTGCTCCAGGGTCAGGCGCGCCTGGCGATTCAGTTGGGTAACGGTCAGGACCGGGTTGTCTTGGGCGGTTGGCATGGGGGAAATAATACGGTGCTACAGTTCAGCGCCATTATGCCGCATAAATTTGCCCTGCAAAGCAGGGTTAATTTTACTTCCGGCAATCAGGTCGATAGAATGCCGCTTTTGCGGAGTCCTAAATGCTGCGTATCGCAAACGACGCACTCACTTTCGACGACGTCCTGCTCCTGCCTGCCTACTCTCAAGTTCTACCCTCAGAGGTTTCTCTGCAGACGCGTTTGACGCGCGATATCACTTTGAATATTCCTTTGCTGTCCTCAGCAATGGATACGGTGACTGAAGCGCGTCTTGCCATTGCTATCGCCCAGGAGGGCGGTATCGGTATCGTGCATAAGAATTTGACGGTGGAAGCTCAGGCGCGTGAAGTACGGGCGGTCAAGAAATTTGAGTCGGGGATCATACGTGACCCCATCACCATCGATCCGGATGCCACCATCCAGACGCTGTATCAAACAACGCTGGAAAACGGAATTTCCGGGGTGCCGGTGGTTAGAGGCAATCAGTTGCTGGGAATTGTAACCAGCCGTGATTTACGCTTTGAGAATCGTCAGAACGCTCACGTCGTAGATGTGATGACACCCAAAGAGCGTCTGATTACCGCGCTGGAAGGCACCAGTTTTGCTGAAATCACCAAACTGCTGCACGATCACCGTATCGAAAAAGTGCTGTTGGTTAATGAAGCCTTTGAGTTAACCGGCATGGTCACGGTAAAAGACATCGCCAAAGCCCAGGCCTATCCCATGGCCTGTAAAGATAGTCTTGGCGCCTTGCGCGTCGGCGCCAGTGTGGGCACCAGCGGAGAAACTGATGAACGTGTTGCGGCGCTGGTCGAGGCGGGTGTGGATATTGTTGTTGTCGATACGGCCCACGGTCACTCTAAAGGCGTGCTGGATCGAATCGCCTGGATCAAACAGACTTATCCTGATTTACAGGTGATCGGCGGCAACGTGGCGACCTATGACGGTGCCAAAGCGTTGATCGATGCTGGAGTTGATGCGGTTAAAGTGGGCATTGGTCCGGGATCCATCTGTACCACCAGAATAGTCTCAGGTATTGGCGTACCACAAATTACTGCAGTGGCAGAAGCGGCCCGTGCTGCTGATGTGGAAGGCGTGCCGATAATTGCTGACGGTGGTATTCGCTATTCCGGCGACATAGCCAAGGCCCTGGTTGCCGGCGCCAGTGGTGTGATGGTCGGTAGTCTGCTGGCAGGCACGGATGAAGCGCCGGGTGAAGTGGAGCTGTATCAGGGTCGTACCTACAAATCTTATCGTGGCATGGGCTCTCTGGGCGCAATGTCACAAAGCAATGGGTCCAGTGATCGCTACTTCCAGGAAGTCGAGGGTGATGGCCGCAAGCTGGTGCCGGAAGGTGTTGAAGGACGCGTGGCTTACCGCGGTCCGGTAGGACCTATCGTGCATCAGTTGATGGGCGGTGTTCGTGCTGCCATGGGTTACACCGGCAGTAAAGACATAGAGACCATGCGGACGACGCCGGAATTTGTGCGCATCAGCGGTGCCAGCATGGCTGAATCTCATGTGCACGATGTTGCGATCACCAAAGAAGCGCCCAACTACCCGAGAAGTTAACAAGACGTGCACAACATTCATGATCAGCGCCTGCTGATAGTCGATTTTGGTTCGCAATACACACAACTGATTGCCCGGCGGATCCGCGAGTGCGGCGTGTATTGTGAAATTTACAGTTACGACGTGGACGAAGCGTTTCTGCAGGAGTTCGCGCCCCAAGGCGTCATTCTGTCTGGTGGCCCGGAAACCGTCACCGTTGGCGAAACACCACGGCTGGCCGAAGCTATCCTTGACCTGGGAGTACCTGTGCTGGGGATCTGTTATGGCATGCAGACTCTGGCGGAACAGCTTGGCGGACGTGTGCAGGCTTCAGCCAAGCGCGAGTTTGGCCATGCCAAGATTACCGCTGAACGGCCAAGCGCTCTGGTGGGCGCGTTAGGCGCGACACAGATGAGTGGCGCGGATGTGTGGATGAGTCACGGTGATAAAGTCATTGAGGTACCGCCGGGCTTTGTTGTGACCGCAAGCACATCCAGTGCCCCCATTGCAGCCATGGAAGACAGCGAACGGCATATTTACGGTGTGCAGTTCCACCCCGAGGTAACCCACACCGCTAACGGTAATGCTCTGCTGTCCGTTTTTGCGCTGGAGATCTGTGGTTGTAAAGGCGACTGGACTGCGGAGAACATCATTGAAGATGCCATAGCTCAGGTGCGCCAGCAGGTCGGTGATGATGAAGTTGTCCTTGGCCTTTCCGGTGGCGTAGATTCCAGTGTAGTTGCTGCCTTGCTGGCGCGCGCCATCGGCGATCAATTAACCTGCGTGTTTGTTGATAATGGTTTGTTGCGCCTGGATGAGCGTGATGAAGTGGAAAAGGCATTTGGTAAAGAGAGTGGTATAGGTAATGCACTGCCGCTGAAAATCAAAACCGTTGATGCAACCCAGGAATTTTACGCCAAGCTTGCTGGTCTGGAAGATCCCGAAGACAAACGCAAAGCTATTGGTAACACCTTTATCGATGTTTTTGAGCGCGAAGCCAAAGCGCTGCCCGCTGTGAAGTGGCTCGCACAGGGGACAATCTATCCGGATGTGATCGAGTCAGCAGCTTCAAAACATGGCAACGCACACGTAATTAAATCTCACCACAATGTCGGTGGGTTACCCGAGCGTATGGCGTTAGGTCTGGTTGAACCATTACGTGAACTGTTTAAAGACGAAGTCAGACAAATCGGACTGGTGCTCGGATTACCGAAATCTCTGGTCTTCCGGCATCCGTTCCCGGGGCCAGGCTTGGGCGTTCGGATTCTGGGTGAGGTGAAGCCGCAGTACGCTGATGTGCTGCGACGGGCGGATGCTATTTTTATTGAAGAATTGCGTGAGGCCAGTTTGTATGACGCTGTTTCCCAGGCCTTTGCTGTCTACCTGCCGGTTAAGTCTGTCGGCGTAGTCGGCGATGCACGACGCTATGAGCATGTGATTGCGCTGCGGGCCGTTGAAACCATAGATTTTATGACAGCGCGCAGCGCACGCTTGCCTTACGACTTTATCGAACGTGTTGCCAATCGGATCATTAACGAAATCGCCGAGATTTCTCGTGTGGTTTACGATGTGTCAAGCAAGCCACCCGCAACCATAGAGTGGGAGTGACATGTTCTGTATACCGGTTCAGATACCCCCTGAATTGTGTGATATCGACGATGAATGTAAGGCCATCTATCACAGTGCAGACAGCGTCTGTATCTGGGTCTTCTCAAGTCGACAGGCGCGCAACTGCTTTGTAGATGAAACCCAGGGTATGTCAAAAGCGGAGCGTGAGGCTGCGTTTGCTCACTTCAGTGATGAGTCTTCTGTATAAATGAGCGGCCTGGCGCCTGATCTTGCGCGTGATGAGTATTGGATGCAGCAGGCCCTGCAGCAGGCACAACTCGCTCAGGAACAGCAGGAAGTGCCTGTTGGTGCCGTGGTTGTGGTGGACGATGAACTGGTCAGTAGTGGCTACAACCAGACGATTTTGTCCTGTGATCCCAGCGCCCACGCAGAGGTTGTTGCTTTGCGCGCTGCTGCCAGAGCTCTGCATAATCACCGGCTGCCTCAGGTGACCCTTTACGTGACGTTAGAGCCCTGCATGATGTGCGCGGGCGCACTGGTTCAGGCGCGCGTGCAACGTCTTGTTTATGGTGCAAAAGAACCCAAGGCTGGCGCAGTCCATAGTCATCCGCTTTTACTCAACGATTGGTTGAACCACCAGCTTTTGGTAACTGGCGGGGTATTGGCACAACCCTGTGGACAGGTGTTGTCAGATTTTTTTGCCGCCAGAAGAACGCAAGCCGCTCGGGCGCCTTCGGGTTAGGCGCCCCGCAATAAGGAGTATTCGGACAGTGATAGACAGGGGTCAATCGAAAGGCGGGGAAATTCTGGCTCTCGCTGGTGCACCTGCACTGAGCACGTTTGCGCTGTCGAAGCTGCAGCGTTTTGAGCCTCGCGTGTGTTACGCCGAGTTTGTGCATGTCCTTCTGCTCGAAGCTGCGTTGGATGATAGCGAACAGCACCAGGTTGACCAGCTGCTGCGCTATGGGCCGCAACAGGGATTGCCTGAACCAGCTGGTTTGCGCGCGCTTACCGTCGTGCCGCGAACTGGAACAATTTCTCCCTGGTCCAGCAAAGCGACAGATATCTTTGCGCTCTGTGGTTTAAGTAATGTTATTCGGGTTGAACGCGGTGTGCGCTGGTTTGTGAAATCCGCCGAGGAAGCAGTTGAGCTTGAGCTTGCGCACTTGCACGATCGCATGACCCAGACAGTGCTGTATGAAGAAAACTTCCAGGCGGTGTTTCAGCATCAGCCGCCTGCGCCCGTGGAATACATTAATCTGTTGGCTGAGGGGCGTGAGGCTTTAGTCATGGCCAATCAGACGTTGGGTCTGGCGTTATCAGATGATGAAATCGATTATCTGGACCAGGCTTACAGCGCCGCAGAGCGCAATCCCACCGATGCGGAATTGATGATGTTTGCACAGGCGAACAGTGAACACTGTCGGCATAAAATATTTAACGCGCAATGGCATGTGGATGGCGAGCTTCAGCCCAAGTCGTTATTTGCCATGATCAAAAATACCTATCAGAAGACCAATGGGCGCGGGGTTCTGAGCGCTTATTCCGACAACGCAGCGGTGATACAGGGTAGTGAAGAAGCGCGATTTTCGCCTTCGCCTGTTGACCATATCTATCAGTTCGAACAAGCACCCGTGCATGTCCTGATGAAAGTAGAAACCCACAATCATCCGACGGCCATTGCGCCGTTTGCAGGCGCCGCAACCGGTTCGGGCGGTGAGATCAGAGATGAAGGTGCCGTAGGTCGAGGCTCAAAACCCAAGGCGGGTTTGAGTGGCTTCACAACTTCGCACCTGAAGATTCCGGGGCTTGCGCAACCCTGGGAATTGGAGACGTCTAAACCAGTCCAGATTGCTGATCCACTGCACATTATGCTCGACGGGCCCATCGGCGCTGCAAGTTTTAACAATGAGTTCGGGCGCCCGGCAATCAACGGCTATTTCCGCACCTTTGAGATGCAGTTAGGTCAGGATGTGCGCGGCTATCACAAGCCGGTCATGATTGCCGGAGGTGTGGGCAGCGTCCGCGAGGAGCATGTGCATGCGCAGGATTTTCCTGTGGGTACGGCTCTGATTGTGCTGGGCGGACCGGCCATGCTGATTGGCCTGGGTGGCAGTGCCGCGTCCAGCGTTGCCTCGGGAAGCAGCGCACAAGACCTGGATTTTGCTTCTGTGCAACGGGGCAATCCTGAAATGGAAAGACGTTGTCAGGAAGTGATTGATGCCTGTTGTGGGTTGGGGGATGACAATCCAATACGGCTGATCCATGACGTGGGTGCCGGCGGCTTGTCCAACGCATTGCCGGAGCTGATTCACGATGCTCACGCTGGTGGGCACTTTCAACTGCGGGCGATAAACAGCGCTGATTCGGGCATGTCTCCACTAGAGCTCTGGTGTAATGAGGCTCAGGAAAGGTATGTGCTTGGGATTGATGCTGCCGCCCTTGCTCACTTTGAAGCGCTCTGTAAAAGAGAGCGTTGCCCCTATGCAGTGGTCGGGCATTCAACAGATGATGGTCAGCTCGAAGTCTTTGATCAGCAGTTTGACAATTATCCCATCAAGCTGCCGTTAGAAACTCTGTTAGGCAAACCGCCAAAAATGTCACGCGAGTTTGTCAGAGAAAAGATTATTCAGCCTCAGCTCGACCTTTCTGCGGTTGAAGTCACTGAGGCCTTGAGTCGGGTATTGCAGTTTCCGGCCGTTGCCAGCAAACAGTTCCTTATCACGATTGGCGACCGTTCTATCACCGGTCTGGTTGCCTGTCAGCAGATGGTAGGGCCCTGGCAGGTGCCGGTGGCTGATGCAGCCGTCACCATGCGTGGATATACCAGCCTGCGGGGTGAAGCCTTTGCCATGGGTGAGCGCAGTCCGCTTGCGTTGATTGATCCGGCAGCCGCGGCCCGTATGGCCGTTGCGGAGTCGCTTACCAATATTGTAAGTGCCGACCTGGAAGAGGTGGAGCGTGTGGTGTTGTCAGCAAACTGGATGGCGGCGACCGGTTCTAATCTGGAAGAGCAGAGTTTGTTTGATTCTGTGGTCGCAGTTGGAGAACAGTTCTGCCCGAGCCTGGGAATAGCCATACCGGTGGGCAAAGACTCGTTATCGATGCAGACGCGCTGGCAGGATAACGGTGAGGCGAAGGCAGTGGTGTCGCCGGTAACGTTAATTGTGTCTGCGTTTGCACCGGTGGCGGACGTTACAAAAACGTCGCTGCCTGTGCTGCAGCCGGAGCTTGATCATGAGTTGCTGCTCCTGCATTTAGGGGGTGAGGCATTGGGCGGTAGCGTGCTCGCGCAAGTCTACAAGCAGCTGGGTGACAATGCGCCCGACGTTGATGATGCTGACATGTTCCGGAAAATGCTGGACTTTGTGCTGCAGTCCCGTCGAGCAGGACAGATCATTGCTCAGCACGATAGATCTGATGGCGGGTTGATTGTCACGTTGCTCGAAATGGCATTTGCAGGGCGTTGCGGTTTGCAGATCACTCTGCCGGAAGAGACCGATACGTTGGCGGCCTTGTTCAATGAAGAGGTAGGCATAGTTGTGCAGGTTGCCCGTTCGAACGTCGACGACTTTGTTGTCGCTGCACCTTGTCATGTTTTGCGGCTGGGCTGCGCCACGCGCGCAGAACAGATCATAGTTTCGCAAGGTGCGCAGCGCATTATTGCCAGTTCCCGCGCAGAGCTGGAGCAAGTCTGGACAAAAACCAGCCATGCGATGGCGCGTCTACGCGATAACGAAGCCTGTGCTGACGAAGAATATGAGGGGCTGCAGGACTCTGCTGAGAAAACCCCCGGGCTGCACGCGCAAACTACGTTTGTGGTGGATGAAGACATCTGCGCGCCTTTTATATCCGCAGCAAAACCTAAGATCGCTATTCTTCGGGAGCAGGGGGTAAATGGCCAGATCGAAATGGCAGCAGCGTTTACCGCAGCGGGCTTTGAGTGTGTGGATGTACATATGAGCGATCTCATAGAAGGGCGCCAACACCTGAATAACTTTACCTCTGTGGTTGCCTGTGGCGGCTTTTCTTACGGCGATGTGCTGGGTGGTGGCGGTGGTTGGGCAAAAAGTATTCTGTTCAATGAGCCCGTTCGTCGCCAGTTTGAAGATTTTTTCAAAGCAGATCGTCTGGTGCTGGGTGTCTGCAATGGGTGCCAGATGCTCAGTGGTTTACACGAACTGATTCCCGGTGCGCAGCACTGGCCGCGGTTTGTAGCAAACCGGTCCGAGCAGTTTGAAGCGCGCATGGTCATGACCCGTATAGAGAACAACAGCTCTCCCTGGCTGTCTTCGATGGCTGGCAGTATTTTCCCTGTGGCTGTAGCGCACGGGGAAGGGCGTGCAGAGTTTCGCCAGCAGAGCGATCTTTCGGTTTTACAGCAGGCGAATCAGATCGCCATGAGCTACGTGGATGGCACCGGTGAAACAACTATGGTGTATCCGCACAACCCGAATGGTGCGCCTGGAGGGCTGGCTGGAGTTACTGCCAATAACGGCAAGGTCCTGATTGCCATGCCTCATCCGGAACGTGTTTATCTCAGCCGGCAGAATGTCTGGCAGGATAAGCGCTGGGGCGAATATGGCCCGTGGATGCGCTTGTTTCGCAATGCCAGGGTGTCGTTGGGTTGATGACCCGAACCGGTAAGTGGACTAGCGTCGTTTGAATTCCATCGCTTCTGAGCGAATTTGAAATTGTCCGCTCTTCCGATCTTCAAAGTAGTACTGCAGAGACTTGGTGATGACGGGAAAGGCCAGATTGTCCCAGGGAATTTCATGCTCTTTGAACAGGCGCACATCAAGGCTTTCTTCACCGCTGCTGAAATCCAGGTCGCTCAACTGCGCCCGATAGAACATATAGGCCTGGGATATGTGAGGCAGGCTGAAAACCGTATAAAGCTCTAAGTCGGCGACGCGGGCATTGGCTTCCTCTTCGGTTTCGCGGGCTGCACCGGCGGCAATGGTTTCCCCGTTTTCTAAAAATCCTGCAGGCAGGGTCCAGTAACCTTTGCGCGGGTCAATTGCCCGCAGGCACAGCAGAACCCGGTCGTCCCAGACCGGTAAACAACCCGTGATGATGCGCGGATTAACATAGTGAATGGTGTCGCAGTCGTTACAGACATGCCGTTCGCGGTTGTCGCCAGGCGGGATGGTGAAGGTCAGCGTAGCGCCGCAATTGCTGCAGAATTTCATAGCACCGCAGTATAACCAGCTGCTGCTGATTAGTCTTTGTCCTCGTCCTCGCCATGAAACTCATCATCTTCGTCGTCAAAGTTGATATAACTGCGTGGAGGTTTCGGAAAGGCCAGTACTTTGGCTTTCGGTGTCTGTTCGGATGCCTGCTCAGCGACCAGGGGTGTCACCATGGAGCGGTGCAGGTCAGCCAGTGAATGGCACATCATTTCTGAAATTCTGATGGTTGCAGCCAGTGGTGAACGCGCACGCTCACGCTCCAGGTCAACCCGAAACTGTAATCCTTCAAGACGTTTGCGTTTTTGTTCCGTGGTGGCACCCGCAATCACATGTTCAGTGAGTATGCGGCGCAGTTTCTCCAGACGCTGCGGGTCGTTACGTGCCATGTCTACCAGTACATCAAACGCTGGTAGTTTCTGTTTCATTGTGTCTCTTTCATTGAACCCCTAACGCTTGGGACTATGCATCAGCCTGTCCAGATAACCTAACGTCGAGCTGTAAGGGAATTGTGAGGGTAGTTGTGCATCGGATGGGTTGTTTTGTGGGGTCGGGTGCTTACCATGGGCGCTGTTTTTAATTATCTGTTTTGCGGGGGAATGCTGTGTTGTATCAATTGGGTGACGTTAAAGTGCGTGCCGAAGGAGATTACTGGGTCGCAGACAACGCGATTGTGGTGGGCAATGTGCTGCTCAAGCAGGATGCCAATATCTGGTTTAACGTGGTGCTGCGGGGGGATAACGACCTGATCACCGTGGGTGAGGGCTCCAACGTTCAGGATGGCTCAGTGTTACATACCGATACCGGTTACCCGCTTGAGATTGGACCACACGTCACCATCGGGCACAAAGTCATGCTGCATGGCTGCACCATAGGTGAAGGATCGTTGATTGGGATCAATTCCGTGATTCTCAACGGCGTTAAGATAGGTAAAAACTGCATTATCGGCGCTAACGCGTTGTTAACTGAAGGAAAAGTGATTCCGGATAACTCGATGGTGCTGGGTTCCCCAGGCAAAGTTGTGAAAACGCTGTCACCGGAACAAGGCCAGGCCATACGCCTGGGGGCTGCACACTATGTCGAAAATGCGCGACGCTTTCGCGCTGAGATGGCGGCGCAAGGAGCGGCGCAAATAGCGGCGCAAGAAGTGGAGCGCTCCTGATCATGGGCGTCATTATCGGCACCCCGGGGTCCGCCACCGCCACCCGCGTCATGTTGCTCGGCAGCGGCGAGCTGGGCAAAGAAGTTGCCATCGAGTTACAGCGCCTGGGCGTGGAGGTGATTGCGGTGGACCGTTACCCCCATGCACCAGCTATGCAGGTTGCTCATCGGAGCCATGTCATCAATATGCTTGACGGCGCTGCGCTGGCAGCGGTGATCGCCCAGGAGCAACCCCACCTTGTGGTGCCTGAAATAGAAGCCATTGCCACCGCTACGCTAGTTGATCTGGAGCGTAACGGTTTGCGTGTCATTCCCACCGCGCGTGCAGCGCAGCTGACCATGGACCGGGAAGGCATCCGGCTGCTCGCGTCGGAAACGCTGGACATCACGACATCGCCTTTTGTGTTTGCCGCAGATGAGCAGGAATACGCGCGGGCGCTAGAGCAGGTAGGATTTCCCTGTGTGGTGAAGCCTGTCATGTCCAGTTCCGGTAAAGGTCAATCGCTTGTCGCGGATGCCGGGCAGGCGCAGGTGGCGTGGGAGTATGCTCAGCAGGGTGCGCGGGGAGGTGGCGGCAAGGTCATCGTCGAGGGTTTTGTCGATTTCGATTACGAGATTACGTTGCTGACTGTGCAGCATGTCGGTGGCGTTTCATTTTGTGCGCCAATCGGCCACCGCCAGGCAGGCGGGGATTATCAGGAATCCTGGCAGCCCCAGGCTATGTCATCTGTTGCGCTTACGGAATGTGAACGTATTGCCGGGCTGGTGACCGGGGAACTGGGTGGTTACGGTCTGTTTGGTGTTGAGTTTTTCATTAAAGATGATGAGGTGTATTTCAGTGAGGTCAGTCCGCGACCCCATGACACCGGCATGGTCACCATGATCAGCCAGGATCTATCTGAGTTTGCTTTACATGCTCGCGCCATCTTAGGGCTGCCGATACCAAATATTGCATGCCGTGGCCCCGCGGCCTCAGCCGTTGTACTGGTGGAGGGGGATTCTGATCAGGTGTCTTTTTCCGGACTGGAAGCGGCGCTGGCTGAACCGGATACGCAATTGCGCCTGTTCGGCAAGCCTGAGGTGCGCGGAGAGCGGCGCATGGGTGTTGCGCTGGCGTTAGGTGAAACCATCGAGCAGGCCCGCTCGAAAGCCGGTGCAGCCGCTGCAGCGGTGAAGCCAAGTGTGTGACCGTTCAGTAAGGACTAGCGCTTGGCAAACAATTCGGCACAGACTATAGTTGCGCGGTGAACATCATATCCTTGCCACTTCTGCCTACGTCATTGCTGCCTCTTCTGGCCGTGCAACTGCTGCTGCCGGTGGCACCGGCAACTATTTAATACCCCAGGGTCTAAGCACCCACCCAGAAACCAGAAACACTCAAAACCAGGCTTGTCCGGGTGAGTCTCTGGCGTGAATCAGACAGACGACAATTTGCGCAGCAGCGCAGCAACAAACAAAGGAAATATTGGCATGAGCCAACGTCATATTTCAGGACGCGCCCAAGGCGCGATGCCTTTTCAAAAATACCACGCTTTTAAGCCCATCAATCTGCCAGACCGTCAGTGGCCCAGTAAGGTGCTGACCAAGGCGCCGCGCTGGTGCAGTGTTGATCTACGCGATGGCAATCAGGCGCTGATCGATCCAATGAACGTTGATGAAAAGCTGCAACTCTGGGATCTGTTGCTGGAGATAGGCTTTGCGGAAATAGAGGTCGGTTTTCCTGCAGCATCCCAACCTGACTTTGATTTTATCCGCCGAATTATAGATGAAGACCGGATTCCAGAGGGTGTCAGCATCCAGGTACTCTGTCAGGCCCGTGCTGAGCTGATCGAACGTACCGTGGAAGCCCTGCAGGGAGCGCCCAGCGTGATTTTTCACCTCTACAACTCAACGTCTGAGCTGCAGCGTCGGGTGGTGTTTGATATGGATCGGCAGGGAGTCATCGACCTGGCTGTACAGGGTACGGAAATCGTAAAGCAGGGTCTTAAGGATTTTTCAGCGGACGTAACTTTTGAGTATTCGCCGGAGAGCTTCACCGGTACTGAGCTGGATTTTGCGGTAGACATTTGCACGGCTGTGTCGGACACCTGGGGAGCCACCCCAGAACAGCCGATGATCATCAATCTGCCTTCCACGGTGGAGATGTCGACGCCCAATATTTATGCCGACCAGATTGAATGGTTTGTGCGGAATTTCCCTCGACGAGACTCAGCGGTGATCAGCCTGCACACACACAACGACCGGGGCACGGGTGTAGCGGCCACTGAGCTTGGATTGATGGCAGGTGCAGATCGTGTTGAAGGGACTCTGTTTGGTAACGGCGAACGCACAGGTAACTGCGATCTGGTCACGATGGCCATGAACCTGTTCAGTCAGGGTGTCGATCCGGAGCTCGATTTTCGAGCCATGCCCAGAATTCGTGAAACTGTTGAAGCCGTTAACAAGCTGGCTGTCGCCGAACGTCACCCCTATGCCGGAGATCTGGTTTTCACGGCATTTTCCGGCTCCCATCAGGATGCGATCCGTAAAGGTATGTCCAAGGTAGACCGTGACAGCTGGGAAGTTCCCTATCTACCCATTGATCCAGCTGATGTGGGTGGGTCGTATAAAGAATCCGTCAGGGTCAACAGTCAGTCTGGCAAGGCAGGTATAGGCTTTCTGTTAGAAGAACATTATGGCGTAGCGTTGCCACGTGACATTCTGGTGGAGTTCAGTACTGAAGTGCAGAAGCTCACAGAAGAACTTGATCGTGAAGTGAAGCCCAGTGAGATATTTGATCGCCTGATCGAGACCTACACAAATCAGGACGGTCCTTACAAGCTGATTGACTATGATCTGCTCAGCGGCCGCGAACAGGATCAGCGTTGTGTGGCCAGAATTGAAGTATCTGAAAGCACGGTGACTGTTGATGCGGAAGGTAGCGGCCCCATAGAAGCCTTTGTTAATGCGCTGGTGGAAACTTTAAACGAGCCGTTAACGGTGGTGGCTTATCACGAGCATTCGCTGGGGGAGGGCAGTGATGCTCAGGCCATCTCTATCCTGGCGATTGATGATGAGTCTGATAGCAGTCGTTGTTATGGCATCGGTGTGAGTCGAAACACCATTACGGCTTCGCTTTATGCAATTATCTCAGCCATGAACCGTCGTTGGGCCAAGGCTTGATAGAACGCGTCAGCGATTAGTCTTCCTCGTCATGATCTGCCGGTTTGAGCTTTTCGAGCCGGCGGATTTTCAGATTTTTAATCATGTTGTCGTTGATCTGCAAGGTTTCGATCTGATATTCATCAATCTGTATACACAGATTGGATTCCGGAATTGTTTCCAGGTACTCAAGCACCAGTCCGTTTAGCGTGCGCGGGCCTGTCAATGGCAGTTCCCAGTGCAGAGCGCGATTGATCTCCCTTACAACAGCTGAACCGTCGATGACATAGGCATCATCTTCCTGAGGGGATATCTCCGGCATGTTGGAGGCGTAATCACTGGTGAATTCGCCAACAATTTCCTCCAGGATGTCTTCCAGCGTAACAATACCCTGCACATCCCCGTACTCATCAACCACTAATGCTATGCGTTGTTTTTCTTTCTGGAAATTCAACAGCTGGGTATGCAGGGGGGTTGCTTCGGGCACATAGTATGGTTCACGTGTCAGCTGCATGAGATCGGCTTTGGTGAAGTTGTCCATATTAACCAGTCGTGCCATACGCCGCAGGTGCAGAATGCCCAGCACGTTATTGATGGACTCTTTGTAGATTGGTAGCAGCGTGTGTTGACTGGTTGCTGCAGCATCGAGGATGTCATTTATATCGGCTTCGATGTCGATGCCCACAATTTCGCTACGTGGCACCATGATGTCGTTGACCGTTACAGATTCAAGGTCGAGCAGACGTACCATCATGCTCTGACGTTCCCCAACAGAGACGGCACCTTCGTTTACAACTGTTTTCAACTCTTCGGTTGAGAGGTTCTCATTATCTTCGCCCTGGTGCGGGGAAAACAGGCGCACCAGGGCGTTGCTGAACCAGTTGATGAAGGCCACTACCGGATATAGCAGTTTGAGCAGCGGCTGCAGGATGTAAACAGAGCGAAACGACCAGCCCTCAGGATGTAACGCAGCAAGTGTCTTAGGCGCCACCTCGGCAAAAATCAGGAAGGTGATGGTTAACACCCAGGGTGCCAGCAACACGCCGGTATCACCGTATAAGCGCAACCCGATAACCGTCGCGATGGTGGCGGCAGAGAAGTTAACCAGGTTGTTGCCTACCAGAATAACGCCCAGCAGACGGTCGGGACGACGCAGCAGGCGGTTCGCTTTGCGGGCCCCTTTATGGCGTTGTTTAACCAGGTGTTTGAGACGATAGCGGTTGAGCGCCATCATCGCCGTTTCGGTACCGGAGAAGTAAGCCGACAGGCAGGTCAAAACAACAATGCTGCTCAACAGCACCCATATGGGAAATTCTTCACCGTTCAAAGTCTGAAATTCTCCAACATCCTCACGGCTTATCTGTGTAACAGATACTCCAGCACAAACTTGCTGCCCAGATAACCCAGCAACAGTAAGGTGAACCCGGTCAGGCTCCACTTCACCGAGGTCATACCACGCCAGCCATAAAGGTAATGGCCGCTGAGAAACACAACGTAAACCAGCCACGCCAGTGACGTCAGCACCAGGTGGTGTAAAACCTGGCGGGCAAAGATATCGTCCATGAACAGAAAGCCGCTCAGGATTGAAGCTGAAAGAAGGCCCAGACCAATCCACAACATGACCAGGTGCAGCCTGTCCATCGTTTCTAAGGGGGGTAGAATGGCAAAGCTCGGCTCGCCGGGGTGTTTTAAACGTCTTTCCTGCAGGGCCAGCAGGATCGACTGGCAGGCAGCCATCATGAGCACACTGTATGCCGCCAGCGACAGCAGGATGTGCAGCACCAGGCCCCCAGATAGGGTTTCCAGTGGCTGCCCACCCGGCTCAATCAGATTGGCCGCGAGCAATACAGCGATCGAGATGGGGAACAGAAACAGATACAGGTTCTCCACTGGCAGGCGAACGTTCGCAACAGCCACAACGGCGACAATGATAAACGCCACCAGGGTGCTGACCGGCACCACGCTGAGATCCAGGCCATAATTTGTGTTGAGCAGGGTAAAAGCCGCAACACCGTGACAGGCCAGAGCCCCCAGCGTTATTGCCAGGCTGCCCCTGCTGGGTAGGGTTTGTTGCCGCTGACGCCAACGCAGGTGCAGGCCAAGACAATATAATGCAACGGCGGCTATGGAGACTGTCAGTGTCACGGTGAAGGCCCCGGTAGGGCTGCGAAGGTGTGCGCTTCGAAAATGTCGATACTCAAGCAGTTTGAGCTCATATGATCCTTATGCTGCAGTTTGGCACATCAAACCCTGCTCTTGAAGCATTAAGCGCTTAGTCGAAGGCGCTTGATGTGGCTATAATAGGGGCCCCGCAAACCAACGCTTGAAGATTCATGTTCGAAAATCTCTCCGACAAATTAACTCAAACCCTGCGCGGTATCCAAGGGCGCGCCAAGCTCTCGGAAGAAAATGTCAGTGATGCGCTGCGTGATGTGCGGATGGCGCTTTTAGAAGCTGACGTTGCTCTGCCGGTTGTTAAAACCTTTATCGAGCAGGTCAAAACCAAGGCGCTGGGTACGGTTATTTCCAATGCCCTTAATCCCGGCGAACAATTTGTCAAAATTGTGCACGATGAACTGGTGCACACCATGGGTGACGCCAACGATGCGTTGAACCTGGCAGCAGCACCGCCGGTTATTATTCTGATGGCGGGTCTGCAGGGTGCTGGTAAAACCACCACGGTTGCCAAGCTCGCGCGATATCTGTCCGAGCGGGAAAAGAAAAAAGTTGCTGTGGTCAGCGCCGACGTCTATCGACCTGCGGCGATTGCACAGCTGCAAACCTTAGCCGCCGAGGTGAAGGCACATTTTATTGAATCCACAGCAGATGAAGCGCCGCTGGCAATTGCTGAACGCGCCGTCGCCGAGGCTAAAAAGCAATTTGCTGATGTCCTTATTGTTGATACCGCCGGGCGATTAGCCGTCGACGAAGCCATGATGGGCGAAATCCGCAGTCTGCAGGATACTTTGCAGCCTGTAGAAACTCTGTTTGTGGTGGATGCAATGACCGGCCAGGATGCCGCCAACACAGCTCAGGCGTTTAATCAGGCGCTTACGTTAACTGGTGTCATTCTCGCCAAAGCTGATGGTGACGCTCGGGGTGGTGCCGCACTGTCTGTTCGCGCAATTACCGGTAAACCCATCAAGTTCCTGGGTATGGGTGAAAAAAGTGATGCCCTCGAGCCTTTTTATCCGGATCGCCTGGCCTCTCGAATTCTGGGCATGGGTGATGTGCTGTCGCTCATTGAAGAAGCTGAACGTAAAGTCGACAAGGCCAAAGCGCAGAAGCTCGCCAACAAAATCACCCGCGGGCGCAAATTCGACCTTGAAGATTTCCGCGATCAGATTGATCAGATGGCCAATATGGGGGGTATTTCCAGCATGCTGGATAAGTTACCCGGCGCTGGGCAGTTGCCACCCGGTGCACAGGCGCAACTGGACGATGGATTGTTCAAACGCATGGGTGTGATCATAGATTCCATGACGGCACATGAACGTCGTTTCCCCGATGTGATCAACGGCTCTCGCAAGCAGCGGATAGCCAAGGGTAGCGGCACCGAAGTGCCGGATGTGAATCGTCTGCTCAAGCAGCACAAGCAGATGCAGAAAATGATGAAAAAAGTGTCCAAAAAAGGCGGTATGCAGAAAATGATGCGCGGCCTGCAGGGCATGAAGCCGCCGCCAGGCATGCCCAGAAGATAGACCAAAGAAGTTAGACCAAAGAAGTTAGACCAAAGAAGTTAGACCCAGATGCACAATCTAAAAACCGATTACCTGGTGGTAGGCGCCGGCGCCATGGGCATGGCGTTTGTCGACGTCATCCTTAACGAGACAAATGCGACGGTACTGATGGTAGACAAATACCATCAACCCGGTGGGCACTGGAATGTGGCTTACCCCTATGTACGGCTGCATCAGCCGTCAGCCTTTTACGGCGTTAATTCGCGCAATCTGGGTTCTGACACTATCGATACGCACGGTTGGAATGAAGGTTTGTACGAGCTGGCCACCAACAGTGAGGTGTGCGCCTATTTTGACCAGGTTATGCAACAGCAGTTTTTACCCAGCGGTCGAGTGCAGTATTTTCCCATGTGTGAGTACATCTCAGACGGGGTGTTCAAATCCTTGTTGAGCGAAAACGAATATCAGGTCAATGCAGGAAAGATTGTTGACGCGACTTATATGAACGTGACCGTGCCTTCCATGCGCGAACCAACGTACCCGGTTACGGAGGGGGTCACCTGTGTGCCGCCCAATGCCCTTCCCAAAGTGGTGGGTGGTTTTAAAAAATACACGGTCATCGGTGCCGGTAAAACCGGCATGGATGCGTGTCTTTTCCTGCTTAAAAATCACGTCGATGCGGAACACATTCGTTGGATCATGCCCCGGGATTCATGGCTGCTGGACCGCGCCAACATCCAGCCGGGCAAGCTGTTTTCACAATCCATAGGGCAGGGGTTTGCTAAACAGACCGAGGCAATCGCCAAGTCGACATCTATTGAAGATCTGTTCGAGCGGGTCGAAGCCAGCGGTCAGCTGCTGCGTCTGGACCCCAGCATCGAACCGACCATGTACCGGTGCGCCACGGTGACCAAGGCTGAACTAGTGCAACTGCGGCGCATCAAAAATATTGTGCGTATGGGGCGGGTGACGTCCATTGAGCCCCATCGTCTTAATTTGCAGCAGGGTGAGATAGCCACTGATCAGCAGACCCTGCACATTGATTGTACCGCTGATGGGCTTGAGCGTCGGCCTGCAACACCGGTGTTTAATAATGGCACTTTGACATTGCAATCGGTGCGAACCTGCCAGCAGGTTTTCAGTGCTGCGTTTATCGGTCATGTTGAGGCGAGCTACAGTGACGCGGCTGTGCAAAATGAATTATGTACCCCGGTACCACATCCAGATGATGCAATTGACTTCCTGCGCACGAATTTGGTCAGCAACACAAATGCGGCTCGATGGGCGCAGGATTCTGAGCTTCAGTCCTGGCTGCTGCATGCTCGCCTGGATGGATTCTCCAACCCTGCAACCGTGCCGGATACCAATAACCCGGAGGTGGTTCAACGTATGGCGGAGCTGGCTAAAGCCAGTCGCGCGTCGATGGAAAATCTCAGAGTTTTACTGGCCGGTTTGGATCAACAGTGAGGCGGGCAGGATAAATGAGGCTTGTTCAAGTGGCTTGCATTCTAAAAGGCCTGCTATAGAATACGCCGCCTGAAATTTCACACTTTCGATTTAACTTTAAAGTAGACAGAGCAACACATGGTATCAATTCGTCTGGCCCGCCACGGCTCCAAAAAAAGCCCCTTCTACCACATCACAGTGGCAGATCGTTCTGAGAGTCGCGACGGCCGTTTTGTAGAACGTCTGGGTTTTTATAACCCGCTGGCAAAAGGGCAGTCTGAGTCCCTCAGACTAGATCTTGATCGCGTTGACTACTGGATGTCTGTAGGTGCACAACCTTCTGACGTCGTGAAGAAGCTGATCAAGCAAGCGCGTAAAGCCGTACCCGCGGCCGCTGCTTAACCGCTTTATTCTTACCTCGTGCCCGTCGCGGACACTGCGGACAGGGTCATTGTGGTGGGGCGCATTGGCGCCCCTTATGGCATCAAAGGCTGGGTCAACGTCCAGTCTTTCACCCAGCCTCTGGAAAACCTATTGTCGTATGAACCCTGGCTGCTGCAGGCAGCCGGGTCTTCCGTCTGGCAAAAATCTGCTAAACACCGTGTCCGCCCGCACAAAAAAGGTTTTGTTGCTGGTTTTGAGGGTGTGTCTGAGCGAGATCAAGCTGCAGCCCTGACAGGCACGCTCATCGGCGTTACGCGATCCGCGTTTAACGCAGCGACGGATGCTGATGAATTTTACTGGCAGGATTTAACCGGCTGCGAGGTCATCAATCAAAGCGCGCAGGTGCTGGGTGTTGTGGATCATCTGATGGAAACCGGGGCGCACGATGTACTGGTGTTGAAAGATCAGCCTGGCACGGCTGCCTCTGCAAAAGGTCCTGTGCCGCAGCTGTTGATCCCGTTTGTAGCACCGTACATAAAACAGGTTGATCTTGAAGCCCGCTGCATCACCGTGCAGTGGGAGCGGGATTGGTAACACTGCCATGTGGTTAGGGGTCATCACAGTGCTCCCGGAGCTTGTCGAGTCTGCGCGCAGCGGCGGGGTGTTTGCCCGTGCCCTTGAAGCGGGCAGCCTGCAGCTGCAGATTTTCAACCCACGGGACTTCGCACAGGATAAACATCGCACTGTAGACGATCGTCCTTATGGTGGTGGTGCAGGTATGGTGATGATGACTGCTCCGCTGGTAGCTGCATTGGAAGCCGCCCGCGCCGCTGCACCCGGTGTCGCCAAGGTGGTGCTCATGGACCCTCAGGGTGAGGTTTTCAAACAGTCTAAAGCCGTGCAGGAGAGCCACACAGGCAGTCTGATCATCGTCTGTGGTCGCTACGAAGGTCTTGATCAACGATTTATCGAACGCTACATCGACGAGCGCTGGTCTATTGGTGATTATGTGCTCAGCGGCGGCGAACTTGCGGCTCTTGTCGTCTGTGATGCCATCGCGCGTCATATTCCCGGTACATTGGGCAATTCTTTGTCAGTTTTTGACGAATCACATCTTGATGGAACGCTCGATTACCCTCACTATACGCGCCCCGTGGATACCGCCGAAGGCAGCGTGCCTGACGTCCTGCTCAGCGGTGACCATCAAAGGATTTTTGAATACCGACGCCGGGAGGCGTTACAACGAACTTTCCAGCAGCGCCCGGACATGCTCACTCGCAGAGTATTCAGTGAAGCTGATCGAAAGTTGTTAACAGCGTGTTTTGCCTCATGCAAAGAAGAGCAGAACACTACGAAAAAGCAGTGAGGCTTAATATGCGTAGAAATAAAATCATTGAAGAGATTGAAAACGCCCAGCTTAATCAGGATATCCCTGAATTTGCGCCTGGCGACACCATCAGCGTCCAGGTACGTGTCAAAGAGGGTGACCGTGAGCGTTTGCAGGCTTTTGAAGGCGTTGTCATAGGCATTAAAAGCCGTGGTCTGAACTCAGCTTTTGTCGTGCGGAAGATTTCCCACGGCGTTGGTGTAGAACGTACCTTCCAAACTCACAGCCCGCTGATTGCCGGGATTGAAGTCAAGCGACGTGGTGATGTGCGCCAGGCGAAGTTGTATTACCTGCGCGAACTTTCTGGTCGAGCGGCGCGAATCAAAGAAAAGATCAAAAAAGCTTAAGCAGCTGCTGGTAGCTGCACACAGTTTGCTTTAGGCAATCTCTCTGCCCTTTAAATCGGACTCATGAAATTGGGAAAGATGGAGAGAGTGAGGGGCTTTAGAAATAGAGCCAGCTTGCTAAGCTTGGGAGAGAGGGGGAGAGAGATCGCTTAGCAAGCTGGTCAGCATCACGGGAGAGACGTCCGTTCAGCTGTGGTGCTCCAATATACCGGGGGACGGTGGCATACTGCATTGAAGCTCGATTTCTGTAATGCAGCCACCGTGCCAACTTCTTAGGATTTCGCCAAAATCCTCCTGACTCCACGCATACCTCTTAAAAGTCTTTTAGTTTCAATAGGTTAGAGTTCCCCATGGGTTCCGTGTTAAAAATGACTCGATCGCCGCGATAAGTCAGTAAGCTCGCATGACGTGTCAATCTAGGTCACTTTCGGACTAGAATCGTGACTCAGTTCTGGTTTGGTTGGAAGTAGCTGCCTTGTCCGTTGCAGATGGCATTATCAGCGCCTATTTAGACGCCATGTGGCTCGAGCGAGGGCTTAGCGAACACACGCTGGCCGCATATCGTCGTGACCTGCAGAATGTTCAGAACTGGCTGCTGCTGCGGGAGCGAGATCTGCTCACTGCACGCGCTTCTGATCTTATGGAGTATATGGCGCATCGCTTTTCGGAAGGCATTGCCAGTCGCAGTGCGGCTCGCAACTTAAGCGCTCTAAGAGGCTTTTATCGTCACCAGCTCTTAAAAGAGGCGCTGGCTGAGGATCCAACCGCTCTGCTGGCGCATCCGAAAACCGGTCGGGCTTTACCGCTGGTGATTTCAGCAGCCCAGGTGGAGGCGCTGCTGGCAGCGCCAGATGTCGGCACGGCCCTGGGCCTGCGGGACAGAACCATGCTCGAAGTGCTCTATGCGACCGGTTTGCGGATCTCTGAATTAATTACGCTGCAACTCACCAGCATTAACCAGCGCCAGGGAGTCGTTCGAGTCACCGGCAAAGGTGGTAAAGAACGTCTTGTGCCGATGGGAGAGACAAGCCTGCAGTGGTTAGGCAGATACCTGCAGGATGGGCGCAGTGAACTGTTGGGAGAAGCCGGAAGTGTGCTGTTCCCGAGTCGTCGAGGCCAGCAGATGACCCGGCAAACCTTCTGGCATGCAATTAAGCGTTATGCGCTGATTGCGGGGATTCCCAGCACAGTATCGCCGCATACATTACGCCATGCTTTTGCAACGCATCTAGTGGATAATGGCGCCGATTTGCGTGCGGTACAGATGATGTTGGGCCACAGTGATTTATCAACAACCCAGATCTACACGCATATAGCCCAGCAGCGACTGCAGAACCTTGTACGTACCCATCATCCTCGAGGGTGATGAATCAACCCCACAACCGAAAGGAATTGATGACACGTGAACAGTAAAGCCCTCAACCTCGTTATTGCAGCAAGCCTTGGTGCGAGTTTGCTGTTTGCCGCGCCTTTTTGCTCTGCTGCGCAGCCGTACCCTGCAGGCAGCGAAAAACTCATGGCGAAACTTGCGCTGTTACTGCCTGACCTGCCAATCGAGGCTGTTGTCGCTACGCCCAAAGCGGGCTTCTATGCGGTTGAACTTGAAGGTGGGCAGACGCTCTACGGTAGTGCTGACGCCGAGTATCTGTTTTCTGGGGACATGTATCGTCTGACCTCGGAAGTTGAAAACCTTGCTGAAACCCGTCGTATGACCAAGCGGCGCGCGTTGCTGGCTGCGGAACCACTGGAGAATATGGTGGTGTTCAGCCCCGCAGGTGAAACAAAATCTTTTATCAGTGTTTTCACGGATGTTGACTGTGGCTACTGTCGCAAACTGCATCAGGAAATTGCGGAAATTAACGCCCTGGGTATCGAAGTCAGATACCTGGGTTATCCTCGAGGTGGATTGGGTACACCCACCCACGCAAAAATAGTGTCTGCCTGGTGTGCTGATGATCCCACCGAAGCGCTGACCGCTTTGAAGTCCGGCCTGAATATCGACATGAAAGATTGTGACAACCCAATTGCTGAGCAGTATGAGCTGGGTCGCAAAGTGGGGGTGACCGGCACGCCGGCGATTGTCACCGCTGACGGTCGTTTACTGCCTGGATACATGCCCGCTGCCGCCCTGGCAGAAGCCATTGGTCTGAATTAGGCGAATCAACAATGCAGCAGATTCGATTGGGCATCGCCGGCCTCGGCACTGTCGCTTGCGGCGTTTTGGAGATTATTGCTCAGCGCCAGCAGCTGATTGCGGCACGTAGCGGCGTTGAGCTGGTTGTCACGCGCGTTGCCAGCCGTACAGCTAAACCCGAAATAGACCTGTTGGGCGCAAGCTTTTCCACTGAGCTGGACAGCTTGCTGGCCGATGATGTCGACATTGTCGTCGAGCTGATTGGTGGTGAAGGCGCTGCGCTGGACCTCATCAAAGCCGCGACCGGAGCTGACAAACTGGTGGTGACAGCAAACAAGGCAGTCATTGCAAAGCACGGTAACGAATTGCAGGATTTGCGTAATACCATTGCCTTTGAAGCTGCCGTTGCCGGTGCTATTCCGATTATTTCAAGCATTGAGCGCGGTCTTATCGCCAATCAGTTTGAGCACGTGATGGGTATCATCAACGGTACCTGCAACTATATTCTGACGGCGATGAAAGAAGAGGGTGCAAGCTTCGCTGACGCGTTAGCACGCGCCCAGGAGCTGGGGTACGCGGAAGCGGACCCAACCTTTGACGTGGAAGGTATTGATGCCGCTCACAAGCTCGCGATTTTGCTGGCTTTGGCGTTCGATCAGCCGTTCAATTTTGCGGACTTGCACGTTGAAGGTATTGCCCAGATCACCGCAGATGATATTCGTTACGCTGATGAGCTGGGCTATCGGATCAAACATCTGGGTATTGCGCGACAGGTGGCAGAAGGCATTGAGGCCAGGGTACACCCGACCTTGGTGCCTGACAGTCAACTACTGGCGCATGTCGACGGTGTGATGAATGCCGTTCTGGTTAAGTGTGATGCAGCTGGTGATACGCTTTACAGCGGTCCAGGCGCAGGGGGTAGTGCAACAGCTTCAGCAGTGCTCAGTGATGTGGTATCCCTGGCGCAGCGCCGGGGTTCAAATATGCGCATCCAGACCGGCGGCGCACAAACTGCTACTGTGCCTATCCTGCAGATGGCTCAAGTACGTAGTGGCAACTATCTGCGTATACCTACCAAAGATGAGCCTGGCGTATTTGCGCGGGTTGCCCAGGCGCTTTCTCAACACGGCATCAGCATAGAAGCGGCGATTCAGAAAGAACCAAAATCCGGCCAGACGACCGTGGCTATTGTCATGCTCACGCAGATAAGCAGTGAAGCGGACATCGAAGCGGCGCTGGACGAAGTCAGAGTGCTGCCCCAGGTGGCAGGTGAAATTGTTCGGATTCGCGTTGAAGGCTTTGATTGAAGAATTTTGACGCAATCAGCTGTGAAAAAAACTGCATGGATAAAGCTGTCTGTGGAAAGTAGTTTTTTGGGCAAAAAATGGAAATCCTGACGCGCGAAGTTAATCCTGATGTATTGGCTGATCTGCAACCGCCGCTGTTACGGCGCATTTATGCCGGTCGTGGTGTCAGCAACAGCCAGGAATTGGATCGCTCGCTGCAGGCGTTAGCCTCTCCAGTTAAGTTGCCTGACGTGCAGTTGGCCGCAGAACGCCTGGCGGATGCCATCACCCAGCAGCAGAAGATCATGATTGTTGGTGACTTTGATGCTGATGGCGCTACTGCGGTGAGCCTGTGTGTAAAGATCCTGAAAGATTTTGGCGCCGAGCGCGTAGAATTTCTGGTGCCCAATCGTTTTGAGTACGGATATGGCCTGTCACCGGAAATTGTAGATCTGGCTAACTCATCGCAACCTGATCTGATTGTGACTGTCGATAATGGTGTCTCCAGTGTGGCTGGGGTTGAACGGGCCCGTGAACTGAACATCGATGTGATTGTGACGGATCATCACCTGCCGGGTGCAGAACTCCCCCGCGCATTTGCCATTGTTAATCCTAATCTGCCTGACGCCGGGTTTCCCAGTCGTAATATGGCTGGAGTTGGCGTGGCGTATTACGTGCTGGGGGTTGTGCGCACAACATTACGTGATCGCGGCTGGTTTAACGAACACCGTCCGGCACCGAACCTGGCGCAATACCTGGATCTGGTTGCTCTGGGTACCGTGGCGGATGTGGTGCCTTTAGACGCCAACAATAGAATTCTGGTGCATCAGGGTGTTGCCCGCATGCGTGCGGGTCGTTGTCTGCCGGGCATCAAGGCACTGGCTGAAATTGCGAAACGATCCCTGGCGACCTTGTCCGCCCAGGATCTGGGTTTTGCTCTGGGCCCGCGGCTGAATGCAGCAGGGCGTCTTGAAGATATGAGCATCGGCATTAAATGTCTGCTGGCGGACAGCCTGCCCGAAGCCCGACGTCTAGCCACAGCGCTGGATCAGCTGAACAAAGCCAGGCGCCAACTGGAACAGGATATGGTGGGTGATGCTGAGCTGTTGCTTGCTCAGGATCAGGCGGATACCGATCGAGTAGGTTTAACCGTCTACCATGAATCGTTTCATCAGGGTGTGGTTGGCATTGTTGCAGGACGCCTGCGCGAAAAATTCCATAAACCTGTGATTGCCTTTGCGGATGCTGGAGATGCGGCACCAGACGAGCTCAAGGGTTCTGCACGCAGCATCACCGATCTGCACATCCGTGATGTGCTGGATCGGGTTGCGTCCAGCCATCCTGGGTTGCTGTTGAAGTTTGGCGGCCATGCCATGGCGGCGGGGTTGAGTATCAAGCGCGTCCACCTGACACGTTTTGCGGCTATTTTTGACAAAGCTGTACAGCACTTCAGTCACGCAGAGATGTTGCAGGCACGCTTGATCACAGATGGGGAGCTGGATGCACACGAGTTATCTCTGCAGATGGCGGAACACCTGGCGGCTGCGGGTCCCTGGGGCAGTGGTTTTCCTGAACCCTCATTTTGTGGTGAGTTTGAACTTGTCAGTCAGCGGGTTGTAGGTGAACACCATCTGAAAATGGTGTTAAAAAAAGACGCCCGGGTCATTGATGCCATCGCTTTCCGGCAGGGGCCGGTGCCGGCCAGTACCCAGCAGGTGCGGGTAGTCTATAAGCTGAGTATTAACGACTATGGTCAGATTCCCACGCCACAACTCATGGTGGATTTCCTCCAAGCCCTTTGATATCAATATCGCGACGAGCGCAGATTTATGTTTGCGGCAAACCCTCGAAAAATCACCTGCAAATCCTTACACTAGCCGCCCACTGGCAGGCGCCAGGGTACAGAACCGCTGCTTTTAAACCGCTAACAAAAGACCTGAATTAACATGGCTGAGATAACTGCTCTGCGCGAAACTTTCAAAGATCTGGGCGACCGCGAATCTGCGCTTCGGGGGTATCTTTGACTACGCTGGCAAATGTGAGCAGCTGGAAGAGGTTGAACGCGAGTTAGCCGCGCCTGCGGTCTGGGACGACCCTGACCGCGCCCAGAAACTGGGCCAGCAACGCGCTGCATTGGAACAGGTGGTGAGTGGGCTGGGAGATATGCAGTCAAGCCTGGCGGACCTGGCTGAGCTCGCGGAGCTGGCCAATGAAGAATCCGATAGCGATGCGCTGGATGATATCGCCACAGAGCTGGAAGGGGTGGAAGCTAAGCTTGCCGAACTGGAATTCCAGCGTATGTTCCAGGGCGAGATGGATACTGCCAACGCGTTTGTGGACATTCAGTCTGGTTCCGGCGGTACAGAGGCTCAGGATTGGGCGGATATGCTTTTGCGCATGTATCTGCGCTGGGCGGAAAAAAGAGGTTTCAAAGCTTCAGTGACCGAGTTGAGCCCTGGTGAAGTGGCTGGCATTAAAAGCGCAACCGTGCAGATCGAAGGACCTTATGCGTTCGGCTGGCTGCGCACTGAAACCGGCGTGCATCGGCTGGTACGCAAATCGCCGTATGATTCCGGCAGCAGGCGTCACACTTCGTTCGCCTCTGTGTTTGTCTCCCCTGAAATTGACGATGATATCGAGATTGAAATTAATCCCGCAGATGTACGCACGGATACCTATCGCGCCAGCGGCGCGGGTGGACAACACGTGAACCGAACGGATTCCGCTGTGCGTCTGACGCACTTGCCCACAAATACCGTGGTGCAATGCCAGAGCGAACGTTCGCAACATCAGAATAAAGACCGTGCGTATAAACAGCTGCGTGCGAAACTGTATGAGCTGGAAATGTTTGCACGGCGTTCAGAACAGCAGGCTGTGGAAGATGCCAAAGCTGATATTGGCTGGGGTAGTCAGATCCGCAGTTATGTACTGGATCAGAGCCGGGTCAAAGACCTGCGCACCCACATTGAACGCACCGATCCCAACAATGTGTTGGATGGTGACCTGGATGGATTCATAGAAGCCAGCTTGAAAGCAGGCTTATAACTGTCGTTTGAACGGACGTATGCCCGCTAAACGACAGACGCGACTGATGCGAAAGATGCAGAGAAATAAGGCGACCCTAAGATGAGTGAAGAACGAGACTTGTTGGCAAATCGACAAGCAAAAAGACAGCGATGGCTGGCGCAAGGTGGCGGTTATCCGAACGATTTTCGACGCTCAGACCTTGCCGCAACTCTCCACGCGACTTACGCCGATGCAGACAAACCTCAGCTCGAGGAGGCGCGGTTCGCGGTGGCGGTTTGTGGTCGGTTGATGCTGCGCCGGGTCATGGGTAAAGCCAGTTTTGTCACGCTGCAGGACAGTAGCGGCCAGATCCAGTGTTTCCTCAGGAAAAACGACATGGGCGACGAGGCTTATGATCAATTTAAGGATCTCACAGATATCGGCGATATTGTGGGTGTGCGTGGTGTGCTGATGCGCACTGACAAAGGTGAGTTGACCGTGCACGCGCAAAGTCTGGAGCTGTTGAACAAAACCCTGCGTCCGCTGCCGGAGAAGTTTCACGGTGTCACCGACCAGGAAATCCGTTATCGCCAGCGTTATCTTGATCTGATCATGAACGATTCGTCGCGTGACGTGTTTAGAACCCGCTCCAGGGTGATTGCGCGCATGCGTGAGTTTTTCAACACGCGCGATTTCCTGGAAGTGGAAACGCCGATGATGCACAGCATTCCCGGTGGCGCAACGGCACGCCCTTTTGTCACACACCATAACGCGCTCGATCTCGAGCTGTATTTGCGTGTTGCGCCAGAGCTGTTTCTCAAGCGACTGGTGGTTGGGGGATATGAACGCGTCTATGAGGTGAATCGTAATTTTCGTAACGAAGGCCTTTCAACTCGACATAACCCTGAGTTCACCATGCTGGAGTTTTATCAGGCGTATGCGGATTATAAAGATCTGATGGCACTCACGGACGAGCTGCTGGCGGTACTGTGTGCGGATGTAGTGGGCTCGCCGACAATTTCTTACCAGGGTTTGGAGCTGGATTTCAGCAAACCCTCTGCACAAATGACGATGGCGGAATCTCTGGTCGCGCTGGGCGGTATGAACGAATCGTCAGTCGACGATGAAGATGCGCTGCGTGCGCGTTTGCAAACCCTCAATCTGACCGCGGATGCGAGTTGGGGCGTCGGCAAGCTGCAATTGGAAGTGTTTGAGGCTCAGGTAGAAGAGCGCTTGGCACAGCCTACGTTCATCACTCAGTATCCCGCAGAGGTGTCGCCGCTGGCGCGCCGCAGTGATCACAACGATGCGGTCACAGACCGCTTTGAGCTGTTCATTGGTGGGCGCGAGTACGCCAACGGCTTTTCGGAATTAAATGACCCTGTTGATCAGGCTGAGCGCTTTGCCGCTCAAGCGGCTCTGAAAGGCACTGGTGACGATGAAGCGATGCACTTTGATCAGGACTATATCGATGCATTGGAAGTGGGTCTGCCGCCCACTGCTGGAGAAGGCATAGGTATCGATCGGCTGGTCATGCTGCTGACGGACTCACCTTCTATCAGAGACGTGCTGTTATTTCCGCTGATGCGGCCTCAATAGGCGCTCTGCAGGCTGTGCGATAACTCATGGCAAATGCCTCAGTGCAGTTGGAAGCCTCCTGGCAGGAATTGTTGGGCGAGCAGTTTGAACAGCCTTATATGCAGCAGCTGAGCAGTTTTCTGCGCGCAGAAAAAGCCCGCGGGGCGCAAATTTATCCTCCCGGTAAGCAGATGTTTGCTGCTTTGAATCTCACGCCGGTGAATAAAGTGAAGGTAGTGATCATTGGTCAAGATCCGTATCACGGGCCCAATCAGGCTCACGGCCTGTGTTTTTCCGTGCTGCCAGGCACACCTTTGCCGCCATCTTTACGCAACATTCTTAAAGAAATACAGTCAGATCTGGGCGTGCAGCAGGAGATCAGGCCTGATCGAGGCTGTTTAACCAGTTGGGCACAGCAAGGTGTTCTGTTACTGAACGCAGTTCTGAGTGTTGAGCAGAGCAGGGCGGGTTCACATCAGAACAAAGGTTGGGAGCAGTTTACCGATGCGGTGGTCCGCGAGCTGTGTCAGGCGCGTGAGGGTCTGGTATTTCTGCTGTGGGGCAGCTACGCGCAGAAAAAAGGCGCTATGGTAGACGCCACTAAGCACTGTGTGCTGCAAGCGCCACACCCGTCGCCTCTGTCCGCGCACCGTGGTTTTTTCGGCTGCAAACACTTTTCCAAGGCCAACGCCTATCTGTCCGCTCATCATCAGGATCCGATAGACTGGCTGGCAATCGACTGACAGGTTGCGCACAATTTCAGGTTACGTCTAACACGTTCTAGAACAATTTATCAGCAGATAGGAGAGGGGAAGCTATGGTGACATCATCAACGCAGAAACTGGTTTTGGAGATTCGCGGTCATACCGCGGTTGTAACCATTGATAATCCGTCCGCCAATACCTGGGATCCGGAAAGCCTCTCAGGTCTGACTCAACTGGTACACGATTGTGAACAGGACAAGTCGATTTACGCCATGGTGTTGACTGGCGAGGGTGACAAGTTTTTCTCTGCCGGTGCAGATCTGAAACTGTTTGCTGATGGCAGCAAAGATACGGCACAAACGATGGCTGAACATTTTGGCCGCGCATTTGAAACGTTGTCCAACTTTCGTGGCGTAACCATTGCAGCGATAAACGGATTTGCCATGGGCGGTGGTCTCGAGTGTGCGTTGGCTTGTGATATCCGTATCGCGGAACAGCAGGCACAACTGGCCCTGCCGGAAGCTACCGTCGGCTTGTTACCCTGTGGCGGCGGCACCCAGAATCTTGCCTGGATGGTCGGAGAGGGCTGGGCAAAACGTATGATTTTATGCGGCGAACGTATTGATGCGTCCACCGCAGAAAAAATAGGCCTGGTGGAAGAGGTTGTAGACGCCGGTCAGGCAAAAGGTCGTGCGCTGGAGCTGGCTGAATCGGTAGGACGTCAGAGCCCAATTGCGGTTGCAGCCTGTAAAGACCTCATCCAGCAGGCCCGCTCTGGCGACATTGCGTCGGCTTACGCTGTCGAGCGTAACGCTTTTGTTGATCTGTTTGATAGCAACGACCAGCGTGAAGGGGTTAACGCCTTCCTGGAAAAACGCCCACCAGCCTGGACTAACAGCTGAGGCTGGCGGGTTATGAATACAGATTTAGAACAGTCCAGTGTTGTCCTGACCGAACACAAATTAGGCGCGAATTTGCTGTTGGCAGAAGCCACGTTAAACGTGGAATCAACGCTGAACGCCCTCAATCTTGAAATGATTCAACGGTTGACCCGCGCTCTCGACAGCTGGGCCAATCGCCCCGAGGTGGTTGCAGTCTTGCTGACGGGTGCTGGCGACAAAGCCTTCTGTGCCGGTGGGGATATACAGGCCCTCTACCATGCAATTGTCAGCAATCATCAGCAAAAGGTCATCAACAACCGCTACCCTTTCGACTTTTTTGCGCAGGAATACGCGCTGGACTATCAGTTGCATACTTATGCAAAACCGGTGATCTGTTTAGGTCATGGTGTGGTGATGGGTGGTGGCATGGGATTGTTCAGCGCGGCAAATTTTCGCGTGGTGACGGAACGTTCGAAACTGGCGCTGCCTGAAATCACCATAGGCCTGTTTCCCGATGCCGGAGCAACCTGGAGCCTTAATCAGATGGCAACCCATCAGGCGGTGTTTCTCGGCTTAACCGGCAGCCATGTGAATGCAACCGACGCGCTTGCGGTAGGTCTGGCTACCCATGTTGTGTCACACGCACAACGAGATACACTTTTAACCAGCCTCAAAGCTTTGTCGTACACAGCTAATGCTGCATCCAACACACAGCTGATCGGCGAGGCTCTGGACAGCTTTCCCGGAGTTGAAATGCCGGCGGGAGAAATAGCGCAACTTCCTGTGTTTGAAACCAGCTTGTCAGATCTGGCTAAACAGGTGCAGATACTCGATGGCCTGCAGGGGCGTTCGAAGTGGATTGACCGGGGTTTGAAGAACCTGCACGGTGGCTGTCCAACGACGGCAGGCATTGTACTGGAGCAGCTTCGCCGCAGTTCAAATATGTCGTTAGCTGACATGTTTCGGATGGAATATGATATCGCCAGTCATTGTGCGACTAATCTGGACTTTGCCGAGGGTGTGCGCGCGCTTCTAATTGAGAAAGATGGTTCACCTAACTGGCAGTATCCGGACATGGCGACGCTGCCCAGGGAACACGTCATGTCGCATTTTTCAACATTTGAAACTCCCCATCCGCTGGCTGGATTGGATTAACAAGGTAAGAACATGCAGAAAGTAGGTTTTATTGGTTTAGGTAACATGGGTGGTCCGATGGCCGGTAATCTGCTGGCAAAGGGCTACGCAGTACAGGCGTTTGATCTTTCAGCTGCAGCCCTTGCCGCGGCAGGTGATGTTGAGGCATGCGAGTCAGCCGCGCAGGCGGCGGCCGATGTCGATGTGTTGATCAGTATGTTACCTGCAGGGCGTCATGTCCGTGGGCTCTATCTGGGGGATGAACAACAAGCCGGATTGTTGCATACGCTGGCGGCTACAACGCTGGTGATCGACTGTTCTACAATTGACCCGGCCAGTGCCCAGGCCGTCGCCGCCGCAGCAGCAGCGCGGGGCGTTGCAATGCTGGATGCACCTGTTTCCGGTGGTACCGGTGGCGCGCAGAACGGTACGCTGACGTTTATTGTTGGCGGTGATGCTGATGTTTTGGCCCGTGCAACCCCTGTGCTGGAGGCGATGGGTTCAAACATTTTTCACGCAGGCGCCGCGGGTGCAGGCCAGATTGCCAAGATATGCAACAACATGCTGCTGTCTATCCTGATGGCGGGCACGGCGGAAGCGTTGGCGCTGGGCGTAGATCAGGGGCTTGATCCAAAAGTGCTCTCGGACATTATGAAAGCGTCTTCCGGCGGTAACTGGGCTTTGAATGTGTACAACCCTTACCCAGGTGTGATGGAGAATGTGCCGGCGTCACGGGACTACAGCGGAGGGTTTCTGGTAGACCTGATGCGCAAAGATCTGGGGCTGGCTCTGGAGACTGCCCAGGCGTCGGGCAGTGCCATTCCGATGGGTGCGCTGGCGCAGAACCTTTATCAGCTGCACGGTACTAATCATGATGCCGGTGGGTTGGATTTTTCCAGCATACAGATGATGTACGGTTCAAAGGCTAGCCGCGATTGAAGATGGCTTGACGTTCATCTCGGTTGAGGCCTCGCAACGCGTATAAGGTCACTGTGGAGGACACACTCTGTTGTCGTAGCAGGGTGACGTAGTCGATAAGCCGGGGTTTGTCGAAACCCAGGTGATCTTTCAGGCACCAGCCAACGCCTTTACGCACCATATCTTCCGGATCGTGTTTAAGTGTCTCACAAAGTTGCAGCGCATGATCAATGTAGGTGCCTGAACGGGCAACGTTCCGGGTAAACAGCACAACGCTGGCCCGACGTAGCCAAAGCTCAGGATCACGGCTCCAGAGCCGGGTCAATGCCAGCATGTCCTCTGGATACTCACCCAGCAAGGATTTTAGAAACGAGCCCGCATAGGCATCAATTTTGCTCCAGCCATGTTGTTTGCGCATCAATTTGTCGAGCTGTCGAAACGTCGGTTGCCACTGCGAGAGCAGAATTTTCATCTGTGGCGCGCGTACGCCGTAACCCAGATAGCGGGGATCAGGTTCGTTAGCGTCTGCAGTGTAGGGTGTATCTTTGCCAGCCGCCGCCAGTGTGGTGACGATATCACTGCGGATCGCAGTTGTTTTCAAGCAGATTGGCCTGCGGGTTTAAGCTCACGCCATGCGCCCGCGAGGACACGCCAGGCTGATCGTGAAAACATTGCCAGCAGGGCTATCGCGACCAGCAGATCCGGCCAGGGTGAGTTAAACGCCCAGACTGCAGCAGCAGCGCCGATCACAGCGCAACCTTCTGCGACATCATTGCGTGAGCATTCCCACACCGACGACATGTTGATGTCATCGTGCCGAAAGGGCGTTAACAGCCATAAACAGATACCATTTGCACCGAGGTTCAAAAGCGCAGCAAGTCCCATGGTCGAGGATATCGGCGTTTGCGGGTCTGTGAGCTGGACAGCGATTTGCACGGCCACCGCAACAGCGGCAGCCAGGATCAGCAGACCCTTGAAAAAGGCTACTTTTGCTTTGGCTGAGCAGCTGGCGCTGACGACGGCCAGGCTGAGTGCGTAGGTGACGGCATCACCAAAATTGTCCAGCGTGCCGGATAACAGCGATACGGAACCACTTAACCAGGCGCCGCCAACCATAATTACAAAAGCAACAACGTTGATACACAGTACGGTGATGAGCACTCGGCGCTGGCGTGCAGCGAGGGCGCTCACATCAAGATTACTGCAGCAGCTGTCACTCATTTCAGGAAATGGCTTGTTCAACGAAAGAAAGCGCAGGTTACCATCAACGGTAGGCCTGCTCCCAGTGCGGGCGTGGGCTATAAAGCCTGAAAACTAGTGAAACGCGTTTTTAACTTCGTTGACCTGTTCAACCAGACCTTCTAATTCCAGCTCGTCCATTTCAGGGTCGAAGCCGATGCGTTGCAGGCTGGAGGCGCCAGACCAGTCGTGCTCGCGGATGGATTTGTCGTGGTCACGGTGGACCAGCCAGTTGGCGACACACACAATGTCGACGTAATCCACAGCGTCAGCCTGGTGATCAAGGTCCTGGTAGTGCTCGGGTACAACAATGATGTCGTCGGCAAAATTCCAGTGGCGCAGGATCATACCGCCAATGGTGGGGTGAATACTTTCAATAACCCGATCGAGGGTCATGCTGTCGCGCACCAGGCTGTCGTTTTCCTCAACCCAGCTGAGGATGGGCAGAATACCGATACAGTGCGTTAAACCAGCCAGGGTGGCCTGATCAGGACGCAGACGGGTGTATCGTTTGCACAGAATGGAGCTCCAGGCGGCTACTTCTGTTGAATTTTTCCATACGTCACGCAGGCGATTGTCGACAAATTCCGTGGTGGCTTGAAACATATTCTGCATCGCCAGGCCTGTGACCATATTTGCAGAATAATCAACACCCAGGCGACTGATCGCCTGGCTCAAATCGTCAATTGAGCGGGTCGCGCGAAACATGGGTGAATTAGCAATGCGCACCAGCTGTGCGGCGAGTCCCGGGTCATCACCCACTTCTTTGGCAAGAGAAACAGCAGAAACAAACTCAGACTCGGCTTCTTCGCGAATGCGCAGAGCAACTTCGGGCAACGAAGGCAGTTCGAGTTGATCTTTGTCTAATGCAGTCTGAATGTCCGCAGCGATGGAATTGGCAAGTTCAGCCATGGGTAGTGGTGTCCCGGAGAGTAAGTACTTTTTGAGTATAGACAGGATCGTTGCCTCTGCCTGGAAAGAGCGGGGTTGTTGCCCCGTTTTGTGCGTCAGGTTGGGTTTGAGGTCTTTTTGCGTTGACGGTTACCTGGTTTGCCGCGCCAACCTTGTTCAATCTCTATCCCTGCAGGGTTAAAGTGTTGTTCTAATTTTAAGAAGGTCATCTATGAAAAGCATCGTCGCCAGCGTCTTTGGAAAGACTTTTATTTGTGTTGTGCTTCTGCTTGTTGTCGGCGCCTGTCAGGTGGGCGCTCCCGTACAGCAGCAGAGTAGGGCGATGGCGCTGCCGCAGGTTTCTATTCCCAATACCGCCACCCATACTAAATTCAGCCGTGCTCTTGAACCAGTTGCCAGGGTGGCATCCGGAAGTGTTGTTGAGGTCTTTACCCACGAAGCCACCGGAGGCCAGTTTGAGTTGGGCTCCGACGACGCAATCCTGCAGGCCATTGACTTCACCAAGGTCCATACGATCACAGGGCCAATATATGTTGAAGGGGCACGCCCGGGTGATGTGCTTGCGGTGGAACTGTTGGAGCTTGAGGTTGCCGATTGGGGTTGGATGGCGTTGCTGCCGACATTTGGTCAGTTAGTAGATGAAATAGCGACTACTTCGTTACGTACTTTTGAAATTGATCAAGTGAACCAGAGCGTTGAGTTTGCCGACGGTATCGTTGTGCCGCTCAAGCCGTTTGCCGGAATTATGGGCGTTGCGCCCGCGGGCGCGGAGGCTTTAGACACATTTCCGCCACGCGCAAACGGGGGCAACATGGACAACCCCGCGCTGACGAAGGGTACAACAGTCTACTTTCCGGTCTTCGCTGAGGGAGCGCTTTTTTCTATTGGCGATACACATGCAGTGCAGGGTTTCGGTGAAGTATCTGGTACTGCACTAGAGGCACCAATGCGTATTGTCATGCGCCTCAGTGTGGTACGTAATGGGCACGAGATGTTTGAGCCTCAATATGAAACTGAGGAGTATTATGCCACCACGGGTTTTGCGCCGACCCTGGATGAGGCGGCCAGGAAAGCTACGCGGTACATGATTGATTATCTGATGGCCGAGCGTGATCTGAGCGAAGAAGATGCTTATCTGCTGTGCTCTATTGCTGGCGACCTGTTGATTGCGGAAACCGTAGACTTACCTAATATGTTAGTGACCATGCACATGCCTAAAGCTATTTTTGTGCAGGACTGAACGTTGTCATTGCGAAAATCCGCAATAAGGTGAATAGCTTTAACGAGGTTAGCTAGGAACTGATCAGTCGATTTACACTGCGGAGATCAGCGCTTCATAGACATCTACAAACTCGCGATCGGATGTTTTTCGCTCAATACGCTATCAACCCTTTATATGGGACACGCCACTCTGGTTAGTCAAGACCTGCTCATAGTCGCGCCACACGTCATCAGACATAAGTCCTTTACGATGCTGATAGTAAGCGTCCTGAATGCCCCGAAACGTCGCGCGGCTAAAAAAAAGGCCAATTGAGTTTCCTCTGTTGGCGAAAGGCTTTCTCCAGTTTTCGACTTTGAGAATGCTGCTGCCAACTCCGGATTCTGGGCCGGTGCAAGGAGACGTTCCTGAGTGGAATCAGCCACCGCTTGGTGCGTTGCAGCCTCAAGAGCGCGAGAGTTTCGGCGGAGCTGCGACGCAAGGTAGAACAAGGTCACAATGACGCCGATGCTGGCAGGATATATCAGAAACCACTTTAGGTACCCCGAAAGCCGCCGTTCAAATTTTGCATCGCTATGCGTACTTTCGGCCAGCTACGGCCATCTTGCATCGGCTGGAAAGTGATATCCTTACACGGTTTCGGAGTGAATGATATGAAACTATTGCCCTGGATCGCAATGATAACGCTACTGTCAGTGGTTGGTCGTACACACTCGTCCGTAGAAAAGAATCTCGAAGTCGCAACGGAGATGACCTGCGAACAACTACTGTATGAAGCGACTACCCGCTACGGCTCAATCACCGATATTGAGTACGCCGTGAGCTTCGCTTTAGAAGAACGAGATTCGATAAGCGATAGAGCTGGCGTGTCAGATGATGTTTCAGAGTTGGATGCAGAGCTACGTGAAATCAATCTGGAAATAGCTCGAACTATTGCAAAGCATCGATTGTTTCAGAATCAAAAATGCCCGATTGAAAATGACTGGTATCACTACGCACCAAGCAAGATCGGGAGAAATAGCCTCTGGAACTAGAGCTTGTTGGATGTCCGAAATGATCTAGTTTAAGCCGACTAGTTTGGCTCAGCATGCGTCTGCGTTGCTGCTTTTTCGGCTATCTCAAGAGCACGATCCGAAACCATAGGGCGCCACACCATAAACCCTAATCCTATAAGGAAAATCCAAGCAGGAGTTTCGAACCTCGGCCAACCAGCAAACGCTGATAGCGTCATCCAGATAAACGCGAGTGGTATTGGTAGCCAACGCCATCGTTTATGAAGCTCCACGTTTCGCCTAGATTTCCGGATGTAAGCAAGCTCATCATCATCAAGACGCACACGTTTCTCCCAAAGGTAGCTCAGTGAAGAAGGTTAGCTGGAATCAAAAGGGACCGCTATGAGAACCCAGCAGCGGCTTTTCCAACCTGAACCAGCGACTGTTTAGCCCATCAGCGTGATTTAGCTCACTATATAGAGGGTATTTCCCCGTAAGCAGCCGCTCCGATGCTGCCTTACACTCAAAGCAACCGGTCAGGAACCGCTTTTACTTGAGCAGGTAGACTACAAACACCTCAGCGGTAGCAGTAATTAATCCGGGCTCAAAGATTTCCCCGCTTCGAATCGGTAGTCCCCTAGCAAAACCGGCAGAGGTTTCCCCGTCTTGTTGTGTTATTCGCCTGGACGGAATTAGGGACCAAGCTTCCTTTTGTCGCAGATTGAACTCTGAAATCGAATAGGCTTCCCCGAGCCCTCTGTTCGTGGCACGAGCCAAACCAGAAGCGCGTTCTCTCGCGTCTGCGATTGCCAGTTCCTGGGCTTCCCTGATTTTGTCGCTGCTCTTTTTTGATGACAGGCTAGTTGAGCCGATAGAATTTGGATCGGAGGACAACACTCCCGACATCAAGTTGGAATATTGCGATAAATCATTCAGAACAACAGTAACCGTGCGAGCGACCTTCGTGCCGATGAATTGTGTTTTCCCATTCTCGTATTCGGTTTCTGGACTAATTTGAAGCCCTGTAGATTGCAGATCCTCCCGTTTAATACCAAGTTCGTCGCACACATTTAGCAACCGGCTGGAGCGGCTATCTACAGATTCCTTTGCTATCGAAACGTCCATATTCGTATGAAAGTAGCTAACGGATAGCGAAAGCCAATCGGGTGCAAAATTTACCGACGCCGATCCTTGAACGTAGACGTGAGGAGCGGTAGGTAGAGGGCTATCTGCGAGCACGGTGCCAGACATGATCGCCAGATAGACAAGGATTGTTGTTCGAGCCCAATGCATACCTGAATCCACGCCTAAGGTTGACTATGCTCGTGGATAGTAGGTGATGTATATATCAAAGTGAATAGTTGAGATAGCCTAAAAGCAATCTGTCTCTGGTTAGTAAGACTAACGTCTCCTCAGGGCAAAAAGCCGACAGCAGTGAAGTAGCCTAAAGAGGTCTGCTTTCGGCCGAGGCTGTGTAAAAACTCTGCTTAGCCAAGTAAAATACACCTTTCAAAAGCCATCAGGAAATGACCGAAAGTCAGCAGCAATGCCCCAAATGCTACAGCCTTGCGCTGGCCGAGATATCTATCCGCAAAATAACCGCCAATGACAGGCATGATGTAAACCAGTGCGGTATAAGCGCCGTATATGATCCCGGCCTCACTGTCGGAAAACATCCAACGTTGAACAAGATAAAAAATCAGCAGCGCGCGCATGCCGTAATACGAGAAACGCTCTTACATTTCGGCAAAAAACATAACAAACAGGCCTTTGGGATGCCCGAGAAGGGTTCCCCTCGCATCGCCGGGTTGCTAATACGCACTTGTCATTACAATGATTTTCCTTTTTTAAAGCGGTCAACCCAGACTAATTTATACAGCACCTCGATCTGAAAACCTTGTGAAGCGAACCACTTCCGGCCTGGAGTTGGGAAAAAGAGCGCGAAAAGGTATTGTTAGACTAAGCTGTCAAAAGCAAACCCTGAGGAGCTACAAGGCTGTGTTGCAACTTATTCTGCTTTGACGCTCGCCAGACCGTGACCTGTAGCGTCGATGGTGATGACCGTGCCGCTGTCTCCCCAGGCGTCTCCAACCTGGGGTAGGGCAGGGTCGTTGAAGTTGATCAAGTGTCGTTTCACCGCACCACGAAACTGCGCACGGGCGACAATTTCCTGGCCCAGGTAACAGCCTTTATCAAAATCCACCGCACCCTGGTTATGCAGATTTAGTACCTGTGGCAGAAATTGTTCGCTGACGGGTTTGCTGACAAATGCAAAACCCATGTCGATGAGACAGGCATTAACCGGCTCTGAGCAGTCCTCAAGGTCTTGTGCCGAACCATCAACCTGCACCTTCAGACCCGGCGCCAGAACGATCGTGGCTTGTGCAGAATTAACCGCTACGGTTTTGCCCGGGTCAGTTGCAAATGTGCATTTAGAGAACGTCACGTAGGGTTTCAGGAACGTACGCACGTGTTCCACCAGGCTTGTGTGTACCAGCAAGTCGACACCAGCAGTGTTGCCTAATAACCAGCCGCTGGCGACTACCCGCCCTTTGAGATTGCAGATGGCCATGGGCAGTGCCTGGTCCGGTTGCAGTCGACTGGTGTCGCTGGTGACATAGCCTTGCAGAAAGTCAGCAGCTGTTGGACCAAGGAGGCTGATGACGCCTGCCTGCAGCCATTGACCGTGCAGATCGGAACGGTCTGCGCTATCGGGTTGTGTTGTGTCCAACTCTGCTCCTTCTGGCTCATATCGTGGCTTACACGCTGTGTTGCGTTAAACTGCTGGTTTTCCCAGCCACTGAAGATATGGTGTGAACAGTATAGATACTGTGCAACTAACTGAACTTATTTTATGGATTCACCGACACATTTAAAACACATCTACTGGCGCAGCCGCCGCGGCATGCTTGAGCTCGAGCTGAAACTGGTACCGTTTCTGCGTGATCACTATGACGCTCTGCCACCCAGCGAACAAACCACCTACGAAAACATGCTCGAGGAAGAAGACTGGCAGCTGTTTGACTGGCTGCAGGGGCGCGAAGTGCCTGCAGATGACCTCACCCGGATAGTCGTCGACAAAATTATCGCCAGCAAAGGCCGTCTTTGACCCTTGAGTTGCGCCTGTCTGCGTGGCGCGTATATCTTGCGTTTGTGTGGGTCGGCTATATGGGTTGGGTAGCGTATTTCTGGCTGGGGTTTGCCGGTATCGGTGTGGTCTGCGTGTTGAGTACGCGCTTGCTGCGCCGACAACTCTATAGATCCACCAAGGTGGTTCGGCGAATACATCTGCAAGCGGATGACATCAAAGGTGTCTGGCAACTGGCTGGTTTGCTGTGTATTCACACCCACAGCGCAAGCCACTGGATCTTGCCTGGCGAAATCCTGGCGGGGCAGCGGGCCACCTTAGGCGCGTATCTTCTCGAGCATGTGCCGCGTCAAGCGGTAGGTTTGAGAATATCGAGCTGATCAATACTGCCAGGGAACATAATTGTGTCCTGAGCGCGGGTCGCGGTGTCGGGATAATCCAGGTTGTAATGCAGGCCGCGGCTTTCGTGGCGTTTCAGTGCGCAGCGTACAATCAGCTCCGCGACGTGTAACAGGTTGCGCAACTCAATCAGGTCATCATTGACACGGTAGTTAGTGTAGTACTCGTTGACCTCCTGTTTGAGTAAGTCAATCCGATGCTGGGCCCGCGCAAGGCGCTTGTTAGTCCTTACGATACCAACGTAATCCCACATGAACCGACGCAGCTCATCCCAGTTGTGTGCAATCACCACAGACTCATCCGAATCGGTTACTTTGGATTCGTCCCAGTGCGGGAGTATGGGTATATCAAACGGCCGGTCCAGTTGGCTGATGATTTTTTCAGCCGCGTTGTGGCCGAACACAAGACACTCCAGCAATGAATTGCTCGCCAGACGATTAGCCCCATGTAAACCCGTATAGCTGACCTCGCCGGCGGCATAGAGATTGGGTAAGTCTGTTCGGCCGTGTTGATCGACGACCACGCCGCCGCAAGTGTAATGTGCTGCAGGTACAACCGGGATGGGCTCTTTGCTGATGTCGATGCCCAGGTCTTCGCAACGTTGGGCGATGTTTGGGAAGTGGCTCCAGATGAACTCTTTTGATCGGTGGCTGATGTCCAGATAAACGCAGTCTGCACCGAGACGTTTAATTTCATGGTCGATGGCACGCGCCACAATATCTCTTGGCGCGAGTTCTGCACGCTTATCAAACTTGTGCATGAAGCGACTGCCGTCAGGTAGCCGCAAGACGCCCCCTTCGCCGCGCACCGCTTCCGAGATGAGATAGCTACCCGCGTGCGGGTGGTAAAGGCAAGTGGGGTGGAACTGATTAAATTCCATATTGGCGACCCGACAACCGGCCCGCCATGCCATGGCGATACCGTCACCGGTAGAACTGTCAGGGTTGCTGGTATACAGATAAACCTTGCTCGCGCCACCGGTGGCCAGAATCACAAATCGCGCCTGAAATACTTCGACGTGACCGGTACTGCGATTCAACACATAGGCACCAGCGCAACGACTCGGGTAGCGGCCCAGGCGCGAGAGGTTGATCAGGTCTATGGCAAGACGGTCATCCATCAGTTCAATATTCGGGTGGTCGAGGACCCTTGCGGTCAGGGTTTCGTTAATGGCGCGCCCGGTGGCATCCGCCACATGCAGAATCCGGCGCTGGCTGTGGCCACCTTCGCGAGTCAAATGGAATTCATTGCCTTCCTGGTCGAAGTTCACGCCCCAACTGGACAGGCGGCTGATGACCTCTGGTGCTGATGACACTGTCATGTTGACGATACCTTCGTCACAAAGACCAGCCCCGGCGACCAGGGTATCTTCCACATGATCGCCAAACGTATCTTCTGCCGCGGTCACGGCAGCGATGCCACCTTGTGCCCAGTGGGTTGAGGCGCTGGCCATGCCGCCCTTGGTCAGCACGGTGACCCGAGCATGTTCAGCCAGTTGCAGGGCGGCACAAAGACCGGCCGCGCCGCCGCCGATAATCAGCACATCTGTGGAAAATCTCTGTGACACGCACCCACCTGGTAAATTCGTTAAATAAGCGCCCTAGTATATAGCGGCAGACATCGGCAGAATATCGCGGCTTTGCGATGCAGGTCTTCTGCTCGCCAGATTACTTAAAACCGGAATCCACTTGGCGCAAGATACAGACCAGGAACTCGTGAAACGGGTCCAGAAAGGCGACCAGGCAGCGTTTGATATGCTGTTTGCGCGTTATCAGGTGCGCATTCTTAATCTGATTGGCCGTTATGTCAGAGACGCCGATGAAGTCAGAGATGTCGCCCAGGAAGCCTTTATCAAGGCCTATCGAGCCATTCCAAGGTTTCGTGGCGACAGTCAGTTCTATACCTGGCTCTATCGTATAGCCATCAATACCGCAAAAAATCACCTGGTATCTCGCAGCCGTCGGCCGCCAAGCAGTGATGTTGATATTGAAGATGCTGATTATCGCGATGATGCGGATATGTTGCGTGACAGCGAGGATCCGGAATCCGCGCTAGCCCGGGATCAGCTGCAATCAACCATTCATGACGCGCTTTCCCAGCTGCCGGATGATCTGCGCAGCGCGTTAACTTTGCGCGAATTTGACGGTCTCAGTTACGAACAGATCGCGGAAATCCTTGAGTGTCCGGTGGGGACCGTACGCAGTCGCATATTTCGTGCGCGGGAATTTGTTGATCAACGCATCAGGCCACTGCTGGACAACACAGATGAATCGAACTAATCAGTAAAGGCCTGGTCTATAGGGGAGCGCGTGTACAAGCGCTAATGGGGAAACGGTAGGACGGTAGGAATAGGTATTGGTGATGACGGAACAACTACGAGAGTCACTTTCAGCGGCTATGGATAACGAGGCAGATGCCTTTGAGTTACGCCGTGTTTTAGATGAAGCCAAGCAGGATGAGAGTCTGCGCGAACAATGGTATCGCTTTGCGCTGGTCCGCGACGTGATGCGCGAAGATATGCAGCATTACCAGCCGGGTCTGCGTGAATCGATCTGGGAAGCGATGAACGCAACCGAAGATCAAAATGAAGATGTTACTCAACCGCTGCGCGATGTGTCCGTCGATAAGCAGAAAAATCAGCGTTCACCCTGGATAGGGCGGCTCACGGGTACTGCAGTTGCCGCAGTGGTTGCCGTTCTGGTGATGATTAACGGCGGCGTTTTTGACAGCGAAATTGAACCCGTCGCAGCCGACTATGCGGGCGTTCAACCGGCTCTGAGTAGCGGTGATCTGGCGCCGGTTATGTACCAGCAGGCCACACCGGTAGATCAGCAGCGACAACAGGCGCTGATGTTGCATCACATACAGCAACGCGCCATGAATCAGGCCAGTCTTGCGTCGTTCGTGAAAGTGGCTACATTCCGCAGCACGCCGCCTCAGGTATCGGCGGAAACCAACAACGGTCTGAGCCCCTCCCAGCAATGATGAACGTCTCCCGTGTTCTGCTGCTGGCTGTTTTTGTTTTTCTGGCGCCGGGCATTGCGGCTGCGCAAAGTGTTGCGCAGATGCTGCAGGACATGAACGCTGCGTTTACTAATCACAGTTACGATGGCGTATTCAGCTATTACACCGGTGGTGAGCTGGCCAGTCTGCGGGTAGTACACAAACAGGTAGATGGCGTGCAGCGTGAGCGTCTTGTCCATCTGAACGGGGCGCCGCGAGAAATTATCCGCAAAGGTGAAGTGGTGTCCTGCATTGTGATGCCGGGTGATGATCTGATTGCGCTGGAAAAAAGCATTCCGGCTGGACCGTTTGCACGTGCGTTTGTGCGGCAATTTGACCAGATCTCTGACACCTACAGCGTCGGCACTTTTGGCGAAGGTCGGGCGGCTGGCCGTACCGCGGTGCGGGTCGCAATCAGCCCTAAAGATCAGGATCGCTATGGATATCGGATCTGGATCGACAAAGAAACCTCACTGTTGTTGCGTTCGGAGCTGATCGATCATCACGGGCAGAAACTTGAAATTTTCATGTTTAACCAGCTCCTGGTGGGTGACGATGTGAAAGATGCCGCGCTGGAGCCTGAAGGTGTCAGTGGCGGTATGGTCAGTCACCTGACCCTGCAGGCTGCGGATGAACCCTGGCAGCCACCAGCGGCCACGGGCAGTGCTGATCCCATGCCTTCAGCGTGGAGTACCCACTGGTTACCTGTGGGTTTTGCCATGACCGATTCCCACATGCGTCACAAACCGGCCTCTGGCAGTCAGGTCAGCAGCCTGATGTACAGCGACGGTCTGGCGGCATTTTCAATATACGTAGAGCCGATGCCTAAAGACGGCGCGGCCAGTATGGTCTCGCAGAACGGCGCAACCGTTGCTGTTACCCATCAGATCAAGGAGCAGGGCCAGTATTTCCTAGTCACACTGGTGGGTGAAATACCGGTTGAAACAGCTCGAAACATCGTCACAACTGTTCATCAAAAGAAAAGTTAAGGCATTGATTAGTAAGAGAATTAAAATCTCGGAACAAGCAGGTACGCAAACGTTTGAAGCGGTTGAGCAGGGCTGTTCTGGTTGTCAGCAGAGTTGCGCGGGTAGATGGTTTGCACCGCGCGCTGCGGCGACGGGCGGTCCGGGACAGATTCTGACGAATGCGGAGGTGGCTATATCTGCCAGGGGCCTGAACAGGGTTGTTGTGGTGCTTTTTGGTCTGCCGTTGTTGCTTTTACTGGGCCTGGGGTCAGCTTTTCAAACCTTTGGCATGGCTGCGACACCGCTTTTCAGCCTTGCCGCTTTAGTCATTGTGCTATTGCTGACTGGCGCCGTGTTGATCAGGCACGGTGCAAAACTTATTCCGCTGCTGCGGGTCAAAGTTTATGCCAGCTCCGGCGCAGAAAAAGAAATATCCTGACACTTAATTAGGAATAGAAGTATGAAGCTTAAATTGATCGTTGCGTTTTTTATGCTGCTCTCACCCGTTTGGGCTGTGCACGCAAAGGAACTGCCAGATTTCACGGAATTGGTAGAACGCAATGCGCCGGCAGTGGTCAACATCAGCACTGTAGGGGAACCGCGCAGTCAACGCCGCGGCCAACCGCGCAGTGAGGAGCTGGAAGAATTTTTCCGCTTTTTCGGGCCACCAGGCTCAAGACCTGGCGTGCCTAATATGCGTCCTTCAACGTCTTTGGGCAGTGGTTTTATCATCAGCAAAGACGGCTATATTCTGACCAACAATCACGTTGTCGACGGGGCCTCAGAAATTATTGTGCGCTTAAGTGACCGCCGTGAGCTGGTCGCGGAACTGGTCGGCGGAGATGTGCGAGCAGATTTAGCGGTACTTAAGGTCACCACAGATGAAGATCTCCCGGTGGTTAAGCTGGGTGAGTCTGAAAAACTCAAAGTGGGTGAGTGGGTGCTGGCCATCGGTTCTCCATTTGGTTTTGATTATTCAGTCACCGCCGGCATTGTCAGTGCAAAAGGGCGCAGCCTGCCTACTGCTCAGAACGAAAACTATGTGCCATATATTCAAACGGATGTGGCCATCAATCCGGGTAATTCAGGCGGACCGCTGTTTAATCTGGATGGCGATGTGATCGGCATTAACTCCCAGATCTATTCAAACTCCGGTGGCTTCATGGGTGTGTCGTTTGCGATCCCCATCGATATAGCCATGGATGTGGCGGACCAGTTGAAAGAAGATGGTCGAGTCTCGCGCGGCTGGCTCGGGGTAATGATTCAGGAAGTTAGTCGTGACCTGGCTGAAAGCTTTGGTCTGGATCGCCCGCATGGCGCATTGATATCAAAGGTGTTCGATGATACCCCCGCAGCTGCCGGTGGCTTGCGCGCCGGTGACATCATTACAAAATTCAACGGCCGTTCGATTGAACGTTCCGCCGAGTTGCCACACTTTGTCGGCCGCGTCCGCGCCGGCGCCATGGCTGATGTGGAACTGGTCCGAGACGGCAAAAAAATGTCGTTGGAGCTGAAGGTCGGAGAATTGGCCGATCTTGGGGAAGATGGCAGCCGACCGGTGGTTGGCCAGTCGGGTGGTGGACGCTTAGGTCTTGTTGTTGCCGGGCTGACCGATGAGGAAATGGAGCGCCTTGATGTCAGAGACGGCGTCCGTGTCGTCGAAGTGTCTGGTGCATCAGCAGATGCAGGTATTCGCCCGGGCGATATCGTAGCCAGGCTCAATCATCAGGCAATCAGCAGCCCGAGTCAGCTGGAAAGAATTGCAGAGTCATTGACCGCGGGTCGGACGGTACCCGTTCTGGTTCTGCGGAATTCAAACCCGACTTTTCTTGCACTGAAAGTGCCTGAATAGAGGCGGGTTAAGAGACGCTGACTTTCCAAGGCCAGTGCGCGCGTAGTTTTACCTTCAACGCAGGAAGGCGATAGGCTAAACTCGCGCGCCTTATACCAGCCACGGACCATTTGTGCCGGACATCGAGCATATTCGTAACTTTTCGATCATCGCCCATATCGATCATGGGAAGTCGACCCTGGCCGATCGTTTTATTCAAACCTGTGGCGGCCTGGCCGAACGAGAAATGGCTGAGCAGGTACTCGACTCCATGGATATCGAACGTGAGCGTGGTATCACCATTAAGTCTCAGTGCGTCACCCTGCGGTATGAACACCCGGATGGCGGGCACTACCAGCTTAACTTCATTGATACTCCCGGCCATGTTGATTTCAGCTATGAGGTGTCCCGTTCACTGTCTGCCTGTGAAGGCGCGCTGTTGGTGGTGGATGCCGCTCAGGGTGTCGAAGCGCAATCCGTTGCCAACTGTTATACGGCGATTGAACAGGGGCTTGAAGTGTTGCCGGTGTTAAACAAAATTGATCTGCCTCAAGCTGAGCCTGAGCGGGTGGCTGCCGAAATCGAAGATATCATTGGTCTGGATGTCAGCGACATCCAGACCGTCAGTGCTAAGACCGGCGCAGGTGTTGATGAGTTGCTGCGTTACCTGGTAGATAATATTCCGCCACCAGAAGGTGACCCGGAAGCTGATCTGCAGGCATTGATCATTGATTCCTGGTTCGATAACTATCTTGGTGTGGTGTCTCTTGTCAGGGTAAAGCAGGGTCGATTGGACAAAGGCTCGCGGATTATTGTGAAATCCACCGGCAAAACCCACGTGGTTGATGACGTCGGTCGCTTCACTCCGAAACGTACCCCGGATAAGTCTCTTTCTGCAGGCGAAGTCGGCTACGTGGTCGCAGGTATAAAGGAAATTCAGGGCGCGCCCGTAGGTGATACTCTGGTGTCGGCAAAAGCACCCGATGTACCGCAGCTGCCGGGCTTTACCCGGGTTAAACCCCAGGTGTTTGCCGGCTTGTTTCCGGTTAATTCTGAAGATTTTGAGTCGTTTCGCGAAGCGCTGGAAAAGCTGGTGCTTAATGATGCGTCACTGTTTTATGAACCTGAATCATCTGACGCCCTTGGTTTTGGTTTCCGCTGTGGTTTTCTTGGCATGCTGCACATGGAAATTGTGCAGGAACGGCTTGAACGAGAATACAATCTCGATTTGATCACATCTGCACCGACTGTCGTGTACGAAGTTGAAAAGGGGGATGGCACAGTTGTGCAGATCGACAACCCTTCGCGGATACCGCCAAATTTCAAAGAAATGCGTGAGCCCATAGCTGACGTGAATATTCTGGTGCCCCAGGAGTATGTTGGCAATGTCATGACACTTTGCGTAGAACGGCGCGGCGTGCAGAAAAATATGAATTTTTCCCAAGGCCAGGTGGCTATGCATTGGGAAATGCCGATGAACGAAGTGGTCATGGATTTTTTCGATCGCTTGAAATCGGTCAGCCGTGGATTTGCATCGTTAGATTACGGCTTCCTGCGGTTCGAGACAGCCAATCTTGTTAAGTTGGATATTCTCATTAATGGCGACAAAGTTGATGCGTTAGCCAGTATTGTGCATCGTGATCAATCCCAGGCTCGTGGTCGCGCACTGGCTGAAAAAATGAAAGAACTGATTCCCCGGCAAATGTTTGATGTGGCTGTCCAGGCGGCTATTGGAGGACAGATCGTGGCACGGCAGACAGTTAAAGCTTTACGTAAAAACGTCACAGCCAAGTGTTACGGTGGTGATATTACGCGCAAGAAGAAATTGCTGGAGAAGCAGAAAGAAGGCAAGAAGCGCATGAAGCAGATTGGTCGTGTGGAAATCCCACAGGAGGCTTTTCTGGCGGCACTGCGGGTTGATCGCTGATCGATGGACATTGATCTACCCTATATTCTGTTCTGGGTGGTATTGGCCTGTGGCGCGGTCTGGCTGGTGGATAGTCTGTTTTTTCGTCGTAAACGTCTGGCCGGCGATGCTGAAGCTACCGACCCAACGCTGGTAGAGTACGCCAAAGCTTTTTTCCCGGTACTTCTGCTGGTTCTGGTGCTGCGTAGTTTCCTGGGGGAGCCATATCAGATCCCCTCAGAGTCCATGGTGCCTACATTGGAGGTAGGCGACTTCATTTTAGTCAACAAATATGCCTATGGCCTGCGTTTGCCGGTGTTTGGTACCAAGATTCTTGATGTGGGTGATCCTCAAAGAGGCGATATCATGGTGTTTGTGCCACCCCATGACTCACGCTATTTCATAAAAAGAGTCATCGGCTTACCAGGAGACGTGGTCAGGTACGACAATAAAGTGCTGTATGTGAACGGCGAGCGTTTGGGATACGAACTGGTTGGCGAAGTGCAGGACAGAAACTACGCTACAATAGTCCGTGAATTTATCGAGACCATTGACGGACGCGGTCATCGAATTTTCAAGAATGGCGGTTATGAAGAACCTCAGGAGTGGCAAATTCCACCTGATCGATACCTCATGTTCGGTGATAACCGTGATATGAGCCAGGATTCCCGTTTCTGGGGTTTGGCCAAAGAAGACAGTATTGTTGGCAAAGCAGTTGCTATCTGGCTACATAAAGAGCCGGGCTTTACGTTGCCAACATTTGACCGCAATCAGTGGTTCGATAAAGGAGGCTAGGATGTCCCGAAGCAGTTTAAAAAGCCCGGCGAAGCAGCTGGGCATGTCTATGTGGGGATGGCTGTTTGTCGCCATTGTGATGGGTACCGTTATTACTGCTGTGCTGCGCCTGGGTCCACACTACATCGACTTCCGTATTGTGCAATCTGTCAGTGATCGTTTGCCAGTCAACGAAGTGCACAAAGAAATGTCCCGTGCAAAAATACTGGAACACTATAAAAAGCAGTTTCGGATAGAGGGCTTTCGCATCCCGTTAAAAGATATGATGACCGTTGAGCGAAACCGTGAGCAGACTGTTGTGGACATCAATTATGAAGTGCGTGAGCATCTGTTTTTTAACATTGACGTTGTCCTAGTGTTTAGTGAGCAGCGTACCTACAACTAATCCACCTGGCGCCGCAGCAGAGCTGGATCGTCTGCAGCGGCAGCTCGGATATCAGTTCAAAAATATAGCATTGCTGCAGCAGGCACTAACGCATAAGAGTTTTTCCAAGCAGAATAACGAGCGACTGGAGTTCCTTGGTGATGCGGTCCTGGGTTATCTCATCGGTCATCGTCTCTACGGGTTAGAGAAAGTCTATGCGGAAGATTCGCTGTCGTTGATGCGGGCAAATCTGGTCAGAGGATCGTCCCTTGCGGAGATCGCCAAACAGATCAATATTGCTGCCTGTTTGCGTCTGGGTACCGGCGAGCGCAAGAGCGGCGGACGACAACGAAACTCTATTCTTGCAGATGCACTGGAAGCGGTTATTGGTGCAATTCATGAAGATGCAGGTCGTGATAATGAAGGCGGTGGTATAGGCGCTTGTCGAGAAGTAGTAGAGCACCTGTTTAATGCTCGAATTGCGGGTCTGGATCCTGAAAATCTCAAAGACGCTAAAACAAGATTGCAGGAACTTCTGCAGGCCGCAGGGTTGGATTTGCCTGACTATCAGGTTACTCAGGTCGAAGGGGCGGATCATCAACGTCAGTATACGGTGACTTGTGAAATAAGTGTTTTGAGTATCCAATGTGATGCAACAGCATCATCCCGTCGTCGCGCAGAACAGTCCGCGGCGGCTGTTATGCTGACTAAGTTGATCGATCACCCAGCGTTAAGTGGAAAATGAATTGAGCGAATTGGAAGAGACTTTCTGTGGTTATGTAGCGTTACTGGGGCGTCCTAACGTTGGCAAATCCACGTTGTTGAATCATCTGTTGCATCAGAAGATCAGCATCACCTCGCGCAAACCTCAGACCACTCGACAGAACATGCTGGGTGTCGATACTCAAGGCAGGTATCAGGCGATTTACATGGATACGCCAGGTATCCATCGAAACACGGAAAAGGCCCTTAATCGGTATATGGTTGCCAACGCAACGGCGGCACTGCGTGATGTTGATCTGCGTGTCATGCTGATCGAGGCGGGTAAGTGGACAGACGAAGATGCGCATGTGCTGGAAATGCTGCGCCATGCAGATGCTGTCAATATTGCTGTGATCAGTAAAGTTGATCTGCTCGACAATAAAAACCTGCTTCTGCCGGAAATTGAGCGGATCAATGCCTTTGGAGTATTCAGCGAAATTATTCCGCTCAGTGCGCTACGCAATGAAGGCGTTGAGCATTTCAGAGAGCAGGTTTTTTCACGCCTTCCCCCCGGCCCACATTTATTTTCTGCTGATGAAATTACCGACCAGACCGAAAGACGTCTGGTGGAAGAAATAGTCCGGGAAAAACTGATGCGCCAGTTGGGTGACGAAATACCTCACAGTGCAGCGGTTGTGGTGGAGCGTTTTGTCAGTACGGAGAAGATCACCGAAATTCATGCAGACATTTATGTTGAGCGTGATGGCCAGAAGGCCATAGTGATTGGCAAACAGGGTGCACGTTTGAAGTTGATTGGTCAGGAAGCGCGCAAGGACATCGAGCGCATGCTGGACAGCAAAGTCATGCTGCATCTCTTTGTAAAAGTTAAAAAGGGCTGGACTAACAATAACAAACTGATGAACCGACTAGGGTACCAGTAGCCTTGCGCGAGAGTGATTTAGCAGCGCTGGTACTGCATGTCAGGCCTTATCAGGAAACCAGCGGTATGGTGCAGTTTTTTACCCGCGAGCAAGGCCGGCTGGTGGGTGTCAAGAAAGGTATGCGGCGCGGCCGCAATCCAGTATCCATTCAACCTTTTACTTACGGACGTTTATCCTACGTTGGCCGTTCGAATCTGGTGACTATTACACAATACGACGCGGTGGGACGTTATGACCTGCACGGGGATAATCTCAGCGCCGGTTTCTATGTTTTAGAGCTGCTCACCCGATGCCTTTCTGAGCGCCAAGCAGAGCCTGAACTGTTTGCTGCAGCGACTACCGTTTTAGACGCTCTGCAGTCCGCAGCTGCTTTGGCGCCGACATTGCGCAGGTTTGAGGCTGTGCTGCTCAGTGAACTGGGCTACGGCATCGACTATATGCATGAAGCGGGTGAAGGTCGGGCGATTGTTGCGGATGGACGTTACCGTTGGGTGGCAGGACAGGGTTTTCAGCGCATTGAAACACACGCAATAGGCGCCGTTGATGATTTGCCGGGTTGGGTCCTGCACGCGCTCAGCAAGCAGGATTACAGCCGGCCGGAAACGCTGCGTGGCGCAAAACACCTTTATCAGAAAGCCTTGGCACCTATGCTGGGCTCCGCGCCATTGATCAGTCGCGAGATGGTTCGCGCAACGCCAGTGGGAACATTGCGTAATGTCTAAGAAACCAGCCGAACTGACTCTCAAGGTTGGGCGTCTTACCTTAGAGGGCCTTGGTGAGACGGTTATTCCTAACAATGAAGGTGCGCCGCCCAGAACCGTGCTGATGCGTAACGCTCTGCCTGGCGAAACTGTAACCGTACGGGTGCTGAAGCGCCGCAAGGGTATCTGGTACGCGGAGTCAGCCACTGCTGGCGAGCCAGCCAGTCCTATGCGCAGCAAGTCTGCCTGTGAACATTTTCCAAGATGTGGTGGTTGCAGCCTGCACCATATGCAGGAGCAAGATGCCCTGCAGCTGAAACAATCGCAATTGCAGCAGGCCCTGGCAGAACACAATATTAAACCTGAGCGCTGGCAGAAACCGGTGCGTATAAATCGCGTAGGCTATCGGCGCAAAGCTCGTCTTGGCGTACGTTGTGTGGGTGAACACGTTTTTGTGGGCTTCCGCGAATCTTTCAGTAATCGGGTAGCGCGTTTAGATAACTGCCCGGTGCTGACAACCCAGTTGTCCGCATTGATTACGCCGTTACGCAGCCTGATTGCGCAACTCAGCGTAGCAACAAAAATTCCGCAGATTGAATTTGCGCAAGGTGATGGCCCGGCCGTGCTGATGGTCCGACATCTAGTGCCGCTGTCCGTCGAAGACTTATTACTATGGCGGAATTTTGAGCAACAGCATGCCGTGACTGTTCTATTGCAAGGCGGCGGTTACGAAACTTTACAGACACTTGATGGGCAGCCCCCGGAACGTCTGGGCTATCAACTGCCCAACTGGGGCCTGCATATGCAGTTCATGCCGCAACAGTTCACTCAGGTGAATCTTGAAATGAATCAGGTGCTGATACGTTATGTGCTGGCCCTGTTAGGTGATCTTAAAGGTCGGAAGGTTGCAGATTTATTCTGTGGGGTAGGTAACTTTACCCTGCCGCTGGCCCGTCAGGGCGCGCAGGTCTGGGGTTATGAAGTGGCCGCGGATGCAGTGTTTATGGCTCAGGCAAACGCACAGCGTAATGGGCTTGCTGAGCAGGTAAATTTTGCCGCCCTGGATTTGTATACAGATACTGAGGCCGCGGCGCTGCCCGTGAAGGTTGATGCGTTAGTCCTGGATCCGCCGCGCAGCGGCGCGGGGCCAAATCTGCCTCGCTGGCTGGCAGATTTTCAAGGTGACAAGGTCGTTTATGTCTCCTGCAACCCCAAGACATTTGCGGCTGATGCTGTGCATCTGCAGGCAGCGGGCTTCGAGCTGCAAACGGTAGGTGTTTTTGACATGTTTCCGAACACAACACATGTAGAAACCATCGGCTGTTTTCAACGGGCAGGTACAGGGGAGTCTGCAGATGGTTAAAGTTCGAAAGTCGCTGCCGCGTACGCCGCAGGGAGAGGTAAATATACCTTTATGGGTTGATCAATTGTGTGATGCCCACGAACAGCTCTCTTTCGATGCAATTGAAGAGACCGTCACGTGGTTGGCTCGACATCAACCTGACCAACTGGTTATGGCGCTTGAATTGGCGGAACTGGTGGCGCAGTTAAATATGGACCAGCCGTCGGTACAAGCGGGCCTTGTTTACCGCTCGATACGCGAAGGACGGATATCTGAACAGCAGGCAGAGTCTCTGTGTGGTGCGGAAGCCTGCCGTATCGCCGTAGCGGTTGCCCAGATGGCGACCACCAGCCTGTTGGAAATGTCCAATTCGCCATTGCAGGAAAAAGAGCAGCAGGATCAGGTCGAAAACATTAAACGGATGCTTGTCTCCCTTATTGATGACGCCCGTGTAGCCGTAGTGAAACTGGCGGAACGGGTGGCAGCACTGCGCCGGGCAAAAACCTATGAACCAGAAAGACGACAGCGGGTAGCGCAGGAAGCAAGTCGAGTATTTGCTCCGCTGGCAGGCCGGTTGGGTATCTGGCAGCTGAAATGGGAGCTGGAAGACCTGTCGCTACGCTACACCCAGGAAGACGTCTACCTGGACATCGCCCGGCAGCTGAAAGGCAAACGTGCTGAGCGGGAAGTGCAGGTTGAACACATGATTGACCAGGTTCGTGGATTATTGCGCGGCCATGGCATTGACGCCGTGGTTTATGGGCGTGCCAAACACATCTACAGCATCTGGCGCAAAATACAGAGTAAAAACGTAAGCTTTGACCAGGTTTACGACGTGCGTGCTGTCCGCATAGTGGTGAATACCCTTGCTGAGTGTTACGCCGCGCTAGGCGTCATACATACAACCTGGCGACATCTGCCAAGTGAATTTGATGATTATATCGCTAACCCGAAAGAGAATGGTTACCAGAGTATTCATACGGCAGTCACGGCATCAGATGGCCGCGTCCTGGAAATCCAGATACGCACAGCAGCAATGCATGAAGATGCTGAACTTGGCGTCTGTGCACACTGGTCTTACAAGGATGGCCGTCCTGAAGACGGAAGTTATGCCGCTAAAATGGATTGGTTGCGTCAGGTCATGGAGTGGCATGAGGATCTGGCGGGCACAGAATCTATCAGCACACTATTGCAGCATCGTATCAGTCAGAGTCGAATTTTTGTCTCAACCCCCAAAGGTCATGTTTTAGAGCTACCGCCGGACGCAACAATTCTGGACTTTGCTTACAGGGTGCATACGGATATCGGGCATACGTGTACAGGGGGGCGCGTCAATGGTGTGCTCGCTCCCTTAAGTCGACAGCTGGAAACTGGCCAGCAGGTTGAGGTTATCACCTCGGAGAACGCAAAACCGCAACGAGACTGGCTTGAGGAGAGTTTAAGTTTCGTCAATTCTGACCGGGCCAGAGCAAAGCTGGTTGCTTACTTTCGCCACCTGCCGGCGGCGGAACAGCAGAGGGTAGGAAAGCAGTCGGTGAGTACAAAGCTGGCAGCGCTTGGTCTGGCAGACCTGTCTCCGCCACAGCTGCAGGCCTTGGCGGAACGGAACGGGTTTAGGCAGGTTGCCGAGCTTTGGCAGGCGGTGGGCTCCGGCGAATTATCAGCAATACATGTTATTGTGGCGTTAGCCGACGAGGCGTCCATTCACAGCCAGCGAGATCTGCCGGGTATCCCAACCGAATCCTATCCTTACGATGCCAGGTTTCGCCTCAGCGCAGATAATCGAGATGGCTTGTTGCACGATATCACTCAGGTTATCGGTGATATGGGTATGGCATTAACAGGTACAACTGGACGGGTGAGTAATGCCTCATCCCAGGCTATCATTAGCGTTGACGTGAGTTTGTCATCCTGGCAGCAGAGCGTTGAGTTTGTGAGTTATTTAAGCCTCATAGAAGGCGTAACGGAAATCCGCAAAGAAGCCATCTAGCGCTGCGGTCTATTGGAGTAGAGCATGAGAATAATTCTCTTGGGTCCACCGGGAGCAGGAAAGGGCACCCAGGCACAATTTATTAAAGAGCGCCTGGGTATTCCACAGATATCCACTGGCGATATGCTGCGTGCAGCAGTTTCATCAGGCAGTGCCCTGGGAGAACGGGTCAAAGCAGTGATGGATTCTGGTGCGCTGGTATCAGACGAAATCATCATCGATCTGGTAAAAGACCGTATTACGCACGACGATTGCGCCAACGGCTTCCTGTTCGACGGCTTCCCGCGCACCATTCCCCAGGCTCAGGCTATGACATCTGCGGGTGTAGAAATTGATGCGGTGGTCGAAATTCAGGTGCCTGATGAAGAGCTTGTGCGGCGAATTACAGGCCGGCGGGTGCATCCTGGCTCAGGTCGGGTTTACCATGTGATCTACAATCCGCCAAAGGTTGATGGCCTGGACGACGATACCGGTGAAGCGCTGGTACAGCGTGAAGACGACACTGAAGAAACCGTGAGACAGCGTTTATCGGTGTACAAAGAGCAGACCGAACCCCTGGTTGAGTTTTACCATGCGATGGAAGCTCAGGGCCTGCGCTACATTTCCGTCGACGGACAAGGTGAAGTCGCCCTGATCCAGGCCTCGATAGCAGCGGCACTGGACAGCACCCAGAACTGAGTCTGCGCTTAGCCCAGCAAGCCGTTGAACGGCAGCACTCTGACGGTGCTGCCAACGGCCAGGTTGCCGCTGGTTTTAGGCACTTCGATAAAACAATTTGCACCACTGAACGTGCTCAGGCGGTTGGAACTCTGATCGCCTGTCACAGTGACTTCGAGTCCAGCTGCGTGGCTTGTGTAAATGCCGCGCTGAAACTCCATGCGTCCAGGCTCATGGCTGATGGCGCTTGTGAGCGTGGCATTAACCGCCAGAGGAGCAGCCGGAGGATGGCCAGCCATAAAGGTGATGGCTGGCAAGGCAACCATCAGCAGCGTGACAATGGTTGAGACGGGGTTGCCGGGTAAGCCGAACAGGTAGCAGTTATCAATCTGTCCAAAAGCCAACGGTTTGCCAGGTTTCAGATTCAATCGCCAGAAGCCCAGCGAGCCCAAAGATGCGATGGCGCTGGTTACAAAGTCGGCGTCGCCAACCGACACACCGCCACTGGTTATCAACACATCACACGCCTGGCTGGCCTGTTTCAGAGCGTCTTCAACGGCGGCTGGACTGTCCGCCAGGGCGCCATAATTAGTCACGTCGCACGGCGCTGAAGCTAACAAACTCACAACCGTAAAACGATTTGAATCGTATATCTGGCCTGCCTTGAGTAACTCTGGTGCGGTGCCGGGTTCTACCAGTTCATCGCCAGTAGAGAAAACACCAACGCGGATTTTGCGGTACACAAGCACATCGGTAATGCCCGCTGCGGCCAGATGGCCGGTATCAAACGCATTAAGTTGATGGCCGGGTTCAGACAAACAGGTGCCTGCAACAATGTCGTGGCCGATACCACGTATATAGCTCTGTCCGGGTATGGGGCCATTAAAACGAACAGAGTCTTTCAGTACTTCTGTCTGCTCCTGTAAAAAGACCTGATCGCAGTCATCTGGCACCAGGGCGCCAGTGAAGACCCGCACACATTCCATGCTATCCACATGCCCGGCAAAGGGATGACCGGCGAGGGAATCACCCACTACACGAAAAGACCCATCAGGATGCTGAGCCAGATCATCTTTACGCAGCGCATATCCGTCCATTGCTGATGCGCGAAAAGGGGGCAGGCTGACAGGGGCCACAACCTCGGCCGCAACAATGCGGCCAACGGCGTCAGCCAGGGCAACAGTCTGGGTATCCTGTACGGGTCTAAGGGTGCGAAACAGCTGCGCCAAAGCTTCCGTCAGATCTAAGGGTTGGCTATTCTGTGACAATGATAAACACGCTTTGTATCGAAACCAGTGGCCCTCATTGTAGCCTGGCTCTAGCCGTTGACGGACACATTTATTGTCGCGATGAATTACTGCAGCGCAGTCACAATCAATACCTGTTGCCGCTGCTGGATGAGTTATTCAACGAAGCGGGCATTAAGCCGATGCAGCTGGAGCTGGTCAGTTTTGGCTGTGGTCCTGGTAGCTTCACCGGTGTTCGAATTGCGGCTGCGGCAGCGCAGGCAATTGCGACAGCCAGCAATGCAAAAGTAGTTCCTCTGTCGAGTGCCTGGATACTTGCAGCAAGTGCGTTCGTCGAACACCCGGCGCTGGAACAGGTTGTCTGCTGTATTCCCAGTCGTGGTCAGGCTTTTTATCTGTCCGCGTATCGTTGCGAAACCGATGCAAGCACTGGTGCGCCCAGCTATCGGCAGAGTCATGCTGACGAACTGGTTGATCAGCCGCCAGTCTGGCTCCTGTCAAAGGCGGATGAACCAGGCGCAACTGGTCAGTTTGTTGTGGTTGGCAAACTACCCGCCTGGCTGCCTGAGCCCCTGCAGGCGCATGCCCTGGATCTGCTGTATCCCCAGGCTGCAGTTATGATCCCTGCAGCCCAGGCTGAACATCTGGCCGGGGCAAGTCTTTCACCTGAGTTGGGTTTGCCGCGATATTTTGCAGGAGATTCACCCTGGCGAAAGTCTCATGCTCAAGGTAGAGCAACAGGCTAGTGCCAGGTCGCAGATAGCAACGCGCGGATTTACCCGTTTTGGCTATACTGCCGATGAAGACTATGAAAATTAACGCTCATAACCTGCCTGCAGCACCTCAGCCATCAGCTTCGTCGCGGAGCGGGTCAGATCTGTCTCCAACAAAGCGCGCAGCTGGTGCTGTCAAAGAGAGTTTGAGCACCGCGGGACCTGCATTCTCTTCACGCCCTGTGCGGATCAGTCGTTTTCCGGAAGAAGCCGCTTTGTTTGCCTATGGCCGCAATGCCACGCTGCCTCCGCCAGCTCAGCCCAGTCAGATAGACGAATACGTCTAGTGCCGCTGGTTCTCTACTACCGGCAACACCTGGCCAGCAGGGCCGAGCAGTACAGACAATGGTGTAGTTTATGCCTCGCGCAGACGGCGCCCCAGGTCAACGAGCCAGCACTGTGGCTGGACGACACAGGCCGTCATCAGGGGTTGGGTCTGTTAATGCCAGGCTTCAACGGTAGTTTTTTTATTACAGATGATGCGGTTGCTGAGCGGCAGAAAGGCCGGGGTTTGCTGGCCAAGGCGTGCGGCCCTGGTGAGCCTGCTCAAAGCCTGCTGGATCCGTTTGCGGGGTATGGACTGGATGCCATTTGCCTTGCTCAGGCGGGGTTTTCAGTCACCGCAGTAGAGCGTGAAAGGGTTGTTTGGCTACTGCTCCAGGATGTCGTTGCGCGCCAGGGATTGGCATTACAGACCTTACATGGAGACGGCATGCAACTTATGCATGAAATCCATGACCCGCACCAATCGCACCAATCCGGCAGGCAATGGGACGTGATTTACCTGGACCCGATGTTCCCTCAGCGCAACAAGCGGGCATTACCGAATCGGGGTTTGCAGCACCTGCAGGCGTTGACCCAGGATCATTCGCCCGTGCCTGATCTCGAGGCGCTGCTGGTCCTGGCACAACGTGCCGCCAGGGGGCGCGTTGTGTTGAAACGGCGTGCCAGAGATCCGGTGACGGGTACACCATCCTTCCAGGTGAAGGGACAATCTGTCCGTTTTGACGTTTATCTATAGGTGCCTGCAGCCAGAACACCGTGCCGGATCTGCGGGTCGATAACAAATTCAGCCGCGCGCAACACCCGTTCAACAGCAGGATCGTAGGTCAGTCCGCCATCTTCAGCGACCTGCACCATGCCATGGCGTATTAGCGCATCAATAAATTGTTCGAACAGACGTTGATCTGAAAACTCCGGCGCGTTGATCCCGTACAATCTGGAAATACGTTGCGCCACACCCTGGCTGCGGGTGCGCAGAGTGTCACGATCCATGTCCCCTTGCGCCAGCTGTTGTATCACGATGAACATACGCTCAAGGGTCTGACTTACCAGATTGGACAGCAACGTCAGCTGCAGGTGCTCCGGATGAGCTGGTGGCGGTGCGCTGTACAGGCAGATGGTTCGGCTTTTTGAACCTGCTGCGGTGGGTGCAGAGCTGCGTTCCAGCAAACCCAGTTCCGACATGGCATCCAGGCACGATTGCACTTTCTGGATTTCGGCTTGCGTAGAGAGTTCATTGGCAAGATAAGGGAAGATCAGTTCCACCATGGATTTGATTTGGCTGGCACTCACACCTCGGCGCCTTTTGACCAGCAGGCAGGCAATCAGAGACGGTAATGCCAGTGTGTGTACCACATTGTTACGATACCAGGTCATCATAACGGCGTTGAATGGCCCGTGCGTGAGCACCGGGCCAAAAGGTTCTTCATCGCGGCTTAACAGGCCCAGTTCTTCAACATGTTCAACCACCTCATCTGGGGCAAGGCCGGTAACCACCTCGCGCCCCGGGTTTAGAGTACTCAGAAGTTTCTGATAGCAGGCAATCTGCGCCAGCAGTCTGTGTTCTTCGATGGCTATCTTCGGCGTAGCCAGGGTAACCAGCGCTACCAGATTAACCGGGTTCAGGTTGGCCTGCTGATTGATGCCAATCATCACGTCACGACCGAGCTGTTCGAGATTTGGCTGCTCTTCCGCGCCGCAAGGGGAGTGCGCGACAAGCCACTCGTCCAGCTTGATCGCCTCGCCAATGTTGACCTGCACGCTGCCAAAGTTCTGTTTGATTAACTTGAGATTGCGAAAGACGTCCGTCACCGACTCCGATTGTTTATCTGCGCCGCGTAGCTCAGAAAGATAGCTGGAACCCTCCACTACTTTTTCGTAGCCGAAATAGACAGGCACTAGCGCTAACGGTTTAGGTAAGCCACGCAACTGGTGGTCAACGGTCATCTTCAGTAAACCCATACGGGCCGGTAACAAGCGTCCTGTGCGTGTGCGCCCACCCTCGGGGAAAAATTCGACACAGTGGCCGTGACGATATACCTCGTATAGATATTCGTTGAAAACAGCTGCATACAAAGGGTTGTCGCGAAAGCTTCTGCGCATGAAAAAAGCGCCGCCCCGGCGCAGGATCGGCCCTATCAGAGGTAGGTTCAGATTATCCCCTGCGGCGATGTGCGGGATCATGAAGCCGCGGAAGTAGAGCAGGTAACTCAGCAGTAGGTAGTCCAGGTGACTGCGATGCGAGGGTACGTAGACCAGCGTGTGGCTGGCGCTGACTTCTTCCAAAGACTCAATGCCAGCCACCTCGATGCCGTTGTAAATCTGGTTCCAGAACCATCGCAACAGGCGAGCTAACACGCGAATGGTCGGATGTGACATATCTGACGCAATGGTCCGTGCATATTTACGCGCAAGGCGTTCGGCTTTACCCTGTTTAACGCCGTTAGCCACCTCTGCGGTTATCGCCTGTTTAACATTTGTCGATGTGACCACCTGATGCAGCAGAGTCCTGCGATGGGAAAAGTCTGGGCCCAGAGCGGTTTGTTTCTGTTGACGAAGGCGCACTCGCAATAAGCGGCTGACCCTGCGCGCAAGTATTTCCGTCACTTCATCTTCGTCACAGATAGATAGCGCTGGAATGGGGCGACCTGTATGCACAAAAATATTGCGGCGGTTAATCACAAGATTTAACAGACGCTTTATGCGCCCGGTTACGGCCCAGCCTTCGCTGGTGATATTTTTGAAAAACGTGCCTTCCCCGGACATAGCGCGGCCCCAGAAGACAGATACCGGTACAAACATAATTTTGTCGCGTAGTTCAGGTGGGGATTCAAGCAGCCGGAGCAGACGATCCGGGTTGGATGGGGCGGTCATACGTCCGCCTTTGGAGCGATATAATGCAAAAAACCGATGACGCTCGGTGAAGTCTTCTTCGCCGGATTCGCCTGCCAGAACCATGCTGGTGAATGGTGAAACAAAGCCTGCCTGCACGCAGGCAATATCGAGCATTGCCAGGTCAGTTATGGCGCGATGATGCAGGACGTAAACGATCTCAGCGCCTTCGCCTGGAATGTTGTCTGCGCCTGTCAGTGTAGGACGCGCGATCCATTTGAGAATGGCGCGGCAAAAACGATAAATGAATGCTTTCATGTGCGGCGCACTGGTGTCTAGTTAGGTGTGGAGACCTCTGGGCGTCTGCCATCGAACAAGCCGTCCAACGTGCGATCAACGGAATTGATTTCTACTTCCCAGACAGATTTGTATTTATCCTGGGTAACACTGATTGCCTCTTCTTTACTGCGGATGATCGTAGGGCGCAGAAATACCAGTAGATTGGTTTTTGCGTTGGTTTTGCCGCGTGACCTGAACAAGTTGCCCAGCACCGGAATACTGCCCAGCACCGGTACCCTGGATTCTGATTCAGTGATGTCGTCCTGTATCAAACCGCCGAGCACAATGGTCTGACGATCTTCCGCCAATATTGTTGTTTCAATGGTGCGTTTAGAGGTAACAACGTCAGCAAACGCCTCACCACCGACCGGCGTTGCCAGCACGTTGGTGATCTGCTGGATGACATCCAAACGTACAGCGGAATCGTCGTGTACGTAGGGTGTCACAGTAAGTTCAACGCCAACGTCTTCGCGCTGGACGGTGGTAAACGGGTTGGAGGTGCCGTCTCCAGTGGTGGTAAATGAGCCTGTGCGAAAGGGTACTTCCCGACCTACCAGGATGTGCGCTTCCTGATTGTCCAGGGTCAGGATGCTGGGCGTCGACAGTAAATTGGCTCTCGAGTTGGTAGCCAGCGCGGTGATCACCGCACCAAAGGAAATGGCGCCAACATCGATCTTGGCTGCAGCAAGGGTAGGGCTGGTGATATTCGCCAGGGCTTGTAGCGCATCGACATTGCCATCCTCGCCAACCAATTCGCTGAACAGGCTGGAAATCACGCCCTGCAGGCTGGTGGTTATCAGGGGTACTGTCTCGCCGGATCCATCTGCAGCGGCCATTTCTACGCCGTAGTCCAGGCTGTCATCAAGTGTTATCTCAACAATGGCCGCTTCAATCAGTACCTGGGAACGTCTGATATCGAGCTTTTCGACGATCTCTAACAACTCGTTCATAGCCCCGGGGTCTGCGCTGACAACAATGGCATTGAGGGTTTCATCAGCCTGTATGGTGGTTTCCTGGGTTGCACCTTCTTCGCCTTTGCTTGCGCGACTGCTGATGACCCCGCCGAGAATGTTAGCCACGTTCACCGCGTCTGCATGACGCAACATAATGACCTGGGTTGCATCGGTCGTGGTTGTGGGCTGATCAAGCTTTTCGACGAGTTTCAGAACCTCAGCAATGGGTCGGGGTTTACCGCGTAAAACCAGGGAATTGTTGCGTTCGTTAGCGATGATCTGAATACGTTGTGGTCCTTTGGCGTTGCGCCCGATCTGCTCGGGTGCAACCTTTTCCAGAATGGCCACCACGGTGCCTACCCAGGCATCTTTCAGCGGTACCATGACAACCTCTTCTTCATCGGATACGTCGATTTGCTGAATCAGACGTTTCAACCGAACGATGTTATCCGCATGGTCACTGATGATGACAACATTGGGCTGGGCGACCGAGGCAATGTGGCCGTACTGGGGAATCAATGGGCGTAAAATTTTCACCAGTTCCGCGGAATCAACGTTCTGCGCCGCAACCACTCGAGTGACCAGTTCTTCCGGTGCGATCGAACCCAGGTCACCCGGCACGCCAGGGCCCTGTTTGCCGGTTGCGTTCTGTTGAATTCGGATCACGTCGCCGGAAGGTACCGCGGTAAAATTGTGTAAGCGAAGAACACTAAGAAACAGCGCATAGACGCCGTCTTTATCCATAGGCGCGTCTGAGATAACCGTTACAGAGCCTTTCAGACGTGGGTCCAGAACAAAGGTTTTGCCTGTGATTTCAGCCACTTGCGCGACAAATTCATGCATATCCGAGTTTTTTGTCGTGATACGCCAGGTCTGTTCTTGTGCCAGCACCGCAGTGCCTGTGAAAAGCACGCAGAAAGCCGTTAAAGCTAGAAAAATATTTTTGTTCATTATGCGATTCATACGTGACTTCTAGGCGTTCAGTTTTAAAGCAGCGCTAAGGCAGCGATGCCGTGATGAAAAAACGGCGCTCACCGCGTTGGACTTCTATTCGTGCGGAGCCCTGCGCCATGATGTTGTCCAGTTCCAGCTGGTCCTGGGAAATGTCGCCAACGGGTTGTCCGTTTACCGACAGTATGACATCACCGGCCTGCAGGCCCGTGTTTTTCAGCAGGGGATTCTGTGCCAGGTTGCCAATTCGATATCCGCCGCCATCGACGGTCTCCACACCGAGGTCATTTAACGCGGCAGCGGGGTCTGCTGCAAGGCGTTCCCGATACTGCTCGACAATTTCTTCAGGTGCAGACTCTTCCTGTTCAGTCGCAACGTTTGCCGTGTCGATCAGGTCTGCTGGGCTGTTACTTGAGGCCGAGCCATCAATGCTCTCGTCGGGGTAATCTTCGGCGATGAATTCAGTTTTTGTTTTCGGAAAGGGTAACGTCTCGCGCACGCCGGCACGGACAAGAATAATACGATTGGTGAACACTTCGTCGAGTTTTGCATTGCCCGGCAGCGTGTCCCCAACCACGTAGCGTTTTCCGGGCTTACCTCTTTGCGCAACAATGGCTGCGGAAGCCTGATTTTCGTCAGCCATGAATACACCCTGTAGCTCGAGGGGGAGGCGCGTTTGCTGGACGGGTGCATCACGACTGGTCACCACCGGTGCAGCGCCGGCTTCACCAAACAGATGTTTGCCCAGGATCCAGTTGACGTTTGCTGCGGGACGTACACTTGTACTTTTGCCGAGGTCTGAGTCTGCAACGGTCACGGGGGCGATAGGTGTATCAAAAAACGACCAGGCAAGTGTCGCCAGGGTATAAGCGATACCTATGATCAGCAGCCACTTGGCCGGCTCAGCACCTTTATTGACGATGGTCTCGAACAATTTGTCCCTCTTTTCGATCCCGTAGAGCGTAATCAAGACGATGATATGACAGGTATTATGAGCGTGTTCACAGGTCAAAGCTGTGAAGTGCTACGCTAACACGATTTCGCTGATTCGTCCCCTTCCTTGGCGCGGAGCAGGGCAGCGGCTAAAACCGTCCTTTTATTTTAAAAATGTTCTATAGCTTATTGAATTAAAATACTTTTTCTTCCACCTGAACAACAATGTGATGATCCGGATCAGTTCCTGGCCATGGGTTGTTCAGTAACTGGGTCAAGCGTTTGCTGATACCTACTTTAGCGAATCCATTGGCGCCGAGGGTAGCGATCATCAAAGGCGTCTGATCATTTTCGGCAAAAACCGTGGCCTGGGGTTCATTATTCCCGTTCATATCCAGATAGGCGACCAGAGGTGGCAGCGTTGCCTCGCTGAGCTGTCCCGACAGTGTGTAGCGGACCAATCCACCGGTCCAGTTTATCTGTCCTGCAAATGCGCTGGGTAGAGGGGTGTTGTGCGGCAGCAGAATCCGGGTGGGCAAGATACTGAAGGTCCCACTGGTAGTGATGTCGTAAGGCGCCAGCCATTGATTTACAGCTTGAGCATCGACATCACCAGAAATATTGATCTCAGCGTCACTGAAGCTCGCCCCAGCCAGTCCTGCCAATTGCCAGTTGGTTTGGGTCAGTGTCCATTGATAGGTCGGCTGTAATCTGAACAACGAGCCAACATGAAAGTCCCAGTTCACCTGACCGAGGTGATTATCCTCGACAAGCAGGTCGCCCTGACCTCGCCACAGCGAGCCGCGGCTATGGGTTAACTCAGCTGTATCTGATTGGCTGACAAGGCGATCGACAATGCCTGCTGGAGCTGCGGCTATCGCCGCAAGCACAAACACCAGTAGACCTGCCAGAACATACTTGATCATACTGTTAACAGGGTCTTGATGATGCGCTGGTACATGTTTGTCAGTGGCAGCATTTCTTTAATCTCGATGCATTCATTCAGCTTATGGATGGTCGCATTGCAGGGGCCGAGTTCAACCACTTCGACGCTGTGGCTGCCAGGTGAGCCCCAGGGTGAGATAAAACGACCGTCCGATGTGCCGCCGGAAGTTGACAGCTCTGGTGCAAACCCCATTTCCGCCTGCACGGCTTCGGTGACTGCGCCTGTCAGAGCGCCGGGCTGGGTAAGGAAGGGCTCACCAGATAAAGCCCAGTCTAACTGATAGTCTAAGTGGTACTTGTCGAGCAGCGCCTCTACCGCCTGTTGCAGGCCATGACTTGTTTGCGTTGTGTTGAAGCGGAAGTTAAACAGCACGCTCAGATTGCCGGGAATGACGTTTGTCGCGCCCGTGCCTGCATTGATGTTCGAGATAGCAAAGCTGGTAGGCGGATAAAAGTCGTTGCCGTTGTCCCAGACAATATCGGTCAGTTCTGCAAGTGCACCAAGTGCCTTATGAATCGGGTTGTCTGCATCGGCAGGGTAGGCAACATGGCCTTGAATACCACGCACAAGCAATTTGCCGTTCAGGGACCCTCTGCGGCCACACCGCACCACATCACCTGTCTGTAAGCTGGAACTGGGCTCACCAACCACACAGTAGTCGGGTGTAATACCTCGCGCTTTAAGTGCCTGTATGGCGTAGGTTGTGCCATAAGTCGCGTCCCCCTCTTCGTCACTGGTGATCAGGAAGCTGATGGTGCCGGGCATATCCGGGTGCTGTTGCAGGATGTTCTCCGTCGCCACCACCATCGCGGCAAGACTGGCTTTCATATCAGCAGCGCCGCGACCGTATAAGACGTTGTCGATCACGGTTGGTGTGAAAGGTGGCGTGTGCCACTGATCCAACGGCCCGGGCGGCACCACATCCGTATGGCCGGCAAACAGCAGGTGCGGAGAGCCATTGCCTCGCACGGCCCACAGGTTGCGTACGCCGTTTGCATCTATCTGCTCCAGATTGAAGCCAAGGGCGCCAAGCCGCGCGCCGATGATGTCCTGGCAACCGTCATCTGCGGGCGTTACCGATTGTTTTGCAATCAGTTCGCAGGTCAGATCCAAAACAGCCGCAGCTGACGCCTCGGCAGATTGTGATGTTACTGCCATAAGTTGTCTCTGCCGTCCTGCAAGGTGCTAGTTGTGCGCATGTAGTGCATCGTTCAACGCAATGGCCTGGCGGTTGGTGCGGCAGATCACCTGGCCGGTCTGAGAATTGCGGATAAACAGCAGATCCGATCCGCCGGCAAGTTCACGGGCTTTAACCTTGCGTACTGCCTCACCATGTTCATCTACCACACTGATCACGCTGCCTGCGGTGATGTATAAACCTGCTTCGATGGTGCAGCGATCGCCTAAGGGTATGCCGGTTCCGGCGTTTGCGCCGATTAAGCAGTTCTTGCCGAGGCTGATGGTGATTTCACCACCGCCGGACAGCGTACCCATGGTGCTGGCGCTGCCACCCAGGTCAGTGCCTTCGTCAATAATCACACCCTGAGAGATGCGACCTTCAACCATGTTAGGTCCGATGGCGCCGGCATTAAAATTTACAAAACCTTCGTGCATCACAGTGGTGCCTTCACCGAGGTAGGCGCCGAGTCTGATACGACTGGCATCTGCGATCCTTACGCCTGACGGCATAACGTAGTTCACCATTTTTGGGAACTTGTCGACACTCATTACTTCCAGGTGCCTGCCATGAAGGCGGGCGTCCAGCAAAGCCGCCTGCAGCCCATTGACTTCAATTGGACCTTCACTGGTCCAGGCCAGGTTAGGCAGGTGCGCAAAAATATTGTCAAGGTTGAGTGTGTTCGGACGGGTCAGCCGATGAGACAGCAAATGCAGTTTCAGATAGGCCTCTGCGGTGCTGTTAATAGGTGAGTCATCGGCCAGGCAAACAGCGGTTAACGGCTGGTCGGATGCCAGCATCGAAGGTGGAAACAGCTTCTCATCACAGCGGCTGTTGGCCGTGTGAGCCTGCTCTGGTGTGAGGCTACTCGTGCCTGCCTTGAATTCCGCCAACACATCAGTGAGTGCGGCATCCGGGTGCATCACTGGGTTAGGAAACAGGCAGTCGAGGACGTCTCCTGCACTGTTGGTTGTTGCTAGCCCTATACCAAAGGCAAATACGTTCGCCATGTCAATTCCGCGGTCCTGTAAAAAGACGCGGTATTCTACAGATCAGCGCTGACAACGCCTACACAGATTAGCCAGATTGGGCAAAACGCGCTAACCGCTCTGCAGCTTCAACACACTGTTCAAATGGGGCTACCCAGGCCACGCGGACAAAGCCGCTGCCGGGATTGTGGCCATTATTTGATCTCGCGAGGAACTGTCCCGGCATGACGAGGACGTTGAATTTCTCCAGCAGCGCGCGTGTAAACGCGCCGTCGTCGGTTGGCGTGGCAAGCCAGTGGTAAAAAGCGCCATCCGGTTTATTCATTGTGTAGTGGGGGGCAAGAATGTTGCTGACCGCAGCAAATTTGTCCTGGTATAGCCGCCGATTAGCAATAACATGATCTTCATCCTGCCAGGCCAGGGTCGACGCCGCCTGATGATGTGCACTCATTGCGCAACCGTGGTACGTACGATAGGCGAGAAAGGCTGACATCAGGGCTTTGTCTCCGGCCACAAAGCCACTGCGCAAGCCCGGCAGGTTGGAACGTTTAGACAAACTGTGGAACACCACGCAGCGGCTGAAGTCCGGGTTGCCCATAGCCTTGCTGGCACTGAGTAAACTGCCCGGTGGCAGCGATTCATCAAAGTAAAGCTCGGAATAACACTCGTCAGCTGCGATCACAAAGTTGTACTTGTGTGCGCGTTCGATCAAAGCCTGTTGCTGTGCCTGCGGCATGATCTGTCCGGTCGGGTTGCCGGGAGAGCAAAGATATACAAGTTCGGTCTGTTGCCACTGGGCCTCTGTGATGTGTTCGAAATCCTGTTGGAAGTCCAATGAGGGCTGGTTGTCGATAAGCAGTGGGGTGGCGCCAGCCAGCAGAGATGCGCCTTCGTAAATCTGATAAAACGGATTAGGCATCATAACCAGGCTGTCTGGTTTACCGCTTAACATCGCTTGAGCAAAAGCGAATAAGCCTTCGCGGGTGCCGTTCACCGGTAGAATTTCAATTTCCGGATCAACGTTTACGGTAAATCTTTTTTGCAGCCAGCTGGCTATCGCTGTGCGAAGCTCAATGGAGCCTTTGGTCAGCGGATAGGTCCCTAACGCCTGGCGCATGTTCTCCGGGTCGGTTAAAGCCTTCACCACAAATTCCGGCGGGGCATGTTTTGGTTCACCCAGGGTCAACGGGATGAGGCTGAAAGATGGATTACCTTCAATGTCGTGAGTGAGTTGGCGTAAACGCTCAAACGGATAAGGTTGCAGGTCTTTCAGGTGCGGGTTGTACGTCATGGTTAAGCCTGTCCCAGTTGATTCAATCCCAATTCCTGGTCAAGTTGTTGGCGAATCGCATTTTCCAGCATATAGGTTGGCTCACCTTTGCCGATAGGCTGGAAGTCGCTGTTCTGAATCACAAAAGTGTCCTCCACGCGTTCACCCAACGTGGCGATTTTTGCTGAGAGAAGTTCTATGTTCAGTTCTACCAGTAACAAACCTATTGTCGCCAGTAATCCAGGGCGGTCACTGGCGATGACGGTCATGATTGATGCGTCTCCGGTGGCGTTGGGCACAATGCTGACACTTGTGGGGTGGGGCAATTCCCGCAATCGCCGTGACAGGCGACGACGGGGTAGATCCAGCCCCTTGGCGTCGTCGTTAATCGCCTGCACCAGACGTGAGGCGATCTTTTCGCGCAGCTGGCCCTCACGTGGCAGGCTCTCGCCGTCACTGGTCAATATTGTGTAGGTATCAAAGCAGTTGCCAGTTTCTGCGGTGGAAACGGTTGCGTCCACGATGTTCAGGTCGAAGTGACTCAGTGCCAGCACAGAGGTCGCAAATAGACCTCGCTGATCCCTGCAGTAAATATACACCCGGGTAGCACCTTCGCCAGGCGAATCTCCGTGGGTGTCGCGAAGGGTAACAAAAGCGCCATCTGCCAGATCATGTTGTACAAGCGCTTCGGTCAGCGTTGCAATCTGCGGCGGTGTGTGACGCAGGAAAAAGTCCTCACCGATGTCTTCCCAGACGTTCCTGACCTCCGCTTTATCTAAATCAGGGTGGGCTTCGATCAGTCGCTCAAGTGCACGTTCCTGATACGCGGCCACCGCATCCTCACGATCGGCTGAGGCTTCCACGCCGCGACGCAGGAGTTTGCGGGTTTCGTTGTAGAGGTGGCGCAGGAGCGTGGCGCGCCAACTGTTCCATAAGGTCGGGTTGGTGGCGTTGATGTCGGCAACAGTCAATGCATACAAGTAATCCAGCCGCATTTCGGATTTAACTTCCAGGGAGAATTTGTACACCACATCCGGATCGTAAATATCTTCCCGTTGTGCAACAGAAGACATGAACAGGTGTTTCTCCACAAGCCAGCAGACCAGTTGTGTATCAGTCACACTTAAGTCGTGGCGCCGGCAGAAAATTTCCGCATCAGCAGCCCCGAGCGTGGAATGGTCGCCGCCTCTGCCTTTGCCGATATCATGGAAAATACCTGCGATATAGAGAAGTTCGAGCTTAGGCAGCGTGTGGACCGCATGATAAGCCACCGGAAAAGCCTGTTTGCTGGCCCGGTAGCGGAATCGGCGCATGTTACGAATGACCATCATGGTGTGCGCATCGACGGTATAGATGTGAAAAAGATCGTGCTGCATCTGCCCGATAACGCGACCAAATTCAGGTATGTAACGCCCCAACACACCGTATCTGCGCATTCGGGTCAGCTGAGAAACCAGTGTGTAGGGTGCCTTTAACAGATCGAGAAACAGTTTCTGATGTGCACGGTTGTCGCGAAAATCGTCGTCGATGAGATGCAGGTTTTCCCGGATCTGGCGAATGGTGCGGGCGCGGACGCCAGCAATATCACGACGATTGGCCATGATCACAAACATCTCGAGGATGGCGGAAGGCGTCTGCTGAAATGTATCGTCACTGCGCGCTTCAATATAGCTGTTAGTCAGCTGAAATCTTTCGTTTATGGGTTCTTCGCGAACCTTGCGCGGGGGAATAGTGGATTCCTGAAAATACTGTATCAGAATGTCATTCACTTCTGTCAGAGCCAGTACATGCCGATAGTAGTGGTACATGAAGCGTTCCACCCCGCGCTGGGTTTCGGTGTCAACGAAACCCAATCGTTGGGCAAGTTCGCGCTGGTGGGCGAATTGCAATCGGTCTTCTTTGCGCTGGGCAATCAGGTGCAAACCAAAACGCACCCACCAGATAAAACGTCTACCCTCAACCAGCCATTTTTTCTCCGTCGGCATGAGCACGCCGAGTTCTACCAGCTTTTCGGGATCGGTGGTGTTGAACTTTCGCTTGCAGATCCATAGCGCGGTGTGAATGTCGCGCAAACCGCCGGGCGAGGTTTTGATGTTGGGTTCGAGGTTGTACTCGACATTATCGTAATCTTTGTGGCGTTGTTTCTGTTCTTCGTACTTGGCCTGGAAAAATTTGTCTGCAGGCCACAGGCGAGGGTTGTTCAGTGCCTTGTCCAGGCCGCTGGTGAGTGAAGTGTCACCGGTAATGAAACGTCGTTCAAACAACGCGGTGGCGACGGTAATATCCTGCTTGGCCTGCACCTTGCAGGATTTGATGTCGCGCACACTGTGGCCAACTTCGACATTGAGGTCGAATACAGACTGCAGGAACAGCTCGATCTTTCGCTGGTACTTCTGTGGTTTGCTGGCAAGCACAAGAATGTCGATGTCAGAACCGGGATGGACCTCCTGGCGCCCGTAGCCACCCACCGCGTACAAGGCAACCTGTTTAGTGTCGCCCAGATGCGTTGCAAACAGGTCTCGCAGGATGTCGTCGATGCCGTTGCTCATTTCGAGCAGCAACGTTTCTATGGGTTCGTTTTGCCAGAATCTCGCCGCAAGACCATCCTGCAGCGCATTGAGTTGTTGTCGGCTCTCGAGCGCCTTAGTTAACGTAGCGATGCGCTTTGCACCGGTTGGCTTGCGCTTTCTTCAGCGCGTAACGTGAAAATTTCACAACCTTGTTGTGTCACCATGAGGGTATGTTCCCACTGGGCTGAGAGTTTGTGGTCTTTGGTCACTGCGGTCCATTGATCGGGTAAGATTTTAATGTGACGCTTGCCCGCGTTGATCATGGGTTCGATGGTAAACGTCATTCCTTCTTCCAGGCGCATACCAGACCCGGGACGTCCGTAGTGGAGTACCTGGGGCGCATCATGAAATACCTTGCCGATCCCGTGGCCACAGAACTCACGTACAACGCTGAATCGATTGCGTTCGGCATGTTGCTGGATGGCGTGGCCGATGTCACCCAGATGCGCGCCCGCTTTTACAGCTTCGATACCCTTATAAAGGCACTCCTGGGTGACTTTGATCAGCCGCTTGGCCAGCACTGACGGTTCGCCGATACAGAACATCTTGCTGGTATCACCGTGGTAGCCGTCTTTGATCACGGTGATATCTATGTTCAGCGCATCGCCGTTCTTTAATATCTTGCTCTCGGTGGGAATGCCATGGCAGACCACGTGGTTCACAGAGGTACAGATCGACTTGGGGAAGGGCATCTGTCCGCCGCCACCCCCATAGTTCAACGGCGCAGGGATACAGCCCAACTGGTCGACAATATAGTCATGGCACAGGGTGTTGAGCGCGTCGGTGGTCACGCCGGGTACAACATGTGGGCCAATCATTTCTAACACGCTGGCTGCAGCACGCCCTGCGGCGCGCATTCCATTGAGGTCTGTGTCGTCGGTAACAGTGGCTACCATGGTGATAAAACTCGTTTCGAAGGGTAATCAACTATGGTATAAAGCGCCCCGTCGCGCGGCAAGGACGATTGTCTTTAATTATGACAATTGCCGCTGCGCCATTAACCGCGGCTGTTCTGAAGCGAAATTCAATTTCACTTTGGAGTCAGTTAGCACAAATACAGCATATTCCGTCGCATCCCCACGGGTGCCGCCTTGAAGCGGTTGGGTGATGGGGAGTATGCCGAGACAAACAACCCGGAGAAGACTATGAGTGTATCTATGCGAGATATGCTGGCTGCTGGCGTGCATTTTGGCCATCAGACCAGATTCTGGAACCCCAAGATGGCGCCTTACCTGTTTGGCGCTCGAAACAAAATTCACATCATCAACCTCGAGCAGACCCTGCCTGCCTTCAACGATGCGCTGAGCCAGATTCAGGCACTCGCACGTAAAGGCAATAAAATCCTGTTTGTGGGTACCAAAAGAGCAGCTGCGAAAGTGGTGAACGAGCAGGCCTCACGCGTGGGTATGCCATTTGTCGACCAGCGCTGGCTGGGCGGGATGCTGACCAACTATAAGACCATCCGTCAGTCTATTCGTCGCCTGCAGGACCTTGAAAAACAATCCGAAGATGGCACTTTTGAAATGCTGCCAAAGCGCGAAGCGCTGCAGAAAACCCGGGTTATGGATAAGTTATTCGCCAGTCTTGGTGGTATTAAAGACATGGGCGGTCTACCTGATGCATTGTTTGTTATTGACGTGCAGCACGAACACATTGCCATCAGTGAAGCCAATAAACTTGGCATTCCTGTGTTTGGCATTGTTGACAGTAACAGTGATCCGGATGGCGTCGATGTCGTGATTCCCGGTAACGATGACGCCATTCGTGCGATTCGTCTGTATGTCACGGCTGTGGCTGATGCCATCGCTGCTGGCCAGAACCAGGCTTCCTTGAAGGTTGATCCAGACGAGTTTGTCGAAGTCAGCGACGATGCCGCAAGCGCTGCAGCGCCGGTGGCTAACATTTCTGCCGGTGTGTCGGCATCCGTTGAAGAAGCCTTTGCAGAGCAGGACGAAACTGCAGCGAGCACCACGGCAGATGCACCTGAAGCTGCTGAAAAACCAGCCGCAGGCAAGGAGTAAGCTGATATGGCGATTACCGCAGCAATGGTTAAAGAACTGCGTGAACGGACCGGTCTGGGCATGATGGACTGTAAACGTGCGCTTGAAGCAACCGGTGGCGATCTGGAGCAGGCAATTGAAGAACTGCGTAAGTCGAGTGCATTAAAAGCAGCCAAGAAATCCGGCCGCACAACGGCGGATGGCCTGTTGGGCATTAAAGTGGCTGATGATGGCAGCCGCGGAGCAGTTGTAGAGGTCAATATCGAAACTGACTTTGCGGCTAAAAACGAGAAATTTATTGCCTTTGTAGACAAGGTGCTCAATCAGATCTTTGCTGCAGGCAACAATGATTTGCAGGCGCTGTTAGATGCAGGCCTTGAGGCTGAGCGTGAAACTCTGGTTCAGGAAATTGGTGAAAATATCACCATCCGCCGGGCCGAAGTCATTAATTCCCAGACCGGTGGCATTACCAGCTACCTGCACGGTGATTCCCGCAAAGGCGCTTTAGTGGAACTGTCCGGCCCTGCTGAAGAATTGGGACGGGATGTGGCTATGCATGTCACTGCTTTGAACCCTTTAGTGGTTAACAGCACTGATGTGCCCGCGGAGCTTCTTGCGAAAGAGCGGGAAATTTACACCACGCAAGCCAACGATAGTGGCAAGCCTGCGGAAATCGTCGAGAAGATGGTAGATGGCAGGGTGAAGAAATTTCTGGCCGAAGTCAGCCTGGTCGATCAGCCTTTTGTCAAAGACGATAAGCAGAAAGTCGGTGCGCTGGCGAAAGCAGCTGGCGTTGAGGTTTTGCGCTTTGTCCGCTTTGAGGTGGGTGAGGGCATTGAAAAAGACGAAACTGATTTTGCTGCAGAAGTGGCGGCTCAACTGGGCGGCAGCGACTAACGTTGCCTACTTTTCTGCTAAAGCTGAGTGGCGAAGCCCTCGGCGGTGAAGCCGGCTTTGGTCTGGAGCCCGCTGTGTTACAGCAGCTGGCTGCAGACATCAAAGTGCTCACCAAGCAGGGTGTGTCGCTGGCGTTAGTGTTGGGCGGCGGCAACGTGTTCCGCGGTCAGAAACTGGCGGAATCTGGTATGGACCGTGTGGTTGGCGACAGAATGGGCATGCTGGCCACAGTAATGAATGGCTTGGCCATGGGCGATTTCCTGTCCCAGGCTGGCGTTGCCAACAAGCTGTTTTCCAGTATGGATATTCCTGGTGTCGCGCAGGGATATCACCGCGACGAGGTCCGCGATCTGCTGCAGCAGGGTGTCGTTTGTATTTTAAGTGGCGGCACCGGGAATCCTTTTTTCACCACCGACACGGCAGCCTGTCTGCGTGGTGTGGAGTTGAACGTCGACGCCGTGCTGAAAGCCACCAATGTCGACGGCGTTTACGATGCAGATCCGAAAAGTAACGCACACGCCCGTAAATTCGATACGGTCAGCTACGATGAGGTTTTACAGCGCCAGTTAGGTGTTATGGATCTGACGGCGATCATTCTTTGCAAAGAGAACGCGATGCCGCTTGTGGTGTTCGACATGATGGCAAAAAACGTTCTGCAGGACATTGCGGCCGGTAAATCAATAGGCACCCGGGTGGTGGCCTGATATAACCCGCTGAATTATCCGAAAACCAACGCTTTTGAGGGGTAGTTGTCACCATGATAGATGAGATTGTTGAAGATGCAGACGAACGTATGGGGAAATCATTGGATTCACTCCAGCAGGCGTTTGCAAAAATCAGAACCGGGCGCGCTAATCCGTCACTCCTGGATACCGTTACCATTGAGTACTACGGGTCGGTCACACCACTAAGTCAGGTGGCCTCCATATCAGTCGAAGACGGTCGCACCCTGACGGTTTCCCCCTGGGAAAAACCGCTCATTCCAGAAATCGAAAAAGCCATTTTGAAAAGCGACATTGGTATCACCCCAGTGTCGACCGGAGATGTCATCCGCGTGCCATTGCCGCCGTTGACCGAGGAGAACCGCAAAGATCTGGCCAAAGTTGCGCGCAGCGAGGCGGAAAACTGCCGCATTGCTATCCGTAATATTCGTCGTGATGCCATTAACGACGTACGTGAGCTGGTGAAAGAGAAAGAGGCCACTGACGACGACGCGCATCGCGCAGAGGATCGGATCCAGAGCGTCACAGACGCTCGCGTGGCACAGGTGGATAAGTCTCTGGCGAGCAAAGAAGCCGACCTGATGGAATTTTAAGGCAGCGCTCCAGGGCTCCGACTCTATCCAAATGAACAACAACGTTAAGCCAGGATCCTCGCCTGCGTCAAACAACGTCGCAACAGATGTTCAGCTCAGTGTGCCAAAGCACATTGCAATCATCATGGATGGTAATCATCGCTGGGCGAAGAAGCGTCATTTGCCTGGTGCTGCCGGACATCGAGCTGGTGCCAAAAGGCTGCGTGAAATAGCTGAAGCCTGTGCTGATCTCGGCGTCGAAAATCTTACCCTGTTTGCTTTCAGCACGGAGAACTGGCAGCGGCCGACACGTGAAGTCAGCCTGTTGATGGATCTCATGCGACATGTCATGGAAAACGATCTGGCAGAGCTCAATCGTCGTGAGGTGCGCCTGCGCGTAATTGGTGATCGCTCCCGGTTTGCGCAGGACATACAGGCGAAAATGGCGGACTGTGAGGCGTTAACCGCGACCAATACAAAACTCAACTTAAGTGTCGCAGTTAACTTCGGCGGCCGCTGGGATATCGTAGAAGCGGCTAAAAGCATGGCAAAACAAGTGCAGAGGGGAGAGCTTGATCCCGAACTGATCACTGAAGAAGAGTTTGCCCGGCATATGGCGCTGGGACAGATCCCAGACCCTGATCTGCTTATCCGCACCGGTGGCGACCATCGCATCAGTAATTTTTTATTGTGGGATCTTGCTTACGCGGAACTCTATTTTACGGAGAGTTTCTGGCCTGACTTCGATGCCCAGCAATTAAAACAGGCGGTGCAGGAATTTGAACAACGCGCAAGGCGTTTTGGCGGGCGTTAAAGCCTGCCATTACTTATCACCATGTTATTAAGCCGCATTATCACTGCGCTTGTTCTCGCTCCGCTGGCGCTGGCAGGGGTGTTCTGGTTGCCACCAGGATGGTTTGCGCTGGTTTTCTGGGCGGTATCGGCGCTGGGTTGTTTTGAGTGGGCCAATCTTCTGCACCTGCAGAAAACCGCGCAGAAGCTCGCCTATGTGGCCGCCTATGGTGTGCTGGCAGGCGCGCTTTATTCAGGCCTGGCAAGTTACGCCGCGGCTTTATGGCTTGGTGCTCTGGTCTGGTTGTTTGCGGTCATCGGAGTGTTGGTTTTCCCCAAGGGCACGGAGATTTATCGCCAGCGCCTGTTGATGGGCCTGCTTGGCTGGGCTTTGTTTGTGGCGGCCTGGTCAGCTCTGGTGGTTATTCGTTCAGCGCCACAGGGTAGTTTCTGGTTGGTGTGGCTGTTTGTGTTGGTCTGGGGTGCGGACATCGGCGCTTATTTCAGCGGTCGTGCATTCGGCAAACGAAAACTCGCCCCTGCGGTGAGCCCGGGTAAAAGCTGGGAAGGGGCGATTGGCGGGTTCGTGCTGGCAGCTGTTTTGTGTGGCGTGGGTGCGGCGCTGCTGCAGGCCGACCTGAGATTCTGGCTGCCGTTGACAGCGGGTTTGATTGTTCTGTCGGTCTTTGGCGATTTGTTTGAAAGCGTCATGAAAAGGTCCAGCGGCGTTAAAGATTCTGGCACACTGCTGCCCGGTCATGGTGGTGTGCTGGATCGTATAGATTCGCTGCTCGCTGTACTGCCGCTATTTGCGCTGGTATGGGTTTAGGAACCATTGTCCGATGCAGGCATCCAATTCAGACAAGGTTCAGACTAAAATGTGTATCAAGCTGGTATAGAAAGAGCACACTGTGGATTTATTGCATTACCCATTAGCGTTTATTGCCGTTCTCGGGGTCCTGGTGACCTTCCATGAGTTTGGGCATTACATTGTTGCTCGCTGGTCTGGCGTGGGTATTCTGCGTTTTTCTGTTGGTTTTGGGCGTCCGCTGCTGTCACGGACTGACAAACACGGCACGCAGTTCACCCTTGCCATGATACCGCTGGGTGGCTACGTACGTATGTACGACGAGCGCGACATGCTTTCTGAGGATGACGCTGAGATAGGCGTACCGCCAGGTACCGTGTCTTTCATGGATCTGCATCCTGCCTGGCGGATCGCCATTTCATTAGGCGGTCCCGTGGCTAATTTCATTCTTGCCATTGTGGTTTATTGGGCACTGGCTGTAGCGGGCAGCTTCAATATCACGCCGATGGTTGCGTCTGCTGCTGCTGACAGTCCTGCAGCGCTGGCTGGCCTTGATCAACCGGTCCAGATTCTCAGCGTTGACGGGCGGGTAGCCAATGGCTGGCAGGATATCGGCCTCGGGCTCACTGATCGATTGGGTGAAAGTGGGGTTATCGCGCTGGGCGTGCGCGATCTGCAGACCAACCGCTCGTTTACCGTCGACGTACCCATTATGGATTGGCACGAAGGTGTTGGTGAACCTGACGTTATTGGTTCTCTGGGTCTGCAACCTGTGGTGCTCAGCGTTGTCGGTGAACTGGTTGAAGACTCACCCGCTGTGCAGGCTGGTCTGCAGCCGGGCGACTTTGTCACCGCTGTAAACGGCGAGCCTGTCCTGTCCTGGGCAGATTGGGCCGGGCAGATCGAGCAACATCCAAACCAGCGTATCAGCATAGAGCTCTACCGCGAGGGACGCCAACTGCAGATCAGTGCTACGCCCGGCAGCCGGATGTTGAGCGACGGCACCGAAGTCGGTTCAATCGGAGTTTATCAACCGCAGATAGAAGTGTCCCATGGGGTGCTGGGTGCCGTCGGTGTAGGTGTCACCGAGACCTGGGATAAAACGGTGATGATTCTATCCGTCGTCAAAAAAATGATTACCGGTAAGGTGTCCGTTAAAAATCTGTCTGGACCTATCAGTATCGCCCAGGTGGCCGGAGATTCTGCAAAGTACAGCTGGCGTTCTTTTGTTGGTATCCTGGCGTTTCTCAGTGTTTCGCTGGGTGTTTTTAACCTGTTACCCATTCCTATCCTTGATGGCGGCCACGTGGTTATGCACACTGCGGAACTGGTCACCGGCAAGCCCGTACCTGAAAATATACAGGTGCTGGGTGTGCAGGTAGGGTTGTTTTTAGTAGGCACTATGGTGATATTTGCCACCTACAACGATCTGCTTCGTCTATTTTAATGCTCCGTTTGAGGAATACCGTTTTCATGCGCTATCTGGCTTTGCGCTTTTCTGTGTGGTGCCGATGTGCAGCACGCTACCCGTCACCGGCTAAAGCTCTGCTGACAGGCCTGCTCCTGCTCACAGCTAACCTGCTCCCCGTTACCGCACTGGCTGCTGAGGATCCAAGTTTTCGCATCACAGATGTGCGCCTGCAGGGGTTACAGCGGGTTTCTGCGGGTACTGTTTTCAACCTTATTCCAGTTGGGGTGGGCGACCAGCTGGATCAGCTGGCGGTGCGCGCGACCCTGCGTGAATTGTTTGCTTCCGGATATTTCAAAGACATCCGTATTGGTCGCGACGATGGCGTGTTGATTGTCACCGTGGTTGAGCGCCCGGCGATCGAATCGATCACCATTGAAGGTAACAAAGCGATTCAAACAGAAGCCTTACTGGACGGATTAGGCCAGCAGGGTTTGCGTGAAGGGGAGATTTTCAAGCAGGCAACGCTGGAGCGCGTCGGTCTTGAACTGGAACGTCAGTATGTCGCCCAGGGTCGCTATGGCGCCAGTATTGAGACGGAGATTGAAGAGCTGCAACGCAATCGGGTCAATGTCAAAATTGTCATTGAGGAAGGCAAAAACTCAGGTATTCGCCACCTCAATATCGTCGGTGCGCAGGCGTTCAGTGATGCAGAATTGCTCGACGTGCTGGAACTGAAACACCCCAGCCTGCTGTCGTTTTATCGTAATGACGATAAGTACTCGCGGGAGAAATTATCCGGCGACCTGGAAACTCTGGAATCTTTTTACAAAGACCGAGGTTATGCCGACTTCGACATTTACTCTACCCAGGTAAGTATCACGCCTGATCGGCAACAGGTTTACATCACCATCGGTATTAAAGAAGGTGATATCTACACCATCAATGAAGTTAATCTGGTTGGCGAACTCGGTGATGTTCGACCAGAAGATTTACGCCGTCTGTTTGTGGTTTCCGAAGGCCAGACCTTTAATCAGGCTCGCATTACGGCCACCGAAGAGCGTTTAACCGGTGCGCTGGGTAACTCGGGTTTTACCTTCGCCTCTGCCAGTGGGGTGCCAAAATTGAACGATGACGGCACTGTAGACGTTGAGTTCTTTGTTAACTCCGGCAAGCGGGCGTATGTACGTCGCGTTTCGTTTACCGGCAATCGGGTTACCCAGGACGAAGTGATGCGGCGTGAATTGCGCCAGATGGAAGGTGGCTGGGCATCCTCTTCACAAATTGATCTGTCAAAAGTTCGACTTGAACGCTTAGGTTATTTCAAAGGGGTCGACGTTGAAACGCCACCGGTGCCTGGTACTGACGATCAGATAGATGTGAATTTTTCTGTTGAGGAACAGCCTTCAGGCAGTATTTCTGCCACCCTTGGTTACGCCCAGGGTACCGGACTGATTCTTGGCGCAAATTATCAGCAATCGAATGTGTTGGGTTCAGGTAACAGTCTGGGTGTGGGTCTGAGTGCTTCAAGTTTTCAGGAATCAGCAAGTTTTAACTATTTCGACCCGTATTACACCCTGGATGGTATCAGCCGTGGGTTTAATGTTTTTGTGCGCCGGTTGGATTTTGATGAGCGCAACATTGCGCGTTATGCCACAGATTCAGCAGGGGCGGGTGTTAATTTCGGTTTTCCGATCGGTGAAGTGCAGCGCATCAATTTCGGCCTGCTGGCTGAGTGGACGGACATTACCGAGGGTGCTTTTGCTGCCCAGGAAATTTCCGACTTTATTGAGAAAAACGGCGAAGAGTCGCTGAACTTCAAGCTGAATTTTTCCTGGAGCAAGTCAACTCTAAACCGTGGTCTGTTTGCCGACCGCGGTGCGTCTCAATCGTTGGCGTTTGAGGTCTCCGTACCAGGCAGCGACCTGCAGTTCTACAAAATCAACTACACCGCAGAACGTTATTTCCCGATTACGCAGACCTGGACACTCAGGTTGCGCTCCGAACTTGGCTTCGGTGATGGTTATGGCTCGACAACACAACTGCCGTTCTATCAGAACTTCTTTGCCGGCGGTTTTGGTTCTGTACGCGGGTTTGAGAATTCAACGCTGGGTCCACGCAGCACGCCACCGGTTGATGCCAATGGCAATCCTATTTTCATTGGCGACCGACGTGGTGACCCGCTGGGCGGCAACCTGTTAGTGGAAGGCTCTGCAGAACTGATCTTCCCATTCCCGTTTGTTGATGATAACCGGCAGTTCCGCCCCGCTTTTTTTGTTGATGTCGGCAACGCCTTCAATACCCAATGCCCTGAAGTTGCGCAGAACTGTTTCGATTTTGATCTGGACGAACTGCGTTATTCCGTCGGGTTTGGTATGACCTGGTTGACCGGCCTCGGTCCCATGACGTTCAGTATCGCAAAACCTTTTCAAACCCAGCCGTTTGACGAAGAGGAACGATTTCAATTTGAACTTGGCCGCACATTCTGAGGTAGAATGCGCGCCGTACAACACCCGTGACTTTTTGCGCGGGTACTTTGCTTAAGTAGGAGTAGGTAATGATTAAGAAGTTTGCCCAAATGGCGATGGTAGCCATGATGTTCGCCACTGTGGCAGCTCAGGCTGAAATGAAAATAGTAGTACTGGATTCAGTGCGTGCCATTCTGGAGAGTGATGAAGCCAAAATTCTGGCTGATGCCGCGAACAAAGAAATGGAAGCTGAACAGAATGAACTGCGGGCCCTCGCCGAGGAAATGCAGGCATTGAACACGAAGCTGCAGACAGACGGAGAAGTCATGTCAGCAACGGAATCGCGCAAGGTGCAGAAGGATATCGAAGATAAACAGATAGATCTGCAATTCCGCGGTCAGAAGCTGCAGAAAGAAGTTCAGGACAGACGTCAGGAAATCCTCCAGGAACTGGCGCCAAAGTTCGACAAAGTCTTAAAAGACATTATTTCTGTTGATCAGATCGATCTGATTATGGCGCCCAATGCGCTGCAGTATGCCAACTCAAAACACGACATCACTCGTCGCGTCACAGAAAAGTTGAACGAAGAGCGCGACTGATCGTTTGCAGATCATTCACTGGCTTTTATTCACATGATTACCGTTGCAGATATTGCGCAAACGATTGACGCAACGGTAGCCGGTGATAGTGCTGTCGAGCTGCATGGTCTGGGTAGTCTGGGCAGTGCCAGCGCCGGTCAGCTGAGCCACCTTTCCAGTTCGAATTATCGGCATATGCTGGCCACAACCGAGGCCAGCGCCGTTATCCTGCGTCCGGAAGATGCTGCGGATTGCCCGACTACTGCTCTGATTGTCGATAACCCCTATCTGGCCTTTGCCAAAGCGTCCATGTGTTTTGTACAACCTGTGCAGATGGCTGCGGGCATTCATGCCAGTGCTGAAATCGGCGAAAACTGTCAGATTGATGCAACTGCCAGCATCGGCCCTCATGTTGTGATTGGCGCGGAAACGGTTGTTGGTGCGGGGGTTAAAATTCACGCAGGTGTGAGTGTCGGGGCGCGTTGTCATCTCGCGTCCGGCGTCATGCTGCATGCCAATTCAACCCTCTACAGCGATGTTCAACTGGGCGAAAATACTCAGATACACAGTGCAGCGGTGATTGGAGCCCCCGGGTTCGGGTTTGCGCCAGATGCCATGGGGCATCTGCATGAAATTGCTCAGATTGGTGGCGTTGTTATCGGTGCCAACGTCAGTGTTGGGGCGGGTTCTACCATTGACTGCGGGGCGATTGATGCCACGGTTATTGAAGAGGGAGTGAAAATCGATAACCAGGTGCAGATAGGCCATAACAGCCATGTCGGCGCACATACGGTGATCTGTGGTTGTGTAGGTATCGCAGGCAGCTCGGTTATCGGCAAACACTGTGTACTAGCAGGAGGCAGTGGGGTTGGCGGTGATAAACCGGTAACCTTGTGTGATGGTGTGCGCGTAACCGCTTGCACAACAATTTCACAATCTGTCAGCGTACCCGGCACATATTCGGGTAGCATAGTGTTTCACGACCACGGTAAGTGGCGTCGTAACGCGTTACGTTTTTTTGCGTTGGATGATTTGTTTAAGCGTGTCAGGAAGCTCGAGCGAAATGGCATAGCGGACCAGAATAAATAGATTTTTACAGGGATAGGTGGGGAACTTGATGAGCGGCCAAAAAAACATAAACGAACTGTTTTCGTATCTGCCGCATAGATATCCCTTTCTCCTGATCGATCGCGTGGTAGAGCTTGAAGTGGGCGAATCGATTCGCGGTTACAAAAATATCACTGTCAACGAAGAGCTTTTTAACGGTCATTTTCCCGGTCAGCCTATTTTTCCCGGCGTTCTGATTCTTGAGGCCATGGCGCAGCTGTCCGGCGTGCTGGCATTTGAAACCAAAGACAAGCGTCCGGCGGATGGTGTGAACTATCTGTTTGGCGGTGTTGAAAAGGCGCGCTTCCGACGTCCGGTTATTCCAGGTGATCGCCTTGATATGGTCAGCAAGATAATCGCCGATCGCAGCCGCATGATGAAATTTGAGTGTTCCGCTTATGTCGATGAAGCGCTGGCCTGTTCAGCTGTTTTATCGGTTGTTGAGCAGCGTACATGATTGATGGCCGCGCCATCATAGATCCCAGTGCGGTACTGGGCGAAAATGTATCAGTGGGTCCCTGGTCAATTGTCGGTGCTGACGTTGAGCTGGGTGATAACGTTCAGATCGCCTCCCATGTAGTGGTAAAAGGCCCAACGAAAATTGGCGCCGGGGTAAAAATATTTCAATTCTCAACGGTCGGTGAAGATACGCCGGCATTTGCCTTTGCAGGTGAAGAAACCCATCTGACCATTGGTGAAAATACCGTCATACGGGAAGGTGTGACCATTCACCGGGGCATGACAAAAGGCGGCATCAGTCGCACTGAGGTGGGCAAAAACTGTCTGCTTATGGCCTATGTTCATATCGGTCACGACTGCATTGTTGGCGATCACGTGGTGATGGCAAACAACGCTTCTCTGGCAGGCCATGTCGTGGTTGGCGATTATGCTAATTTCGGCGGCTATTCGGGTATTCCTCAGTTCCGTCATATCGGCGCCTATACCCATATCGCAGCCATGAGTCTGGTGCTTAAAGATGTACCTGCTTACATGACAGTCAGTGGCAACCCAGCTGTTGCAGTGGGATTGAATACCGAAGGCATGAAGCGACGTGGCTATTCCAAAGCAACAAGCGCAGCCCTGCGCCAGGCACACCGTATTGTCTATCGCAACGGTTTGACCGTAAAAGAAGCGTTGGCGGAGTTAGCGCCTATGCGAACCGAATTTGCGGAAGTTGACCTGTTTGCACAATCGGTTGAAGGCTCGCAATGGGGCATCATTCGCGGGCGTAACAAATCGTAGTTGCGAATGAGAGCAACCGAGCCGGAACCAGCAACGATTACCGTTGGAATTCTTGCCGGCGAGGCATCAGGGGATAATCTTGGCGCTGGCCTGATGACGGCCATGCAGGCCCAATCCAAACAAACCCTGAAGTTCATTGGTGTTGGCGGTGAGGCAATGGTCGCAGCCGGACTGTCTGCATTGGCACCTCTGGACGCGCTGGCGGTAAACGGCTTTCGTGACCCTATTCTGAAGCTGCCTGAGTTGATCTCTTTATTACGACGTCTGATCAGAACTTTTGAGCAAGCGCAGATCGATGTGTTTGTGGGGATAGATTTCAATGTCTTCAATTTTATTCTCGAAGCAGCACTGCGCAAGCGCGGAATAAAAACTGCTCATTACGTGAGTCCCTCAGTCTATGCCTGGCGAGCCGGACGTACCAAACGCGTCGCCAGAAGCGCAGACCTGTTGCTGTGTCTGTATCCGTTTGAGCCTGCATTTTACGCGCAGACCTCTGTGCATGCTGAGTTTGTCGGTCACCCGCTGGCTGACGAGATTGATATGTCGGCGGGCGCTGATCCCGCGCGATTGACCGCACGACAGGCGTTGGGTGTCGGGTCAGATGCAACTGTTCTGGCGATGCTGCCTGGCAGTCGCAACAGCGAAGTAGAACTGATGATTGAACACTTTCTCGGCGCTGCTGCGTTGTTCGCAGAGCAAACACCAGACACTGTAACAGTGATTCCCTGCCTACGAACGACAATTAGAGAACGGGTTGAAACAGCACTGCAGGCTTATCCGCAGCTGGTGGTCAAACTCTACGAGGGTAACGCCCGCCAGGCTCTGGTGGCTTGTGATGTTGCTCTGGTGAAGTCCGGCACCAGCACCCTGGAAGCGATGTTGTTGCATCGTCCGATGGTGGTCAGTTACAGGTTGGGATGGTGGACCTACCAGCTGGCAAAACGGGTTTTGCGTACACCCTATGTGGCGCTTCCCAACATTCTGGCCGGACGCCCGCTGGTACCGGAGTTGTTGCAGCACGATGGCACGGCTCAGGCGCTTGCTCAAGCACTGCAGCAGGAACTGCATGCAGCAGCGCAGGGAGCCGAAAATACCAGCGCATTCGAACAGCTTCATCAACAATTACGACAGGGTGCTGATGCTAAGTCAGCAGCCAGCGTGTTACGCTTGCTGGCAGAAAATACCACAGGTTCCTAAGCGTGCAGTCTGCCTCTACAGTGCCAGCTCAAACAGTGCCCGTTCAAGCTTCTCTACTACATCAGGCAAGCCCTGATGGCGCGCATAAAGCCTGGGATCAACCGCTCCACGCCGGCGTTGATGAGGTGGGCATCGGTCCATTGGCTGGCCCGGTGGTAGCAGCGGCAGTCATCCTTGACCCTGCTAACCCGATTGAAGCGCTCGCCGATTCAAAAAAGCTTACGCCGAAAAAACGCGAAATTCTGGATCTTGAGATTCGGCAGAATAGTCTGTGTTGGGCACTGGGTTGGGCCTGGGTGGATGAAATTGATGAACTGAACATCCTGCGCGCCAGCCATGTGGCTATGCAACGTGCCTGTGAGCAACTGCGTGCTGTACCCGTGCACATCTGGGTGGATGGTAATAAGGTGCCAGAATTTGGTGTGCCAGCGGTTGCTGTTGTGCAGGGTGATAAACATGTGCCGCAAATCAGCGCCGCATCAATCATCGCTAAGGTTGCCCGGGATAAATACATGAGTGCTTTAGCCTGCCAATATCCAGGTTATGGTTTTGCTCAGCACAAAGGTTATCCCACAAAGGCGCACCTGGCTGCGCTCCTGGCATTAGGTGCCACACAATATCATCGAAGGAGTTTTGCACCTGTGCGCAATGTGCTTGCTGAGGAGTCCCGGACCGCGTGAGTGAAAACACTGCAAGTCCAAACGAACCAGGTACCTTAGTCGACCCGGGTTTTGTGCATCTGCATGTGCACAGCGAGTTTTCTCTCGCTGACGGATTGCTAAAGGTGAAGCCGCTGATTGCAAATCTGGCAGGGCAGGGTGCGCCTGCGGTGGCGCTTACCGACATTGGTAACCTGTTTGCTCTGGTGAAGTTTTATGAAGCCGCGCTTGGGCGCGGGATCAAGCCGATTCTCGGGGTAGAGCTTCAAGTGCAGACAAGTGAAGACGCCGAGGAGCAGCCTGCGCGCGTGGTGCTGCTGGCGATGAACAAGCAGGGTTACAACAACCTGATACTGCTGGTGTCCGCCAGCTACACCACAGTCACGACCCGGGGATTAGTCACAGAAGCGCTGGTTTTTCAGCATTCGGAAGGGTTGATTGCCCTGTCTGGTGGGGTAGGTGGGCATCTTTGGCAGCATGCCGTAGATGGCGATCAGGCGCTGTTAGCGCCACGCATTCAACGCTGGCAGGCTGAATTTGGTGACCGTTACTATCTAGAACTCACCCGTACTGGACGAACGGGGGAAGATGCTGCTAATGCCAGTTTGGTGACCATGGCGACTCAGCTCGGTGTGGCCGTGGTGGCAACCAACGACGTCTGTTTTGCTGTGCCAGAAGATTTTGAGGCCCATGAAACACGGGTTGCCATCCATGAAGGCATGACCCTGGATGACCCTCGTCGACAGCGTAAATACAGCGAACAGCAATATCTGCGCAGCGATGCGGAAATGGCGGCGCTGTTTGCAGATATACCCGTTGCGCTGCAGAACTCGGTGGAAATTGCCAAACGCTGTTCGGTTGAAGTGCAGTTGGGTGAATACAAACTGCCGGATTATCCTATCCCTGAAGAACACACAGCCGCCAGCTTCCTGCAGCTGACCGCCATGCAGGGGTTGGATGAGCGCATCGAGACCCGCGGCTTGCGTGCCCCGGACGCCACCAGAGATGACTACGTCGCCCGGCTCGAGTTCGAACTCAACGTCATTAATGAGATGGGCTTTGCCGGTTATTTCCTGATTGTTATGGAATTTATTGCCTGGGCTAAAGCCAACTCCATACCCGTTGGGCCGGGACGAGGCTCCGGCGCCGGTTCGCTGGTTGCTTATGTGCTTGGAATCACTGATTTAGACCCCCTCGAATACGATCTGTTATTCGAACGTTTTCTGAATCCTGAACGGGTATCGATGCCGGATTTCGATGTCGATTTCTGTATGGAAGGCCGTGATCGCGTTATCAACCATGTCAGTGAGCTGTACGGCCATGAAGCGGTCAGCCAGATCATTACATTTGGCACGATGGCGGCAAAAGCTGTGGTGCGGGATGTGGCGCGGGTGCAGGGCAAACCTTATGGACTGGCGGACAAGCTTTCGAAACTTATTCCCTTTGAAGTCGGTATGACGCTGACCAAGGCGATGGAGGAGGCTGCTGACCTGCGGGAGTTTGTCGAAAGCAGCGAAGAAGTTGCCGAGATCATGGAGATGGGGTTCAAGCTCGAGGGCATTGTACGCAACGTCGGGCGTCATGCGGGTGGCGTGGTGATTGCCCCCAGACTGCTTACTGAATTTGTGCCGCTCTACACGGAAGAGCTTGGCGGCAGTCTGGTCAGCCAATACGACAAAGATGACGTAGAGCGTGCGGGTCTGGTTAAGTTCGACTTCCTCGGCCTTAAAACGCTGACCATCATTGACTGGACAGTGCAGAGTATCAACGCCGGCAAGGCCGAAGGTGAACCACCATTGGAGATCGAAGCACTGCCACTGGACGATCCGGGTGCTTTTGATCTGTTACGTGCGGCTGACACAACCGGGGTGTTTCAGTTGGAATCCCGCGGCATGAAAGAGCTGATCGGCAAACTCAAGCCAGACAGCATCGACGATATTATTGCGTTGGTTGCTCTGTTTCGACCGGGGCCTCTGCAATCCGGCGCCGATGCTGATTACATTAATCGTAAACACAAATATGAACCTGTTGTCTATCCACATCCGAGCCTGGAAACAGTGCTGGGTGGCACCTATGGTGTGGTTCTGTATCAAGAGCAGGTTATGCAGGTGGCCCAGGAGCTGGCTGGCTTCACCCTCGGCCAGGCGGATCTGCTGCGGCGTGCCATGGGTAAGAAAAAGCCCGAAGAAATGGCCCGGGTGCGTAAAGAGTTTCTGATTGGCACCGCCGCTAACGATGTGGATCAGACCCTGGCCAACGAAATCTTCGATCTGATGGAAAAGTTCGCCGGCTATGCATTTAACAAATCTCACTCAGCCACCTATGCGGTCATCAGTTTTCAGACCGCCTGGTTAAAAGCACATTACCCAGCTGAGTTTATGGCCGCAAACCTGTCGGCCGAAATGCAGAATATCGATCGCATTGTCGTTTTAATTGACGAAGTGCGGCGCATGCAGATTCCCCTGTTACCCCCAAGTGTTAACCTCAGTCAGCATCGGTTTTCGGTGCAGAATGACAGTATCATCTACGGGCTGGGCGCTGTTCGCGGGGTTGGTGAAGGGCCGGTGGCGGCTATTGTTGAAGCCCGTGCGGATGGCGCTTTCACTGACCTGCAGGACTTCTGTCAGCGTCTGGATACCAAAAAAGTTAACAAGCGTGTGCACGAAGCATTAATTGCCTCCGGCGCCATGGATGAGTTCGCCTTGCCGGGAGAGCTTCTGGATATGACCCGCGCGCGGCTTCGTCACCAGTTACCCCAGGCGTTGCAGAGTGCAGAACAGCAGCTGCGCAACGCTGAGGCAGGTATTGTCGATATGTTTGGTGGCGTTGATACCAATGTCATCACGCCAACCAGGGCTATGGCAGACATCAAAGCGTTAACCGGTCGCGAGCGACTTCAGGGTGAGAAAGAAGCCCTTGGGCTGTACCTGACGGGCCATCCTATTGAAGAGTATGAGCAGGAGCTGAAACATTTCTGCAAACGTAAAATTGCCAGGCTGCGGGCAGAAAAGAAAACCCAGTGGGTCAGCGGCATGGTGGTCAGCACACGGATTATGAAAAGCCGACGTGGCGCGCCCATGTGTTTTCTGGTCCTTGACGACCGCAGCGCGCGTTTGGAAGTTTCATTGTTCCCCGATTGCTACGAACAATTTGGTGCCAAGGTGGCCAAAGATGAGCTGCTCATCATAGAAGGTGAGGTGGGTGCTGATGAATTTTCAGGCGGGTTAAGTTTACGTGCAGAGAAAGTCTATACCATTGCGGAAGCACGCCAACGCTTCAGTGAAGGATTTGTGATCGACTTTCGACAGGCGCCGTTGCCGCCAGACTTTGGTTCCCGGTTGAAGCAGGTACTTGGTCCGCACCGGACCATGGATGACGGTTGCCCGATTGCAATCTGGTACGCAGCAGCTGAAGCTCAAGCGCGTATCTGTCTGGGCCAGGACTGGCGCGTGCAGGCCAGCGACGACCTTGTACGCAGTTTGAATGAAGAATTTGATGGCTGCGTACGGCTGGATTACGCGGGCAGCGGTTAGTTCAAGTGACGCGGCGAACGGCATCATCACAGCGGGTTGAGGCAGCCCTTGAGCAATCCCTGGCGGCGTATCCAGGTGCGCAGGTCTGGGTGGGTTTCAGCGGCGGCCTTGATTCCACCGCGCTTCTGCTCGCAGCAAGGCAGGTGCAGCAATCCCGGTTAGCAGATCTGCAGATCAACGCTATACATGTGAACCACAATTTACACGCACACAGCAGCGCCTGGGCAAAGCACTGCGCCGAAGTCTGTGTTGCGCTCGATGTGCCACTTACTCAGGCGACTGTGCACGTTCCAACGCTCGGTAACCTGGAAGCCAATGCACGCCGGGTCCGTTACGTCGCTTATGCGCAGCACCTACCCCCTGCAGGTGTGTTATTGCTTGGTCATCACCAGCAGGATCAGAGTGAGACCATTCTTTATCGCTTGCTGCAGGGGCGGGGTATGTTGACCATACGGCCCCAGGGTCGCCTCGGCAGCGGGCACTTCTTGCGTCCGTTGCTCAATCTGTCGCGCTCTGAACTGGGTGACTATGTTCAGGGTCATGATTTGAGCTGGATTGAAGACCCGACCAATGCAGATACCGATCTGCACAGAAATTTCCTGCGCGCAGACATACTGCCCCGGTTGAAAACCCGCTGGGGCAATGTTGATACAGCTCTGGCCCGTGTCGCACACCACCACCAGCAAACAGTAGGCGCGTTGGTGGACACACTGTCCTGGCTGCCTGATGAAGTGCCTGTGCAAACGCTGCCAACGGACCCCGAACGTCGGCGCGCGTGGTTGCGTGCGTACCTGGCCAGCAGGGAGGTATTTACTGTCAGTGACAGAGGTTTGGATGAATTCATTGCGCAGCAGGCCTCTGCAGGTTCTGCACATCTGCAGGTGGGTGAAGCAAACATTTATATCTATGACAGCACGTTCTATTTTGAAGCTAAGCCGCCACAGGCAATGGCTGCTGTGCTGCTTGAAGGTCCTGGTGTCGTGGATTTGCCTTACGGGAAGTTACATCTGCGGCAGGTACCGCGGGAAGAAGAGTTTGCCTTCAACGCAGCGCAACCGTTGAGGCTGGCGTTCCGCAGTGGCGGCGAAACGCTGCAAGCAGTGACGCCGGGAAACACTGCAGACAGGGCTTTCACGAAAACCCTTAAACAACTGTTAAACGATGCCCGGGTGCCGCCCTGGCGCAGAGACAGTTATCCGTTAATTTTTTCAGGTGATGCCCTGGTCTGTGTGCCTGATATTGCGGTTGCACAAAGTGCTTCAGAAGCGCCAGCAGATGGCAATTCATACTGGCAGGCGCATTTCGAACCGCACCTTGCTGCGGGTACGGCACACAGTAAAAAATGATCACCAACATTGAGCTTAGGCAGGCGTTTTGCTATCTTGCAATCCCATCTTGAGCGAGCCATTGTCGGCTGTCTTTTAACGCAATTAGCACTTTAGCAAAAGCCGTCCAGAACACTGGTCGAGTTCGTTGGTTTGTGCACCTTTTGATGGGTATTCATGACGAGATATATTTTTGTAACGGGTGGGGTTGTGTCGTCTTTGGGCAAGGGCATTATCACTGCCTCTCTGGCTGCCCAGCTGGAAGCTCGCGCGCTTAAAGTCAACGTGTTGAAGATGGATCCCTATATTAACGTGGATCCAGGCACCATGAGCCCGATTCAACACGGTGAAGTTTTTGTCACCGTTGATGGTGCCGAGACCGACCTTGATCTGGGTCACTACGAACGCTTTTCAAACGTGCGCATGTGTCGCGATAACAATTTCACCACGGGCAGTATCTACGCAGAAGTTATCCGGCGGGAAAGGCGCGGTGATTATCTCGGGGGTACCGTGCAGGTCATTCCCCACGTCACGGACGAGATCAAACGCCGGATCCGCAAAGTAGCAGACGGCTTTGATGTGCTGATTGTCGAAATTGGCGGCACCGTAGGTGACATTGAATCCCAACCCTTCCTCGAAGCCATTCGTCAGCTGCGACTTGAAGTGGGCAGCGTACATACGCTGTTTATCCATCTCACCTATGTGCCTTTTTTAAGCAAAGCGGGTGAAATTAAAACCAAACCCACGCAGCACTCGGTGAAAGAATTTCGTTCTATTGGTCTGCAGCCAGATATTCTGGTGTGCCGGTCTGAAAACCCGTTACCGCGCTCTGCACGAAGCAAGATTGCATTGTTTACGAATGTGGAAGAACGCGCGGTCATTTCCAGCTGGGATGTGGACACGATCTATCAGGCGCCACTGATGCTCCATGATGAAGGTCTGGACGACTACGTCGTTGAACGCCTGGGTTTAGAGACAATCCCGGTAGACCTGTCCGAGTGGCGTGACGTGGTGCAGGCTCAACAGAATCCAGAGCACACTCTGAAGCTGGCTTTTGTGGGGAAGTATCTGGATCTGCTGGAAGCTTATAAATCACTGATTGAAGCGATTACCCACGCCGGCATTCAGACCCGTAGTGACATCCAGATTAACTATATAGATGCTGAAGACCTCGAAAGAGACGGCACCGATGTGCTGGCAGATGCAGACGCCATCTTAGTTCCCGGTGGCTTTGGTCGTCGTGGGTTTGAGGGCAAAATTCTGGCCGCAGCCTACGCGCGTGAACATAAAATCCCCTATCTGGGTATCTGTTACGGGCTGCATGCGGCGGTGATCGATCTGGCCAGGCATTGTGCCCACCTGGAAGGTGCGCACAGCACCGAAATTGACGGCGCGGCTAAACACCCGGTCATTGGACTGGTGACCGAATGGGTCAGCGCAGACGGTCAGGCACAGAAACGCGACAGTAACAGCGACCTCGGCGGCACCATGCGTCTGGGTGAGCAGGCCTGTGTCCTGAATCAGGGCACGCTGGCTCAGCGTGTGTACGATACGAACGTGGTCTACGAGCGGCATCGGCATCGTTTTGAAGTCAACAACCACTATCTCAAGGACCTTGAGGCCTGCGGTATGGTCGTCGCTGGACGTTCTGAAAATGGTGAGTTGGTTGAGATGATTGAACTGGTAGACCATCCCTGGTTCCTGGCCTGTCAATTCCATCCTGAGTTCACCTCGTCGCCGCGTAAAGGACATCCTTTGTTCACCGGGTTTATCAAGGCGGGCCTGGCTCATGCGGAGCAGGTGCAACTTAAAAATGGCACCGACGACTGATACAGCGGTCGGCAACATCCAAAGGATACAGACAGATGAAATATTGCGGATTCGATATTGGCGGGCGAGAACCTTTGTTTCTTATTGCCGGGCCCTGTGTCATCGAGTCAGAACAACTGGCGATGGAAACCGCTGAGACGTTGAAAGAAATTGCTGACGATGTTGGCGTGCCATTTATCTATAAGTCTTCTTTCGACAAAGCTAATCGTTCGTCCATGGATAGCTTCCGTGGACCAGGTCTGGAGGAGGGGCTGCGTATTCTCGAAAAAGTACGCACAACTTTTGCGGTACCAGTATTAACAGACGTTCACGAAGACACGCCGCTGGATGAAGTTGCGGCGGTTGTCGATGTTCTGCAGACGCCGGCATTTTTGTGCCGACAGACCAATTTTATTATCAAAGCCTGTTCCCAGGGCAAGCCTGTGAACATAAAGAAAGGGCAATTCCTGGCGCCTCTGGACATGTTGCAGGTGGCAAAAAAAGCCCTTTCAACCGGCAATCCTGCAATCACAGTCTGTGAGCGCGGAGCCAGTTTCGGTTACAACAACCTCGTTTCTGACATGCGCTCATTGTCCTGGATGCGACAAACAGGCTGCCCTGTCGTTTATGATGCAACCCACTCGGTGCAAATGCCGGGTGGCCTGGGCACGGTGTCCGGCGGTAATCGGGAAATGGTGCCGGTTCTGGCTCGAGCAGCTGTTGCTGCTGGCGTTTCCGGTGTTTTCATGGAATCCCATCCGCGGCCCGAAGAAGCTCAATCGGATGGCCCTAATTCATGGCCTATGGGCATGATGAAAGTGCTGCTTCAACAACTCAAAGATATTGATGATCTGGTTAAAAGTCAGCCTCTCATAGAAGATCAGCTGACGGCACAATAAAACACGAAAGAGAACCACACCAACATGACAAGTATAAGCGCCATTCACGCCAGAGAGATTCTCGACTCCCGCGGTAACCCAACCGTTGAAGCAGACGTACACTTAAGTTCCGGCATCATCGGCCGGGCAGTTGCGCCTTCCGGTGCTTCAACGGGTACTCGTGAAGCTCTGGAACTGCGTGATGGCGATGCCTCCCGATACATGGGCAAGGGTGTGAGCCAAGCCGTAGGGCACGTTAATTCCTCGATTGCCGGCGCTCTGCAGGGTATGGACTGTACAGATCAGCAGGCGCTTGATCAGGCGCTGCTGGCGCTGGATGGAACGCCTAACAAATCGAAGTTAGGCGCTAATGCGATGCTCGCTGTTTCACTGGCAGCGGCCAAAGCCGCCGCGTTGAGCCAGCAGGTGCCACTGTATCAGCACATTAACCAGCTGGCGGGTGCGCCGCCGATGTGTATGCCGGTACCCATGATGAACATCATCAATGGTGGCGAACACGCGGACAATAACGTCGATATCCAGGAATTTATGGTGCAGCCGGTAGGCATGAGCTCTTTTCGCGAAGCGTTGCGTGCCGGTACAGAAATCTTCCATCATCTGAAAGCTGTGTTGTCCGGTATGGGATTGTCAACTGCTGTGGGTGACGAGGGTGGCTTTGCGCCTGATCTCACATCAAACAGGCAGGCGCTGGATGTGATTGCTGAGGCTATTGAAAAAGCCGGTTATAAGCTCGGCAGCGATATTACGTTAGCGTTAGATTGTGCTGCATCGGAGTTTTATGAAAACGGTCAATATAACCTCAGCGGTGAAGGTGTCAGCTATGATGCGCCCGGGTTTGCAGACTATCTGGCGGCACTGAGCGACAAATACCCGATTTTGTCCATTGAAGATGGTATGGACGAAAGTGACTGGGCAGGCTGGACCGAACTGACACAGAAAATCGGCTCGCGGGTGCAGTTGGTCGGAGATGATCTGTTTGTTACCAATACCGAAATTCTGGGTCGTGGCATTGCTGAAAACGTCGCCAATTCCATCCTCATTAAATTCAATCAGATTGGCACCTTGAGTGAAACGTTAGAAGCCATTGCCATGGCCAACGCTGCGGGTTATACCAGCGTTATCTCGCATCGCTCTGGCGAAACTGAAGATACAACCATCGCTGACCTTGCGGTTGGCACGGGTGCCGGCCAGATAAAGACTGGATCCTTGTGTCGCAGTGACCGGGTTGCTAAATACAACCAACTGCTGCGGATTGAAGAACAGTTAGGTGACAAAGCCAGTTACCCCGGCCGCTCTGCGATCAAGGCAGGTTAGCGTATGCAGATGAAAGTTCTGGTGGCAACTGCGTTGATTGTTCTGTTATGGCTGCAATACGGGTTGTGGTTTGGTCAATCCGGGTACTTTGCCCGGGAGCGTATGCAGGAACAATTGACGCAACAGCAACAGCGTGTCGAAGTGCTGCAGCAGCGCAATCAGATACTGCTGGCAGAGGTAGTCGCGATGAAAGGTGATCGCAGTGTCCTGGAAGCGCGAGCACGACGGGATCTTGGCATGGTAAAGACCGGTGAAGTATTTTATCTGATCCCGGATGTCGATCTCTAACACGCAGGCGCCGATACCGCAGGCGCAAATCAAAGCATTACCCGAACACTTTCGGGTCGATGAGGTGTTAGAACTGCCGTTTTCAGGGCAGGGTGAGCACGCCTATTTTTATGTTGAAAAGACCGCTCTGAATACGGCAGATATTGTCGCTATGCTGGCAGCTCACTTCCAACTGGCACCTCAGGCCATTGGTTATGCCGGACGCAAAGACAAACATGCCATGACACGACAGTGGTTCAGCGTTCCAACGCCGGAAGATCACTGGGAGCCTGAGAATCCAGGGGTAAAAGTTCTTCTATCTCGGCGCAGCGAAAAGAAACTCCGGCGCGGTGAGCACAGCGCCAACACCTTTGAGCTGACGCTGACCGAGGTGAAACACTGGTGCGGGTCTTCGATGAGTTCGTTATCAGAGTGTTTCCCCAACTACTTTGGCACCCAGAGGCTGTCTGCCGGCAACATACAACAGGCACAGGACTGGCTGCGCAGTGGGGGGTGGGGGCGTGCATCCCGGGATCAACCTCGCGGTGCGCGTCGTCGACAACAGAAGCACAAAAGTGGTCGTCGCGGCTGGCATCTGTCTGTTCTGCGGAGTCTGTTATTTAATGCCGTACTGGATCAGCGTGTGGCTGTGGGCAACTACGCCACGTTGATCGACGGTGATGTTGCAATACACGAGCTGCCTTCCGGACCACTTTGGGGCCGCGGTCGCTCCCAGGTGAGTGGGTTGGCTGCAGAAATCGAGACCAGCGCGCTAGCACCATTTGCGCATACCTGTGAAGCGTTGGAGTATGCGGGCGTATCCATGGACCGTCGTGTGTTGGCGGCACAGGCTAAAGGCTTGGAAGTGTCACAGGCAGCTGACGATGTGTGGGTCCTGAAGTTCACGCTGCCCCCCGGAGTGTATGCGACAACGCTGCTGGCAAACCATTTCAACGTCCACGATGCCAGCGCTCGCCATGAGTAATTCAGACCTTAAAGGTATCGGTATGACCTCGCAGCGCACCCGCGACCGCCTGGTCGCCCGTCTGCGCGAGAAAGGCATAGTCAATGAGCGCGTCCTTGCGCAGATAGCAGCAGTGCCGCGACATCTGTTTGTGGATGAGGCGTTATCCCATCGTGCCTATGAAGATACTGCGCTGCCGATAGGGCATGGGCAGACCATCTCGCAGCCGTTTGTGGTTGCTTTAATGACCCAGGTGTTGCTCGAGGTTGGCCCCCATAAAGTGCTTGAAGTAGGCACCGGCTGTGGCTACCAGACCGCCATCCTTGCGCAGTTGTGTCGCCAGGTTTTTACCATTGAACGCATCGAAGCCCTGGTACCCCGTGCAAAACAGAGGTTGCAGCGCCTCGGGATACGTAATGTGGTGGCTAAATTCGGCGATGGCTATAAAGGCTGGGATGCCCACGGTCCCTTTGATGGCATCATTGTCACCGCGGCGCCATCAGAAGTGCCGCCGGAACTGCTTGCGCAGTTGGCTGACGGTGGTCGCATGGTGTTACCGGTTGGCGGCGATGCGGGACAGGAACTGCGAGTGATAGATAAGCGCGACGGTGTGATCACCGAACGTGTGCTCGACAGGGTAAGGTTTGTGCCGTTGCTCAGCGGCATTACCGCAGTTTAGGTTTATTTGCCGTGCCACCTGAGGAACAAGCTAAAACGCCACTTTCACTGTTCAGCATTGTCTGGCGCGGTTTGCTGATGGGCCTGGCCGAGGTGGTCCCGGGTGTGTCTGGTGGCACAATGGCCTTTATCACCGGTATTTACCACGAGCTTGTTCGATCTCTGGCAAGTTTCGGTCCGAGTTCCCTGCGTCTCTTAACCCAGCCGCTGGCGTTTGCTCAACAGCATAACCTGCGCTTTCTGTGTGCTCTAGCTGGCGGTATGCTGGTCGGTGTTCTGCTCTTTGCACAACTGATGAGCTTTCTGCTTGCACACTTTCAGCCGGTTGTGTGGGGTTTCTTCAGCGGGGTGATCGCCATGTCCGTGGTCATTATCGGACGTGCACGTGCGCCGGTGACACTGCTGAGCTACGGCGTTGTGGGTCTGGTTTGCGGTATCGCGCTGCTGTGGCTGCCAACTACAAATACGGAGCCTGCACTGTGGATGATTTTTGTCGGTGGCATTGTTTCGGTTTGTGCCTGGTTGTTACCTGCGGTCTCTGGCAGCTATATGTTGTTGGCCATGGGCCTTTATACAACAATTATTGGCGCCGTTGCCGAGCTTGACTTACTTGTGTTAACGATACTGATAAGTGGTTGTGCGGTTGGACTGCTGCTTTTCAGCAAATCTCTAGCCTGGTTGTTACGCCATCATCAGGAACCGTTACTGGCTTTGTTAACCGGTTTCATGCTGGGTTCGATTGCTAATTTATGGCCCTGGCAGCAGGTGGCGCAGGTAACAGCAGATAAGTGGCTTTCGCCAGCCGAATATACCATAGCGCACGGTACATCATCCTACGTGCTGATCACCGCTGTCGCGTTTGCCTGTGGTGCTGTTGCCATTGGGCAGCTTGATAAATATACAAACCATTCGTGAACGCGCTGAAGGCTCTGAAGCTGCTCCTGGCGGTGAGTATGGGATTGATACTCAGCGGTTGTCTGTCGCCAGGCAAACCGCTGATCGCCGAGCGCTCGCCGGCTTATACCTCTGGCCCCTACGGCAGTGGGGATTCGCTGCAGAAATCTTATGTTGTACAGAAAGGCGATACGCTCTATTCCATCGCCTGGCGTTTTGAGCTTGATTACAAAGGCCTTGCCCGCGCTAATGGTGTGCGTGCTCCGTATCGTATTGTGCCCGGTCAGAAATTATCGCTGGTGACCCAGCTTGCGCCTTCTGCACGCGTACGCACCCCGGTAGCCCCACCTCCTGCTGCTGCAGCCACTAAGCCGAAACCCAGCACCCGCAAACCACCTGCGACGAGACAGCCCGATGCCGCGGCAACAGTTGAGCTTGCCAGAACGTGGTCGTGGCCGCTTGAGATCAAGCCCTATGCAGAATTCGGTGGCAACAACAAAGGCCTGGATTACCGCCTGGGTGACGACCTGCGTCGCAGGATGACGGTGCGCTCAACCAATGCCGGTGAAGTGGTCTACGCGGGCAATGGCATCGGCGGCTTTGAACGTCTGGTCATCGTCAAACACAGTGCCAGCCTGCTCAGTGCTTATAGCTTCGACGGCACCCTGCGGGTGGATGAGAAGCAAAATATTAAAGCTGGCAGGGAATTGGCCGACATAAAGAACAGAGGTCGGAGTAAGCAGTCATTACATTTTGAGTTGCGCAAGGATGGGCAACCCATAAATCCAAGGCAATTTCTGCGTTAGCTCCCCCTGGTTGGCTCTGTCGCGGGCGGCGACAGGGTATTTACAAGGACGTGGAGATCAACGCATGGAAGCACAAGACACACCAGCAGCAAAAACAGCCGCGGCCGAACTGACGGCTGAAAACAGCCATGTTGGCTCACCGGACGCAACGCAGCTATACCTTCAGGAAATTGGTTATACACCGCTGCTGAGCGCCGCTGAGGAACAGCACTATGGCCGCTTGGCGCAAGCGGGAGATCCCGCAGGGCGTAAACGCATGATTGAGAGCAATTTGCGTCTGGTTGTCAAAATTACCCGTCGTTATCTCAATAGAGGCTTGTCTCTGCTGGACCTGATCGAAGAAGGCAACCTTGGGCTTATCCACGCGGTAGAAAAATTTGATCCGGAGCGGGGCTTTCGGTTCTCCACCTACGCAACTTGGTGGATTCGCCAGGCGATTGAAAGGGCGATCATGAATCAGACCCGCACCATTCGTCTGCCGGTGCATGTGGTGAAGGAAATGAATTATTACCTGCGCGCCGCACGGGAGTTGTCCCAGAAGCTGGATCATGAACCCACCGCGGAAGAGATTTCCGCGTTAATCGACAAGCCGGTAGATGATGTGCGGCGGATGCTGAAACTCAGTGAAAGAGTGGATTCCATAGATGCGGTGCGTGACAGTCATGATCGCAGCCGGCTGGAAATGGTGGCGGACGAAAACTCCCCGGACCCTGCAGCTCAGATTCAACGCTCAGATCTTTTTAATAAACTGGATCTGCTGCTGAATGATCTCTCTTCTAAACATCAGGAAGTGATTGCGCGACGCTTTGGTCTGCGTGGGCATGCTTCTGCAACGCTGGAAGAGGTGGGTGCTGAAGTGGGCTTGACCCGCGAAAGGGTGCGACAGATTCAGATGGAAGGGTTGCAGCGTCTGCGAAGAGCCCTGGAAGACCATGGGCTCAATGTGGATCAGATATTCAGTCAGTAGGCAGGAGTAATACGACTGCAGCTGAAAACTAGCGCTCCAGGAGTGCTAGTTTTCCAGGCTTGCCGTCCCATTCCTCAGCGTCTTCCAAGGCGTCTTTCTTCTCGGTGATGTTAGGCCAGATTTCAGCCAGCTCAGTGTTCAGTTCGAGGAAATTCTGCTGATCTTCTGGGAGTTCATCTTCAGAAAAAATCGCTTCTGCTGGACATTCCGGCTCACACAGAGCGCAGTCGATACATTCGTCTGGATGGATCACCAACATGTTGGGACCTTCATAAAAACAGTCTACGGGACACACTTCGACACAATCGGTGTGTTTACACTTAATACAGTTCTCTCCGACTACAAATGTCATGGTGCCTTCTAGGGTGCGTTGAAAGGGGCAGTATTCTAGCGGATGTTCGGGCGCTGTCGAGCCCCTCTTGCTTAAGCAATTACGAGAGACTGTTCAATTCACTTTTGAGCTCGTACAAAAGCGCCAGGGCGTCACGCGGACTCAGGCTATCTACATCCAACTGATCCAGCTGATCCAGAATTTCCGTGCCGGGCTGCGCGGCCATTGGCACCGCAGGCGCGTTTGATGCCGCAAATAAATCAGGCTGCAGAGGATTGCTGTCACCTTGTTCCAGGCTGAACAGTTTTTCCCGTGCCCGCTGCAGGACGCTGCGCGGGACACCAGCCAGCTTGGCTACGGCGATGCCGTAACTCTGACTGGCAGGCCCGTGTTCTACCCGATACAGAAAAATGATGTCTCCTTCGTGCTCTGTTGCACTGAGGTGTACATTGCCGATGCCGGGCAGATTGGCCGGCAGGCTGGTTAACTCAAAATAGTGAGTTGCGAATAAGGTGAGCGCGCGGCTTTTACTGGCCAGGTGTTCTGCAACTGCAAAGGCCAGCGCTAAGCCGTCATACGTACTTGTGCCGCGGCCAATCTCATCCAGTAACACCAGACTTGAGGCTGTTGCATTGTGCAGGATGGTGGCGGTTTCCGTCATCTCCACCATAAATGTTGAACGTCCTCCGGCAAGGTCATCAGATGCGCCAATCCGGGTGAAAATCTGATCCAGGGGTCCAATTTCTGCGCTAGCAGCAGGCACATAGCTGCCACAATAAGCCAACAGACAGATGAGTGCAGTCTGGCGCATGAACGTTGATTTGCCGCCCATGTTTGGGCCGGTGAGTATCAGCATGTGCTGGTCAGCGTTCAGTGTCAGATCGTTGCTGATGAAGGGCGCCTGGCTGGCAGCCTTGACCACAGGATGCCAGCCGCCGGTGATGTTGATCTGTTCTGTCCGGGTGAAGCTTGGCGCACAGAAACCAAGTGTTTCAGCGCGTTCGGCAAATGCGCAGAGAACATCCAGCTGTGCCAGTGCCTCAGCCATGTGTCGCAGTGCAATCTGCTGCTGGTTAACCTCAGTCAGCAATTGCTCAAACAGCGCTTTTTCCATCTGCAACGCTTTACTCTGGCTGCTCAGCGCTTCTTCTTCGAAGGTTTTGAGTTCGGGGGTAATGAAACGTTCTGCGTTTTTCAGCGTCTGCCTCCTGATGTATTCAGGTGGCATGCTATCTGCCTGGGCTTTACTGGTTTCAATATAGTATCCGTGGACACGGTTGTAGCCGACTTTGAGGGTGCTGATCTGGGTACGTTCTTTTTCCCGCCGTTCCAGTTCCGCCAGCCATTCTGCTGAGTGGGTGGTCAGCTTGTGTAAGGCGTCCAACTCGTCGCTGAAACCTGCGGCGATAAACCCTCCATCGCGAATGGTCGCCGGCGGGGCGTCTAGAATGGCCCGCTCCAACAAGTTAGCCAACGCTGTGAAGTCTGCAATCTGCGCAGTCAATTGATCCTGTAGAGGTGCGCCCAGGTCAGCGCAGGCCGTTTCGATCTGGGGTAGGCGCTGCAATGCGTGTCGCAGCCGCTCGAGATCTCTGGGACTGGCAGAGCCCAGCGCAATGCGCGTCAGAATCCGTTCGAGGTCAGCAATACCTTTGAGCGTCTCGCTTATGGCTGCTACGCGGCGCTGTTCAAGCACACAGGTAATCCAAAGCTGCCGATTCTGCACGATGTCAATATTGCGACTGGGTTCGTTCAGCCATTTTTTCAGCAGTCTGCTGCCCATGGCGGTAGCCGTGGTGTCCATCAGAGCCAGGAGCGTGTGGTCTGTGGCGCCATTGACGCGCAGATCAATTTCCAGATTGCGTCGTGTTTGTGCGTCCAGAGCGATGACCTGCTCATGGTGTACGTGGCTCAGTTGCTGAACAAAAGGCAGGTCCTGACACTGGGTCTGTTTTGCATAAGTCAGTGCAGCGCCGGCGGCGGCCAGGGCAGGGCTGTCTGCAGCGAGTCCGGTCAGGGCACAGACATCGGTTGCAAAGTGCTTATTCAGCCGCACGGTAGCGGACACCACATCGAACTGCTGCTCGTTGAGGGAGCGTGTACTCACTGCATAGAGTGACTGCTCTGCCAGTGACTGCGGCACCAGTAACTCGGTGGGCTGGGCCTGATGGAGAAGGTCGACAACGGTATGTGCGCTGGCTGCTTCAGTTACCTCCAGCGTACCGCTGGACAGGTTGAGGTGGGCAATGCCAAACGTTTTACCTTGTTGATAGACAGCGCTCAAGACACTCATGGAGTGGCTGTCCAGGAGCGCATCATCGGTCAACGTGCCAGGGGTGACGATACGTTGTACCGCTCGCGCTACCGGTCCTTTGCTGGTAGCCGGGTCACCGATCTGTTCACAGATCGCCACAGAACGCCCTTGTTTGACAAGGCGGGCAAGGTAACCGTCGGCAGCATGAAAAGGGACTCCGCACATCGGGATAGGCTGGCCGTTGCTCTGGCCTCTGGCTGTAAGGGTGATGTCCAGCAGTTCGGAAGCAACTTTTGCATCGTCGAAGAACATTTCATAAAAATCGCCCATGCGATAAAACAACAGCTCATCTGGATACTCAGATTTGATCTGCAGGTACTGCTGCATCATTGGCGTATGTGCAGGGGGTGTTTGCGCAGGGCTGCTGGCGTTTGAACCACCGGTTGTCATGGATGCGTTTTTATTAGAATTTGATGCAGTGAACTACAGGCTTCAAAGTGCCGTCAAGCAAAGTGGGTTATTTGCTTGGCTGGAGGTCTGACGTTTTGGAATCAGCGGCAGATGGCGCCGGTTGAAGTAAGTTTTTAACCCCCCATTAGGAAACAGGCTTGATTTGTCTTACTGTTTGGATATACAGTGCTCGCCACTGGGTAGCCGCACACAAGAAATCACATAGGGTGTGTCTTAAATTAAAGGGTGTGCCTCAAATTAAGGGATAAATCATGGCTCAAGATGCTTCTTCAAAATCGAATTCCGCAAAAAAAACGGCTAATGCAGACGCCTCATCTACCGGCGGGCGTCCTGCAAACCCCGAGAAGGACCGCGCATTATCCGCGGCGCTTGCACAAATCGAGCGTCAGTTTGGTAAAGGATCACTCATGCGTCTGGGTGATGAAGAGCAGGTCATCATCCCCTCTATATCCACAGGTTCACTTGGGCTTGATGTCGCTTTAGGTATCGGTGGTCTGCCAAGAGGCCGGGTCGTGGAAATTTACGGGCCTGAATCGTCGGGTAAAACCACGCTGACGCTACAGGTCATAGCGGAAGCGCAGAAAGCGGGCGGCACCTGTGCGTTTATCGATGCAGAGCATGCGCTGGATCCAATCTATGCACAGAATCTCGGCGTCGACACGGACAACCTGCTGGTTTCTCAGCCTGACACCGGCGAACAGGCGCTGGAAATCTGTGACATGCTGGTACGTTCCTCAGCCCTTGATGTCATCATCATTGACTCCGTTGCCGCGCTCACACCTAAAGCTGAAATCGAAGGTGATATGGGCGATTCGCATGTGGGCTTGCAGGCACGTCTGATGAGTCAGGCATTACGAAAAATGACCGGCATTATCAAACAGTCGAACACTATGGTTATTTTCATTAACCAGATTCGTATGAAAATCGGTGTCATGTTCGGTTCACCTGAAACCACTACCGGGGGTAATGCATTAAAGTTTTATTCTTCGGTACGCCTCGACATCCGACGTATCGGAGCCGTGAAAGACGGTGACGAAATTGTGGGTAATGAAACCCGCGTTAAAGTGGTAAAAAATAAAGTAGCACCGCCATTCCGTCAGACCGAATTCCAGATCATGTATGGCAAAGGCATTCACCGTACTGGCGAAATTTTAGAACTCGGTGTTCAGGAAGGTATTGTTGAGAAGTCGGGTGCCTGGTACGCGTATGGTTCGGATCGCATCGGTCAGGGTCGTAAAAATGCGGCAGACTTTCTGGATGAGCACACTGATATGCGTGACGAGATTGAAGGCTTAGTAAGAGCCAAGCTGATGCCGCATCTCGCAAGCGAAAAAACCGCCGACGTGGTTGTCCCTGAGGCGGTCCAAGATAGTTTGTCTTAAAGCGTAAACGTTCAGCTGCAGACCTCGGCGAAGATCCACTTTGTCGAGGTCTTGAACAACGTCACCTGCCTGAATCTTTAAACGTATGTATGACTCAAAAGCCTACAACAGCGCGATCCGCATGCTGGGTGGGCGTGAGCATAGTGAGCGTGAGCTCCGAAGCAAGCTGCAGCGTCGTTACCCGGGGCAATCGAATGACCAGCTGAATGAGCTGATCACAGAATTAAAAACGTTGAATCTGCTCAGTGATCTACGGTTTACCGAATCGTTGATCCGATCTCGAATCAACAAAGGTTACGGTCCTTATTTCATTCAGCAGGAGCTGGCCAGCAAAGGCATTAATAAAACGTTGATCGAAAGCCAACTAGAAAGCGCTGATGTCGACTGGCTCAGCTCTGCACAAGATCTGGCCGAGCGTAAATTCCCAGAGGCTGCAAGCGATGAGTTGATCTGGGCAAAAGCGATACGTTTCCTGCAGCGGCGGGGTTTTGCGGGTCAGATCATCAGTTCAGCACTAGGCGGGCGTCCGACCGCACATCCGGTCGACTAATTTTTCCTCAGACAGCACCCTAGTCTTAATTTATACTTGCGCGCCTTTTTAACGAGCTGATTGTTGGTGTTATGAAGACTGCGGAACTGCGTCAGGCTTTTCTTTCCTTCTTTGAGGAAAACGGCCACAAAATTGTGCCCTCCAGCACCCTTGTCCCTCACGACGACCCTACGTTGTTGTTTACCAATGCTGGCATGAACCAATTCAAGGATCCGCTTCTCGGTCGCTCCGATCCTGGCTATTCCCGCGCAACCTCCGCCCAGCGCTGTGTGCGAGCGGGCGGCAAGCACAACGACCTCGAAAATGTGGGTTATACAGCGCGCCACCATACCTTTTTTGAAATGCTGGGAAATTTCAGCTTTGGAGACTACTTCAAAGAAGAAACCATTCATCTAGCCTGGCGTTTCATAACCCAGGTCTTGCAGCTGCCAACGGAAAAAATCTGGGTCACTGTTCATCCGACTGATGATGAATCGCGCAAAATCTGGATCGAAGATATAGGTGTGCCGGCTGAGCGTGTGATCGATCTGGAAGAAAACTTCTGGACCATGGGCGACACTGGTCCCTGCGGACCGTGCACCGAGTTATTCTACGATCATGGTGACGAAGTTGAAGGTGGTCCACCGGGCTCTCCAGAAGAGGATGGCGATCGCTATATTGAATTCTGGAATCTGGTGTTTCCCCAGTTCGATCGCTCCGCTGATGGTACCCTGACACCTCTGCCCAAGCCGGGTGTAGACACCGGTATGGGGCTTGAGCGGATCAGCGCCATCATGCAGGGGGTGCACTCCAATTATGAAATTGATCTGTTCCGCAGGCTGTTGGCTGCAGCAGGTCAATTCGCGGGTATCAATGATGTAAAAGCGGCCATTGAAAATCCGTCTGTGAGGGTGATCGCTGACCATATTCGTTCCTGTGCGTTTCTGATAGCTGATGGCGTGATACCAGGTAACGAAGACCGAGCGTATGTCTTACGCCGGATTATCCGTCGGGCGTTGCGACATGGTAACAAGCTGAATATCAAGGAACCCTTTTTCCACAAGCTGGTTGCTGTACTGGTTGAAGAAATGGGTGAAGCCTATCCGATCCTGGCTGAACAGCAGCGTCATGTGGAAGATGTGTTACGCAGTGAGGAGGCCAGATTCAGCGAGACGTTGACCCAGGGGATGGCGCTGCTCAAAAACCACATCGAGACGCTGCAAGGCAACACCCTCAGCGGCGACGTTGTTTTTCAGCTGTATGACACATACGGTTTTCCTGCAGATCTCACCGCTGATGTTGCCCGAGAACGTAATCTCGAGGTTGACATGGCCGGCTTTGAAACTGCCATGGAAGCCCAGCGTTCACGTGGGCGTGCTGCAGCAAGCTTCAGTACAAGCCTGGCTCAGCGTGTCAGTGTTGCCTCGGCAGTTGATTTTCTGGGCTATGAGGGTGTCTCCGAAAAAGCAGAAGTAGAAGCCTTGTTTGACCTGGAAGGTAAGGCAGTGACTGCCCTGCAGGTAGGTGAGCGTGGTGTTGTCGTGCTGGATCGCACACCATTCTACGCGGAGTCTGGCGGGCAGGTCGGTGATCAGGGAAGGCTCGTTGCAGGCGATGCACTCTTTCAGGTGGAAGATACCCTGATTACGGGCAATCAACATATGCATGTCGGCGCGATGCAGGCAGGCAGTTTGAGTGTGCACGTGCCGGTTCTGGCTGAAGTGGACGAGATTCGTCGGGATCGTATCCGAGCTAATCATTCCGCAACACATTTACTGCATGCAGCGCTGCGTAATGTGCTGGGCGAGCACGTGCAACAGAAAGGCTCGTTGGTCAATGATGAAAAGCTGCGCTTTGATTTCTCGCACGGCGCAGCCCTTACGGCGGAGCAACTCTCGGCCATTGAGGACCAGGTCAATACGCACATCCAAAAGAACAGTGCTGTAGAGACGGCGTTAATGAATTATGACGATGCGGTCAGCAAAGGCGCGATGGCGTTGTTTGGTGAAAAATATAGTGACCAGGTTCGCGTGCTGAGCATGGGCGGTGGTTACTCCGTAGAGTTGTGTGGTGGCACCCATGTCAACAGAACCGGTGATATTGGTCTACTGAAAATCACAGCAGAAACCGGTATCGCTGCAGGCATTCGTCGTATTGAAGCGGTGACCGGAAACGGTGCTCTTGCCTTGATTCGGGAAACAGATCATCTGCTGGAGGCACTGAGTCAGCTGCTAAAAGTTGGCCGGGGGGAACTGATCGATCGAGTGCAGAATACGCTGGCAGAAAATAAACAGCTGCAAAAGCAGCTGGCTGAAGTGTCACAGAAGATGGCTGCCAGTCAGGGATCAGATCTGGCTTCGCAAGCCGTGAATATCAATGGCGTTAATTTTCTTGCCAGTGAAGTGGAGGGTGACAACAAAGCCATGATGCAGACATTGGATACGTTACGCTCTCAGCTGGGAGAGTGTGTTGTTATTCTGGCTCAGGTAAATGCGGGTAAAGTCGGTGCTGTCATCGGTGTTTCTAAACAGGTGAAAGATATAGTCAGCGCGCCGGACATCATGGCACATTTTGGTCCATTGGTTGGTGCTAAAGGCGGCGGTCGTCCTGATCTCGCGCGTGCTGGTGGCGGCGATAATCCGTCAGGTCTGGCTGATGCTTTTGCCGCGGCTCAGGCCTTTGTATCCGAGCAATTGGGATAACGCTGGTTATGGCACTTATTGTTCAAAAATACGGCGGCACCAGTGTTGGAGATATTGATCGTATCCAACAAGTAGCCCAACGTATCAAGCGCTATGCTGACCAACAACATCAGTTAGTGATAGTTGTATCAGCCATGTCCGGCGAGACAAACCGTCTGGTTCAGTTGGGAAAAGATATTTCCGGTGCAAACACGTTTGCTCGTGAAATGGATGTGCTGACCGCCTCAGGCGAGCAGGTCAGCATAGCCCTGTTGAGCATGGCACTGCAGCGCCTCGGGCTGTCAGCGAAGTCAATGTTGGGTGACCAGGTCGCCATAAAAACGGACTCCGCCTTCGGCAAAGCTCGCATCAGCCATATCGAAACGAATGCGCTGAGAGCTGCGCTGGAAGCAGGCGCAATTCCTGTTGTTGCTGGATTTCAGGGGGTAGATCCTAATGGTGATCTGACAACGCTTGGCCGTGGCGGGTCAGATACCAGTGCGGTAGCGCTGGCGGCTGCATTGGGCGCTGATGAATGTGAGATATGTACGGACGTTGACGGTGTGTATACCGCCGACCCGCGCGTTGTGGCGTCCGCCCGCAGATTGTCTCAAGTGACCTTCGAGGAGATGTTGGAGTTGGCCAGCCTGGGGTCAAAAGTGTTACACCCACGTTCAGTTGAATTTGCAGGCCGTTACCGAGTCCCCTTGCGGGTGATGTCTACGTTTGTTGACGGCGACGGCACATTGATCACCATTGAGAATGACAATATGGAACAACCGCTAGTATCTGGTATTGCCCATGCCCGTGATGAAGCAAAACTTACTGTTGCCGGGGTACCGGATATACCCGGAATCGCGTCAAAAATTCTGGGCCCTGTGGGTCGGGCGAATGTTGAAGTAGACATGATTGTCCAGAACACAGGCGCTGATGGGCTGACTGACTTCACCTTTACGGTGAAGCGTGAAGATTATGATCGCGCCCGCGACCTGCTCGAAACTGTGGCCAAAGAGATACATGCCCGTGAAATCAACGGCGACAACACCATTGCAAAAGTATCGATTGTGGGCGTTGGCATGCGTTCACACGCAGGTGTTGCTACGCGGATGTTTGATTGCCTGGCTTCAGAAAACATCAATATCCAAATGATCTCAACTTCCGAAATAAAGATCTCCGTTGTAGTAGCGGAAAAATATATGGAACTTGCTGTGCGCGCACTACACTCTGAATTCGACCTGGAAAACAGCTGACCCTGGATAGTCAACTGTCTCCAGAGCGTTCAAAGGAGATGATCTGTGCTAATTCTGACTCGCAAAGTGGGGGAGACACTTATGATCGGTGACGACATCAGTATCACCGTGCTTGGTGTGAAAGGTAATCAGGTCCGTATCGGCGTTAACGCCCCTAGAGATGTGGGCGTTCATCGTAAAGAAATCTATGACCGTATTCAGGACGACCCGCCAGATGCGGATTCACCATTAAATCCCCAGGACGCCTGAAAAAGCCTAACCGGCTTCGAAGACTTTTATGATGGGCGGTGGTTCATCAGCCAACTGGTCACTGGTCAGCGCATCCAGGGCACGCTGTTTGTCATCTTTACCAAACGCTTTTGTTGTCACACAAAATTCAACCATGATGCCGTTCGGGTCATCGACATAAATGGATTTACACCAGTGATGGTCAATCTCTGCAACATCAAAACCAGCTGCATTGATTCTTATTCTGGCGGCATCCAGCTCTTCCAGTGAATCAACACCAAAGGCGATATGGTTGGTCCATTTAGGTAAGCCCAGACCTGTAGAAATAGAGGTCGGAAAGTCTTCTGCGACGGCTGGGTCGTGAATTTCCCAGAATGCCATCATGGTGCCGTCACCGGTGTCGTAAAAGAAATGCTTGGCCCAGGCGTCGGGGCCAGTTTGTGCTTTCTCGACCCGTACCAGTTCGAATCCCATAGCGTCGCTGTAGAACTTGTGTGTTGCCAACATGTCGCGTGTAGCGATGGCCAGATGGTGATAAGACATGTAGCGGGCGCCTCAATCAGGAATTTGATCAAATTGTAGCGAAGCACCTGGTTGGGGAACAGAAATTGTTATCAAATTACGTCGCTGCGGCTGTAATTTGTACAACAGTTGTAGGTACAATGCGCCCCCACGGAGAGGTGGCCGAGTGGTCGAAGGCGCTCCCCTGCTAAGGGAGTATAGGTAACCCCTATCGAGGGTTCGAATCCCTCTCTCTCCGCCAAACTCTGGATACTCGCGCCCACCAGTGGGCGCTGATCCAGCGTAGCCACAGCGCAAAGCCAGGGTAGCGTCTTAGTCGCCTGCCAGATCGTTGTTACTGCCCACCAGATTGTACTTTTTCAGATAACCGCGGAACTGGTGGTACGTTAAACCCAGCAGATCAGCCGCTTTCCGCTGGTTATGTTTAGCCTCCTGCATCGCCTGCTCAAGCAGAGAAATTTCGTACTCAGCAATGTGCTGCTTAAATTCGACTGGAAATCCTACCTCATCCTGGCGGCCTGTGGTGTCATTCTGGGGCGCAGCAGATGAACGATCTGCAGGTCTGTAAGGCGAGGAAAATGGATCAAAAACAACTTCTTCGACTTCGCTGTCAGGATCCGTGCGGTAGACGCATCGCTCTACAACGTTCTTCAATTCCCGTACATTGCCCGGCCACGGATAGTCCAGCAGATCGCGCTGGGCGGCGAGATTGAATCCTGCAAACAGCTCGCGACCGAGTTCTTTGGCCATACTGACAGCAAAATGATTGGCAAGCAGAAGAATATCTTCTTCTCGCTGACGTAGCGGAGGAAGAGTCAACACATCGAAAGCAAGTCGATCGAGCAGGTCAGGGCGAAACTCTCCTTTGCCTGCTAGCGTCGGGAGGTCTTCATTGGTGGCAGCAATAATCCTCACATCGCAGTTCAGGGTCTTACTACCACCGACACGTTCGAACTCACCATATTCAATAACCCGTAACAGCTTTTCCTGCACCAGCATGCTTGTTGTGGCCAATTCATCCAGAAACAGGGTGCCACCATGGGCGCGTTCGAAACGACCGTGGTGAGTTTTGGTAGCGCCTGTAAATGCGCCTGCGTCGTGGCCAAACAGTTCAGTCTCAAGCAGGCTTTCTGAGATTGCCGCACAGTTCATCTTGATGAACTGACTCTCCCATCGATTGGATAGAAAGTGCAATCTTGAGGCGATGAGTTCTTTGCCGGTACCGCGTTCTCCTACAATCAGGACGGGTTTTTCTAATGGCGCAACCAATGAAACGTGTTCCAGCGTGCGCAGAAATGCGGGCGATTCACCCAGAAGGCGTTCTATGTCGGGACGCATAAGAAAAATGACCAATATGTGGTGAGAACAACTATAAGGTTAACGCCAACAACAGGCCAGGGAAATAGCGTGAGTCGAAAAATATATATAAAACAGAGGCTTACGCTTAAGGGAAAACTTGGCACGGAATCTGTAAACAAGTAAGTCACAAGCGATGGCATCGGCAACTTTGATTGTTGTGCTTAACCTAAAACTAAAAGTGGAGGCTAAGGCCAAGATGAGTATCTTTTCCCGTATGACGGATATCATCAATTCGAATCTCAACGCGCTGTTAGATAAAGCGGAAGATCCGGAAAAGATGGTTCGATTAATCATCCAAGAAATGGAAGAAGCATTGGTAGAAGTGCGTAGCACCTCTGCTCGGGCGATTGCCGACCGGAAAGAGCTTGAGCGCCGACGTGACTGGCAGGAAGCTGAAGCCGAGGAATGGGAGCGCAAGGCTGAAGTAGCCGTCCGCAAAGGCCGCGACGACCTGGCCAAAGGCGCCTTGGTCGAAGGCAACAAGGCGCGCGAAGCAGTTGCCGCAATGGCTGATGAGCTTCAGGTGCTTGACGAAACCCTGGCTCGACTGAACGAAGATGTGGGTGCTTTACAGGCCAAAATTAAGGACGCAAAAGCACGCCAGAATGCAATTATTGTACGTGGTAAAGCGGCACAGTCCCGATTAGGTGTTCGCCGCACCCTAAGTGATCACAATATCGATGACGCGATTGCTCGATTTGAGCTCTACGAGCGCAAGATCGATGATCTTGAAGGTGAGATTGAATCACATGACATGGGCCAGAAAACTCTGTCTGATGAGATCTCAGATCTGGAGCAGAATGAAGGTGTGGATGACCAGTTGAGCGCGCTGAAGGCGCGTATTCAGCAAACTCAATCACCCAGTTCAGCAGCTGATAACTCGAATTAATAGGAGCCACTATGGACGGCATAGTCGTCGCTTTTTTTGTGCCCACCGTCATCTTTATGGTGATCGTGGCTCCGGCCTGGATATGGATGCACTATCGAAGTAAGCAACATGCCCAGGGTGCGCTGACAGAAAACGAGCGTATCGAACTGGACACGTTAGCACTGCAGGCTGAAAGGATGCTCGAGCGAATCGATACCCTTGAGGCGATTTTAGATGCGGAAACGCCCGACTGGCGTAAGCGCAACGGTATTGAACGCTAACCCTGCTGCAAATATTAGGAGTGATTTTGAAAGACCGGGATTCTTACAATTCATCACGACGCTCTTCCCAGAGCAATGAATTTTCAGCGGCAATGGCGCGGTTGGAAAAAGCCGTCGCAGAAATTGTGACCACAACTACCGGCCAACTCTCTGACAGAGCCACGACTTTGCTGGATGACACGGCTACTCGGCTTGAAGCGGAATTGCGTTTTCGTAAAACCACCGATGACCCAGATACAGGTGAGCGGGTGGCGCGACGTCGCAGTCGCAACAGCGGGCGTCATCGTCTGGTAGACCGTGCCGAACGGGTAAATCCACGCTCAGGGCATCTTTACCGTGACATTGAAAATGCCAAGATAGGAGGTGTCTGTGCAGGTATAGCTCGTTATTTTGGATTGCAGACGTGGACGACACGCTTGGCCGCTTTGACGGGTCTATTATTTTTACCGGGCATCGTTTTTCCAGCCTACTGGATTGCCTATTTTATTATGGACAAGCCTGACACAGAAGACTCAATGATGGCCGGACGTAAAACCAGAACGTCTCGCTCGGACGAAACCTCAACTGCCAGCGCGGCAAATACCAGGCGAGATGAAGTGCTTCAGCCCAGCCGCAGTCTGCGTTATACCAATGCAGATTTAACCCAGGCAGAACTGAGACTGCGGAGGCTGGAATCGTTTGTCACATCAGATCAATACGAACTACATAGAGAGCTGACCAAAATCGAGCGCGAACAAGAACCCAGCGGCGCGCGGAGCTAAGTCGGTGGCCAACGTCGGTGCACCACCTGTATCGCGATTCTGGTTCAGGTGTGTGTGTGCTTTCATGATTGCGGCACTCTGCCTGCCAGGTTCGGCAAGTGCTCAAACTGAGTCCAGGCATCAGCTTGAGATCGACAGTTTTGAGCGAATCTACTTAAGTGGCCCGCTGCGGGTGCACTTACTTCAGCAAAATCACCCCACCAGATCGGCCAAACGAGGTGGGTCGCCGGGTGCATATGTCACTGGATCAGCCGCCTCTGTGGGGCAACTCAAGATAGAGCAGTCGGATGCGACTTTGTACTTGGATCTGCCGGTTGGTGCGCTACAGGGTGGCCAGCCAGACTTAATAATATATCTGCCCTTTACCGAACTGAAAGAAGTGGTCAGCCAGGGTGGCGCCCAGGTATTTGCAGATCAGATTAGATCAGAAAATCTGGCCTTGGAAAGTCAGGGTGAGGGGCAATTTGTCCTTCAGCGTATTCTTGTTGATGACCTGGTTATTGTTGGCCAGGGTAATACAACATTTTTTATGAGTGGTATTGTGCAGCATCAGCTTATAGAGATCGCTGGTCTGGGTCGTTTCCATGGCGCCGCTCTGCAGAGTGAAACCAGCCATATCAGTGTACAAGGAGCAGGGCAGGTCGACGTCTGGGCGCGTGAACTGTTGCAGGTTACTGTCTCTGGTACAGCTGAAGTGCGTTACGATGGATCGCCATGGATACACCAGCAGATTCAGGGTTCGGGTGCGATCACGCGACTGTTTTAGCCTTTCAGGCACTTGTTAGAAATATTTCAATCAGAAGGAGAGTTTGATGGATGTGTTTACGATGGTGGTTGTCATCGTTGTAGTGACAACGGTGGCCGGGGTTTTCAACAACTATCTGAAAAACAAAGATAAAGCGGAAAACAAGCTGGCAGACACAGCACTGGGTGAGGAGATTGATGAGCTTCGACAACGGATAGAAGTCTTAGAAAGTATAGTGACCGATCAGAAGTATCAATTGCATCGTGAGTTGACGGAGCTTGAAAAAAGCGCCTAGTCAGATATTTATTCAGATAAGGCCGGCATCAACAGGTCCGGCCTGTCGGTAAAGATACCTTTTACGCCGCGTGCTCTTAGCGTTAATGCAACCTGCGGGTCGTTAACGGTGTACACGCTGACCGGAAAACCGGCTTCGCTTATCTCTTCAACCCGCTGTGCGCTGGCCAGCTTGAGACCCAGGTTGATGCCCACAGCATCCAGCGACGTCGCGATTTTGTGCCAGTCTTTACTGTATTTATCGAATAAAGGCGCGACTGGGGTTTTTGCATCCAATGCTCTGAATGATCTCAATTCCTCATGATTAAATGAAGAAACCAGCACTGGCCAGGTGGGCAGCCTGGTGAGCCATCCGGCTACTTCAACGCCCGTCCCGGCACCTTTTAATTCGATATTCAGTGCAACCGTCTGCGCGTATTTTTTTTCATGGGCCTGTAACAGGGTAAATACTTCGGTAAGGGTTGGTATCAGGGCGCCGTCCCCGGCATCAAGGGTGCGCAGCTCGGCCAGGGTATGATCAGCTACCAGGCCTTTGCCACTGGTGGTACGACTAAGTTTTTTGTCGTGAATGACAACCAGGTCCTTTGCATCTGCGGTGAGGTTAGCGATATGTACGTCCAGTTCGATCATCGGACAGCGCCAATCCAGCGCCCGCTGAAAGCTGGGCAGCGTATTTTCAGGTGCAAGACCGGCTGCACCGCGATGACCAATGACAAAGCTACCCGCTGTGCCCAGTAAGTCGGAAATTATGCACATGATGAATATAGTTGATTAAGACTGAACTCGTGGCTGTTAGAATACCCGCCATGAGTTATGAAGTGTTAGCCCGAAAACTAAGGCCGATGGGGTTTGATGCCCTTATCGGACAGGATCATGTTGTGCGTGCTCTGCGCCATGCGCTGGATGCAGGACGCCTGCATCATGCTTACCTGTTCACCGGTACCCGCGGTGTGGGTAAAACGACCATAGCGCGCATTGTTGCAAAGGCACTGAATTGTGAAAAAGGTGTGTCAGCGGACCCGTGCGGAGAGTGTTCAATCTGCCTGGAAGTAAAGCAGAATAGATTTGTCGATTTAATCGAGGTGGATGCGGCTTCGCGCACTGGCGTGGATGATACGCGGGAGTTGCTAGACAACGCCCAGTATTTACCTACCCGAGGGCGATACAAAGTTTATCTCATAGACGAAGTTCATATGCTCTCAACCGCGTCGTTTAATGCGCTGCTGAAGACACTCGAAGAGCCGCCTGAGCACGTCAAATTTCTGCTCGCTACAACCGATCCCAAGAAGGTGCCGGTAACGGTGCTTTCTCGCTGTCTTCAATTTCAATTGAAAAATCTGTCTAGAGACGCCATAGCCGACTATCTGCAAGGCGTGCTTGCGTCTGAAGCGGTGAGCTTTGAAAAAGAAGCTTTAGATATTATTGCCCGCAGCGCTGCGGGCAGTATGCGAGATGCGCTTAGCTTAACCGATCAAGCCATCGCTTACGGTCAGGGCTCACTGAAATCCCGCGATGTAAGCGACATGTTGGGCGTGGTAGGGCGCGACGCCGTGACAAAGCTGCTAGCAGCAATTGCTGGCGGTGCGCCAGCAGAGGTCATGGCGCTGAGTGCTGACCTCGCGGAGAGGAGCACTGATTTTTCCGATGTTTTGAAAGGTTTACTAGAAGCTTTGCATGATCTGGCCGTGCGTGGCGCGATAGACGGTCCAGCAGCCTCAGCACCGTTTACACCTGAAGAGTTGCAGCTTTACTACCAGATTGCGTTGTTGGGTTCTCGCGATCTGGTCTACGCTCCGGATGAACGCAGCGGTTTTGAAATGACTCTGTTGCGGATGCTGGCCTTTGCGCCGGATCCAGCCTCAACTGTGCCGCCACGCGACCGCTCGCAGGAGCAGCGATCAGACCCAGACGTTGAAACAGAGGCGCAGGTCAGCGCGCAACAAGTCAAGCGGCAAGACGATGCAGGAGAGAGCGCCCAATCAGTCCCCGAATCTCAGCCGCCGGCCCAGTCAGATATGTTGTTCTCAGTGCCCTGGTATGAATTAGTTGAACAGCTTGCCATCAGCGGTGTGACCCGCATGATTGCAGAACATACTGTGGTACATAGTGTTGCTCTGCCGCAGGTTGAGCTGATTCTGGATGAAGGGCACGACACGTTGCTTAATCCGGGTCAGACAGAAAGCCTGGGGCGAGCGCTGGCCCATACCCTGGGCCAACCGGTCACTTTATCCATTATCCCGGGACCAGTGCGGCAGGAAACACCTGCTCAGCGGCGCATTCGGATTGCGGACGAAAAACAGGTGCACGCGGAAGCTGTGATCAAACAGGATGCCAATGTTCAGAATCTGTTGGCAGAATTTGATGGCCGGGTTGATCAGATACGGCCCATTTAGTTCTAGAGGAAGGAGTAAGAATGAAAGGCATCGGCGATTTGATGAAACAAGCCCAGGAAATGCAGAGTAAGATGCAGGATGTCCAGGCGAAAATGGCAACCATCGAGGTGCACGGCGAAAGTGGTGCAGGCATGGTTAAGGTGACCATGAATTGTCGCTACGAAGTCAAGCGGGTAGAAATCGACCCATCACTGCTCAACGAAGAAAAAGCTGTGCTGGAGGATCTGTTAGCTGCAGCCTGTAACGACACAGTGCGCCGTGTGGAAAAAACTCAGGCGGAGCAGATGTCGGAACTCACCGGAGGTATTAACCTGCCTTTTGGTAACTTCCCCAGCTGATGTCAGTCATTGATAACTTAATTTCTGCGCTGCAGGTGCTGCCGGGCGTGGGCCCGAAAAGTGCACAGCGTATGGCTCTGCACCTACTTCTGCGCGAGCGTGAAGGTGGCGAATCGTTGGCCCATGCAATGCATGTGGCGATGCGGGACGTGCGACAGTGTAATTTGTGTCGAAACCTGACCGATCAGGACATCTGCGGTCTGTGCAAAGACGCAAAACGCGACCCAGGTTTACTTTGTGTTATCGAGTCACCCGCGGATGTGCTGGCGATAGAGCAGGCCGGTGGATTCCGTGGTTTTTATTTCGTTTTGAATGGGCGGCTTTCACCCTTAGACGGTGTTGGCCCAGGCCAGCTGGGTATCGATCAATTGCTTCAGCGGATCGATCAGTTATCGCCCGGAGAGCTTATTCTGGCGACCAATCCAACAGTGGAAGGCGAAGCCACGGCCCACTATATCGCTCAACGTGTTGGCGACAAAGTGCCGAATATATCCAGAATCGCACATGGTGTTCCATTGGGTGGCGAAATTGAGTACACCGATGGCGGCACGCTGACCCATGCACTACAGGGGCGACGAACCATTGTTTGATTGGATATCCAACGATCAGCATCTATCCCAGGCAGTGGCAGCCTGGGGTGATCATATAGCCTTTGATACGGAATTCATTCGTACCGACACGTACTATCCGGTACCTGGTTTGTATCAGGTTGCCAGTGCCGGAAAAATCTACTTAATAGATCCGTTGGAGATCACTGACTGGACCCCGATGGCTGACTATCTGGTTGATCCCGAGTCGGTCATTGTGATGCATGCCTGCCAGGAAGATCTGGAACTGTTGCATCATCACCTGGGTTTGATGCCAGCGAATGTGTTTGACACGCAGCTGGCCAATGCGTTTGTGTCAACAGATTATTCTTTAAGCTATGCCGCCCTGGTAGAACGGATTCTTGGCGTTTCCCTGGAGAAACAGCAAACCCGCTCGAACTGGCTACGGCGTCCCCTCAGCGACGATCAGATTAAATACGCCATCGATGACGTCCTTTATCTAGGCGAGGTCTACGAACAGCTGAAGGATGCCCTGGAGCAGCACAATCGCGTGCATTGGTACCAGCAGGATATGCAGGAGCGGGGCAGCTACGACCCTGTTGCGCCGGATGATTATTTTCGCAACGTTAAAAAAGCCTGGCAGCTGTCGGGCCCGCAGTTGGCAACTTTGAAAATGCTCTGTGGCTGGCGAGAGCGAACCGCTCGGCAGGAAAACGTGCCTCGCAATCGGGTGGTATGGGACGAGCATCTGTTGAGCTTTGCGCAGATCGAGGCGTTGACCAGAAAACATGTTTTCGATGCGCTGCCGCGAGGGATTGCTAATCGTTATGCGGAACAGTTGATTGCACACCATACAATGGCAAAAGACGCAGAACTGCCCGCTGCATTGCCCAGGCCACTGAACACTGCACAAAATGCACAGCTCAAGAAACTGAGAGCCACCGCGCTGGACGTCGTCGAAGATATGGCGCTGGCGCCGGAATTACTTGCACGCAAACGTGATATAGAAAACTGTCTGCGTCACTATCTGAAACATCAGGAATTGTCAGAGCCCTATCATGCATGGCGCGGTGAGCTGCTGGCGGATAAGTTTCTGCACCGCCTGCAGGCGGATAACAAGGCGTTAGATCTTGACTGACCAGCAGGCGTCGCTTTCACAGGGCACCTCTGTGCGGATGGAGGTCAGCGTTTATCGAAGTCCTAAAAAGGCTCAGACATATGTCTATCTGCGATCTGATCAGGATTATGAAAGCCTGCCGGAAGCGCTGATTGAGCAGTTTGGTGATGCAGTCTTGTTTCTGACCTTTGAACTCCACGAAAAGAAGAAGTTGGCTCAGGTTGAGGCAAAAACCGTGCTGGCGGCCCTGCGCAATCAGGGATTCTTCCTGCAACTGCCACCGCCACCTCTGCAACCTGCCAATGACTGAAACAGAGCCGTTCTGGCGCAATACCAAGCTGGCTGACATGACGGATGCGCAGTGGGAATCGTTGTGCGATGGATGTGCACGTTGCTGCATGATTAAACTGCAGGATGAAGACACCGATGAGGTGTTCTATACCGCACTTGTCTGTGATTTATTGGACGAGGAAACGTGCCGATGTACACGCTATCCCCAGCGTCATCAGCTGGTGCCGGATTGTGTTGTCCTGACGCCAGAGAGAGCCTCGGAGTTTCACTGGCTGCCTAAGAGTTGTGCCTATCGGACGCTGGCTGAAGGGCGGCCTTTAGCCTGGTGGCACCCCCTGGTGTCTGGGTCTGCGGAAACGGTTGTCGAAGCAGGAATTTCGGTACACGGTCGTGTAGTGCCAGAATCTAATGTCCATGTCGACGAACACGAAGATATGATTGTGACCTGGGTTGAGCGATAACAGGAGCGCGAGATGAATGGGCAAGCCATAGCCTGGACGATTATCGGAGCCGCAACGATTCTGGGTGCAGGAGCCATGTGGGTGACTTTCTCCCGCCATCAGGTCAGTGGTCTTATGCGCACGTCGATCGTGGCGCTTCTAGTTGCGTTTTTTTTAGTGCCCGCGCCGGTGCCGAACTATGAATCGGAGTTAGCTCCTGCCTTTATCGTATTGATATTTGAGACATTTTTTCAAACCGAAGGGCACCCTCAAGGCAGTATACGTAATCTGCTGGTCGGTTTACTGATAGCGCTGAGCCTTTCTTTTTTAGCGCATTATCTGTTCCGGCGATTTGCGCCTGGCGATGCAGACCCGCAGCCTGATGGGTCAGAATCAGATCCAGGCTGAATCCGGCAAAACTACCTGACGCTGCTAGACTTTATTAGATAAAACAGCGCAGTTAGGTCCGTGCGACATCTGAACGTCTTCACATTTTATATCAGCCTGTGGTTGCTGGCTTTTGGCACAGTTGCCCATGCGGCACCCGTTGACCTGCGCTTGGTGGTTGATGTCAGTCAGGCAACCCATGACGCAGACCGCTCCAATGCCCGGCGCACAGCGCTGGAGTATTTTATCCGTAACCTTCCAGACGACGCTTACGCCGGTGTCTGGAGTTACGCGCGGTATGTTCGGCAAGTGGCCAAACTCGAGATCAGTGATGGATTGTGGAAGCAGGTGGCCAGTATCCATGCCGCGAGCCTGCAACCTGAAGGTGGTCGGGCAAGGCTTGAAGAGGCGCTGCTTGCAGCTACAAAATTACCCATTCGACATGACAACAGTCAGCCTGCACACATGATCCTTATGGCCAGCGGTTTGCTTAACAGCGGTTCGGGAGAAGCAGCCGATACCCAAGCCCGCCAGCGTCTCTTGACGCAGTGGTTGCCTCAACAGCAGGCGCAACATCGGAAAATACATACCATAGCCATCGGGCCGCCTGAACTCAGTGACCATCTGCTGCTGCGGCAGCTTTCTGAATCTACCGGTGGGCTGCACGTCGTGGCTGGGAGCGCCTCCACGCTGCGTGATGCACTGGTTGATGTCTTGTCCCATGTCGAGCCACAACCGCTGGTACAGGCCGATGAAGGCGGACGATTTCAGGTGGCGCCGGGCGCTACGAGGCTCACGGTAACCTGGTTTGGTGAACCGGAATTGTCAGCGGATCCGAGCATACAGCTACCAGATGGTCAGACTTATAGCCGAAAGACTGCGTTCAATGGTGGTCGCTGGTTGATCGATCAGGGCTTCGAAATGCTGACAATCGAAGATCCGGCGCCGGGTTGGTGGAAATTGCAGGGCAAAACCCCGGATAAACTGGCTGTATTTGGCGAGATTGATGTGCGGATTGATGGCGTCGGCGCAACGGTTGTGCCCACTGACGAAAGTCGCGCAACTATCACCCTGTTTGATGCTGGGGAGCGTATATCGCTGCCGAGTTTTTTGGATCTGCTGGAAGTAAGCGCCTGGGTGCATTCGGGAACTGAGCGAAGTCCATTGCCTGTTGAGCGGGTTGAGTCAGAATACATCGCGCATTTTGTGACGCTAGATGATGGCTTTCACGAGCTCGAGGTTGAAATCGTTGCGCCAACCTTCAAACGACAGTTTTTTACGCCCTTTACAGTGGCGAACCCGATGTTGGTTGATATCCTTGCTGATGAAAAAGGTCAGCCGATTGCCTGGTTTCAGTTTTCCCACCCGAAAGTAGATTACGCAACGCTGAAAGCCACAGGGATGGTGCGTAAACCGCCCCAAATTGCCTCGCTTATACCCGGTCAGGCCCTTCCTGCGGGCGTCTGGCGGATTCCCTTGGATCAGAACGACGGTATTGTTGAGGTGTCATTTTCCGCAGCGGGTAATTACCTCGATGGCAGCGGTCTATTTATCAAAACCAAACCACATGCCATCAGTTTACCGCTGATACCTGGCGAACGGCTGCGGTTGCGTTACGATGCCCAGGGCAGAATGATTGAATTGCCAATTGATCCCCCATTGTCACCTGTTGAAGCCCCTGTATCGGAGGCTTCAGCCGTGGTCGCCGCGCAAGTCAGTGTCCCGGCTGCGGAATTAGAGCCAACTGCTCAGACTGACCCTGAACTACCCCTTATCCCACTGTGGTTTGTGGCCTTGATCAGCCTGTTGAACTTTGTTTTGGCCGGCGGCATCTGGTGGCTGAACAAACCCAAACCGCTCGAGCTGGCCATCGACTGAACGTTAAGTCTTGCGCAAACACTTGCGCGCCCTAAGAGGCGTCTTTAAAGTAGCTGGCTTTGTATTCTCTTTATGTGTGCAGTGCTCAATGACTGCTCTGGTTCTGCCAGCATAAATTGATCAATTTAATCGAGCGGAAACTAATAAATGATCTTTGAAAGCACCGACGAGTATATCTCCACTGACGAATTGAGCATGGCTGTTGATGCCGCTGTTAAGCTTGAGCGGCCTCTTCTGATTAAGGGCGAACCCGGCACCGGGAAAACCATGTTAGCGGAGCAGGTTGCAGAGTCGCTGAAAATGCCCCTCATAGAATGGCATATCAAGTCGTCGACCAAGGCGATCAACGGCCTCTACGAATACGACGCGGTGTCACGCCTGCGCGACTCACAGCTGGGTGACGAGCGTGTTAAAGACATCCGTAACTACATCAAGAAAGGTAAATTGTGGGAAGCGTTTGAAGCGGAAGAACGTGTCGTCCTTCTGATTGACGAAATCGACAAGGCTGATATCGAATTCCCGAACGACCTGCTGCAGGAAATTGATCGTATGGAATTTTTTGTCTACGAATTAGGTGAGACAATCAAAGCCAAGCAGCGACCCATCGTCATCATTACCTCGAACAATGAGAAAGAGCTGCCAGATGCGTTTTTACGTCGCTGCTTTTTCCACTATATCAACTTCCCCGATCGCGAAACCATGCAGCAGATTGTTGATGTGCACTTTCCTGCGCTGAAAGGCGATCTGGTGAAAGAAGCCATGGAGATCTTCTTCGATGTGCGCAAAGTGCCGGGACTGAAGAAAAAACCTTCAACCTCCGAACTTATCGACTGGCTGAAGTTGCTCATGGCTGACGATATTCCTGATGAAATTCTGACCAACCGCGATGCCAGCAAGGCGATTCCACCTTTATACGGCGCGCTGGTTAAAAACGAACAGGATGTTCATCTCCTGGAACGTCTGGCATTCATGAATCGAAGAGACAGCCGAGGATAAATTGTGCTCATCAATTTCTTCTTAACCTTAAGGAAGTACAAAGTTCCGGTCACCATCCGCGAACTGTTGGACTTGTTGAATGGTCTGAAACATCAGTTGGTGTATGCCAACGTTGACGACTTTTATCTGCTTAGTCGCACCGCATTAGTCAAAGACGAGAAGAACTACGACAAGTTTGACCGAGCCTTCAGCGCCTATTTCAAGGGCTTGGAAGATCTGCATGGATTGCTTGAGTCGCTGATTCCAGACGAATGGCTGCGACGCGAATTCGAACAGTCTTTAACCAAGGAAGAGCTTGAGCAGATTGAGTCGCTCGGTGGCCTGGAGAAATTGATCGAGGCTTTCAAAGAAGCTAAGGAAGCCGCGGAGAAGGAAGCTCAACAAGGCAAAGACGGCGAAGAAGGTGAAGAGGGTGATGCCGACAAAGAGGGTAAGAACGGCCCTGGTGGCAAAGGCAGAGGCAAAAAGAAGAAAGCTAAGAAAGTCTGGGACGATCGCCAGTACAAAAATCTGGATGACTCCGTAGAACTGGGCACACGTAACATCAAAATGGCTTTACGGCGGTTGCGAAAATTTGCCCGCTCAGGCACCGACGAAGAACTGGACATGTCCGGCACCATTAAATCTACCGCTCATAACGGTGGCATGTTGGACATCAAGATGCAGCCGTTGCGTAAGAACACAGTAAAAGTACTGCTGTTTCTGGATATCGGCGGTTCAATGGATGCCCACGTTAAAATCTGTGAAGAACTTTTTTCGGCAACGAGAACTGAGTTCAAGCACATCGAAAGTTTCTACTTTCATAATTTTATTTATGAATCGGTATGGAAAGATAACCGTCGTCGCATGAGTGAGCGCATTCCCACATGGGAAGTGCTTAACAAGTATTCGCACGACTACAAGGTGGTTTTTGTAGGTGACGCCACTATGGCCCCGTATGAAATTACCCATGCAGGCGGTAGCGTTGAGCATTGGAATGAAGAACCTGGCGCCGCATGGATGGAGCGCCTGGGCAACATCTATGACAAGCTCATCTGGTTGAATCCTACACCACAGGAAACCTGGGAGTACTCCTCCTCTGTGACCATGACCCAGAACCTGGTCGACGGAAAAATGTTCCCTTTGACGGTTCGTGGGCTCGAAGAGGGTATGAGCGAACTGTCTAAGTAGGCACCCAATCGGCAGCTGAGTTCAGCTGCCTCTACTGAAGGTTATAGCTCGCGCAGCACCATGTCCTCGCGACGGAAAAAAACTTCTGGTTCGATCAGGTCGTATCCCCTCGCTGATGATGTGCCGCGCGCTCGGGTCATGCGGCGGGATTACTTTGCCCTGCGGCGTGAACAGGACGCCGATCGACGCTTGGCGGCTGTTGCGCGTTCCGAGGCCGCCCGGACCAAACGTTATGAAGCCCATGCCAGTCTGGACCTCACCGTTGCCGATAATCTGCCGATGGCCGCGCATGTTGATGAATTGTTAAATCTGCTAAAAGATCACCAGGTGGTGGTCGTCGCGGGGGAAACAGGTTCAGGGAAAACCACGCAATTACCGAAGCTGTGTATGCAGTTGGGTTTCGGCGTAGGTGGCATGATCGCCCATACTCAACCCAGGCGCTTGGCTGCACGCACCGTAGCCAAACGAATCGCTGAAGAAGTTAAGGCTGAACTGGGTAACCAGGTGGGTTATGCGGTCAGGTTTGCAGACCAGACCAGTGAGCAGACCCTGTTGAAGGTCATGACAGATGGCTTGCTGTTGACGGAAATCCGCAGCGATCGTTTTCTAGATGCTTACGATGTGGTGATTATTGATGAGGCCCACGAGCGCAGTCTGAACATAGACTTTCTATTGGGCTATTTGAAGCGTCTGTTGGCAAAACGCAAAGATCTGAAGGTTATTGTTACCAGCGCAACCATCGATGTTGAGCGATTCTCCGAATTTTTTAATGGTGCCCCGGTGGTGTCGATCAGTGGCCGAACTTTTCCAGTAGAAGTGCGCTACCTCGAGGGCGAACCGGAAACCCAGGACACCAACGAATCGATTGTGCAGGCATTGCTTGATATCCAACAGCATGGATCATCCCAGGCACGTGATGTACTGGTTTTTTTCGCCGGCGAGCGAGAAATATTTGAGGCGGCAAAACTATTGCGGCAAAAGTTCGCAGATCAGTTAGAAGTGTTGCCTCTGTACGCACGCCTATCTTTTGCCGAGCAGAAAAAAATATTTGAGCCGGGCGGCCACAAACGGCGGGTGGTCCTGTCCACAAACGTCGCGGAGACTTCCCTGACCGTACCAAATATAGGTTATGTCATCGACCCCGGGTTTGCCCGTATCAATCGCTACAGCTATCGATCCAAACTGCAGCGTCTACCTGTTGAACCGATATCCCAAGCCAGTGCAGATCAACGCAAAGGGCGTTGTGGGCGAATTGCACCGGGGGTTTGCTATCGTCTTTATGCGGAGCAGGATTTCCTCTCTCGCCCTGAATTCAGTGATGCTGAAATACATCGGGTGAACCTGGCGTCCGTTGTTCTGCAGATGCTGGCTTTCAAGCTCGGTGATATCAGTAAGTTTCCATTTATCGACTTGCCTGATGGTCGCGCGATAAAAGATGCAATGCGCCTGTTAGAAGAGTTGCAGGCACTTGAGTCCGGCAAACTGACCCCACTTGGCCAGCAAATGGCAAGAATGCCGCTGGATCCGAGATTGGCTCGAATGCTACTGGCTGCAGGCCAGCAGGGAGCATTGACGGAAGTGTTAACCATTGTGTCTGCTCTTGCAGCACAAGATCCGCGTGAACGACCGCTGAATAAAGCTCAAGCGGCGGATCAGGCGCACGCTGCCTTTGCTGACGAGCGCAGTGATTTCATGTCTCTGGTTCTAATGTGGCAGTGGTTGGAAGAGCAGCGTCAACAACTCACACGGGGGCGCTTTGAAAAGTTGTTGCGCAAACAATTTCTGAATGTGGCACGGGTGCGCGAATGGCGGGAACTGCATCGCCAGCTGCGCCTGAGTGCTCGCGATATTGGTTTGTCTGAAAATTCGACGCCTGCACAATATCAGGCTGTACACGAAGCAATTCTGGCAGGCAGCCTGAGCCTGATCGGCCTGCACGACGAGCGAGGTGTTTATCTCGGCGCGCGTAATCTGAAGTTACGTATCTTCCCGGGGTCAGCTTTGGCAAAACGAACGCCAAAATGGATTGTAGCCGGGGAGATTACAGAAACCTCCCGTATCTATGCCCGTCAGGTAGCCGCGGTGGAACCCGCCTGGATAGAGCGTCAGGGTGAGCACCTGCTGAAGATCCAATACAGCGAACCTTTCTGGAGTGTCAGTCGTGGCGAGGCCATGGCTTATAAGCGGGTCAGTCTTTACGGTTTGCTGCTGGCGGAGCGTAAAGAGGTTCGGTATGCGCCGATAGATTCGGTACATGCCCGTGACCTGTTTATACGCGAAGGCCTGGTGCAGGGTCGTGTGAAGCGTCAGCCGGATTTCCTTGTGCATAACCTTCGCGAAGTCGCTCAGATAGAAGAGCTGGAAGCGAAAGGGCGCCGCAGAGACCTTTTGGTGAGTGAAGATGAAATTTTTGCTTTTTACGCAGAGCGTCTGCCAGAGACAATTTCGTCGCTTACTGATCTGAATCGATGGTTAAAGCGAAGTGCTGGCGAAAATCATGAGAATCTGATGCTGAGTGTAGAAGACCTGCTTCAGCATCAGGATGTTGGCCTGACGGCAGAGCTGTTTCCCAATGAGATTCGCGTTAATTCTTTCGGTTTTCCTGTGAAATACAAATTTGCACCAGGAGAAATTGATGACGGTGTCAATGTAGATGTACCCGTTGGACTGCTCGCCGGTATAGGCGCTGAACCCTTTGAGTGGTCGGTTCCCGGTTTGTTGCCTAACGTTGTCGACCAGTGGTTACGCAGTTTGCCCAAAAACAAGCGTCGAAACCTGGTGCCTTTGCCCGATACGGTAGAGGAATTGAGCCGATGGTTAGTTGAGCCGGAGCATTTTCGCAAAGGTCGATTGCTTGCGGCGTTGGCAAAATTGTTGAAAGACAGATTCAGGCTGGAAGTGGGAGAAGCCGACTGGCATCGCGAACGGGTTGACACTCACCTGCTGGTTAATGTCCGAGTCCTGGATGAGAGCGGTAAGCTGTTGGGGCAGGGCCGTGATGTACGTGAACTTAAGGAAAAGTTCAGTGCGACAGGAGCATCGCCAAACACTTCTGATACGGTGCCATCAGAACTGCAGAATCTCAGCAAACTACCGGATGGATACCTGGCTGAGCATAAAATCATCGGTCGGCATAGTGCGCCGGTTATCAAATATCCCGGGCTCATCGATCGAGGCGATAGCGTTGATCTGCTGCTGTTTGATAATGAGCAGGACCGTGATCGCGCGCATCGGCGGGGCTTGAGTCGCCTGGCCTTGTCTCAGTTGGGTAAGGTTGGCACCTACTTTCGGCGTGAGTTGGACAAACACAAACAGTTGGGCCTGCATTTTGCCCCGTTGGGCAACGCTCAGGAGCTGAAAGACGAATTGCTGCTCAACACGCTCTGGTACTGCTTTTTTGAAGGTCGTCCACTGCCGACCAGCGACACAGAATTCACAGAAATCCTGGCCACTAACAAAGGTCGGTTGGGGGATATGTTTGATAAAGTTGTCGGACAATTTGCGGGTATTTTGGCGCAGCGCTTCGAAATCAGCCGCAATCTTGAGCGGCTGAGCTCAAAAGCGTACGCGGTCAGTGTGGCGGATATCCAGACACAGTTAGCAACGCTGGTGCCCCGTAATGTTCTGGCCGTTACCCCGTATGATTATCTGCAACTGCTACCCAGGTACCTTTCCGGCATCTCGCGAAGGCTTGAAACTCTGCCAGGACACGTCCCGAAAGACCTTAAACTTATCAACGAGATACAGCCGCTTCTGCAACGTTTTGACGTCTTGCAAAAGGCAGAATTGGCCATGCCCGAGCGCTCGGAGGCTTTGAAGTTCTATCTTGAGGAGTTGCGTCTGCAGTTATTTGCGGAAGCCGTAAGCAGGCAGAAAGTGTTGGATCACCCATTGAATAACAGTTTTCTGGGTGAACGCTGGAAGGTCTCTCTCAAGCGTGTCGATGCGACGTTGCGGGCTGAAGAGCAGCGCGTTGGGCTGGCTTAACCAGGTCATTGCGTTAATATCAAATTCGACCTGACGGAACCTTTTGTTGGTCTGTTGGGTCATAGACCCGGAGCGCTAAATAAAGAGCGTTTGGATTGACAAACAAGGGGCAGGTCCGCGAGGCCGCCCACAGAATCAAATCTATTGGAGATGAACTCAATGTTGAAGCAGAAAATGAAACCTATTGCAGCGGCCGTCGGCACAGCCTTCGTAGCCTCTTTGGCAACCGCAAGCGTTGCACAAGCCGATGACAACTTGTTTGTCGCCCAGGATATGGAACGTGGCTACGACCTGCTTGCGCAGGCAGAAGGCAAATGCGGCGAAGGCAAATGCGGTGAAGGCAAGTGTGGCGAAGCTGACGAGAAAGAAGGCGAAGGCAAGTGCGGCGAAGGTAAGTGTGGCGAAGCCGAAGATAAAGATGGCGAAGGCAAATGTGGCGAAGGCAAGTGCGGTGAAGCCGAAGATAAAGATGGCGAAGGCAAATGCGGTGAAGGTAAGTGCGGAGGCGCAGCCTAACCCGCGTTAGTAACAATGCCAGAAACTGGAGCCATAAAAATTGATGGTGCTGGTTTGGGATTAAGGCGGGGCATGTTACCCATGCTGGATAATCTCGAAACCCATGATGTTGATTTTTTTGAAGTGGCTCCGGAAAACTGGATCGGTGTTGGCGGCCGTTATGGCCGCCAATTCCATAACCTCACTGAGAGGTTCGATTTTGCCTGCCATGGCTTATCCTTATCGTTGGGAGGGCCTGCCCCGTTAGACGTGGAATTCCTGAGAGCTGTGCGGGAATTCAATGACGTCTTTAACATTAAAGCCTATTCAGAGCATCTGAGTTTCTGTAGCGACGAACATGGTCATTTGTATGATCTGATGCCGATACCCTTTACTACTGAGGCAGCCAGCTACGTTGCGAGTCGGATAAGACAAACACAAGATATTCTAGGCCGCCAGATAGCGGTTGAAAATGTCAGTTACTATGCTGCGCCCGGCCAGCAGATGCTCGAAGCAGAATTCATTAATCAGGTGCTGACAGAAGCGGATTGTTTGCTGCTGCTGGATGTGAACAACATCTACGTGAACAGTATTAACTTCAAGTACGATCCTTTGGCATTTATGTTGTCGCTTGATTTGAGCAGGGTGGGATACCTGCATGTTGCAGGACATTATGTTGAAGCACCTGATCTGAGAGTCGATACTCATGGTAGTGATGTTATTGAGCCAGTCTGGGAACTCCTTCGACAAGCTTACGCCCGTGTTGGACCGCTCCCAACCCTTGTTGAGCGGGATTTCAATTTCCCAAAATTATCTGTGCTGTTAGACGAAGTGGAGCAGGTTCGTCAGCTGCAGAAAACAGCGGCACAAACCGCTCTGGCGGTCTAGCGCAATGCAGAATTCAGGGCGGAATCTGCCGGATTTCAAAGCGCTGCAGTTAGACTTCGCAGCGCACATCCGTAACCCGGAAAAAAATCCAGCCCCTGGTGACATCGAAGCGCGACGTATGAAGATTTACGTTGATTTGTTTTTTAACAATATCAAAAGTTTTCTGGACAGTGCTTTTCCAGTGGCGGCTGAAGTTGTCGGGGCCGCAAGGTGGCGCGAGATTGTGCGTGATTTTGTGCACCATCATCCAAGTGAGTCACCATTTTTCCTGCAGATCTCTGAAGAATTCCTGACCTTTCTGCACGGTCAGAACTATGCAGATTTACCTGGTTTTTTACTTGAGCTGTGTCATTACGAGTGGGTTGAGTTGTCGTTAGATGTGGCAACCGAGCCTGAAAAGCTTCCACTTCTAACTTCAATAGAACCTTCTGACCCGGATTATCTGATGGGTCGTCTGTTGATTTCACCGCTTGTACGGCCTCTGGTTTACACTTATCCGGTACATGAAATCGGTTCTGCAAATCAACCGTCAACCCCGCCGGCTTCACCAACTTACCTGCTGGTGTATCGTAACAGGCAGGATGAGGTGAGATTTATGGAATCCAATCCGGTAACACATCGTTTGCTTGAATTGCTGGCTGATCATGATGCTGCGTCGGCATTGCAGGCAATACGCGCGGAATTGAATGCCTCGGGCCGCTCAATCAGCAGCGAACAGATGGTTGCTCAAGGCAGACAAACTTTGGCGCACCTTTCGGAGTTGAGTATCATACGGGGCGAAATTTCCAGTGAGACGTAAATGTTTAAAGCACGCATGAAACAGTGTGCCGCACTTCTGGTGCTTGTTGCAGGATTACCAACCCTGGTCCATGCGGCCGGTGATCCGATAGAGCCAGTTAACAGAGGCGTTTACAGTTTCAACGATTTTGCTGATCGCTGGGCGATCAGACCAACCGCGAAGGCTTACGACAAAGTCGTACCCGGCTTTTTGAAGTCGGGCATCAGTAATTTCTTTGAAAACCTGGGTACACCGGCGATCGCGGTGAATCAGTTGCTGCAGGGAAAACCGGTGCGCTCGCTGTCAGATACAGGCAGGTTCCTGGTGAACACGACTTTGGGGGTGGGTGGCCTGATTGACGTGGCGACCCACGCAGGTTTTGCAAAACATGACGAAGATTTTGGTCAGACGCTTGGCGTCTGGGGAGCCGATTCGGGTAGTTTTCTGATGTTGCCTTTCCTCGGCCCGTCCTCGGTGCGCGATACCCTGGGTTTTGCGGTCGATGGCCTGATGAATCCCATTCGCTTCGTAAAACCCACAGAGTCTCGCGCAGCGGTTATGGCTTTGTACGTCATTGATCTCAGGGCCGCTTTGTTGGGTGTTGATCAGTTGGTTTCCGGGGATGAGTATTTGTTCCTGCGAGATGCTTATCTTCAAAGTCGGGCATTTTCCGTCAGTGATGGTGTCACAGAGGAAGATCCGTTTGCCGATGATGGCTTTGATGATGATGGTTTTGATCTTGAGTAAGTGATTTTTTGTACCGGCTCCGCCACATCCTGCCTCTTGTGCTCACTAACTTTCAGGCGTAGGGTCCTCGCCGCAAACTTAAGCGACCTTGGCATTAGTTGTTGGACATGAGTTTTTTAGTACTCGACGCACACACGGCGGTATCAATACGCCTGATACAGCTATTGGCTGACTCCGGGTTCCGGGTACATGGCGTATCGGACATCGAGGCTGCAAATGCATACTTTGATCGTAATAACGTGAGCGCTGTTCTGTCGCCGGAACTCACATCCTGCGAAGCGTTTGCCGCGCGTCATCCCCAAGTCCCTGTCCTCTATTTTTCTGATCAACCTTGCAGTGCCAACGAACTGCTTGCGTGTTTGAGTGCTGATGTTGCTGATTGCCTGGTACTGCCACTTTCAGCGCAGGAGGTCGTTGCAAAGTTAGAGGCGTGTATTGCTCGCAATAAGGTAAAAGACACATTGAGCCAGAATTACTGGCGCTCAGCTCACAATGCTCTGGAAGTCGATTTACAGGCAGGTCGCTATATTCAGACCAGTCTGTTGCCTAAAACCCCCCAGTACTTCGCGCACATCTGCCTGGAACATCGCCTGGAACCGTCATTATTGCTCAGCGGTGATTTTGCTGACTATTTTGAACTCGCTGATGGGCTTAGCGCCTGTTATCTGGCTGATGTGTCCGGTCATGGCAGCTCTGCAGCTTTTGTTACCATCCTGCTGAAACACTTTTCTGCACAGCTTGCACGCAAGGCTGATGAAGGTAGCCGGCTGCATCCAGGTGAAGTCCTGACCTGGATGAACAACGAACTGATGGCTTTGGATATCGATAAACACGTTGCGATGTTTTTTGCCTGTGTGGACAGCACAGCCGGTACGCTTACCTATGCTAACGCCGCGCAGTTTCCACCTGCAATCTTAGCTCTTGGCGACAGCGTGACTATGCTTGAACAGAAGGCCAAGCCTCTGGGCTTGTTTCCTAACGTGCAATATCGTTGCTCAGAAACAGCTTTTCCGCCTGGGGCCCGGTTGGTTGTGTTTACCGATGGTGTCCTTGATCTGGTATCCGGTGAGACTTTGCCCGAAAAAGAGAAACAACTGGCTGACATTGTCCGCAGTGCGGACGATATGGCGGGCATATGGTCCAAACTGGATCTGGATCAACTTGGGCAGGACGATGTCAGCTGTTTACGTGTGACGAATAATGCATAGCTCCGCCTTAGGAACTTTGTGGTTTTGTAGTTTCCCGCGGAGGTATGGGTGAGCGGAAAGATAATGGTGGGTAACCACCAAGGCGTGTACGTGTTGCGTTTCGAAGGAGACGTGCGGTTAACTGTGTCAGGCTCATTTGATCGTTACCTGGATGCGATGTTTGCGGATCCGCAGTTTGTGTCAGTGCTGGTGGATCTGACCGCTGCTGTTGCAATCGACAGCACAACGCTCGGTGTGCTGGCAAAGCTCAGTATTGCCGTGCAGAAGAAGTACCAGCATTTGCCTATGCTGGTTTGTAAAGCCCGCGATATCCTGCGGATTCTGCACAATATGGGCTTTGAAGATGTGTTTAACATCGTTGCTGATGCCAACGAATTGCGCCACCAGCTTGCTGAGTTACCTCTGGCTAACGATTTAGATGAAGAAGAAATGCGGTTGCGGGTGATCGAAGCTCATGAAGCCTTGATGGGACTGAATGAACAGAATGCGGTGACCTTCCGGAGTCTGGTGGAGGCGTTACGGGCAGAAAGTTCTGCGAACGCTGTGCGGCACAACGTCTCTTAATAACTCGCTGGGCAACCCTGCCTATTTCGAAACGGCGCTTTGCGCTGCTTTTTTTGCTGCGATAAAGCGCGCATGAGGCAGGTAGATGAGGTCGGCAACCCGCCGAATGGTATGTTCCTCTAGAACATCCAGTTCGTTATCTACCAGGGCAATTGTCCACATGGATTTGATGACCTGGTATTTCTGCTCTTCTGACAAATTTTCATTGATCACCCGCGTGAACGGAAAAACCCCAACACTTTCGTCATGACTTATTTTTGATTCGGCAATGATTTCTGCGACGCGTTGGTCGTGCAGATCAAATTGTTGAGCTAATAAGTCTGTCATCATCGCCACTTCCGCCTCACTGATCTCATGATCTGCCCAAACAACCTCAAACATAAGTACTGCAGCGGCCAGCGGCGGGTCAATCTGCAGTTCGCTTTGTGCTTCGGTTCGAAATAGATCTAACAGGCGTGAAAACATCAGGCGGCCATCACAAATACTTGAGCCAGAGCTTCATCAAACAGGCTGATGTCGTTGTCTTTCAGGCGCTTGTTGTCGCTGAGTAGCTGGCGAAACCGCCGTGCGCCACGCTGACCATTGCAGACACTTAACATGTGTCGCGTCATGGCATGCAGGGGTTCACCCAACGCAAGTTGCGCTTCAATGTATTCACGGTAAGCCGCGAGTATATCGGTGGCTTGAATTGCAGGTTGGCTGTTCAGGTCATTGGTAAACAGGTGTTCGTCCAGGGCGCTCAGCCACATGGGATTGTGGTAGGCGGCGCGACCGATCATCACACCGTCTGCCCAAAGTAAGTGTTCCTCTGCCGTGGACGTGTTGTCTATGCCACCATTGATGATGATCTGTAAGTCTGGTCGCAGTCGCTTCAGTCGTTCCACGCGCGCGGGTTGCAGGGGTGGGATCGAGCGGTTCTGTGCCGGACTCAGTCCGGCTAAGATGGCTTTACGGGCGTGGACGTAGAAACGCTGGCATCCGCCAGCGCTGACGGTATCGATGAAGTTGAGTAACAGTTTGTCGCTGTCATCGTCGTCAACGCCCAGACGGCATTTCACGGTAATAGGGATGGGGCTTACTTTGCACATCGCTTCAACACATGACGAGACCAGCTCGGGTTCACGCATCAGGCAGGCACCAAAGGCACCTTTCTGCACCCGTTCGGAAGGGCAACCTACATTGAGATTAACCTCGTCGTAGCCCAACTCAGCAGCTTGCTGCGCACACGCAGCAAGCGCGTCTGGCTCGCTGCCGCCAAGCTGCAGTGCAAGCGGATGTTCTGCCGGGTTGTAATCAAGCAGATGCCACTGTTGTCCATGCAGCAGGGCGCCTGTGGTGACCATTTCTGTGAACAACAGCGCGTTGGGCGTGAACAGCCTGTGCAGGTACCTGCAATGCCGATCCGTCCACGCCATCATCGGCGCAACACTCAGTCGCGGTGCGTTCGGAAATGATGTGGATATAGATGAATCCATAGCGCAGGGTGTTGTTGCAAAGAAACGCAATTTTGGCAGACGCGGTAGTGGAAAGAAATGTGCAAGTTGAGAAGGGGAAAAATTGACTGCAGATTCAAGAAAATGGAAACAAAATTGCAGAATTCGCATTTTTCTGGCTGACGCAGGCCCAATAATAAAGCTAAGCCTATGAATTATATGGAATAAATGCCTGAAACACTTGGAAACAACCTGTTTCATATTTTTCCATTTTTGCCTTCATTTTTTCTTCATTTTCATTCACAGAGTGCGTATAGTCTCTCGCCAAGTCGTTGAAAGTTAAGCACTTCAACAATCTAGCAGCAGAATGATTGGACTGAGACAAATATGCTAAGACAAAGAACCATCAAGAAGCCGGTCCACGCTATTGGAATCGGTGTTCATACGGGTGACAAAGTCCGCATGACCTTACGCCCTGCCGGGGAAAATACAGGTATATCTTTTGTCAGAACTGATATCCGTGCCAGCGCACCCATTCGTGCAACCGCTGAGAATGTTTCTGACACCACGTTGTCAACAAGTCTGGGAACAGGCGATGTGCAGGTCGCAACAGTTGAGCATCTTATGTCAGCCCTGTGGGGCCTGGGCATAGATAACCTGGTAGTTGAGCTGTCCAATGAAGAAGTGCCGATTATGGATGGCAGCGCAGCGCCTTTTATCTACCTGATCAGTACAGTGGGTATTGTAGAACAGCAGGCACCCAAGCAATTCATTCGTATTAAACGTGACATTAAAGTTACGCAAGGTGACGCGGAAGCCGTGTTAAAGCCTTACGATGGCTTTAAAGCCGCATATACCTTTGTTGCAGATCATCCGGTTTATAACCGGCATCCGAAGGTTTCTGAGCTGGATTTTTCCAACATTTCTTATGTCGATCAGGTCAGCCGGGCGCGCTCGTTTGGCTTGATCAAAGAACTGCCACAAGCTCAAGCCATCAACAAAATGTTGGGTTCAAGTCTGGAAAACGCGGTTGGTATCGACGATTTTGATGTCATGAACGATGGTGGCCTGCGTTATGAAGATGAGTTTGTGAAACACAAGCTGCTCGACGTGATCGGCGACCTTTATCTCCTGGGTCGTCCGATTCTGGGTGCGTTTGAAGGCTTTAAATCAGGCCACGCGTTGAATAATAAACTGGCACGAGCACTGCTGCGCTGTGAAGACGCCTGGGAGTTGAGCACCTACAAAACGCCAGCCGCTGTGGAAGAATTTCGCGAGCCGATCATGCAGCCAGCTGCAATCTGATGCTCTGCGGCCTGGTCTTACAGACCAGGCTTTCCCCAAATCACCTGTCCTTGCTGTGAAGGCTTTATCCGGCTTGTTCTCAGCGCGAATTGTTTTGCCCCTCAAACCGACGTGCTTCCTCCAGCATGGTTGTCAAAAACTGTCTTACCGCCATGGTCGCCTGATCTGCGGGCATCAGACGCTGTTCTTCCAACACACGTGCCATGTCCAGCACACTGCGCTTGCCATCAATCAGCGACATGATGAAGGCATGAATTTTTGTTGTGGTGATCTGTGTCTGTAGGCCAGGGCTTAACGGTATGGGTGTTCGACCGCTGACCAGCCACTCCGGTAAATGCTGGTGTCGTTGCTGCTGTTTGGGGGCTTGTTGATCATCACGCTGAGCCAGTTGGGTGTGCGTCAGTTCAAGACGGCGGTGACGACTGGCGGGGGATTGCAGGTAGGGCAGCAGTTCATCTTCGCTGATTTCGACCTGGAATCCGGCACCGTTTGTCTTTTCCTGCACTTCTTCCTGGGTCATTCGATTGGCTGCCTGACTGCCAGAGAAGGCTAAAGAACCATGATTAAGCCAATGTCCATCAGGCGCTGTGGTTCTGTATATCACTTGTAGGAAATCGGACAGATTTGCATCGATCACGTCAATCAGCCAGGGCGTGATCACAAGGTCAAACTGGCCTGGGGCGAAAGGCAGTCGCATGGCATCTGCACAGACAAAATGAATACCATCTACTGATTCGGGTGCAGCCAGAGTTCGTTCAACAGCACAATCTTCTGCACTGATGGGCGCCAGGGGAAATTCTGTGAAAGCCAGCTTTTCGCCTGCGCACATACGCTGGCCTATCAGACACAGCAGTGGGTTGCTGTCGACTGCCCAGGTTTCTTCTGCTGCCAGAGTTCGATGCAGATCGTAAGCGAGGCGTCCGGCCCCGCAACCCAGGACCAGCAGTCGGGCTGGTTTTTTAATGCCGGCAAGCACTGTTGTGAGATGTTGCAGAACCTGCGTGTTTTCTTGTTCGCCCCAACTCCAGTCGCGATGGATGTTCTGCGCATAGGACAAGGCGCCGTGATGGCTCGGGAGTTTAGTGCGCAAGGCAAGGTGGGTCTCTCGTGCAAGGGCTTCACCGACATGTAAACCACTGAACAGAGCGGTCAACTCCTGTTGGTGGCGGGCCAGTGCGCTATTCAGGTGTGCAAGACGATGGCGTGTGGCGGAACCAGCAGCGTCGATCAACGCGGTGGTGGCTATCTGTGTTTCCAGATCAGCCAGGGCAGCGTTGAAACGATTCTGCCAATCCAGCAGGCAGGCTTCAGGCTCCGACCAGAGGAAAGGCACACGGCCGGTTGCAGACTGCAACATCGGGTAATCAATTTTACACGCGGTGCAGCTGAGGCCGGCTTCCGCGTGCTCCAATAAGACAGTGTCACATCTGGGACAACAGAGGCTGACCATGCTTTAACTCCGTGTAAAGCGTATTTTGAGCCTGCCAGAGTCTAGCAGGCTGCAGATTTGCAAACCAAGACGATTGGCTATACCGGGTTCGTGATGGTGCCGTTCACAATAGGTTCAAACGCGGTCAAGCTGTCCTGAAGTGTCGAATTACCTAAGCCGTTGTTGGGCAGAGCAGTACCAAACTGGCCATTCTCACCATGCAAGGCCATGTAATTCAGAACCACCGTTTCTGCCAGCAGATTCACGTTGTTTGCAGCGGGTGTGCCCGATGTTTCGACGGAACCATCCGGCCGCATGTAGCCGATCTGTTGATGAGTGGCCTGTTCTTCAGGTGTACCGCCCAGCAGCGTTGGGCGTCCGTTGGGGTTATAAACCAGGAAGAAGGTAGCCGCAGTCTGTTGATTGTCACTGCTCCATTCACCTTTGCCGCGTCCGTCGACAGTATTGTCGATGGTGCCGTTGGACGACAAAGAGCCATCGGACATGACGTACATCATCAGCGGAACACCAATGGTAGCGGCGTATTCAAGGCACGCTCCCATACATTGGCCTGCACGGAAATCTTTGACCTCGCCTTCAGCGCGGCGCCCACCATGATAATCGTAACCGCCCATTTCAATGGTGCCGGCACCGGCGAAGCCGTTAACAACCATCTTCATTACCGAGGCGGTTTTCTGGAATTCCCGGGCTGTTCGATCGCCGGCGTTGAATTCAGCATCTGTAAAGATCCCTTGAGGGCCAACAATCAGCGGGTCGCCCGCTGGATCTAAAGTAGTTGGGTCGCCAAAACGATCAGCCAGGTCGGCACTCTTCAGGTAGCCACATTTGACCAGATCTTTAACCACGTCTTCCGGATGGATGACTGGATCGCCGCCGGTATTGATGGCCTGCATTTTCTGATCGCTGATACGATAAACAGATTCCATAACCGCCACAGCGTCCTGCTGGCTGAGCACAGCGGTCAAGTCGCCGACATCAACCAGACCGGTAACATCGGACGGGCGATCCACTTTTGTGGGTCGCCGGGTCAAATCGATCATCGACATCGGCGCCAGCGAGTTGCCGCCCGAGTCTGAGTTTTCGGATCCGATCAAGGTCAGGAGGGAACCGTCAGAACCGGCGTTCGCGATTCCGTACATCGGGTTATGCGGATTGTTGCCCGTGTCGTTCTCAGAGCGCGCTGGAATCACCGCGCCGTTGATATTTGCTGCCGTTGCCGGAGAAATGCGCGTCATCATGCCGCGCAGAAATGCACTATCGGAGTGGAAGGCAAGGCCAAGGGTTGTATCGATGAAATCGTTGGTCTGTGTATCCGGGTTCAAAATTGGCGGTATCATGTCGCCAGGCAAACCCTGTCGCTCATAGCCGGCGGTACTGAGGAAGTCGAGTTGTCCACCCTGGCGTCCAACCAGCACGTTTGAACCCGCCTGGTTTGAACCACCTGCCAGGTCAAAGGCGATAAAGGGGATTTTCCCAGCGCCTTGTGTGGCAATGCCACAGTCTGCGATCAGCGGCAGCAGGTCTGGTGCCAGCTGCGCCTGAACATTGTTGCTGAGCGTAACCGCACAGGAGCCCAATACAGCGCCCGTTCCCATAATGAATCCCTGGGACAGGAATTCTCGACGTGTCCGCGGGCGACGGTGATCTGCGTGACACAAAGGGTCATCATATTTACGTTGTCTTTTTCTACGCATTGTTTTAACTCTCTTTATGTAACTACTGGACCAGCATTGCCGCGCTGCCTAACACAGACGCGCAAGCCGCTTTAACGATGCTTTCGGTTCTTTCACTGTTGACGCTGACGCTGCTGGCGATCAGGCCGTCGATCAGGCTGTTCACTTCCCCTTCAAGGGCTGGTAGATCGGGTTGTGTGCTGATGCCGTTGCCAACCATGTTGTCGACCAGCGGGTTTATCACCAGGCTGCGATCGTCGAAAGCGGTATTCTGGGATGCACCAAATGGGAAACCCGGGAAATAGCTTGAGCGGGCGTTCACATCATCAACCAACACTGCACAGTATTTGATTGCCAGCTGTGTAATACCCATTTGCTGTGAAGAGATGAAGCCACTGACACCGGTGCCTACAGGCATGGCCTGATGAACCAGGTCGTAAGTTGCCGCCACTTCGCTGTTCGCCACCGGAATACCGGTTAACTTAGACATGGTTGCGTTAATCTCAGCAAAATCTCTGATGCCTACGTCCGGGTCACGAGGCAACACGGCAGGAGGCGGTGCCGGCGCGGGATCAGCTTCGACATAGACATTGGTTTCCTCGCCCAGGACTTCGAATGTCAGGAAAAACTCATCCAGCGTTGGACCTTTCTCCAGTGGCACAATGGTGCCCAGGCTTGACAGGCTCTGGCTGCCATTGGGTGTGTAAAGTGCATCTGTGATGGTGGTATCAACCGCGACGAAAGCTTGCCCAACAGGAAGTTCCCGTCCGTTCAGGCCAATACGGATACCGGACATCGGGATCGATCCAGGTGTTGCTTCACCGTCTAATATGATGAAAAACGGCTCATCGAAGAGGTAAGCATAGGAGTCGAACTGGCTGACTTCGAACACAACATAAGCATCCATAACATCAATGTGGTCGCTGACGTTGAAGAGCAGGAAGTACTTTTCACCGACACCCACTTCAAAGTTCTGCAAAATCTGTTCAGGCGTCATGGCACGATTGTGCATAGCCAACAGACGTATTGTACCTGCCCAGCGGCTGTCGTTGTCGACTTCACTGGCAAGTGCAAAAGCAAAAGTGTCGTCCCAGTCGTTCAACAGCCCGCCGGGCACCGGATCAACATCGTCTGTGAATACGCCGTTGACATAGATTCGACGGCCGTTCACAGGATCGTAGGTGACAACAACGTGTTGCAGGGTTGCCTGCAGGTCTTCGTCATCGTTTGCAGTTGACAGCGCCGGCTCACCATTTGGATCGGTCTGATCGGTACGGATGTAAGCGTCGTAGTTGTAAAGGGTCTGTCCTAACATCAGGTTGCGCGAAGTTGAACCGCCGGAGTAAGTCACAATGCGGGCAGGGCCATCCTGAACTACATTTGCAGGTGCGACCCAGGCCTCGATACTGTATTCACCGGTTGCGGTTATCAGATCACGCAGCTTGGCGCTGGCTGTGGTTGAACCCTGAGCTTTACCTGCAGTGAACTGCACACCCCAACCGCCAACCCAGCTGTAATCTCCGCTGAGGGTGAGGTTCAGGGATGGTTCAATACCTGAGGTATCAAATACCGTATTGCCGGTACCGGTCTTGAACTCGTAGAGTGCAATTACATTCGCCTCGTAGCGGCCACCAGACGATGCAACAATACCGTCTGTTAACGTTAAGGCTTTAGAGGTCACAAGACTTGGATCGACTAAGGTAGGCGTGATGGCGTCTGAGAACGCGATAATGGCATCTTCCATTTCCGCTGCACTGGACTGGCAATCGTTATCCCAACAGTTGTGGAATTCATCAGCCAGACGCAGCACAAAACGGGAATTTTCTGGTGTTTCCAGATCTATTCGAGGTTGAGCGGCGTTATAAGCACTTTCTACTTCTTCGCTGGCAAAGAAAGGACTCTGCGGTACTGCTGCGGTATCGGTATGACAATCAGAGCAATAAGTGGTCAGTAGTGGGTAGACTGTAGTTTCGAACAACGCGGTGTCTACCGGAAAGTTTTTGCTTTCACCGGGGTCTTGTAATGGAGGTGCTTCGAGCTCGACTTCCTTGCCGCCGCCGCCCAGCGTGTCGCCGGCCCAGTTCTCCAGGTAAGACTCAATGATGTCGCCACAGGCATCATCACTGGAGAGCCAGCAGTTGTGGCCGCCGCGCACGTTGGTGACCAGCCTGGAGTTGCCTGGGTCGGTCAGGTCAACAACGGTGTTTACTTCCGAATAGGCGAGATTGATATCGTCTGCTCGGACAAACCGCGGCGTCTGATCGTCAGTATGACAAGAGCCACAACGGTTGTTTGCTACCAGGTTGTCCCAGACGTTTAATTTGAAAGCCTGCACATCCGCTGTCGCTGGTGCAGGACCAGAATAATTGCTTACGTCGGGTGCTGCCGTCACTGGATTTTCAGATGTTGACGCGCCGCTGCCACTACCGCAGGCGTGCAGAAATAGCGTGATCACAAGTAATCCCAGAGATTTATACAGACCAAAGGGTTTGTATGTCGCCAGGGATGTTTCAAAAGCCACAGATAATCTGTTCATTGCAATATCCCCTTAGCTACCCATGCAGTACACGGCTGATTCAGCAAATGTACGGCGCAGGTTATACCCGTTGTTTTGAAAAGATGTGGTCATCGCGTCTATCTGATTATGATCTGCGCTGTCTTGAGGAGGTCTTAAGCAGACGTTCTCAAAGACTTTTTTGACCTGGCATTGAGCGAATGCCTGGGAGTTGGACAGCTCCTCGCCAAAGCTCTTAGCGCCGGCGCCGCTGCCCGGCAGACTCTCGTTCCAACCCAGCAGCTTGTTCTGGCCTTCGCGCCAGTAGTTGTCCCAGCTGTCATCGGGTGTGATGTAACCGTGCTCGAAATTAAGATTATTGTTGAAATACTTTTCTTCAACACGCGTGCCGGTAACCGGATCAATTTCGCCAGCGTCGTTGTAGTTAATCTGGCCGCTGTTGCCATCCGGGTCGTTGACAACATCGTATTCGTAATCATAGTAGGCGAGTGCCTGGGTAAGAGGGTCCATCCCGGCGTGGCAACCTATACAGTTGTTCAGGAATACTCGGCTGTCTCCGCCGGGGCTGCGTGAAACGTCTTGTCGGATGCGATCAGGTACGCGGGAAACATCGTGTAACTGTTCCATATCCAGGCAAAGGTGGTTCAGCATCGTGAAGCGGAACATGGCTCTGTTGGTACCATCAATGAAGAACGCTTTGGCTGCGGAGCGCGTGGTGATCACTCCGGCTGTTGCTGAGGAGGGCAGTCCGGTAACTGCAGATTGCGTGCGGGCTAAAAGGTTAGCTTGCAAGTCTGTACCTGCATTTTCTAAAGCCTCGTAGTGGGCATTAGAACTATTGGAATAAGCAGGTATACCGTTGCCGCTGCCTGTATAAAGAATGTCGCCAGAAAGCACCTGGCGAAAATCAACGTCGTCACGAACCATACCGATGACTGTGGCGATGTAATCGTCTAACGGCACAAATACGCTGCGATCTCGATTGGTCCATGGCGCGGCAAAATTTTTAAGTGTAACCCTGTAGAACTCAGGATCTTCGGTCGCGGTCAATGCCGCATCAAGTGCGGATCTGGAGTTGACACCGTCAATGTCGTCACGCATCGAAGCCAATGTGGCCGCATCAGGCGGTACACCAGCAATTCGGTCGTGTATGCGCTTGGCCTGATCAACTGAGTCAGCCCAGGCTGACAAAGGCAACAACGCGGCAAAGCTGAAAATCATGACAGCAACAGTTGCTGCTGGTCCTCGCCTATATATGGTGGTTAAGAACCGGGGGGTTAAAAACCTCATGAAATGCTCCTCACGTTTGTGCCTAATGCGAATTCTTGGGTCGAAATTCAGGCAGCCATTAACCCCTAAATCCCTCAGGGTTCACGAAGCGCTAAGAATCAGCGTTTCAGCGCGAGAAAAAAGCGCACTGAGTCTCGTTTCTGGAGACTGTCGAAATTTCACCTGATTGTTCACCAGGCGATCCTGTCGGCCGACGTGCCGGCTCGGTTTTGTTCCTGATATCGGGCAGCTGTGAACCAGTGCACATCTGCCGCGCTGACCTTGTGAAAAAATGTAAATCGATAGGGCTGTTAGTCAGCTGTAGGGCAAGAGCTCGGCACTTGCAGTGCATTAATTCCAGGAGTCAGAGCGCACATGAGACACTATTTTGCGATATCCACGTCAGGTACGTGGGTGAGCACTCTCCTCATTTTTGTACTGACGGGTTGCGGCAGCGGTAGTGGCTCAGGCAGCTCCAGCTCTGGCTTGGGTGGTGGTCAATCACCAGATCCTGTTGTTGTCGACTTTCCAGTTGCCTATATAAAAAGGCCGCTCTTGACCGATGACGACGGCAATCTGCTAACTACACAAGTGCGCAGGCGCACAGATTTTTTTCCCGGTGCAGAGATCCTGATCCGAGACCGGGCATCGCCCAGCGCAGAGGAAGTTTCTTTAACCGCTGGGATTTTTCCTGATGATGAAGACGGTAATCCACCGTTGTATGACGTCAAAGACCTGACAGTTTCTTTTGATGGTAATCAACTGGCATTTGCGATGCGTGCTCCAGAAGATCCCGATCTGGATGAGGATGAACAGCCAACCTGGAATATATGGGTGCTGAATCGGGAAGAGGGCACTTTGAACCGCGCTATCGTTTCAGATATTGTCGCAGAAGATGGCCATGACATAGCGCCTCAGTTCATGCCCGACGGGCGTCTCGTTTTCGCCTCAACCCGCCAGCGTCAATCCAAAGCAATTCTGCTGGATGAAGGCAAGCCTCAATTCTCAGCATTTGATGAGGATCGTGATGAAGAGGCGTTGACTTTGCATGTCATGAACCCTGACGGCACTGAAATCCAACAGATTACCTATAACGCAAGTTCTGACCTTGATCCGACCATAATGAGCGATGGACGTGTCGTCTACTCGCGCTGGGATAATGTTGCAGGTCGCGATCGCATTAGCCTCTATCGTGCCAATCCCGATGGCACTGATATGGAGCTGCTTTATGGCGTCCATAGTCACGATACTGGCCCTGACGGTCAGAACATTGAATTTGTAGAACCCACTGAACTGCCTGACGGTCGTTTGCTGGTTATGATGCGCCCGCCTGGCCAGCAAAGTCGATTAGGCGCGCTACCTGTAGCGATCGACGTAAACAACTACGTGGAACACGATCAACCCACTTTCGCCAGCGCCGGATTGCTCACCGATGCGCAGGAAATACTTATTCCCGGCGATCTCAGCCTTGATGAATCTGAACCCGCTCTGCAGGGACGGTATGCCCACATTTCGCCGCTGAATGACGGCACAGAACGCTTGATTACGGCCTGGAGCCAATGTCGTCTGCTTGATACCACCAGTGATCCGCAAAACCCGGTCATCGTTCCATGTACGGAAGAAAATCTGGCGAACGTGAACATGGTTGAAGCCGACCCACTGTATGGCGTTTGGATGAATGATCCCCTTGAGAACACGCAACAACCCATTGTGTTGGGGGAAGAGGGTTTTGCCATCTCAGATGTTGTGGTCATGGAGTCGCGTATCAGTCCGCCGGTTATTCTGGACAAAACTGCAGGCATAGACCTTGATCCTGACCTGGTCAGTGAAGCGGTAGGCGTGCTGCATATTCGCAGCGTTTACGATTTTGACGGGACGCCAAGTTTGGATATCGCAAGCCTTGCAGATCCGGGTCAGGCAACGGCGGCAGAACGACCAGCCCGATTCTTACGGATTGTGAAATCGGTTTCCTTTCCAGACGACGATATTCTCGATATCGATAACGCCGCATTCGGCCGCTCCCAGGCTCAACTCATGCGGGAGATTATCGGTTATGCGCCGATCGAGCCTGATGGTTCTGTAAAGGTCAAAGTGCCCGCCAATATTGCCTTCTGGGTAGACGTCTTGGATGCCCAGGGTCGACGCGTTTCACCGCGTCACAACAACTGGATGCAGGTTCGACCCGGTGAGGAGATGACCTGTAATGGCTGTCACACGCCCACTTCTGAGTTGCCCCACGGTCGGCGTGATGCGGAAGCACCAAGTGCCAACTTGGGTGCAGCCGTCGATGGCTCGCCGTTTCCAAACACGGAACCTGCACTGTTTGCCAACACTGGCGAAACCATGGCGGAGGTCATTACCCGTATCAACGGTATACCCAGCCCGAATGTTGATCTGCGCTACGACGATCTGTGGACAGACCCCAGTGTGCGCGCGAAAGACCTGTCTTTTTCTTACAACTACGCAGATCTGTCGACCACGCCGCCAGTTGACCCAGGTTGTGTCAGCAACTGGAACGCGGGTTGTCGAATAACCATCAACTATATTGATCACGTACATCCAATCTGGTCTGTCGATCGACAGATTCTCGATGTGGATGGCATCACGGTTCTTTCCGACGACACCTGCACGTCTTGCCATGCTGATGTGGATGCAGCCGCTATGCCGATGGTACCGGCTGCCCAACTCGATTTAGGAGATGGACCCAGTGTGGATGAGGCGGATCAGCTGAAGAGCTACAGGGAACTGCTGTTTAACGACAATCAGCAGGAACTAGTTGACGGCGCGTTACAGGACATTCTGGTTCAGGCAACAGATGGGAACGGCAACCTGCTGTTTGAAACTGACGAAGATGGAAATCTGGTTCTCGATATAAATGGTGATCCGATTCCCATCCTGGAGTCGGTTAATCAGGTACCTTCACTGAACGTTGCTGGTGCTTTGTTAAGTCCGCGATTTTTCAGCAGGTTCGCTGCTGGTGGCACGCATGCCGGTCGCTTGACGGATGCTGAACTGAAACTGCTGTCAGAGTGGATAGACATTGGTGGCCAGTACTACAACAACCCGTTCGATGTGCCTCAATAGCATTGTCGAGTGCCGCACAAGGATTTTCGGCTGTGAAGATAAGTAGCGTAGACATAACGCGACGCCTGTGCCGAGGGTTTCTTACTCTCGGCTTCCTGCTTGCCGCTTTTCAGGTAAACGCTTGGACGGTGTTTGAGAAATATCAGCCGAAGGTGCTGGTCTCTGATCCCTACCTGGAACTGCGAACCGGTCCCGGCCGTGGATATCCAATTTTTTATGTTGCAGGGCAGGGTGACGAAGTGGTCATGCTGAAGCGCAGGACCGATTGGTTCAAAGTGCGCACACCCCGGGACAAAGAAGGCTGGGTGCATATCTCTGAAATGCAACACACCCTGGACCTTGACGGTGAACAAATAGATTTTGGCGCGCTGGGACTGGATGACTTCAGCAAGCGACGCTGGGAGATGGGTTTTAATGGCGGTGACTTTAACGGTGCCAGTTCCTTAAGCGGCTATCTAGGGTATGCACTGACGCCGAATATAACTGTTCAACTTGAAGGCACTCAGATCCTCGGAGATTTTTCCGATGGTGTGATGGGTACCGCAAATATTCTCATGTACCCGTTTCCAAAGTGGCGTCTGTCACCTTATTTCACTATTGGCACGGGCATAATTAAAACGCAGCCGCAAACCACAATTGTGGCTGCTGAAGATCGCGAAGATGAAATAGTCCATGCAGGGGTCGGGGCAAACCTGTACCTCAGCGATCGCTTCATGCTGCGAATGGAATACAAGCGCCACACGGTGCTGACAAGTCGGGATGACAACGAAGAGATAGATCAATGGAAAGCAGGTTTCAGCATATTTTTCTAATGCCAACATACAGTCGTCTGGCCAGTGGCCGGCTCGCCCTGAAAGCATTTTTGTTAGGGGTTGTGTTCAGTATGTCCGGTTTATCAGCCTACGCGGCAGATCCGGGTGAGCTTGAACTCGAGCCGCTGCTGGTGCGTGAACCGGAACGTCGCGAAGTTGAGGTCGACGACCTCGACAGTGAAGATTTTGAGATCGGCGTATTCAGCGGCGTGATGAATGTTGAAGACTTTGGCTCTGATACGGTGACCGGTATCCGCGCCGCATATCACGTGACTGAAGACTTTTTCGTCGAAGCTGTATACGGAAAAACCACGCTCGGACAAACCAGTTTTGAGTTGCTCAGCGGTGGCGCACCGCTCTTGTCAGATGATGAGCGCGATATGCAGTATTACAACGTTTCTCTGGGCTGGAACATTTTTCCAGGTGAGGCGTTTGTCGGTCGCAGATGGGCTTTTAAAGGCAGTCTCTACGTTATAGCTGGCGCCGGCAGCACCGAATTTGGCGGAGACGATCGTTTCACCATCAATGCGGGGGTCGGATACCGCCTGATCGCAACTGACTGGCTGGCTTTCCATGTTGATGTGCGCGATCACTTTTTCGAGTCAGATCTGTTGGGCACCATGGAAAACAAGCACAACATTGAATTCAGCGGCGGCCTGACGTTCTTCTTCTAGGAGCTGGGAATGACTTTATTCACGACAAAAATTTCTGCTGGCAAGAAACTGCTGCTGGCTTTTGGTCTGCTGGCCAGTCTTGCTTCCGGTGGTTGCAGCTCATTTGAAGTTAAACCTTGGGTGAGCCCTTTTGAGCGCAATAATCTGGCAGACCCGATAATGAGCTTCAGTCGCGATCCGGTGGCTGCTGCATATCTGCACCACGTTTATCAGGCTCGCGAAGGTGCGCGTGGGGCCGAAGGTGGCTCTGGTGGCGGCTGTGGCTGTAACTAACATCCTCATAGGCGCTCACGCCTTAAGAAAGACAGGCTAAAGGAATACGCCGTTGAAAATTTTGCAACCCTCTGCTCTTCGACTGCTGCTGCAGACTCTGCTGGGTATGATTCTGCTTGCCGCTTTCGCTGGCGTCAGTGTCGCTGCGGTGCTGCCTGAAGATCGTTCAGACATCATGTACCACGGTTATGAAGGTGGCGGTCTCCAGGTTGATGGCCCATCGGTGCTGGTGCGCAAAGGTTACAAAGACAAAGTCTCCGTCTGGGCAAATTATTACGTTGATATGATCACCAGCGCTTCGATAGACGTCGTCTCAACGGCCAGTGAATACACCGAAGAACGTAAAGAAAAAAGTCTCGGGCTGGATTATCTGCACGGCAAAACCTTTATGGGTCTGTCGTACACCAATTCCGAAGAGTCTGACTATTCTGCTCACAGCTGGCGTTTTGGTATCAGCCAGGACTTTTTTGGCGACCTGACCACGTTAGGTGTGAGCTACGCACGAGGTGCTGACACGGTACGTCGCAACGGTGATCTGAATTTTGAAGAGGAGACCGATCGACAGACCTATCGTGTCGACCTTACCCAGGTGATTACCAAAAACATGCTGATCAGCATGAACTACGAAGGGGTCACCGATGAGGGTTTCCTTAACAACCCCTATCGACAGGTACGTTATCTGGATCCTAACGAAGCGCGTGGTTATGGTTATGAACTGGAAGTTTATCCACGCACCCGTACGAGTAGCGCGCAGGCGATACGCGCCATGTACTTCCTCCCGTATCGGGCAGCGCTTAAATTTGAGTTCCGCAACTATAGCGATACCTGGGGCATTGACGCCTACAACGTTGAGTTGGGTTATGTGCACCCGATCGAACGTTATGGCCTCACGCTCGAGTTGAAGTATCGACACTATCAACAGACGGCAGCAGATTTTTACAGTGATCTGTTTCCGCGCTCGAATGCGCAGAATTTCATGGCGCGAGACAAAGAACTTGCTGCATTCCAGACTCAGACAATTGGTGGCGGCATCACTTACGAGTTCAATGCTGACTGGTTGCCAGGGTTCAAACGTGGGTCGGTAAATCTGTTTATGGACTACATCGATTTTCAGTACGAAGACTTTCGTGACGTCACTCGCACAGGTCTGGCGCCAGGAACGGAACCTTTTTACGGGTTCGATTCTGTTGTTACACGCTTCTTCGTCTCTTTCTACTACTAGGAAGGGCGGCGGGGACAATTTGAAAAGTGGGGCTGTTTGAGCGGCTCTGCCATAGATAATTCAGCACATATTCTTTTTAAGGCCTCTTAGCGCCAAATTCCCTCGATTACTCGCCTCAAACGATTGGCTTCTAAAGGCCATCTCTTTATAATTTGCGCGGCCTCGCGCCAGGATCTGTTCTATCAGTATCCGCTCAGACGCAAACTGTCGCATTTTGGCCCACCGAGCATATTTTTTAACGGTGTTTGACGTCATTGAGCTATAGCCATTGAGATTCGCAGGATCTTTCGAAATTGCAACTAGACTTGTTTACATATCAGGACGCCCGTTGCTCGGGTCTATGCAGGCAGGTCTTTTCGTCCGTACGTTGGCCCTGGGCAAACGTCGGCCCCAATTTAACTGAGTACGCATGATAAAAATTAAAAAGGGTTTAGATTTACCCATCTCGGGTAAACCTGAGCAGACTATTGGTGAGGCCCGCACTGTACGTCGCGTGGCAATCCTCGGCGATGACTATCCAGGCATGAAGCCGACGATGGCAGTGGCGGAAGGGGATGTTGTCGCCAAGGGTGCACTCCTGTTCAGCTGCAAAAAAACCCAGGGTGTCAATTACACCGCGCCGGCAGCAGGAAAGGTAACCGCGGTTAATCGCGGTGCCAAGCGGGTTCTGTTGTCGGTTGTTATTGAACTGGATCCTAACGGTGAGAGCATAAATTTTGGTGCTCACAGTGCAGAGCAGATTGCTGCCATGCCCCGTGAAGAAGTGAATAAGCAACTTGTTGATAGTGGTCTGTGGACAAGTCTGCGCACACGGCCGTTTGCCAAAGTGCCGGATCCATCCACCACGCCGAAATCTATTTTTGTCACAGCAATGGACTCTAATCCGCTGGCGGCAGATGCGTCAGTCATCATCGCCGATTATGCTAACCAGTTTGCTGCAGGCCTGGATGCAATAGCGCGTCTGACTGACGGCCCTGTGCATGTCTGTCACGAGCAGGGTAAATTCCTGCCGACTGGTAATTCAGCCCAGATAACCAATCACGAGTTCAGCGGCCCCCATCCCAGCGGCCTGGCTGGCACACATATTCACTTCATTGATCCTGTCAGTGTGAACAAAACTGTCTGGTATCTTAACTATCAGGATGTCATCGCTATTGGCCATCTGTTTTTAACCGGTGAGATCATGAGCGAACGTGTGATTGCCCTGGGCGGCCCCGGAGCGTCTCAGCCGCGACTGGTGAAAACCCTTGTCGGTGCTGATCTCGAGGAACTGAGTGCTGGCGAACTGGTTGATGGAAATCAACGGGTAATCTCCGGGTCGGTGTTGTCTGGACGTACGGCTCAAGGTGCGGAGGCTTTTCTGGGTCGCTATCACCTGCAGGTATCTGTGTTGCCGGAAAACAAAGAGCGCAAGCTTTTTGGCTACCTCGCGCCCGGCACACGGCGGCACTCGGTCTACCCGGCGTTTCTGTCTAAGTGGTTGGGCGAGCGCGACGTAGAATTCTCCACGACCACCAACGGCAGCACCCGGGCCATGGTGCCCATTGGTACCTATGACGCCATCATGCCGATGGATATTCTGGCAACTCAGTTGCTGCGCAGCTTGCTGGTCGGTGATATCGAGACAGCAATTAATCTGGGTTGCCTGGAGTTGGACGAAGACGATGTGGCGTTGTTCACCTACGCCTGTCCGGGTAAATACGAATATGGGCCAGTGCTGCGACAAGTGCTGACACAAATAGAGAAAGAGGGTTAAGCCATGAGTTTAAGAAGCATCATGGATGGTGTTGCGCCGCACTTTGAGAAAGGGGGCAAATTTCACGCCCTTTATCCTGCTTACGAGGCCATTGATACTGCATTATATACACCCGGTCATACGACCCGCGGCGCCTCTCATGTTCGGGATGGACTGGACCTGAAACGCATCATGATGACGGTCTGGTTGTGCGCCTGGATTCCTGCGATTGTCGGCAGTTACTTTGTAGGTTTGCAGGCTAACGAAGCGATGCAGGCCGCCGGCTTAACCGCTATTGAAGGGTGGCGGGGCGCATTTCTGAACCCTCTGCTGAGTTTTGATCCAAACAGCATGATCGATTGCCTGATTCATGGGTTGGGTTATTTCATTCCTTTATACATGGTGGTTTTTGCCGCTGGCATCATCTTCGAAATCTGGTTTGCCTCAGTACGTGGGCATGAGGTCAATGAAGGCTATTTTGTGACCTCTATCCTTTACACGCTGACTTTGCCCGCCGGCATTCCTCTCTGGATGGCGGTGATCGGTATTGTTTTTGGTGTGGTCATCGGTAAAGAAGTCTTTGGTGGGACGGGTAAGAATTTCCTCAACCCGGCGCTCACCGGTCGGGCTTTCCTCTATTTTGCCTATCCGGCGGCGATGTCCGGCGACACCGTCTGGGTGGCGGTAGATGGGGTAACCCAGGCAACACCTCTGGGTAACGCAGCATTAGGCCTGGATTACGGGGTTGATATGACGTCCGCGTTTCTGGGCTACATGCCGGGTACCATCGGTGGAGAGTCAATCCTGGCCATTGGCATTGCCGCAGCGATTCTGCTGGCAACCCGCATTGCTTCCTGGCGCGTCATGCTGGGTTGCGTTATTGGTCTTGTCGGTACCGTTGGGTTATTTAACCTGATGGACTCAAGCAATCCGATGTTTGCAATGAATCCCCTCTGGCACCTGGTGCTGGGTGGTTTTGCGTTTGGCGCAGTTTTTATGGCCACGGACCCGGTTTCGGCGGCCCATACCAATCGCGGTCGACTGATTTACGGCATCCTCATTGGCTTTATGTGTGCGCTCATCCGCGTGGCGAACCCGGCTTTCCCTGAGGGCATGATGCTGGCCATTTTGTTTGGCAACTTATTCGCACCGTTAATCGACAATGTCGTGGTGCAATCAAATATCAAGCGGAGGTTAGCGCGTGTCTAGTTTCGACAAAGACAGTCTCAGCAATACTTTTATCGTCGCCATCGGCATCTGCCTGGTGTGCTCGATTGTGGTTTCCGGCATAGCCGTAGCACTGAAACCGACCCAGCAGGCGAACAAATTGCTCGACCAGAAACAGAATATTCTGCGTGCCGCGGGATTACTGGCCCAGGACAGCAACGTTGACGCCCAGGGGCGCGACGTTGATGAGTTGTTTGCTGAATTTGATGTGCGCGTTGTGGACCTGGATACCGGTGAATATCGCAGTGATCTTGATCCCACCAGCTTTGATCCGATTCGCGCTGCAAAAGATCCTGATATGAGTCGGCCGCTGAGCGATTCAGAAGACCCTGCAACATTACGTCGGCGGGAAAATGCATCCATTGTCTACATCAAACTGAACGAAGGCGAGATTGATAAAGTAGTTATTCCTGTTCGCGGGTATGGGCTGTGGGGCACCTTGTTTGGTTACCTGGCACTGGACTCTGACCTGCAAACCATATCCGGTCTGGGGTTTTATTCGCACAAAGAAACGCCTGGATTGGGTGGCGAAGTCGACAATTCCAACTGGAAGGCAAGCTGGCCCGGAACGCAATTGTACAATGATCAAGGCGAGCCAGATGTGCGCCTGGTGAAAAGACGTTCACCTGCCGGATCAACAGCGGCAAATTATGAAATAGACGCACTGTCAGGCGCGACGTTCACGACGCGTGGTGTTGAAAATCTGGTCAACTTCTGGACGGGCGAGTTGGGTTTTGGCCCTTATCTCAAACGTCTAAAAGCAAGCGCCTGATACTCAAAGGAATATAGAAAACGATGTCGACTCAAAAAGAAGTTCTTGTAGACCCGATCTTCAACAACAACCCGATCGCCTTACAGGTCCTGGGTATCTGTTCAGCGCTTGCAGTGACTATCAGTATGTCGCAAACCCTGGTGATGTGTGCTGCGGTGATCTTTGTCACCACGATGTCAAATGTTGCTGTATCGCTGGTGCGTAACCGCGTGCCCACAAGTATCCGGATCATTGTGCAGATGACCATCATTGCGTCGCTGGTTATTGTTGTAGACCAGGTGTTACAGGCTGTGGCCTACGACATATCCAAGAGTCTATCGGTCTTTGTCGGGCTGATTATTACTAACTGTATCGTGATGGGGCGGGCAGAGGCATTTGCCATGCAGAATGGCCCCTATCTCTCCGCGTTAGATGGATTTGGCAACGCGCTGGGATATAGCGTGATTCTTATCGGTGTTGCTCTGATACGCGAACCGCTGGGCTCAGGTACATTTCTAGGTTACGAAATTATGCCAACCATAAGCAATGGCGGCTGGTATTACACCAACGGCATGCTGCTTTTATCACCCAGCGCATTTTTCATCATCGGTCTGTTTATCTGGGCGATTAGAGCCTGGAAACCAGAGCAGGTAGAAGAAGCTGAATACGAAATAGCACCTAACGAGCAGTATCAGGAGGCGATCTAAGCATGGAACATTTCCTGAGTATTTTTGTTCGCGCTGTTTTCATCGAAAACATGGCGCTCACGTTCTTCCTTGGCATGTGTACCTTTATCGCGATCTCCAAGAAGGTGTCTACTGCAATTGGTCTCGGCATAGCGGTGGTTGTGGTTCTGGCGATCACTGTGCCCGTGAACAACCTGATCTTCAATTTACTTCTGCGTGAAGGTGCTCTGGCCTGGGCAGGCTTTCCGGAGGTTGATCTCAGCTTCCTGGGTTTCCTGTCATATATCGGCGTTATTGCTGCAATGGTGCAGATTCTGGAAATGGTGCTGGATCGGTACGTGCCTGCGCTTTACAACGCGCTGGGAGTTTTTCTACCGCTGATTACAGTGAATTGCGCTATTCTGGGTGCATCGCTGATTATGGTTGAGCAGGATCAAACCTTCGCCGAAAGCGTTGTGTTCGGGTTGGGTGCTGGTGTCGGTTGGGCGCTGGCGATTACCGCGCTGGCAGGCGTTCGTGAAAAACTGAAATACAGCGATGTGCCAGATGGTTTGAGAGGGTTGGGAATTACGTTTATTTCCGTTGGCTTGTTAAGCCTGTGTTTCATGTCGTTCGGCGGCATAGACATTTAGTCGTCCGTTGGCAGTTAAAGGACAATAATTATGTTGGATACCACAGTTCTTCTCGGCGTTGTCATGTTTACCGTCACCGTTCTCTTTCTGGTGGGGGTGATCCTTTTTGCTCGTTCCCGCCTGGTCAGTACCGGTGATGTAACGATTCTGATAAACGACGATCCCTCTAAAGCAATACAGGTACCTGCTGGGGGCAAATTACTCAACACGCTTGCAAACAAAGGCATATTTCTGGCCAGCGCCTGCGGCGGCGGTGGCACCTGCGCACAATGTCGGTGCCGGGTCATTGAAGGCGGCGGCAGCATACTGTCGACCGAAGAAGGTCATTTTTCCCGTGGTGAAATACGTGAGCACTGGCGCCTCAGCTGTCAGGTGGCTGTCAAACAGGACTTGAAGATTGAGGTCCCGGAAGACGCCATCGGTGTGCAGCGCTGGGATTGTGAGGTTATCTCTAACGATAACGTTGCGACATTTATCAAAGAGCTGAATCTGAAACTGCCCGAAGGCGCCGATGTGGACTTCCAGGCCGGAGGTTACGTGCAGCTCGAAATCCCACCTTACGAGATGAAGTACTCTGAAATCGACGTGGACGAGGAATATCACGGCGATTGGGATCGTTTCAAAGTCTGGGACAACTACAGCAAAGTTGACGAAGAAACCATTCGCGCCTACTCCATGGCCAATTACCCCGAAGAAAAAGGCATTCTCAAGTTCAATATTCGTGTGGCAAGCCCGCCACCTGGAATGGATGTACCAGCGGGTAAAATGTCGTCTTATGTGTTCAACCTGAAGCCTGGCGATCACCTTACGGTGTTTGGTCCTTATGGAGAGTTTTTTGTGCAGGATACCCCTGCAGAAAAAATCTGGATTGGTGGCGGCGCAGGTATGGCGCCGTTACGGTCGCAAATTTTCGACGAACTGCTGCGCAAACACAGTACCACCAAGATGAGCTACTGGTATGGTGCTCGATCACTCAGAGAGATGTTTTATACCGAAGAGATAGACAAGCTGGCTGCGGAACACGATAACTTTGAATGGCATGTCGCGCTTTCTGACCCGCTTCCGGAAGACGACTTCGATGGCCATGTCGGTTTTATCCATCAGGTGGTGCTGGAAAACTATCTGAAAGACCACCCGGCTCCAGAAGACTGTGAATACTATCTGTGCGGACCACCGCCGATGACAGCAGCAGTTCTACAGATGTTGGAAGAACTGGGTGTAGAGCCGGAGAATATTCGCCTCGACGATTTCGGCGGCTGATCAGACGCAAAGCCTGATGCCAGGCCCGTTTCCGGGCCTGGCTTATGCTTCCTTCAGAAACACACAGCTGGGACAAGCTGGATCTGCTGCTGCAATATCTCCATCATTCTGGTACTGGGGCGTGTCGAAGCGTTCGGTACGGTTATCGTTGTGACCGTTGTCCTGCCCCTGAGGGTTTTGTTGCGGCCGCATGACGCTGTCTTTCCACTCATCATCCTCCTGCCATCGATATTCAAGATCGACAATTGTCCCTGGTTCCAAATCCTGTTCAAAAATGGCAAGCGTATCGCGCATGATGGCCATTTGATTGTTCGAATCAAGACGCTTGCCTGCGGTGTGTCCCAGCGGAAAGTCCAGGTAAGCTGCGCGAGGTGGATTGACAGCAGCGGTTATCGAGCGGGCACTGGACATCGAAACCGTCGCTATACCGCGGGATTCAAGTTCTCTGGCGATCAGTCCAACGGACTGATGGCATACAGGTCAGACCGGTACCATGAGAGCGACATCAACTTCGTCTTTCTGTAACGCATCGGCCAGCGCAGGCGCAAGGATATCGCGTACTTTTCGGGATGAATAAATACCCCCCATGAAGGTGTAAGCCGGATTGCTGAGCTCACCGATAATCCCCTCGCTAACACACTTTTTAAGTGTATCTAAAGGAAAGACTACATTCGGATCAGCGCGTGCATCTGTCAGATCGTAGGCAAAATGTGTAGCACGCAAAGAGCTTGTGGGTGTTTCTATATCGACCTGTCGATAACTCAGGTCATCTTTGAAATGAAAGGCGATCTGGCCCCTGGCGTAAATCCCGCCTGAGGCGATCAGCGCAAGTTTGCACTCTGATAGAGGCTTTTTCAGGGCCGTCATCGGGGGAGAGTCAGGGTTATAGACCCAGTGATAGCTTGGATAACCCAGTCCATCGTACTGTTCTTTGGTTCGCTGAATGTAATCAACCGGCGCTTGTCTTTGCATAGCACACCTTCCTTGCAGAGATGCCAAGTTAGCAACCCCTATGAGCGGCTGCAACTTGTGCGTTGCGGCGATGCGTTGCAAACTCTGATCGTCATTATTGGGAGAGCGGTATGAGTGAAGACAATGCGTTGTTATACGAGGTCGACAACCACATAGGGGTGATCACGCTGAATCGGCCGGAAGCGATGAATTCGTTAACCTATCAGCTTTATGCGGATCTGGAAGATACGGTGCGTTCCAGCACGGCGAGAGTGCTGGTCATCACCGGCAATGGGCGGGCATTTTGCGCAGGGGATGACGTCAAACAGATTTTGGGTAATCCAGAGCCAGCGCCGGCTGAATTCCGTGATCGGGCTAAGGCGACGGGCGGCTTAACACCTGCAGCAGATGCCCTGTTACACACAGATATTCCTGTCATCGCCGCCATTAACGGCCCGGCAGTCGGCTGGGGGATGGAGTTGGCTTTAATGGCAGACATGCGTGTCGCATCTGAAAACGCTAAATTCGGTGAGCTTTTTGTCATTCGCGGGTTATGTTGTGACGCGCCTGGATTAGGCCGGCTGGCTGCGTTGGTAGGACGCGAGAAAGCGGCAGAAATGTTGTTCACCGGCGATATTATTGATGCAGAAACCGCGCAGAAGATTGGTCTGGTTGGAAGATGTGTGCCCCACGAAGAACTGATGCCGACAGCGCTCGAACTGGCGCAGAAAATCGCTCAGAACCCACCGCTTGCGGTGCAGGCTTTGAAAGCAGGTTTGCGGCGCACGGTAGAGCCCGATTGGCGCGATACCGGCAGGTGGGCAATTGAACAGATTACCCGCCTGCGGGCAACTGAAGATTCGAAAGAGGGTGTAGCAGCGTTTCTTGAAAAGCGCACACCGGTATATCAGGGGCGCTGACCCGGTATATCAGGTTTACGCTCTGCCAGGTCCACTGTTGTCGACGGCAGCACCAGCAACTTTAAGGTTTACTTTGTTGGTGTAAAAGGAGGCGTAGCCTGCGATGGCCGCGCACTCGTCAAAGGGGGTTTCATAAATCCAAATCGCATCTTCTAAAATTTTCCCCGCCACAGCCACTGATCGGTAACTGGCCTGGCCTTTGAACGGACAGTAGGTGCTGGTATCACTGTGTTTCAGCACACCCGCATCGATGTCCGCCAGCGGCATGTACCAGACAGGTTTGTGTTTGGTTTCTTCGACGAGTACAGCCCGGTTGCTGCGCGCAATAACCTGGTTGTTCACCTCAACACTGACGGTATCCTGCATGGGTGTGATTTTAAGCTGATAGCCTGGATGAAGGTCAAAGCCTGGAGCTGGGTTTGCCATAAATTTGTTCCACCACTTGTGCCCAGCTATGCTGCCTCTCTGTGATGCCCGTGTGCAAGAAATAACTTATAGGAAGGCGAAAATATGGTGGCTGAAGCAAAACAGGTTGGAGAACAACGTTATCGGGAATCTTTTGGACGCTATCTGGAAGACTTCAGGGTGGGTGACGTTTATGAACACCGACCCGGACGCACGCTCTCCGAAACTGATAATACCTGGTTCACATTGCTGACTATGAATCAGCACCCCCTGCATTTCGACCGCGAGTACGCAGCAAAAAGCGAGTTTGGCCAAGTGCTGGTGAACTCCTGTTTGACGCTATCGATCATAACGGGCATGTCAGTTTCTGATATCTCGCAGAAGACCATCGCGAACCTGGGTTGGGATAACGTGCGGCTTTCGGGGCCGGTATTCATAGGTGATACCCTTTACGCGGAGTCAGAGGTTACCGAGATACGTGCTTCTGCGTCTCGACCAAATCAGGGCATTGTGCGTGTGAAAACCACTGGCTTTAAGCAGGAGAGGGTGGAGGTGATCAGCTTCGATAGAGCGATGCTTATTCCGCAACGCGGCTATGCGGTAGACGACCAGATAGATTATTAGGCCGCGTAGAACAGTTTGTGTGCCAGGGTTTCTTCGATGACCTGTTGAGTGTGCTCTATACATGTGCCGCAGCCTGTTGCGGCACCCAGGTGCAGCTGAATGGCATTAAGGTCTTCAAGACCCTCGTTAACGGCCTCTTTTATGTCCTGATCTGATATCGCTTTGCAAATACAAACATACATGACGATTTTGTTCTCGCTTGACTGCCTTTGAACGTTAGCGCTTAGTGTAAATGCAAATCATTCTCGATAGCAATAACTTTTTGTCTGCGATTACCGTCTGCTGATGAGATTAATTATTGTTATAAATCAATGGTTTAGAGAACATGCGACTTGCTGTGTGAAGTTACCTCAGGCATCATCTGCGCACATTAACTAAGACTGTATCTCTATGAAATCACTGGACCCGGGTGTCATCACGCATTTGAACGTTATCCTGAAGAATGAACTGACGGCCATTAATCAGTATTTTCTGCACGCAAAGATGCTGAAAGACTGGGGACTGCTGCGTATGGCTGCCCACGAGCATCACGAATCCATTGATGAAATGAAGCACGCGGATGTGCTGATTGAGCGCATTCTGTTCCTCGAGGGGTTGCCGAACCTGCAGGATCTGGGCAAATTGATGATCGGCCAGAATGTGGAAGAGGTCATTGCCGCTGACTTGCAGTTAGAAATGATAGCGATTCCCGATCTGCGCGCAGCCATTACTTTCTGTGAAGAAGTTAAAGACTACGGCAGTCGCGACTTATTGCAGGAAATTCTTGATTCCGAAGAAGAGCATGTTGACTGGCTGGAAACCCAGCAGGGATTGATTGCAAAAACGGGTGTGCAGAACTACATTCAGGCGCAAATGGCGACAGAATAAAGAAGAGTACACTTGAAACTACGTTTAAGAGGCGACACCCTGCGGTTGCGCCTCACTCGATCTGAGGTGGATGCGGTCGGCGCCGCACAAAGCGTTGCGGAAACGTTGCATCTGCCCGATGGTTCCGCCCTGAGCTATAAGCTGGTTACCGGGCCATCTAACAATATATACATGCGGCGAGAGTCGGATCTTGCCGAGATCGTTGTGCAGGTCGTTGCTGCTCAGGCGCACAGCTGGGCATCTTCTGAGCAGGTAGGTTATAGCGGTGAAACACCCCTACAGATTGGTGCTGTCAGCGTGTTGATTGAAAAAGACTTCACCTGTATCACGCCCAGAGCGGGGGAAGAAGAAAGCGATACTTTTCCAAACCCTCAGGCAGCCGGGTAATCCAGATCCGTGGGTGAGTTCATGTTGCGGAACGCCATGCGGTCTGCGAATCTGGCCGTCGACAGCTGCATCGTCTGCAACCACTTGTACACCTGGTAGCCACCGGCTGCCAAAAACCTCTCCAGATCTTTCTCCACGTCGCATTTGAGTAGCAGGTGTAAGTGCTGCTGACGCTCTCCATCGTGGACTACCGCACCATCAACATGGCCATCCACGCTTTGCATCAGCACATCGCACCAGTTCATCGGTAGCGCCGGCGTGTCTCCTGGACAGACTAATAACCAGGGCGTGTTACAGGCATGTAGACCACTCAAGATACCGACCAGCGGGCCTTGGTAATCCTCTGCTTCAGCTGTCACAGGCAGGTCGGTGACCACCGGTGCCCATTGGCGATAGGTATCCAGATTGCGGTTTGCGCTGATCAGTTTTGGCATCTCAGCAGGTACAGTGGTCAGAATTCTCTGCACCATAGGAACGCCGTGCCAGGGTAAAAGCGGTTTGTCCTGACCCTGCATGCGGTGCCCGGCGCCACCGCAGAGCACCAGCAGGGTTGTATTGCGAACCGTTGCTTCAGGCGACGGTATTGCCAAGTCGCTCTACCGCAGCAGCATAATCTTCCATGAAGTCGTAGACGACAGTACGTGCACTGACAGACGTATTCATCAAGCCTACGCCTTGCCCCACCCAGTAAGTAGCAAGGTTGCGTGCACCTGCATCGCCAGATTCAGCCAATTTGTCTATCTTGCGCAAAGCCGGCTCGCTGACCAGTGACTGCAAGGGCATAGGTAGCGGCGGGGGTGCATCCTCAGATTGCCAGGCATCGGTCCACTGTGAACGCAGTTGACGGGTGTATTTACCCGTTCTACTTTTTGAGCGTACGGTCTGTCTTGAGTTTGCAGACAACATCTTTTCTTTAACAGCAGGATTGGTTTCGGCCTCAGATGTTGTCAGCCACACCGAACCACACCAGGCGCCGTGAGCGCCCATGGCCATGCAGGCGGCCATTTGTTTACCCGTCACGATGCCGCCTGCTGCCAGCACAGCAACATCGGGAAACTTATCGCCAATAGCGTCCAGCACTTCAGGAACCAGTACCAGCGTAGAGACTTCGCCGCAGTGGCCACCCGCTTCGGTGCCAGAAACGATTAATACATCAACGCCGGATTCGCAGTGTTTAATGGCATGTTCTTTAGCACCCGTCAGCGCACCAACGGCGACGCCCGCTTGTTTAGCACGCTGCATCATAAACAGTGGCGGCACGCCCAACGCATTTACAATCATTTTAATAGGGTGGGAGAAGGCAACGTCAAGAATGGCGTTCGCACCCGTTTCGCGCATATTGTCGCCGTAACCCGCCTTGGGACGCTGCCAGAGATCCCGGGTATCGATGCCAGCCTGTGCCAGTATCGATTCGACATAGGCTTTATGCTCCGGCGGTATTCTTGCTTCGATATCTTCCGGAGACAGGTTGCTGCTTTCTTTGGAATCGATGCTGTTTGGCACAATCAAATCGACGCCGTATGACTTGCCGTCGATGTGTTCATCGATCCAGTTCATTTCGATTTCCAGACTTTCCGGAGTATGGCCGGCTGCGCCGAGAACACCAAAACCTCCCGCTTTGCTCACCTCGACGATCACATCGCGACAATGACTGAACGCGAATAACGGAAACTCAATATCCAGGCTCTCACATAGTTTAGAATTCATTTTCTCCCCTTTTGCCCCAGTGCTGTGATTGCGCGTATTATGCCATCAGTTCAGGAGTAGTGTATCGAGGGGATATGTTTGACGTTTTGATAGTGGGTGCCGGCAGCGCAGGTTGCGCAATTGCTGCCCGTGTTTCCGAAGATCCTACCGTTTCAGTGGGCCTGGTCGAGGCGGGGCCTGATTACCCCGATCTGACACAACTGCCTCACGATCTGCGCAACGGACACAATAATTCCTACACTGCTCACGATTGGGGCATGGAGTATTCACCAACCCCGCACCGCAAAGATCGTTTTCCACGTGGCCGGGTTGTGGGTGGGTCGAGCGCCGTGAATACAACAATCGCTTTGAGGGGCTTGCCGGAGGACTATGACGCCTGGGCAGCTGCCGGCAATGACGGCTGGTCCTGGCAGGACGTGTTGCCCGCCTTTAAACGACTCGAGCGTGATCTGGATTATCCCGATGCCAGCTACCATGGTGACAGCGGGCCTATATCAATTCGCCGCTATCCAACCGACGAACTGCTGCCCGCGCACCAGGCATTCCTGCAGAGCGCCGCTGACCTGGGCTATCCGGATTGTCCAGATGCCAATGACCCATGGGCCTGGGGTGCCGGACCACAGCCGATGAACAAGCTCAACGGGGTGCGGATATCGGGCGCGGTGGGCTATCTGGCGAGCGCCAGAATCCGGGAAAATTTAACCATTGTTCCAAACACCCTGGTACGTCGATTGCTGATTGTCGGTGGCAAATGTTGCGGGGTCGAAGTCGAGGACGAGACAGGTGCGGTCAGTGAAATTTCTGCACGGCTGGTTGTCCTCAGCGCAGGCGCGCTGATGACACCGTCAGTTTTGATGCGCAGTGGTATCGGCGCCCGCGCGGAGGTCGCGGATATTGGTGTTGATCTGGTCCGGGATGTCCCCGGCGTGGGTAAGAATTTGTCGGATCACCCGGCATTATCGGTTCTGTGTGAAGTCAAAGATGCCAGTCTGATAAATTTTGATGCTCCGATTATCCAGACTATTCTGCGTTACACCGGCGAGCACTCGGAACATCGTTGTGACCTGCAGATCGAACAGATCAGTTTTGCCGGTCGACGCGGTGGTCCACCGATGTTTTTACTGGCACCAGTGCTGGAATATCAATACGGTCGTGGGCAGTTAAGATTTACCTCTGCAGATGCCCATCAGGCGCCGGTTATTGAGAATCATTTTTGTGCTGATGAACGGGACCGTGCGATTCTGGCTGGTTGTGTTCTCGATACGCTGCAATTTACCAAGGCCGCGCCGCTCGCGGATATGATTGCGGCGGTTAAATTCCCGGACCCAGGTCGCGGTCAGAGCCGTGAGGCCATCGAAGCGCTTTGCCGGAAATTTGCCGGTTCGGGATATCATCCTTGCGGCACAGCTAAGATGGGACCCGAAAATGATCCGTTAGCCGTGGTGGATGCAAGGTGTAAACTGCACGGCGTCGATCAGCTTGTTGTTGCGGATGCGTCTATCATGCCGGCCGTACCGCGTGCGAATACCAATTTGACGTGTTTTATGATCGGCGAAAAGGTCGGCGAGTGGATCCGCACCGAAAAAAATCAATATGGCTTGTAGATTGCTAGGAGCCGAGATCTGGGAGTCTATGCATGTTTGATCTGGTTTTCAAAAACGTACAATTGCTTGATGGTACAGGCGCCCCTGCAGTCGAGGGTGAACTGGCTGTTAACGATGGGCGCATTGCTGCGATAGGCACAGTCGGGGCTGGAAAAGTCGAAATTGACGGTAACGGTAAAGTTTTAGCGCCGGGTTTTATTGATACCCATGCTCATGACGACGGTGCCTTCTTTCGTCACCCGGACATGGCTTTCAAACTCGCTCAGGGTGTTACTTCTGTTGTCAGTGGCAACTGTGGATTCAGCGCGATCCCCGCAGACCCGGCTAAAGACTCAGTGGCAGCAAGTGGTGGCATCCTGGCCGGGCTGGCAGGGGAATTCACCGATCTGGAAGGCTACTTTGCCGCCGTGTTGAAGCGCGAACCAGCCATCAACAATATGATGCTGGTCGGGCACAATACTGTACGTTCGCTTGTTATGGGCAACGAAAAGTCTGCACCCACAGCCAGCCAGTTACTGGAAATGCAGCAGCATGTGGCTAATGCTCTGGCACAAGGTGCCTGCGGTTTCTCCAGCGGATTGATATATCGGCCTGGGAGATTCAGTGATACTGAAGAGGTGATTGCGCTGGCCAGTGAAGCTGCCGCATTTGATGCCCTTTATACAACTCATATGCGTAACGAAGGTGACCTCCTGCTGGACGCTGTTGATGAAAGTCTGCGTATCGGTTTAGAGGCGGGTGTGCATCTGCATATTTCTCATCATAAAGCTGCAGGCAAGCCTAACTGGGGCAAAGTTGTTGCCTCGTTGGCAAAAGTAGATGCGGCTCTGCAGGCTGGGCAGCGGGTGACATTAGATGTTTATCCCTACACAGCGGGCAGCGGTCGTATGATCGAGTACTTCAACCTCGACAGGATCAATACAGAATTTGCCGAGGTGGTCAGAATTGCCTCCTGTCCCGCGTTCAGACAATACGAAGGGCAGATGGTTAAAGATATCGCCGCAGCCGAAGGTCGCAGTATAGAAGATGTGGTTAAACAGATTCTGACCGCACCCAAAGGGGAGCGCACCATCTGTATACATTTCATTATTGATGAACACGACATTGAAACAAATCTTGCTCATGCCGACATGATGGTGGGCTCAGATGGCATTCCTGATCTGCGCGGACGGCCACATCCACGGTTGTTCGGCACCTTTCCACGCGTTTTGGGCCGTTATGTCAGGCAGCGCGGCGTGCTGTCTTTACCTGAAGCGGTGCGACGCATGACGTCAGTGTCCGCAAAGACGTTTGGACTGCTGGATCGCGGCGAATTGAGGGAAGGGTATTGGGCTGACCTGGTGATGTTCGATCCTCAAACGGTGATTGATACAGCGACCTATGACGAGCCTCAGCAGGAACCCGAAGGTGTTAGTTGTGTGGTGGTCAACGGACGCGTGGCCTACCAGGACTCAAAGCACACCGCTGTGGGTGCGGGTCAGATGCTGCGCTATCGGCAATCATCCTTTTTGCCTGCTTAGAGTTCTCTTGAACTCCTGGCGAAATTGCGCACACTGCGTAACCATTTAATTTTTGGAGAAGAACAAGCGTGAGTTTTCTTGAACAGAGTCGTGAGGGCCATGTGCTGGTGCTGACCATGTCCAGCCCTGATACCCGCAATGCATTGACTGGAGATGATCAGTTTGACGATTTTGAGCAGACCTGCCGCGACATAAATAATGATATGTCGGTGCGTTGCGTTGTGCTGACTGGCGCAGGCTCAGCCTTCTGTGCGGGCGGCAACGTCAAAGATATGCGGGATCGTACGGGTTTGTTCTCCGGCGACCCTTTTGATCAAGCTGATGCCTATCGCCGTGGCATCCAGCGCATCCCACGCGCCGTACATGCGCTGAATGTACCGATCATCGCTGCGGTTAATGGCCCTGCTGTGGGTGCCGGCTGTGACCTGGCGACCATGTGTGACATACGAATCGCCAGTGAAAAAGCCATGTTTGCTGAGAGTTTTGTCAAACTGGGTATTATTCCTGGCGACGGCGGAGCGTGGTTTCTGCCTCGTGCAGTAGGCTATTCCAATGCGTGTAAAATGGCTTTCAGCGGTGAACCAGTGAAAGCTGCGGAAGCATTACAGATGGGTCTGGTTTCTGAGGTGGTTGAGCCTGAAGATCTGCTCACCAGAGCCATTGCTCTGGCAACCAGTATTGCCGCCAATCCACCGCACGCCGTCCGCCTGACGAAACAACTTATGCGCGCTAGTGAAAATTCATCATTGGATGAGTTGTTAGATAAATCGGCAACTTTCCAGGCTGTCTGCCACGCAGAACCAGACCATGCTGAGGCAGTCGAGGCATTCTTTGAAAAGCGTCCGGGTAAGTACCGGGATAAGTAGAACTTTAAAATAATTTTGTGAGGGGAGATAAATGTTAAGAAATGTATTGATGGTGGTTATAACGCTGTCGCTAAGCGCCAGCGTTTCAGCTAAACCGTTACCCAATGTGAAACCCGAACGGGAAGGCTTTTCCACTGAGCGACTGCAGCGGCTTACAGAAGTCACGCAGGCCTACGTTGATGAAGGCAAACTGGCTGGCGTGATTACAATGGTTGCCCGTGAAGGCAAAATTGTACATTTTGAAGCGGTTGGTCAGCGTGGTGCAGACGATTCAACACCCCTGCAGAAAGATGATCTGTTTCGCATCTATTCCATGACAAAACCCATCACCGCGGCCGCAGCAATGCAGTTGTACGAGCAGGGTAAATTCGCTCTGTGGGATCCGGTTTCTAAGTTTGTACCAGAATTGAAAAACTTGAAGGTGCTCAATGCAGACGGCGAGCAGGTGCCCGCAGAGCGTGAAATGACCATGCGTCAGCTGCTGACCCACACCGCGGGATTTTCCTACGGATTTAATCCAAAAGGAGATCCGGTTGATCAATACTACGTCGACGCAAAGCTCTGGGCTGCAAAAGATCTGGATGATTTTGCCGTTAAGCTGTCTCAAATACCTTTGAAATTTAACCCGGGTGATCAATGGCACTACTCTGTGGCAGTAGACGTCACTGGTTTGGTGGTACAGCGCATCAGCGGCCAGCCTTTTGATGAGTACCTTGAAGAGCACATCTTTACCCCTCTGGGCATGCAAGACACATTCTTTGAAGTACCTGCGGATAAACTTGATAGATTTCTGCCCAATCATTATATCGATCCAAAAACCCGAGCGCTGACACAGATCCCTGAAGGCGGCACTGATGCCATGCAGGACTATAAGAAAGTTACTTTGTTTTCCGGTGGCGGCGGTCTTGTGTCAAGCACGATGGACTACATGAAGTTTGCTGAAGCCATGCGTAATGGTGGCGAGCTCAACGGCGTTCGGATTCTGAGCCCGAAAACCGTTAATTACATGC